GGCCTGTTTTTTCCTCCTTGTTGGCACTTTCAGCGTCGTGTACTTTTTAAGGTTAAGCCTCTAATTAGTCGCCTATTGTTGGCGCGGTCTCTTTGTTCTTTGTGCATGTGCAGAATGCCATTGTTCGGTGCCGTGCGTTTTTTCTTTGTTGTTTAGCCGATTCGGTGCGTCCAATCTGCACGGAATCATGTGTTTGGAAGCAACAGAGCGAAGAGGCAAAGAATGTCGGACAATGTTGAAGGTAGCGGTAGGGTACCTGGTTTCCTCGCAGAACTTGGACGTAGAGTTGGGAACTTGGAGTTGGGAACTTGGAGTTGGGAACTTGGAGTTGGGAACTTGGAGTTGGGAACTTGGAGTTGGGAACTTGGAGTTGAGAACTTGGAGTTGAGAAACTTGTTGTAGATGTCCTTCGGTCGTGTATCTGCTAATGTAGACCTCTTTTTGGTCAATGAGCACTTGTACTATCGGAACGTATCCATACAAGTGAGCTGTAGTCGTTCCTTTAACTATCTAATCAAGCATGCTTTCTAGCTGGTTCGTTGAGAGTGTCAGCCCGTCTAGTGTACATTCCCAACAGTAGGAGAGAGGATTGAGAGTAGTCCAAACGAGTGGCTTAGTAAAGATTCAGCGAGTTGGTTGCCTGTCTTCACTAGCTAGCCACAGGTTCTCTGAAAAGGAACATTGTCGGTTGATATGTTTGGTTCCATTGAATACCAATCTTCATCGACCTTGGCCACTGAGCGGTCTTGATGCCACGCGATTGTAGCCTTTCAAACAGGTCTATGAAGATTTCCCACGCTGTGATTGTCCTAAAGTAATCTCCAAATGGACATATCTGGGTCTTGCGGAACTACTGTGGGAGTTCAGGACGACTTACGATACAATTAACCCACCAGCATCCAAACCCAAACAATTCCAGCTGTCATGAGCGGCCGAGATGTGATTCTGTAGCCATATGACCTTTGGGCGGACTTGGGTTTAACCGATATGTCCAGTTCCTTGTTGATCTGCGTGGTGCGTCCTCCTGTAAAGAGTGAAAGAATGCACTTGACTTTTCGACCAAAAGTTTTGCAATGAGACCTAATCCGCCATGTTGAAATTGTCTGTGGTATGTACTTGTTGAGTTTGTATACCCCTGGTTGGCATCTGTAATCAACGGATCATCTTCATAGACACTCACCAAGAGCTCGCACTTTTATTTGGATGCTCAGGGATGTCTTTCCTGTCCTAACTTGATCAGAACCTCATGGCTAAGCCATAGAGAGATTTCTTGAGCTTCCGCACCGTTGTTGGACTATCTGGAGGCTTCATGTAGGTGGCGGAGGAAGGCTCGGCTTCTATTGATGTTCAACTGCTTGGCTTCTGACTAACAGAGGGACAAACTGATTTAAACTGAAAAACTGGGCTGAAGGACATCAGATAGTTATTGACCCCTTGTGCGAAACCTTTGGCGAGGAAGTCTTTCCTTAGAAGTAGTCGTGAGTCGTTTAACTAGATCTACACAAACATATCTATCATCTTCAATACAGGGAAATGAAGAGTCAAAAGCGGCGCAAGCGGGACCAAGAGAACATGATCCCAGACGGTCGGAAGACTGGGGATTCGAAGTAGTTCGTTGCCGTTGGGGATTACTGGTTCAGCGGACACTACTGGTTGAGCAACGGTCTGCGGAGCACCAATATGTATTAGGTGTGCTGAGAAGATAGCTCCTGGTGTTTTCATTCTGTTGATAGGCTAAGATGTGTTCTGAGCAACTGTACAATATGGTCCTAATGAATAGTACCGGTTGTACTACAGTGTACAGTCATACTACAAATACCAAATACGAACTTCAACACCCGATCGAGTCAGTCAAGGAATCCGCTACAGTCACGTTATCTATATTCTATAACATGACTTTTTGCACGTGATATCTCATCGGATCAGGGTCCTTGATGGAGCCACCATTGATCTTACAGTAGTATGTACATAGGTCTGACTCATAAGCGGAGTCAAGGAAAACAGGGTCTTCAATACATCACCGGAGTCTTCATAGTCGTCGTCGTCGTCGTTTGGGTCCATGTCCATGAGAGTCTAACAAAGTCATATAGTAGACACTTTTTCATACCCTGCTTGCAATTTGGCATATCTGGGAGTTGAAAAAAGTCTTCAATAGTGCCCATGAATCCCATTTAATGGTCTTTTTCATTCTAGAAATGGGCCATGTACATTCTGAGCCCATTGTACTGCGTTCGGCTCTACTACAGCTCTCTCGACACATCTCGGACGGCTCTCATATTGCGCTCATGTAGCACTCATATTGTATACCCGGTTCAAATTACTCTCCAAACACCATTTAACCACACTGTTGCTACTACATCTGCCTAGCGTCAGACTAGCGCCAGACTAGCGCCAGACTAGCGCCAGAGCTGGGCTAAAACAAACCTGCTCAATAATCATACGATAATAAATGGTCAATAAAAGCAACCACAAGAGGCCAACTATGCGTTCCTCCTGCAACCTCAAGCAGTCTCGTCACTCACTTTTATCTCGTCGAAACTCACTTATCTCCAGCACTATGTAGCGCCGTTGCAACCCCGGTCGTTGGTAGCGTAGTGTCCTATTAACGCCGACTAGAGCAGCCCTGTCAGGCACAGGTTGTCACGTGAAACCTCTGAAGCAGTCTATGTGGTCTAGTAACGTCACAGAGGCAAATTCACGCGGGATACGAGATTGTCTGTTTGACCGGAGGTATATCACTTGTCGGAGGTGTTCTACCGAGATTAGAATGAAAACGGCTGAATAACGTGATAATAAAAACGATTGAGATGCCAAATTCGTATGGCAAAGGTAGATGGTATATCTACAGGAGACGCATTTTCTGGGAAATGTCTTCCGGAAAAGACTCGATCAACCAAAGCAGAGTTACCTTTACATATTCAAGGCTGACTCATCTTAGATACTCAATGCTGACTCATCTCAGAGACTCACGGCTGACTCATCTTTACCCACGGCTGACTCATCTTTACCCACGGCTGACTCAACTTTTCCCACGGCTGACTCATATTTACCCACGTCTAACTCATTGATACACCAACGCTGGTAAGTTTTTGATACCCATGGGGGCGTCATCTCCTAACACAAACTGAAAGGAATAGACTTAATTTATGAGGAGGTTGGAGCTTTTGGAAGTCCTTCGTCATCCTTCGCTTCTCGCTTTTCGTCTCTTATCATCCTTCAACTCTTTCTGTTTCCTTCGCCCCTCACCGACAAGTGAAGACATTGCTTACGTCGCCTTAAAGGACATTTGCTCATACTCATTATATCCATTCACGGCCAAATTAACACTTTAAAACATATATCAAACAACCACTCCCGTTCCTTCTGCTCAAATTCTCTGGGCCACTTTAGAGACTCATCTGGAGCCTGGACAATGCCAGTTAGGACGGAGTGACGATGCCAAAAATCTCTAATGGAAGTTTGAATAGATTTGTTCAAGTCCTGGTCAACCACTTTTCAACTCCTGACATTCCGGGAGACTCACCATCTGGAATTCCTCGCTCCTCAATCCGTCGTATTATCTTACACCCTACATATATGACTGTTTCCGGCTGGCTGGTACAGGGAAAACTCAGGACAAAGATAAGAGTCAGTTAATTTTCCCCCTCTCTCTCCCTATTAATTAACGTGATTTATAGTCACGTGACCCTGCTACTTGTATGACGTCCAACAGTGTTCTGTGGTTCGGCACTTGCCCAAGTTTCATCTGTACATGTCCGTTCACCATTGTATCAATCAGCATTGAATGTACCAGTAGTATGTACTGTACTTGTATTGTTAGCTCTAAAAATGCACTTAGGGACTTCTTCAAGATTTCCAGACCGAATTTAGCAGCATTTATGGACTATTTATCACGAGATACTTCTCCTAGTCTCGACAACACCTACATTTCGAGACGTTCAGAAAATCTACAGAAAAGCCACAAACAATCTGAAATATTCAGTCGACTCACTCGATTCGGTAGAATCCAACAGTTCCAATTAAATCCCTCTTCACGTGACTATCCTCCTCCAAATCCCGCCACAGTTTAATTCGGGTTTCTCCCCATCTGGCGAGTATCATCAGCCATCTTGGTCAGTTTTGAAGCAATCTCGATTCTTTTACTGCCATCTAATCACCGTCTTTTTATCATTCTGAAGATGTTTTCCAAAAGAAAAAGAGCCCTTCTGTAGCCTCCAATATCGCAACAAGTAATAGATATACATACTGTACCTTCATTTCTACTTCTTATCGCAAGGATTTACCGCCTATCTAGGTGACATTCCCCAGGTGGAAATTTCGACCCACATCTTCCCGCGGGTTTTCCTTTCTTTAACCCCTTTTTGCCCTTTTTGCCCTTTTTTCGTCCTTGTTTTTTTTTTTTTTTTTTTTTGGCGGCGGCGTCCTCCGATGTCAACTTCGTCGGCCCGTTGTGGGCAAAATAATAGACTTTTTGTTATCTACGAAAAGCTCCGAGGAGTGGAATTGAGACCCGTTCTGTCACGGATATCGCCACTCAGATCGACATCCCAATGAATGGATTTTGTTTGTCACGTGACACTGATCGAATTCCCGTTTTTTCTGTCTCTCTATCCATTTTTTGGGCAATTTTTGATGTTTTTTTTTCTAGTAATTCCAAACGGCAATGTTTTTTTATCTTTTATTTTTATTTTATTTTGGCTGCCTTTGATGTGCCGATGACGGGCTACTAATGTGAGAAAGAATTTTGAAAAAATCAGGGAAAAAACCTGAAATTTGAAAGATTGGTATTTTCTATTTAATGACTCCTTTCCTCCAGACTTTTCTCCTTCCTTTCTATTTCTTTCCTCTTTTTCCCCCGCGCAACTTCCCCACCACCTATCTCAGTCCCCCCATTAATAAGGCTGCAGGTGGGTGCATAATTATTGCTATCTCATCAGTCAGTAATTTACAAACTTGTCTTTCTCCACACCAACACACCACACATTTCCCCTCTCCCCAAAATGGCTTCTAGCACGCGGAAAATCGTCCAGGTGGCGTGCGCGGTCCTCTGGTGTCTGTTTGCCGCGGGCCCCATCTTCGGCTTTGCGGCTCTCAAGCCGGTTCTGGTAGCGGAGGGCGTCTACAGCCAGTACTGCTCCAACTCGCCGTCGGACGGCCCCTGCAAGGAGCAGGATCTGCGACTCAACTTCATGTTCAACGTGGGCGCGATTCTGACCAATGTAGACGCCATTGTCGTGGGATTCGTGCTCGACAAGTACGGGCCTCGAATCAGCGGCATAGTCGGATCTGTGGTCATTTTTGTCGCCACCCTGGTGCTGTCTAACGCCGCGTTGCTGCCGGGGGACCCCTGGCTGGTCGGCTACTCGCTGCTGGCCGTGGGAGGCCCGTTTGTGTTCATTTCGAGCTTCCACCTCAGCAACACGTTTGTGCAGTACTCAGGCACCATTCTTGCGCTGCTGACGGGGGCGTTTGACGCCTCGTCCGCGGTGTTCCTCGGCTTCAGAATATCCTACGAAAACTCGGGCATCTCGCTGTCCCAGCTCTTCTCCATCTACACTATTGTGCCCATCTTCATTCTCCTGGCGGAGGTGTTTGTGATGCCCCAGACTAGCTACAAGTCCGACGAGTCGTTTGCGTCGGTGGTCTCCACCTCCGCAGGCCACATGGAGGCCGAGGAACAGGCACTGTTGGAAGACGCAGACCTCACCAACTACACCGGTCGACGATCGTCCTTCATCTCCAACCGAGGCTCCTTCCTCAGCCGACGACGCCCCTCTCTGGTCCACGAGGCCCCCACTCCCCAGAACCTGGCACAGTACGGCTCTCTCAAGGGCCTGACTGCTAGACAGCAGCTGGCCACCAACTGGGCGTTCCTGATCATCGTCTTCACCACCCTGCAGATGCTCAGAATCAACTACTTTGTTGCCACCATCAACTCCCAGTACACATACCTTCTGGGCCACGAGCAGGCACAGAAGATCAACGGCATCTTCGACTACTTGCTGCCTCTGGGCGGCGTGCTTGCCATCCCCATGATTGGCTTTGTTCTCGACCATATGAGTCTGGTGGGCTCCTGGACCACCGTGGTCACTCTGTCGCTCACTCTGGGAGCCCTTAACCTCGTTGCCAAGCCCTGGGCCGCCTACATCAACGTGTTCTTGTTTGTGCTCTACCGACCGCTCTACTACACGGCCGTGAGCGACTACGCTGCTAAGATTTTCGGGTTCAAGACCTTTGGCACCGTTTACGGCGTGGTGATTTGCATTTCCGGTTTGTTCAACATTCTGCAGTCGGTGCTCGACCGACTCACCAAGCAGACCTTCCACCTCAACCCCAGCCCCGTCAACACCATTCTGCTGGGCGCCACAGCCGTCTCGGGTCTTGCGCTGGTCGGATACATCAAGAGTCAAGGCCAGAACCTCAAGCGGCAGTTTCTGGAGATTGAGGCCGAAGCCTCTGAGCCCATGCCCATGCCTGGTACTCCTGCGGTTCCCGGTGTGACCACCACGCATGATCCTCTTCACGGCGAGACCGAGATCTCCTTCAACGATCCCAAGCACACCAGCAAGCCCAAGAAGGACGATGGTGATAGCTGTGGCACAGGACATTGCAACAATTGCGTTTGTGATGTTTAACCGTGTGAGAACAATAACAAAACAAAAGTCGATGGACAAGCGGACTTGATATATATGAATTGATTATCAGATGGAAGGGAGGGATGTGGGATAGACTTGCCAGAGGCATCAGACCGATAATGGAGTAGGAATGTATATGTGTACTGGGCATTACCGGACAATGTTGTCTTATGAGAAGAGAAACAAGTCTGGCACATTACCAAGTCCAGAATTTCACTTCTAAACACGTCCACATTCGGACCACTCAACCCGCGTATATTCTGCTTCAATGGGCACGTAAGTTTCGACAGAGGTACATCTGACGATTGTCAATAGTTTCGTATTTTTCTTTTCTTTATCGGCTTTCAAACGGGCCCATTTTCGTTTTTCTCACCTTTTTTTTTATTCTTTTTTTTTATTTTAATGATTCATTAAAAAACCTTTTTTTTTTAATTCTAATGATTCATTAAACTATTTTTTTATTCTAGTAGGATATCACCAGCCACTTTTTTCCATGGTTTCCATTCGGTCCTATGGCACAGCGGTAGCGCGTGAGATTGCAAATCTTAAGGTCCCGAGTTCGAATCTCGGTGGGACCTTCTTTTTGCACTGCCTGAATGAGGCGTTTATATTTTGTTGATTTATTTATTTTTCTCTTTTTTATTGTTTTTTTTCTAATTTTTCGTTTTTTTTTTGTATTTCTTTATTTCTTATTTCTACCTTAATTGCAGAGTTCTCTTTCTGCTTGTGTTTTCAACAAAATTTAGTTGGGACTAAAAAACGGGTGCTCTAGAGAGAACACTTTATTGAATATCATAAGTATTATTAGTTAGGGATAGTTAATAAAACGACTCATCGCAAGGACACCACGTTCCTGTAGCACTCGCCAGAAAAATTCTAGATCAGTAGATAAACCTATCTACAGGACATCGTCTAATATGGACATCTCGTCTACTACCAGGCTGGTTCCTCTCATCACTGTGTCATGAGCTCTGATCATTATGTGAGGAACTGACCCGGAATCACCTTACCGGGTATTTCAACACACATTGGGTGAGACTAGGAGTGGATAAAGGCCCATTAAGTCTGGAGGGCGGTTGTTCTTGAGACTAGAATAGCTTGGTGGTTTTTTTGCCCTCAAAAATTCCCATCAAAGAACGGTACGCCGTAGAATGGCAGTAGAAACGGTGACATGGGACGACGAGTAGGTAGATACTGTACCGGTAGGTGCTTGTAGTAGGTACCTACTTCAATGTCTTCATTCCGGGATTAGACAGCTTAGATTGGTAAAAATCTCCGATTAAATCAACAGCATGGTTCTTCTGTTGACCACCCAGAGGGAACCGACTGCTGAATAGACACTTTTGGTATCAATACTTTGGTAACAAGAACAAGAAAATTGTCATTCACGGTAGAGATGTCCTTTCTTGGAGCCCTCCATCTCCCCATTAACGACTCTTGCTGTACATACCTACTCATCTCAGTCCTGACAAACACAATTAATCAACTGCAACAATAGCTGTGGACTGAGAGAAATAGTGCCGTTTAGATAGCTTTTTAGAGCTGTTTTAGCCGACCGGACTGCCAAAACCGCCACATCTTCCTCCTCGGCCCGGCTGACGTTGGGGGAAGATGTAGCTAGAGCCTCTGAGAAACTGAGACGGGGGTCGGTGACGGTCGACGTAAGGATGCTGTTTTCCCGGCAAAATCTACTTTTGGACTGTTTCTCAGTAGTCGCCATTCGTCTAACAGTCTGCTGTAGTCTTGCTGAGTCCAACTGTGGAGTGGTTCTTTTGTATTTGGCAGGCTGGACGTGTCTTATTGAAGGGACATTTCTCGGGGTAGCTTTAGATAAAGCATATGACGTCCGTTGGCCTTCAGTTTGGGGTTTTTGTCGAAACTTTTCACTTCTCTGTTGGGCATCTTTTGTAGCGTGTGTACTGGCGTCCCTGTAGCCAGAAGTGATCCGGTTGGCGTGTTTGAGCTGTGCAGAGTCCTGTCCCGCTCTGTAACTGGTCGGAGATACCCATCTGGGGCGTCCGATGGAGTTGGATTTGTGTCTTTTGGCATCTTTCAGTCGCTGGTCGTTTCTGATTCGGGCCGCTTCCAGACGAGCCTTGCTGTCAGCTAGTTGCGCGTTGAGCTGTCCAATGTTTATGGCCATGGAAGAGGTTGAGCTGGTGTTTAGAAGGAGATGATGAGCTGGTGTAGAATATCTCGAGAGATGGAGAAGAGAAAGAGACGATCTTAGGTGGTGATGTAGTTTAAGTAACAACCCAGTTCTGGTACAAGTAACCAGGGAAACAGTGACTGAATATTGAAAACTGCCAATACGTTCGGTGGTCTCATCTTCAAGTATCTATGTCGCCTGTTCAACCTCCAACTGAAATAATACGGGTTTTTTAGTCGAAATTTATAGCGCATGTGGAACATGTGGCTGCTTAGTTGGCTCTTAAGTAAACCCAACTAATGATACTGACCCATATCCTACACATGGCCAGTCAAAACAAATCAGGGACTTTAACAGCTGACTAAAATTCACTAATACGACGGTCACGTGATCTTATTATCTATCTGTGAAAAGATCAGCTCACTTGTATTTGTGAAATCGCGAAATTGGGCTGTTTCGCCATGTATCAATGCCTAGTTCTCTTCATGAGTATAGTTACATTTAGTTGACATTAATGGAGATAATACCCTCCTGAATGGGGAAAATCATCCAACAGCATGACGACAGCTTTCACACCTTTCCTTTCATCTTCTAATCGAATTTCCCGTTAAAATCTTCCACTTGAAACACGTGTTTTTTGTTTTGTTTTATTCTAGTCCTTCTGCTGTCGTTGATACAACATTCTCTCCTCTCCCCAACAAAAACAACCCCCAGAGGCATCAGATCAACATTTATCGAGGTTTTTGTATGTGTGAATGTATATAGAGCCCTCTGCAACTTTCCACAATCAGTCCCCTCGCCCATTACGCCCTGTAAGGCCAGAAAAATGAATGGGGGAAAAAAAGCCAGATTTCACTGTAGCTGGGTCCAAACAGAAAAAAATTATAATATCACTGATGTGGTGGCTCAATGGTAGAGCTTTCGACTCCAGTCAACTTGGTTGTAATCGAAGGGTTGCAGGTTCAATTCCTGTCCATGTCAAGTTCTAACAGAACTGACAGTGGAGGAACATATGGGGGTTTAATTCCCCTAGCTTCTAGCTGATCAGTGATTTTTTTGAATTCCACACAGCGAGAACGGGTCTATTTTTTTCCTTCCAGGGTATTCCTCCAATGCTTTACTGGTTTTTATCTCCTAGATATCTCGCCTTTTGCTCATGCGGCTCGGAAATTGTGCCCTCAAAAATGAGTCGGAATATGAGAGCTGATCCGACCGTGTATAGACCAGAATGTAGATGAAAAGTGTATGAAAATGTCTGAGTGGAAACCACAAAACAACTGAATTCCCAACATTCTGCTGCCATACAATCTGATTACGTAACAGAGACTTATCTAAGGGTGCAGTATACAAGTTCACCTTCATCTTCCAAACACACATCGCTCATCTATCTCCTCATCCACAGCTTCTATAGTAAATCCGACAATCACAATTGATTCAGCGGAGCGGGTTTGATCACCTCATCAAGTCATCAAGTCCTGTTCCCATCTTCTGTCATATCCTGCTTCCCCATCTCCTATCCAGCCCTGCTCAACCTCCACTGACCTCAACTCCGTCAAAAAACACCCCAGATTCTCAAAAAAACACCCTCACAACTTCAAAAACTCGAGTGGAACCTTATAATCAACTCCCCTTTCCATTATCCCACTTTTTCCGTTTTTTTATGTCGCCCCAAAACCCGTCTTTCACATCTACCCTGCATCCTCCTCCGGAACAAAACAGTCCGATATAGTGTAGGGGCTATCACATCACGCTCTCAAGTCGAGAACCGTGGAGACCGGGGTTCGATTCCCCGTATCGGAGTGTGCTAGACGCAAGTAAGTAAGCGTCACCTCTCTTTTTCCCTCCCCACCCTCACTACGGCATTTTGGTAGGACGTGCTTACTAAGCGCCAGACAATTGGTACACGCTTACTAAGAGATGCCTTCTCTCGTCTAAATGTTCGAAACCTTATGTACGATTACATAAGCAAATTTCACAAACGGGGTTCCCACATTTTTGTCAGATTCCAGACGTTGCCATTATCAGCCAAAATTCTTGATTTTTACCTTCAAATTTGGTATCGGGGAGGAGCTCAAGATACGCTGATTCCATAAATCCACTCAGATTTTCAATCCACCCAATATTTGGTCCTTAACGAGGGTGATCACTTTTCTCATAGAAAAATTAAACTTTCCCAGCCACTGACCAGAAGGGAAAGCTAAACACGAAATTGGAGACGGGCATTCGGATGTGTTGCTGACGAGCTATTGAAAATCTCAATATACAGATCGACTCGAAATCGCTTATATCACGGGAAAATCTTTTCAATTTTGAAAAAACCGCCCCCCATTCGCCATTTATCGGTTTTCAACCCTATACACGCTTACGTAAGGAAATTTCACAAGGTGCATGTCCCAGTTGGTGTTCACGAACATTTCGGTAGTCTCTTTTGCTCCACACATCACATTTCCACATCGTTTTTGAGCCCGTCACAGCCCAAAATGCGCGACGCTTCAACCCAGGCGCAAGTTGATGCGTTCCACAGCCGTCTGAGCGATGATTCCGGTGAGTATTGAGCAGGTGAAGAGGCGGAGAGGTGTGAGACACCCAGTGATGGAACTCGACAAAATGCGAAGGAGACGTCTGAGTGACAAAAGAGGTGGATAGGGTGAATAACACGATGGAGACGAGCCAGGATCACGTTTTTTTGAGCTCATTCGACGGTTTTTGGGCGAAATGGATGTGGTGTTGTGATGGTCAGTGAGAATTGTCTGTAGAGACGCTGGCATAACACCAGTGGTCGACACTATGGGCTCTGCTACTTTTGAAAGGCTGGCATAACAGTGTTCCTCACCACGGACTCTGCCACTTTTACTGTAGCACTTCATATTCGTCCGTTCCAGCGTCCATTCGCCCATGCATGCTACACTGTCTGTCATATCGTCCTTCACCGGTCTAAATCGTTCGGTTTGGCATTCTCGTCGCTACATATCGCCATCATCTCGAGAGCAACATATCGTCGCTCTGCCCTTTCATCCATTCGCTCTTGGAGCTCCATTGAACTCCGCTAACCCAGACCTAAAATCAAAAGTAGTCGCTGCGTCAGAACTCCGAGATGCCGTTGATTCATTTCAATCTTCCCCCGCAGACTACGAATACTATCTGCAGAAGATGATGCCGGTATACACCAAAATCTTGGAGTCCACCCCCGTGTCTTTCACGAGTATTTCCGTCGAGCAAGTGAGTACGATAGAATCATTCTAGAGGAATGGCAAGAGAAAAACCTGATAAATGCAGACGACACACGAGATACAACAATCACCTCTCATCTCACTCGGTTCCTGGTTCAATCTCAGAGATGAGGAGTGACTAATATGGACTGGAGGATACTGTCACAGTTGTTGCTGCTGTTGATGAATGACATCTGCCACTATGGCTCTCAGTATGTCTGCCTTTCTTCACTTAGTCACTCACCCCACCTCCCGTACTAACTCAGAAACTCCGATCATCGATCCTCGAAATACTCCTTCGTCTACAAACCAACGATCTCCTCAAACCCTACTCCTCCGCTCTGTTGGAGCAAATCATGTCCATCCTCCGTACCGACAACGAAGAAAACGGAGTGACATGTATGAAAATCCTCACGGCCCTGCACAAGGGCTACAAGGCGCACCTGGGCGGCGACCACGTGACCCAGTTCCTTGAGCTCGTCACCGACCTCTACAAGAACATCCCCTCGGTCGTCAAGGACACGTTTGGCGTCAACCAGACCGGCTCCTCAAACTTCCAGTCCCCCATGTCGCCGTCTCTAGTCTCTGACGGAGACGTGAGCGTCGCCACACCTGGCGGAGCAGCTTCTCGCCCCCTGGCCAAGTCGTTGTTCTCATTCAAGGTGCTCATTGAGTGCCCCATCATTGTGGTACTGCTCTTCTCCACCCACAGAGCCATGGTGCCCACACTCTTGCCTCAGTTCCTGCCTCACGTGATTGAGATGCTGAGAATTCAAGCCCCTCCCCAGGCCGAGGCCCATGCCCAGGCCGAGGCTCGTGGCGATATCCTGACGACCATCTCGCCCCAGATCCGCAACCGCGCGGCTTACGGCGACTTCATCACCTGCCAGGTCAAGACCATGTCGTTTCTGGCATACGCGCTGCGAGGCTTCCCGCCGTTTCTGCAGGAATATCACGTGATCATTCCCGATCTCGTGGTGCGTCTTCTTCAGGACTGCCCCTGCGAGCTTTCCGCCGCTCGAAAGGAGCTCCTGGTCGCCGCTCGACACATTACGTCGACGGATATAAGGACCATGTTCATCCCCAAAATTGACATTCTGCTGGAGGAGCGGGTGTTGATTGGTGATGGTCTGACAGTCAGAGAAACGCTCAAGCCGCTGGCATACTCTATCATGGCGGATCTCATTCACCACGTGCGCAGCGAATTGACGCTCCAGCAAATCTGGAAGACTGTCAAGGTGTACTGCGCCAATATGCTGGACGCGTCGCTGGCCAACTCGTTCCAGATTATGAGTGCCAAGCTGCTCCTGAACCTTGTGGACCCGATCATGAAGCTGCAGGATCGCAACGAGGGCCGTCAGACCATGGTATTGATTCTGAATGCCTTCACAGAGCTCTTCGGTGCCCTCAACAGAACATATCCCAATGTCATGAGGGGCCACGAGCGGTGGCTGAAAGAGCAGGCTGAGAAGAAGGCTGAAGGTGGAGACAAACCCATTGCTGAAGTCAAGCCCGAGGAGGACATCCAGGTTGACGTGAAGCTGGGAACCTCTGCTGAGTCATCTGGGCTCAAACGCAAGGCCGAGGACCTAGAAGTCGACGAGGTCGAGTCCAACGATGTCGTCCCGCAGAAGCCCCGGATCGAATCCGAGTACGACTTTGACTACTTTGAGATCCAGGCGTCGTCGCTGATCAAGATTCACCCTACTCCCACGACGGATCCCCTCGAGGACGCCCGTTACTTGTTCAAGAACCTCATGAACTTCCTCAAAACGGTCATGTTTGGCCTCAAGTCGTGCAACCCACCATGTCCAATTGCCGACATTAGCGAGGCTGTGTGGAACGAGTCCGCCCGACTGTTCAACTTTGAGCAAATTACTATCTTCCGCAAGCTGTTTGAGGAGGGCATCAAGGGTCATCTGTTTTTCGCCTCTCACGTGACCGACAAGACCGCTACGGTCGCCAACAACGACCTCGGTGCCCCCTCGCTGCCTGTGGTCAGTTCCAAAGCCGAGAAGGATCTCATGGAGACATTTGTGACCGTGTTCATTCACATTGACTCGGCGTCGTTCAACGAGATCATCGAGAGCGAGCTCCCCTTTCTCTACGACGCCATGTTCTCCAATTCTGCACTGCTTCACATCCCCCAATTCTTCATGGCTTCCGAAGCTACTTCTGCCAACTTCTCTTCGTTGCTGATTTCGTTTCTGAAGGAGAAGCTCCCTGAGCTCGGAGACGGAAACATTCAAAAATCAAACATTCTGATCCGGCTCTTCAAGCTGTGTTTCATGGCGGTGAACCTGTTCCCCGCTCAGAACGAGGCTGTTCTTCTACCACATCTCAAGAGTCTCATTATCGACTCGATGAAACTGACCACCACCAGCAAGGACCCAATCGTGTACTTTTACCTGCTGCGAACATTGTTCCGAAGCATTGGAGGAGGCAGATTCGAGCTGCTATACAAGGAGGTGCTCCCTTTGCTCCAGTCGCTGCTCGAGTCACTGAATAAGCTGCTTCTGACTGCCAGAAAGCCACAGGAGAGAGATATTTACGTCGAGCTGTGTCTCACGGTTCCCGTGCGTCTTTCTGTGCTCGTCCCGCACCTCTCCTACCTCATGTCTCCGCTTGTCGTTGCTCTCAACGGCTCTCAGGAGCTCGTGTCGCAAGGTCTCCGGACTCTCGAGCTCTGCGTCGACAACCTCACGGCCGAGTACTTTGACCCCATCATCGAGCCCGTTATGGACAAGGTGATGCAGGCGCTGTGGAACCATCTCAAGCCGTTGCCGTACTACCATCAGCACTCGCATACGACTTTGAGGATCCTGGGCAAGCTGGGTGGCAGAAACAGACGTTTTCTGACTCCTCCCGACAACCTCAAGACGATTTCCGCGGTGCACAATGATCTGGCGATCGTGGCCAAGTTCCAGGGCGTGGAGGAAAAGCTACCTGTGAACATTACGCCTGCTCTGGAGGCTTCTGTGGCGATTCTGGAGGACTCCAAGCGGCGTCTAGAGTACCGGGTGAGTGCGTTCAAGTACCTGTCGGGCTGCCTGAAACTGCTGATCGACGCTCATCCTATTGCATCTGATATGAGCGAGACTATCAAGAAGGCGGTGACTGCTCTGACGATGGAGGGTTTCCCCAAATCCAAGGATAACGGCGAGTACCACCTCAAGGATGGTAAAGTCAAGTACCCCGTCAAGCGCAAGCTCGAGGATGAGCTACTGACGATGCTGCTGGAGTCGCTCTTCTTCTCTCTATCCATCGACGCTGTCAAGGAGGAGGCCACTGAGCTTATTCACAACCTGTGCGACCATTTTGTCTTCCTGAACCTTGGTAGATATGTTTTGGACAAACGGAAGGAACTCACCTCGTTTGATCTCAACGAACATGAGGGCAAGACCTTTTTGGACTGCAAGGCAATCATTGGCGCTATCATGTTTGCTCTCAGCCACTACAATGAGTCCATCAAGCAAGGAGGTATTGACGCTATTAAGCATATGTTCAACACCGGTGTTACTGTATTTGGCAGCAAGGAGCTAGCGTTCAAGTTCCCTCTGTACGTGTCCATGTATAGACGCTTCTCGCATGGCTGCTTCGAGGAGGAGTACTACCGCAAGTACGGCGCTGTATTAGGTCTCAAGACGCTGATGCAGGACCTGGACTGTCCACTGCGGTGGATCCAGGTGAAGCAGATTGAGTTCACCCGAACCATTCTGTTTGTGTGCAAGGACGTGCCCCCGGATGTGCCTGGTCACGTGAGAGATGTGGCTCGAAATCTTTATCTCCACATTTTGCGTCGCTGCAACACTGATCTGTCTGCCGAGCAGATGGCAGACAAGTCGTTCAAGCAGGTGGTTGGTTTGCTAGCCTACGATCTCGGCAACGCCAACATTTCCGTGCGGGAGACTTCCAAGCAGGCTCTGGCTACTCTTGCTGAAGTGACAAAGTCTGCGTCCGTGTCTGCCATCCTTGAGCCCGTCAAAACTATTCTACTGGCTCCAATTTTCGGCAAGCCGCTGCGAGCTCTGCCTTTCCCTATGCAGATTGGCCACATTGACGCCATTACCTACTGCCTGGGTCTCGGCAACGGCTTCCTGCCCTTCAACGACGAGCTCACTCGTTTGATTCTGGAAGCTCTGGCATTGGTTGACGCCGAGGACGAGTCTCTAACTGCTGCTCACCGAGTATTCGAACAGCGAACAGCCGAGCAACTCGTGCAACTCCGAATCGTCTGTATCAAGTTGCTGTCCGCTGCACTCGCCCAGACCGAGTACACGGCGATCCAGGCACCTCCCACTCGGTCCAAGATCATTGCCGTATTCTTCAAGACGCTCTATTCGCGATCCGACGCCGTTATCGAAGCTGCCCACCAGGGTCTGCGGTCTGTTCTCTCCAACAAGAACAAGTTGCCCAAAGACCTGCTTCAGAATGGACTCAAGCCTATTCTCATGTCGCTGTCGGACCACAAGCGACTGTCCGTGGCCGGCCTTCAGGGCCTCGCCAAGCTGCTAGAGCTCCTGACGTCTTATTTCAAGGTTGAGATTGGCCGCAAGCTGCTGGACCACCTGAGAGCTTGTGCTGAACCTCAGACTCTCCACCAACTGGCTACTCATAACCTGTCTCTCCAGCAGAACGTACAGATCATCGTGGCCATTTTGAACGTGTTCCACCTGTTGCCGTCTACCGCACACACATTCATGAACGATATTGTCAATATGATTGTATATCTGGAGAGAAATCTGCGTCGTCAGCAGAAGAGTCCCTTCAGGGTGCCCGTCGGCAAGTTCTTCAACTGCTACCCCGAGCAGACGTTTGACTACTTTGCTCCAAAGCTGCAGGACCGAACACTTGGTCGGTTGTTTTCTTCGATTTTGACCGAGGACGTTTGTGACGAGCTCAGAGGCGTGGTCATCACCCGTATGGACGAACTGGTGGCCAAGATTGGCGAGTTGCAAGGTGGACAGAGAGCAGTTGCCATCTGTAACCTGGTTGAGGTGGTGGCTTCTGTGAACGCCAAGCCAGCCAAGCCCAAGGTGGTGAAGGAGGAGAAGAAGGAGGAGGGAGAGGCCGACGGTGAGACAAAGGCAGTGACCAAGACAGAGGATTCCACGGCTGAAATCAAGCCTGTCATGACCCCCCAGCTCCTCTCCAAGCTCGTGGGCCACGTGAAGGACCTGCCTGCTCTGGTATCCAAAACCCTACCCACAGACCCCATCCACATTCAGACGGAGCAGACCATCGAGACGCTGCAGAACATTGCGGTCGCGTTTCTGAAGTCGCGTGATCCGTCCACCTCATCCATCGACATGGTGTTCGGCCTCATCAAGGTATTCACGTCCAACAAAGAGCTCAAAATCTCGTGGTCGTTTCAGCAGTACATTTTCAACTCGCTGGTGTGTTCCACGGACGTGCTGATGCGGCGCAAGTATCTGACCAAGGCGGTGGAGCTGTGCAGCACCTCCAGACACCTCAATATTGCCGGACGAATCTTTGTGTTCAACAAGCTTGTCAATCCGATCCTAATTGTCGAGCAAAAACGCAACAAGTCGCTCGCTCTTCTATTGGACAAGATTTCGCAGAACAACAAGGCCGGCAACTGGCTGGATTTGGTGCACACCAAGATCTGGCGTCCCTCGCAACTTGATGCTACCGACGACAAGTCTGCGTCTATTGACCAGCTTCGGTTCGAGCTGTTGCACTTGTCTGCCCTGCTCATCAACTACGCTCCTCAGTTGGTGGCTGAGGGCCGAAAGGACATGATCAAGTTTGGCTGGAACTTTATCAAGCTCGACGACATTGTGTCCAAACAAGCAGCGTACGTGGTCATCTCGTACTTCATTGCCGCCTACGAGACGCTGCCCAAGATTGTGATTCAGATCTACGTGGCGCTTCTGAAGACGTCGCAGAACGAGGCTCGTCAGCTGGTGAAACAAGCGCTCGATTTGCTGGCCCCCGTGCTCCCAGACAGAATCCCATCTCCTACATGGGCCAAGTGGCCTCGACGGGTGCTGTCTGAGTACGGACACAACATCATGCAGGTGATTGGCGTCTACCAGTTTGTGGTGCGGTACCCGGACCTCTTCTACGAGTACTCTGTTTACTTTGTCCCTAACATCATTGCCACAATGCCCAAGCTGTCGTTCTCGCCTGGTTCGCCCTCAGAGAACCAGAATCTCGCTGCCGATTTGGCAGGTCTCTTGTTGAAGTGGGAGGAGAGAGCCAAGAGAGAGTACAAGTTGTACGAGAATGGTGAGTGGCCTATCAAGGAGGAGAAGGAGGTAAAGAAGGAGGGTGAAGTGAAGGAGGAAAAGAAGGAGGGTGAGCCTGAGGTGGCAGAGGAGGAACCCCCCAAGCCTCCTCCAGAGAGTGTTCTCTCTTCTGCTCAGCTCGAGTCCGTCGTCACATACCTCATTCGGTACATCTGCATGTACCCCCAGAAGGTGGTGGACTCACCTCTGGCCAGCCGCATCCTGGACATTCTCAAGAAGCTTTTGGAGATTAACGTGCAATCCCGTGACTGTGTCAAGCTCACCTTCTTTGATCGGTCGCTTGTCCAGAATGATCTCAACTCGCCCAACACTCTGTGTCTTTGTTTGAACGCTCTGGAAGTTGTCAAGGCCACTATTGCCACCAAGAGCGACCAGTGGATCCTTGAGAACCTGCCTCATCTTGAGCGGCTGCTCGAGAAATGCATCAAGAGCAACAACTCTGACATCCAGGAGGTGCTGCAGGGTGCGCTCTCAATTATCCTCAAGGCTATCAAGAACACCGGTGGCAACACTGGCGGGTCTGTGGCTGTTCCTGGTGCCACAGATGCCGCCGCTGCTCCCGAGGCAGACTCTTCCATCCCCACCATCATCACACTCATCAACAACACGATCCTGGAGAACCTTGGCAGCCCCAACTCGATTTCTGCGGGCACCACGCTCTGCTGGACGCTGTTCCAGGTCGATCCCACCATGGTCGATTTTGTTCTTGCGCCCATGATGAAGGCCTTTGGCAAGCTGTGCAAGGACCATATCACCCAGAGCGGGGATGGCGACGGAGAGGCTTCTCTTCCCGAGTTGGAGCGATCCATGACCACCAAACTGCTGGTAAAGATCCTGGACTTGACATCGACACGTGTCTCGTATCTCGGAGACCAGCGTCGAGTCTTTCTGTCTCTCTTTGCACAGCTCATTGAACGGTCACCTGATCCGGAGCTGTGCAAAAAGATGATCTCCATCACTCGGGGATGGATTTTCTCCAAGACGGAGTTGTTCCCATCCATGAAGGAGAAGGCTGCCATTCTTGGCAAGATGATCATATTTGAGAACAGAGGAGACGCCACGCTCAAGAAGCTGCTCTATCAGGTCATCATTGACATCTACACCGACCCCCAGCTGGCCAAGTCGGAGCTCTCTATTCGCATGGAGACGCCATTTTTGGTCGGCACCCGAAGTGAAGACTGTGAGATCCGAAGCAAGCTCATGAGCATTCTCAATGAGTCACTACCTGAGAACTCCGTCAAGCGTCTGTTCTACATTGTCGGCCACCAAAACTGGGAGGCTCTTGGCGACTACCAGTGGATCCACCAGGGTCTGCAGCTCATTTACAACACCATTGAGGGCAAGTTGGAGCTGCAGCCGGGTAACTATCTTGTTTCTGGTATGGACGGTGTTGGCGAGGGTCTCGGAGGGTTGGATGTTGAGGTTCCAGACGATCTGCCCACCTCTCCAGAGCTGAAACCCCTGTTACAGAAGCATGGCGCTTTTCTCAAGGGCATTCGAGATGCTCCAGTGTCTTCTCTTCTCAACCCCCTTGTGGACATCCAGTACTGTTCTCCCGAGACCGTGAACGAGATGTGGGCGCTGTTGTTCCCCGTTCTTTACGGCCAGGTCCCCCGGAAGGACAAGACGGACTTCAGCAAGGCTCTGGTGACTCTCTTATCCAAGGAGTACCACAACCGGCAAGCCGAAGCCCGTCCGAATGTCATTCAGGCCTTCCTGAAGGCGTTTGAGAAGTGCCAGGGCCTGCTTATGCCGCCCCATCTTCTCAAATATCTCGGCAAATCGTTTGACGGCTGGTTCGAGGCTGTAAAGTGCCTGGAAGATGGCTCCACAGCCGCCATCCCCTCCAACTCGCAGGTTGATAGCGCCAAAATTGAGGAGGCTAATCTTGACGCGCTGGCCGAGCTTTATGCGGGTATCCAGGAGGACGATACCTTCTATGGCCTATGGAGACGTCGGGCGCGGTACACAGAAACTAACTCTGCCATTTCCTACGAGCAGTGTGGTATGTGGAGTCGGGCTCTTCAGCTGTATGAAGCTGCTCAGATCAAGGCGCGGTCTGGAGCCCTTCCCTACGGCGAGTCCGAGTACTCTCTCTGGGAAGACCACTGGATTCTATGTGCCCAGAAGTTGCAGCAGTGGGATATTCTCACTGAGCTGGCCAAGCATGAGGGTTTCACCGATCTGCTGCTTGAATGCGGCTGGCGAGTGGCTGACTGGAATGCCGATAAGGAGCCGCTTGAGCAGTCAATCAGAACTGTCATGGACGTGCCTACACCCCGACGACAGATTTTTGAGACGTTCCTGTGTCTGCAGAGTTACGCCCAGAAGGGTGAGACGTTGCAGACGCTGTCCAAATACTGTGACGAGGGCATTCAGCTGGTGCTCCAAAACTGGGCTGCTCTGCCAACTCCCATCACGGGAGCCCACCTCCCGTTGCTGCACACCTTCCAGCAGTACGTGGAGTTCATGGAGGCGTCGCAGGTGTACACTTCCCTGGCCTCTACCACGGCTCAGAACCTGGATGCCAAGTCTCAGGAGCTCAAGGGTGTGCTTCAGGCCTGGAGAGAGCGTCTTCCCAACGTATGGGACGATATCAACATCTGGGGTGATCTTGTGACCTGGCGTCAGCACGCGTTTGGCGTCATTAACCGGGTGTATCTTGGATTGGTCCCTCAAGGCCAACAGGGCCAACAGGGCCAGCAGGGAGCTGGAGCTTCTACTTCCTCATTTGCCTACCGGGGCTACCACGAGATCGCCTGGATCATCAACCGGTTTGCCCACGTGGCTCGTGTGCACAACATGCCCGATGTGTGTATCAACCAGTTGAGCAAGATTTACACGCTGCCCAACATTGAGATTCAGGAGGCGTTCCTCAAGCTGCGGGAGCAGGCCAAGTGTCACTACCAGAACCAGGCCGAGTTGAACACCGGTCTGGATGTCATCTCCAACACCAACCTGGCGTACTTTGTGGCCCAACAAAAGGCGGAATTCTTCACGCTCAAGGGTATGTTCTTGGCCAAGCTAAATGTCCAGGACGACGCAAACCAGGCTTTCGCCACCGCTGTCCAAATTGACCTCTATCTCCCCAAGGCCTGGGCCGAGTGGGGCTATTTTAACGACAAGCGGTTCAAGGAGAACCCCAAGGATATCATTTACGCCAACAACGCCATTTCGTGCTACCTGCAGGCTGCGGGACTGTACAAGAACGGCAAGGCTCGAAAGCTGCTGGGCCGAATTCTCTGGCTCATTTCGCTGGACAACCAGCAGGGCAATCTGGCACAGGCGTTCCAAAACTACCGTGGCGACGTGCCGGTGTGGTACTGGATCGTCTTTATTCCGCAGCTCCTCACCTCTCTGGCACACAGAGAGGCTCGAATGGCGTCTGCGATTTTGATCAAGATTGCAAAGACGTACCCCCAGGCGTTGCATTTCCACCTCCGAACCACCAAGGAGGACTATTCTGTGCTCCAGCGACAAGCCATGGCTGCCAGGGCTTCAGGAGGTACTCCTGGAGCCGCTGGTGCTGGCGGCACCCCCGGAGCTTCTGGAGCTGGTGCTGGCGGCACCCCTGCCGCTGGAACACCTCCTGGCGGCTCTCCTGCCGGTTCCGCACCGTGGGAGTATGTGGACGAGATCATGGGTATCCTTAAAACCGCTTATCCCCTCTTGGCACTCTCTCTCGAGACCCTGGTCGACCAAATCTACCAGCGTTTCAAGTGCCAGGTGGACGAGGACGCGTACCGACTCATCATGGCGCTGCTCAACGATGGCGTGCAGTACATGGGCCGATTGCCTTACCCTAAGGAGGATGCCAAGCTTCCTGCCACGACCGAGGCCAACATCACGCGGTTCGCCGAGTCGGTGTTGCCCAAGCACATCAAGTCCGCGTTTGAGGCCGAGTTTGTGACCGACAAGCCCAATCTCGAGACGTACGTGACGCGGCTGCGAAAGTGGCGTGACCGGTTTGAGGAGAAGCTGGACTCTCGAAACAGCTCGATTCACCTGGAAGCGCTGTCTCCCCATCTCTCCGAGTTCCACTACCAGAAGTTTGAGGACATTGAGGTGCCTGGACAGTACCTACAGCTTAAGGACTCCAACATGCACTTTGTCAAGATTGACCGGTTCATGCCCACGGTGTCAATTGTGCGGGGCCATGGAATCTGCTACAAGCGGCTTACCATCCGTGGCCACGATGGCTCCATGCACCCCTTTGCCGTACAGTATCCCTCAGCGCGGCATTGTCGACGGGAGGAGCGGGTGATGCAGTTGTTCCGTATCTTGAACGACGCCCTCTCGCGCAACAGAGAGACCCGCAAGCGGTACCTGCAGTTCACACTACCCCTGTGTGTGCCTTTGTCCCCTCACATTCGTCTGGTGCAGGACGACTCGCGCTACGTGTCCATGCAGGCCATCTACGAGGACTTTTGTCACCGCAAGAACGTGTCAAGGGACGAGCCGTCGATTTTTGCCATGCACCAGCTGCGGGCTGCGTTTGATTCCAAGCTGCCCAAGCCAGACATTTCGTCCATCAAGATGGAGATTCTGAGCTCGATCCAGGAGGAGTTGGTGCCCAAGACGGTCTTCAGCGACTACTTTACGCGTATCTACCCGCAGTTTTCGGACTTTTGGCTCTTCCGAAAACAGTTTTCGTATTCGTATGCTGGTGTCACCTTCCTGATCTTCATGATGAGTATCAACAACCGGTACGCCAACAAGATTCTCATCAACACGGGCAGTGGCAACGTGTGGACCACGGACATTGTGCCGGTTCTGCCGCCGCAAAAGTCCACACCCACGTTCCACAACGGCGAGGCCGTGCCCTTCAGACTGACCCCCAATATCCAGCAGCTCATGGGCCCTACAAACATGGAAGGTCTGTTTTCGTTTGCCATCATGTTAATTGCGCGGGCCGTGACTGAGCCTGAGTTCTCGCTTGACCAGTACATGTCGCTGTTTGTCAGAGACGAAATGATCTCCTGGTACACTCAGCAGCACCGACCGTCGGTGCAGGACCAGCAACTTCGGGAAATTGTAAAGGTCAATGTCGATGGTATTGTCAAGCGGGCTTCTTCTCTGGCTCAGGTGGGTCAGGGCAACGTGCCTGCCAACCAGACTGTCATTGATCTGATTTCTCAGGCTGTCAACCCAAGATACCTGGCCTTGACCGATAACCTCTGGCAGGCCTATCTTTAAGAGGAGGAGTGAAGAGGGAGGGTTAGGGAAGGATTTGTGTGGTGTGACAAGAAGGATTTGTGTTATTGTATTATTGAATATTATGATCATTGTGTTACAGGGTGTAGTGTAGATAGGAAATGGAGTCCTTCCTGAGAATACTGCCGAGTACCCAGCTCGAGGATATGAGCCCAGGTCATAGCACCTAGCACCCGAGGGGTTCGACTTTGAACCTATTCGCGACGCGACCAAGCTTCCAAAGCGTGCTCTGCGCGCCTCTCATAAGAGAAGCACATGAAGACCTTCAACTCGCATTCTTACGTCAACATTTGCCGCAACTACGGCATCTCCTTCATCTACAGCGGGCTGCCAACCAGACCATTACACCTGCTGCCCCTCGCTATCTCGGTTTTTACGTCATCACGAAGATCAACGGACCCGGGACGTTATCTACTGCACCCACTTATGACCTACAACCAATGCATGGAGTGCTTTGTGGATGTGGCCAAAGTGCCCTTCAAACGTGTTCGGAAAATCCACCCCTACCTGCTTACTAGGAGTCCCTCAACAGCCCAGCGTTTTTGATTGAAATGGCGCAGCTTATCCTGTTGTAGTATGCGCTGGATAATATCCAATGAATATCTGAATATTGTATATAATGTCTTCAGGAGGTTGCTACTTAAGGAGCTTCGGTCAAGTACAGTTGGAGATTTGTTGAAGATTTGTTGACGATTTATTGAAGAAAAAGTCACCTGGAGGTTCAAATTCAATGTTCCGGACAAGGTGGGAGAAATTTCAGCACAAAAAGTTGTAGAGAATGGAATTATTAGTAGGGTTATATATTAATAATTCTGCATTGTAATAGAATATTTTGCGATATTGCGGTTTTTGTATCTTGAAGACGCTCCAATTTACTTAGACTTTACTTAGATCCAATTCACTCCCTTGACCCCAATCCAATCACTACTTGTACTGGAGAAGTACGCGGGAAAAAGACCCAGATCGAACTGAAAAACTTGGGCCATTGGCAAAAGAGTGGTGAAATGAACTCTTCATGGTCTATTGCCGACTCTGGCTCCTTATCTCTCCTACGCCACGTCCTCTGGTGTTTTCGGCAGTAGAGGCTCTAATACATTGTGTGATATGACGGGTAAAACCTGCGGCAATTGTGCTTAAAACTGTATCACAAATACTTTATGACTGTGGTAATGTCATTATGGAGTTTACTTTACCACATTGTCAGTATTCATGCTCCTAAAGGCAGTATTCTACTGATGGTAGATACATGTAAAAGTCCAACTATATGCTTATAGCTCAAGTAGAGGGTCAAGTAAAGTTTCGCGTAAAAACCTTATCCTCCTCGAGGGGTGATTGCTGCCAAAAATGTGCAGATCTTGTCTGACGTTTCACGAACCCCAAAAACAATACATACAGATGAGAAGAAAAAAGAGAAGGTCCCACCGAGATTCGAACTCGGGACCTTAAGATTTGCAATCTCACGCGCTACCGCTGTGCCATAGGACCGTTCTTGAAAAGGGTCATCAACAAGCCACGAGGATGTGAGGAATGCAAAAATTCGCACGCCATTTTTGAGTCCCACAGACGTGTCAGAGAAGGGATATTAGCGACTGGTAATTTATTGTTGCTAAGAGATTACCATCCTCTTTAAATTGGACCGAAAAACACGCGTTAACGGTACTTTATGGGGCTGTGAAATTTGCGAGTTGAAGATCAAGGTTCGGTTGATCTAGGGAGAAGAGGGGCGCATAGAAGTTGATAGGAGGGTGGTGATTGGGGACTAGGTGATCGAGGCTTTTTCAAGATGTCAATTGGGCGATTCTATGTTGAAGTCATTAGGATTTGAGACGATTCTGCTGCTTTCCATGGTTCTGAAGGTATCTTGGGGTGAGTGTCAATGTATGCACGAGGTATTGAGGAGGGAGAAAAGAACCACAAGTGGAAAATGGCGGTTGACTCGTGGAGAATTGCGGTTGACTATTGAATGGGTACTTGGATGACACTTTCAATTCGCTTGTCCAAAGGCAACTATGAACCTCACCACCTACACTTCTTGTCCTTCTTGTAGGTCTCTTGATCTTCTCCTGACTGTGGCAAAAGACAAGGATTTTGATTCCTAAAAGAGAAACCACTGCTACACACTCTAACAATGCCCGGTACGTTTCTGAGAAGCAAAAAAAAGCCTTATGTTTTGGAATATCCAAAAAAGAGAGGTCCCACCGAGATTCGAACTCGGGACCTTAAGATTTGCAATCTCACGCGCTACCGCTGTGCCATAGGACCTGATTTTTTATTAAAAAAACCACCCGTTCAATATATTTGTGGGTTTGAGAAACTGTTCCAGCGAAAATTGCGCTTTTGACGCTCATGGGAGTCGCTGGCATATCTACGTAATGTTCAATTTGAGAGATTACTACCAAAAAAAGAATTGAGGTTGTTTCTATGGTGTTCACGACCTGTCGGAGGAGTTTTCACGGTGACGAAATGATAGACAGAGGTGGTAGTGATGAGAGTGAATTGGCGGAGAAAAACAAGAAGATTTAATGACTGCTATCGGTATATGAATGGGCTCTTACTGATGGATATGTCGATGAGGTTGCAGTTGGACTGAAGATTGTTACATTAACTATCAGATAACTAAATGTGGGTTGTTATTCTAACTGTTAGCTAAGTAGATTTTTTGCTGTTAGTTAGACAAATGTGTAACTTCACTAAAATCTAACTAAAGTCCAAACATACCGCGAAAAAATGTCGTCTCAAAAACCTCACTGTCTTCACGAAAAGTGTTCAAAATGGTCATCTAAGAGTATTAATAACACCCCACATCTCCGAATAATTACCCGACACCTCAAAAATAGACCTTTTCCTACTATTTTCACCTCTATCTACTTTTTAGCAATCAGGTTGAAGGCACGACTTCAGATGCCTGTGACCCGATGATCGTTGAAGATGCTGTTGATGAAATTCCGTCCAGGCGAGTAATCAGCCCTTTATGACTTGCCACAGATCCCAGCTGACAATCTCTGGGGCTCCACCTGTGACCTATATAGATCTGTTGAGGTGCTGTAACGGTGTACTAGCTAGGCGTCCCTCAAGTGGCGCGTTTGCCGACAGACGGTGTTCAAAAGTCGACCAAAAACAGATATTTTTCAACTCCGAACACGCTCCATTAGTCATACAAACATTCTCAATCTTCAACAACAAAAATCAGCTCTCCACGTGACCGCAATGGCATGCTATTCACGAATCTCCTCCCCCGCTCCCCAAACTTTAGTCTGCATAATCGAACCCAGATATTGGAAAAAAAAAAGGGAGTGCCGTTCTCAGGCTTTGCCACACCACACACCAGAACAGCATGACCCGAAGAAAAGGAGGGTCGATGAGCGGCGCGGGGTCGACACGTGACCATGCACGTGACGAGCCCTCCCTGGAGGCGCGGCCACGTGTGTCGGACGACGATGAGCTAGTGATCAATTCAGAGGAGGGAGAGCTGGAAGAGGAGGTGGGAGAGGAGGAAGAGGAGGAAGAGACCGAGATGGAGGTGCCACACGACTCCAAACCGCCACCAACTCGGCAACAGCGGACTACAAACGGCACAGGACCCAAAATGCAAGGGTATGCGGAATCATATCCACAGAGAATGCATTTCGAATTCGAACAACCCTACAGCGACAGTGCCGACGAAGATGAGGTATGGCAAAAGATGGACAGCTCTTTGCCTTCACAGCTCGCCAAGTACCGGGGCATTGTTGCGGCGTACCTGGAAAACAGTCGTGTTTATGACGTGTCTGTCCATGGAGCGTTACAACGGATTATGGACATTACAGGGTACAATTTCGACGAGGAGGAAAAAGAGGACTTGATTCTGTTGATCAGAGGCATGTTTGTGGTGCATTTCAGCAAGATTGACAAGGCCGGAATGGACCCCGATAAACACGTGGGCGATCCCCAAGTCTTGTGGTACTCCTCTGGGTTGAAGGAGAGAGACAAAATGAGGGTCAGGTTGAAGGAACTGAGACGGCTGCGACTGGAAAACGAAGACAAGAAGAGGGCGAAGAAAGACAAGAAGAACAAGAAAAGAGGGAGGGAGGACAAGAATATGAAGCCGACCAGGACCATCAGAGACGAGACTGCCGACAGTCAAAGACCTCTTAAGTACGCCGATAATCTTATCAACGGTTATACAGACTCGTTTGAGGGCGTGGAATTCTATTATCCCGCTGCGGATGATCTGAGCGACTCGGAAATACTCGAAACCTCTCCCGTTCCGGACCCAGGCGCCATGTTGACCGAAGAAATGAACATTGTCGAAATGATCAGAGACACGTACAAGGTGTCTGTGGCGGAGTTGCGGCATGTTATGGGCTCTGAAGGCGATCTCAAGCACGTTTTCCAGGGGTGGATCGCAGCTGCACGCGCCAAATGGGCTTCTCTTGACCTCACCGTCGATCTAGTCAAAGATCAGGATGCAAACTTGCGTTTAGACCCTGAGCGAATCAACAACGACGAGACGCTAGGTCAATTGAAATCAAAACACAAGAGCATCACCAACGAAAGGCAGTACATTCTAGACCGCGTGCTGTTTTCGATTCCTACGCCTGACCGCACCGCATCGCTCCTACGGTTTGAGAGAGACTGGGGCATCGCAAAGGCATCCACGCACAACTACATGCTTTCCAGCAGAACGTGGTGGGGCCGGCCGCGTGATATCAAGCCTATCCCTGTCTATCTAGTGGACGAATATCTGGATGATGCGCCAGATGTAGATCCTTACTTAGACGAAATGTTTGATGCGGATGGAGACCAGGATTTTGATGTGGATCCCAAGGACTCCGATCCGTTTGAGACCCGGCTTTACGGGCTTAGTAAGCCATTGCAGGAGCTCCTGGGCCACAGTCTTCTGCGGCACAGAGACGTGATTTTCGACATTTTCAGGCACGTGCGCCGTATGACGAAGCCAAGCAACCAAGTCAAATATTTTATGGGCGATTCATTTCAAATCTTCAGCGATCGATTGCAGAGGGTCTTTTTCCGCAAGAAGCGGTTTGAATACATCACGTGGAAGAAGGCGTCAGCCTTTCTGTTTAAGCATCATTACACCATCCCTTCGGGTCTTCCTATTCGACCTGTGGATCCATTGTTTTATGCGGAGAACGCCCATCGCAATTACGCTGAGCTCACTCCGTACAACGAGCTGCACAAGGTGATGACGTTCAATGCTGTGGCTTCTACTGGTGAGGTGTGGAGACGGCACGCCCACCCGTTGTATGGATTCAGAGACTCTAGAGAGTGGGAGCACGGGTTCAGAAAGTGGGCTGGAGCTGAACTGCAAGCTGAACATGGAAGCAATAAAAGTGTTGACGACCAGCGGAGGGCGATTTTCAAGCAGCACTTCGACACCTTGATGCATCTGGAACGACAAGGACAGGTTCCCGAGTGGTGGTGTGAGGATGAGTCCGAGATGAGGGATCTTCCTGTGCTAAGGAATAGGCCGTTGGTTCAGCTGCGAGCGGACAAGGAGTCCGAATATGGCACGAGAGTAGACCGTATGAGGAGTATCTACCAGCCTACTTGGTATGGAGAATGGAGACGCCCCTGGCAGAGAAACCTCGGATACACTCCTCCCGAGATGAGGGCTGAATTGGCAGTTTTGCAGGACATTGCAGAAGAGCAGCAGGAGGAGCCTGTAGATACACAGGACGGATGGCTTCGGCTGAGAGAGTCATATTGGCTGGAGTCCGATTTCTTGCCTCCTATGTTCAACAAGCCGTTCAAGGCCAATCGTTCCTGGCATTGTCTGGCCCCTGGTCCCTACAATCTGGACCCTCCTGCCCGAAAACGCCCCAGTGATATCAACGGTCTGCATCCATGGGACCAGACTCTTTTTGGAACGACTATTGCCAATGAGTTTGATGGAGGTATGGAGCAGCCTCGGAAACGGCGCCGATACAGAAGAGCTCTGTGGTGGCATCCGGACCGCCGCCGGGAGTTGGATAACTACCATTTCGAGAATCTGTACGGCTCCGAAAAGTGGGCCAGTGACACTCTCAAGGTGCAAGACCATAAGCAGGTGTACCTCTGTGATTCTGAAGACGAGGAGGACTGGCTCGAAGAGACGTACGCCCCTTTGATTGAGGAGCTCAATGGTAGATCGAGAAATAAGACTACGTTTGACGAGAGGCCGGCCCAGGAGACCCCCGAGCCGGTCGTTGAGGAGGTTGAGTCTGACGACGGGCCAAAGAAGGAAGGACAGGACCAGGATGGAGATATTGAGATGGGATATGATTTTGGACCAACCATAGAGGAGGTGGAGTAGAAAAGGGCGAAGGTCCAGTTTGCTTCTACCAAGTTCACCGTTCCGGTAATAAATTGCATTGTATTTATCTGAAGGCATTTTAGTGCGTAGATCATAATAGATGCGAACTACTGGTGTTCTGCTGGGTGGCTTTTTTTTTTTTTTTTTTTTTTTTTTTTTTGTTGGCAGATGTCAACTAAACCTAAGTAATAGTGACCAATGGCGGAGTCAGGAAAGTCTCCCAGAAGAGAGAAATAATGGAGGTTCTTTTCTCCTTAATAAAGATGTCGTCCATCACGCAAGTACTAGTTTTATTTCTATCCCTGTGGTATCTTTCAGAGTGCCGATGTTTTATCTCCGCCGACTTTTTATTCAAGTAATTGTCAACTAATGGATTGGCCGGAACAGAAGAAAACATGAAACTCTGAAATAGACCGAAAACTTCTCAAAAATGTAGCAGTTAGTGGTTTCTACTCCTCCGTAACAGATTCCTCGAGACTTACGCCCGTAAAACTCCCTACAGCACATTATACGACGACTGGAGTCCCCGTGTGTAGAGCGAACGTACTGTATAGTCATCACAATCACGTTAGCGACGACTCCAGACCCATAATGAACTGGAGACGGTATCCCATGACCTCGTGGGTATCTTTAGACCAAATTTGCTCGCTACTTTGGTCGAAATTGCTCGCTACTTTGGCCGAACTTGCTCGTAATGTTGGCCGAAATGTGCTCAACATTTCGATACATTATGCTGATACATTGACCTAACAAAATCTAAGTAAAATTAGGCGCATGAAGATCCCTGAAACCCATACAACCACCGATTTTGTTAGTCAAATATGGGATATTATTGGCTAAATGTCAATATCAGCCCAGGAGCTACAGAAAGCTACTTCCCACACTCTTTCAGCATCTCTGGAAGGTCGAATTGGCAGCCCCAGTGGGATTTTTCACCCAAGTAATTGTCAACTAAATAACCTTGGGATAAAGACAGAACGAAATGGGCCTGGAAACGTCGTAAAAGCACACCTCAACAAGCCCATTGGCACATTATTCACCCATTAACATTCAACCCATCCCTCCGATGACTAACACCCGCGCTCTTACCCTACATTTTTCCCGCTAGATCCCCTCCGACATGCTGCTTCAGGTCATTTGTCTCAGTTCCTGAAATTTCTTCTTCTGATCTGCACAGCAGAAGATACCTGGTTGGAGTCGCGCGAGCTGTAGCAGTGAATGAGCAGACACGCGGGGGTTGTAGGGGGGTTCACGTGACTTGAATAAGCCGAGAATAAAAAAATCCAGTTTGACACGTGACTCCATTCCCTGGCACGTGACATCCACCCCCTTCCCGCTCCGGAGAATGAGACCCACAGCCAATCATGAAACTCCCAATTGTTTCCATCTCCGGGGTAATTAGGTTTCCAGAGCGGGGGGGTTAGGGAGTGTTGAATTTGGCAATGGGAACGCAAATGGGGGGATATTATTACATAATCGTAATCAGAAAGTTGTATTACGTAATTTTCCCTCTTCAAACAGAATCTTTGTCATACAAACTAGTACTTTTTTCCGCGTTTTTGGCCGTTTTCGCACGCTGCACATATAAAGTTCGATAAGTGGGAGAAAAAGGCTTATTTTTTTAGGTGGTGAAAAATGCAAGGCCTGGTGGAGCCGACTTCAACAGGACTACTCGACCTGACTTGACCTGACACGACCGAACGCTGTGTATACCGCCATGATCCGCCGAATTAATACGCTCGCGTCGTCTGCCAAAACGCCGGATCCCGCCGTCATTCTCAAGTCGATAGACCGGGTGCAGAATGGAGCCAACAACGGAGAACGCATGGACCACAATCAACAACAAAAGACACTGAACCGGACCCACAAAGGACAGCAAAGACAGACTACCGGAGGTCAGAAACTCAAGGGCGCTCCGAAATCTAAGACGCCCTACAAACGCTCATCCAACAACCGGTTCCGGCTGTTTCTGCAGCCGTTCGAGGTGTCGGCGCTGCTCAGGAACCGGGGCGAGGTGATCCAGCAGCTGAGATCGCAGCACAATCTATACGCTCTCAATCTGTCTCCGTTTGTCAATGCCTCGTCGTCGAGATCGGTGCGAATCAAGTGCGACAGCGAGGAGAATCTCGACAAAACCACGAACGAGCAGGTGGCTCGAGACGCCGAAAAGCTGTCTCAGGCTATCACAGACATGTATCGAGAGATTATCACTCGCCGGCCTCAGCGGGACGCCGACGGACTATCGCTCAAGCCAGGATCGGGCCAGTTGCGGTTCTCGGTCACCAACAGTGTGGCAGCAAAGTTTGACCATCTGTGCAACGCCATGTATGGAGGCAGACCGTCGACTAGCAACTCCATCAGTGTGAACAAGCAGTTGATTCCCGACTCCCGTGACCAACTGCTCATTGTCAACGTCAAGAAGATTGCTGATCTCGACGAGGTGGCCCGCTTTGTGCATGAGCTGGTGATGCAGGAGCACCAGACTCCGTTCAAGAAGAGCTCTGATCTCCCCCGAGCCCACATTCTGCCCAGAACAGACATCAACTATCACTCGCATACCAAGTTGGCGCAGCGTGGCCAGTTTGCGAAAATCAGGCTCATTATCCCAGACCATATGGTGGGCACCGTGATTGGACGAGGAGGAGCAAACATCAAGCAGCTGCGGGAGAACTCGGGAGCTTTCATTTCGCTCAAGAGCGATCACGACAAGAAGTCCGTGGTTCAGATTGTCGCCCAGGACCAAGCCAATGTCACCCAGGCCATTGTTGAGCTCAAGCAGCTGCTGGAACAGGAGTGGTACTCGGACAAGAGTCTGGAGGAGATTGAGAAGATTTTCCTCAGAGCAGGCTACAATGTTTAAACAGGGTATGATAGTTGGCAGGAGTGACTGAGCGTCGTGGCGCCATACAAGTACCTCTGCGACGGTCTTGGGTGCTGATGGTCTGAGGCAGCTCAAGAAGACAGAAAAGGAAGACAGCAAGTCAGAAAAAGGATACGGGATGCGAAACGAGTGGTCAGAGCCACGCTAGCGTTCCCGTGGACAGTAATTTACGTGTTTATATAGTATAAATGGGGTTATAGATGTGTTTGTAGTGTAGTGAGGTGGTCGTTGGGGTATTGAGGCGTACTCAATTGACCACTTGAGACCATGTGAAGTGATTTTTCAAGTAATTCACATACTGTACTTGTACCGTATCAAGAGCACACCAGGGAGAAGTTTGAGGACGGAATAAAGGACAAGATTGCCAATGCTTGCTCAGAGATGTGGGAGTCTTCTACCTTGTCAAGTGCGACAGAAACGGCCCCGACTGGCTCAGTGTATGTCTGCAGTTTTACAACGACAACGAAAGACACTGATATATCAATCCGGAGTACTGGTGTCGAGGAGGAAACTAACGGGTGCTGCCAGTTTCGCCATTGACCGCACCGACTCAGCTCACCGACCAGATGGGGAACGGCCCACTTTCTCACCAAACAGACCTTGGTTCTCGCATCAGGGAACCGCAGGCTCGGATTTCAAGGCGCAGAGTGAAGATGAGAGACTATGGAAGTCCACAAAACAGTTTTGCAGGGAGTATAGCGTCTCTTTCGTGCAATGATGTGTAAAAGCAGGAAGACGAACCTCAGCATCGGGCCCAGTTGTCCATGCCCAAGCACACTTGATGTGCTGATGAGCTATCTGTACGGGAAGAGATCTGTACGGGGGAGAGCTGCGAATGGAGTTTCACCGAGCCGCCAATCTCTTTCTCAATACGTGAATGTACCATCTGTCCGAGCTGCTGCAGTTGACCGAAACCAAGGTCAACTGTGAACCCATGGACTCTCAGCTAGCGCTGTGTGTGTGTGTGTGGCAGAAGAGTTCCAGGGAACAGGAAGAACAAATCCGAGACCACGCTTCTGTGAAAATCCAGCAGCTTATGCCAGCGGTGGAGTCCTCAACCCGAGATATGGCATCTGAGAAGGATGAACTGGTCACGTTGTTTTCAGAGTCTCGGTCGCCATGGCTGATAAGATGAGGGGGAGGGGGGCTGAGTAGGGGATTAGAAATGTATACCTTTACTCACGGAGAGTTCACTGAGTCTTCAGACAGGAGTTGTCGGAAGTAGACCCGGCGTGACGAGTCTTCTGCGGCTTAGGATGGAGCCTTGCAGCTTTCCAGTACAGTACGTGAATAACTGTTGCATTGGATGTTCTTGTGTCCGAAACAAACGCCGCAGTTGTTTTTGTCTGTATTTTCTCTTTTATCAACAACATTCTCTGTTTTGTCGGTATTTTTCTGTTGTCAGTATATATATCTCTATTTTGTCAGTTTTTTTCAATTTTTTTTTTAATTTCTGCATTTTTCGTTTTTCATTTTTCATTTTAATATAATTTTAGTCATGCGTAATCGAGGCTTAACGCGTCAACACCTAAATTGAACGCGACACGAACAAAATTAGTTGGATCAACTGCCACAATCAGAAGATGGCTAGACGCAAATCTACGCGGAAAACGTCGCCCAACAGCCTCAAATCTCTCAGCCTAGGAGGAGATGAAACGCCTGCGACGCGCGAGCAGTTCGACCAGGACATTGAAGGGAATGTGTACGCGCAATGCGAGCTGCAAAATGTCGGCATCTTTTACTTCGTCTTCGGAGACCCCGTCGAAGGGGACCGAGAGGAGCGGTCGGACATCTGGCTGAAGTTCTACAACAACAAAGAAAACGTCGTGCACTCCTCCGCTCACTCGATAATGATGGCGAGTAGAGACTCCACCGACACCTGTTTCGCGATCGACCAGGATACCTTTTTGTTTTCCGGGTTCTTGCTCACGTTGGACAATGCATGGTCTACAGTCGACTTTCGGAAGTTCGACTCCCATATCGAGTCCGGAATGGCGGACTTTCTAACCGGCCAAACCTCCATTCACAAGACAGGTCTCTCTCGAATCAGACAGGATTCCGAGCCAGACTTCACACTGATATGCGAGGACGGGGACAAGATCGAGGTGCACAGGTCTGTCATGGAGGGACTGTGGCCCTTTTTCAAAGGCATGATGGTTTCGAAAAACATGCGGGAGATTGAGCAGAAAAGGAGGGTCAAATTGTCCATGCCTAAGACCACCCTCGAGGCTCTGGTACGATATCTCTACGGCGAAGTGCTCGATCTGACCTTGATGGACGCTGCTAATCTCATTTTATATGCTCAGAGGTACGAGCTTCCTGAACTTGTCCAGTTAGCCACTACATGGTTGAAGCGGGAGCAGGGGCACGTTGATATTGAGCAAGCCATCTATCTATGGAGAAAGAGCCTCGAAGCTGAGAATGACCATGTGAGGGACTTTGCTTCTAAAAAGATTGAGCAGATGATGCCCGAAGTGGAGGATTTCGATGACCAGATCCAGCATTTGAAGAAGAATGAGCTCATTAGTTTGTTTTCAGATGTCTCCGTCGCCATGTCCAGAAAGCGGAGGAAGGTTGAGTAGGGGTATGCGCCATGATACTGTGCTCTACTCGACATACTCCAAAGGAAATTCCGAGAGAAGCTCGATGTGTATCTCTCTGTTCAGATTCCGTATCTCAGCTGAAAGCCCTTCATCCTGGTATCAACTGCGGCGTCTTACTAGCAAAACTTTCTCTGAACTCTTCATAGAGAGTAGCCGTTCTTCTAGGCCTAGAGACGACACATGATAACGTCGATGGTGCTCTTTTGCCAGAAAACTTGGCCAAATCTTCAGAGATCTTCTGTTCAGACTCGACTTCTGTAGCAAGTTGGACGGGGTTTTGGAGACACGATATGCCCACACCAAAAATGATAAGGGGTGATTCAGAATCTGCATACAATCTAGATTCAATTGCTACACGTTTTATTACGCCTTGTCATAGTTCGGTGTGAGCTCTAAGCGGCGTTGTCTGATCGTATTGATGTCCATCTGTCGAGTAAGTTTCAAGTACCTTCCAAGTAAATGTCAAGTAATATCCCAATTGGAAATCTATAGTATCTGTATGGATCCTCGGCGGAGTTTTCTCCTCAAGTAACTTCAACAAAATGGCGAAAGGCGAAAGGGAAGAAAAGGGACATCAAAACACTGGCTGGGGCGTCACTGAGTCAGATTAAAACAGATATGTGAAAATAAACAAGTCTATATTTCCGTCAGCGTACTTCTCCACCAAATTCCACGTCGTTATTGGTCAAATAGCGATGGTCTATCATCACTTACTGTGGTGGTCGAGGAGTCTGAATACGAGACCAAGTTGAACACATGACATCAATATTCCAAGCAATCATAGCGACCAGAGATCAGATCAGGACCCCGAATTTTACTGAATTCCTCCATTGTCTCCAATTTCCCCTGATTTTGAACCTCCACAGCCCCCTACAACTCGTAATCTCTCCCTTCCCCCTCTCCAATTTTACACCCATTTTACACTCGTTTTACACTCATTTTACACTCATTTTACCCATTTTACACCCATTTTACACCCATTTATCACCCATTTTACACCCATTTATCGCCCAACTTTAGTTCAATTGGCAAGTAGATAATGGAACAAACTACATCCACCAACAACGTACCGTGGCTCACAATAACAGTAAAAAGACAAGAAAAGAGTCGTCGTCCACCGCGGTTCACCATCACGTGACCACACCAAACTCACGCTCCTGCTGACTCAGAAATTTGTCCCTACCCTAACCTCTCTATCCAGTTCCATAAGCCTACACGCCAAACGCTGCTGCAATTACCCTAAGCTCCTGTATGTGCATTGTGAGCTAAGACCAAGCCTGCTACTGTTGTCACACTCCACCACCTCGGCACCACTACAACGACAATAACGATGCACAAAGTGACGGTAAGCCCTGAGCTACTCAAGCGCGGACGCAAAAGCGGCGGCCCCAACCCGCTCGGCGACATGGTGTCGATTCGGTACGGGTTCCATCCCGACTCGCTGGATCACAAGAGCAAAATGCAGCTGGAGGAGGACAAGGACAAGGGCAATTGGGTGCTTCGAGGCAGCGGCGGCGGGAACGGCACACACACCTTCTCCGGAGGGGTGGCGCCGGCGTCGGACCTGGAGTGTGTGCTGGTTTGGGACGCCCCCAGCAACTCGTACGTGCTTCATCCATTGGATGCGACTTTGCGGGTGTCACGGGACAAGGCTGCGGGAGCTGGCACTGTGGGGGCGTCACGTGCGACCCGGACGGCCTCTCCAGAGTCCACAGACGGTCTGGGAATCAGTTTACCGGGAGCAGGCAAGATTGTATCTGAGGAGGAGCTGCGCAAGAAGCGGGAAATCGAGGCCAGGGAGGCCAAGGAAGCAGCGGCAGCAAAGGCCCAGGCCGCGGAGGAGGCCGCAGAGGCCGCACGGCTGGAAGCGGAGCTCATGGAGGCAGACATGGGTCTGGAGGAGGTGGAGGACGTGAAGCCGGAGCCGGTCAAAAAGGCCCCGGCCAAAAAGGCCCCGGCCAAGAAGACCGCACCGAAGAAGGCGGCCCCCAAACCGGTGGCCAAGCCTGCTGCAAAACGACCGCCCACCTCGACGCCAACAGCGGCAGCTTCGTCGTCGGAGTCAGACGTGGACGCGGACCTGGACGATTTCGGAGACCTGGCCAACGAGCTGGAGGAGTCGCTGGAGCAGTTTTCCAAGGACGATGACGGAGACGTGATGATGATCGTGGACGACTCGCATGATAACAAGCCCAAACATAGCTGGAACATGCCTGCTGGAGGTGGAGGACCTATGAGTCTACGGGGTTACGCAGGCGGTAGGAGAGAGGAGGAGGAGTTGTCGTCGAGTGAGGAGGAATAAGAGCACCTTACGTGACAGGCGTCTGAGAGACACGTTCCCATCATACCAGCTCTCTGCTACGCACTATATGTTGACTTGACGGTGAGCTGTGGACTTGTGTTCCCAAGCCCTTCAATAATTTAGAAGAGTATTTATTAGTAATATGAATGTCCCCAGGCGAGTGCTCGGGGTTCAGACTTGGTTGGTGAGTGCAAGTTCATGTAAAAACGACGAGTTGCTAAGGGCAAGGATCAGACTGACGGGGTATGTACTGGGATTCAACTTCATCTTGTCCTACAAGATTGGGCAGACGAGTCAGAAGGGCGTAGATGAGCAATATCTCGTAGGGTATAACTATTGTCTATCAAGAGGTATGAATAAATGTCGAATTACTTAGCAGGCGACAGTCAGGCAGGTTCGGCGACTCTTGGGTGTACTCCAGTTCTCCATAGACAGGAATATATATAGGTATAGTAGACATTCCTCTGGGCGATAATGCGGCGCCATTGATGAGGAAGCTGTTAATGTTTGTTTGTCAGTTCTTTCAAGTATCTATATGGAGTAGTTTGGTTCCTGCTCCAATGATGAGACGCCCGGGTGCAATCCGGCTCACTCCAGGTTTCGTCTCAGAACAAGACGACAATAATCAACATTAAAGTGGTAATATGGTTGCAGAAAGTTGTTTAATGACTAAACCAGGCCTTATAAACATGATTTCGTTCTCAAAGTATCCCTAAATTATCCTCTTTTCGGATTTTCGCGAAATTTTACAGCGTTTAGATGGTGGTGGTAACGACTTTTGAAATAAAAAAAACGTGGGCGTCTGGTGTAGTTGGTTATCACATGCGCTTAGCATGCGCGAGGTCCCCGGTTCGATTCCGGTGTCGTCCATTTTTGCTCCTCTAGGGCTGTCGAGACAAGTATTTGAACTACAGTATGTCCATTTTTTGCTTCTCTAGGGCTGTCTCGACAAGTTTTCGGACTACAGTATGTACTGACTTACATTACTCTAGGGTGAAGCGGCGATAATAGTGACATTTGAGACATGTCTTGGACATGTTGGGTCTATCCTGATTTCTGAAACACCTTCCTCCGTCTGTCCAAAGGGTGCATTCATTATGGATCGTGTTTTCAGGTCTTGACTCTTTCGTTACTCTGCTCTGGATCTGCGAAGAGAGAGTCATCACCAGGAATTTGGACTGATAGCTACTTTCGCACTTTTTTACTCGTCAATGTGCCGTGTACTTGCGGTAATAGTCTGCGATATGGTACAGTATGTAGCGTACTCATGTCAATAGATGCGGTAATAGTCTGCGATATGGTACAGTATGTAGCGTACTCATGTCAATAGATGATGCCCCAGTGGAGCGCCCCAGTGGAGCCAACGCTGTCAGCCATTAATTGTGTTGCCTGAAGACGTATCGAGACAACCCTAGTGAATACAACCATTACGATCTCAGCTCTAGCCATCGCTATCCACTACGGTACCTAGGCTGGTTAGCCAGACATTCCCTAGCAAGACATGCCCACTATTGTACCTGACACCTAATAAACGCAGCTTAGATAATGACGTCCTACAGACCGACTTGCTACCAGACTGCAAACACAGCTCTTCAACCAGGTTCGCGGCTAAAATCCCCATAATGGTGTTGTGCATACGACAATGCACGGCCAAACTTTTCACCCCATAGAGTTAACCGCCTAAGAAAGGGCCATGTGGACTGCGAGGCCAACAGAGCCTCCGATGCGGCGATGCGGCGATACCGCGATACGGTGGGTTTGGGCGGCTAAATGTGTGTGGAATAGCCGACCAGCTGTCCGGAGATGCTCTTTTCAACACCAGATAGGATTTAGACCCTCCAACTACCGTATCTAGATTTGTCTCCAGACACAGCACGTTTGGTCGGCGGCTAAAAGTGCATTTGCTGTGTTTCTGGAGATACCACGTATCAATACACCATCTCCACGTGCTAAACGATCGGCTAAAGTCCCTATTTCGACCCATACTGGGCCCATTAACCCATTTAACCTGATATATAAACCACAAACCGTCTCAACAAAAGCTGCATCCGCATTTTGGCCGCACCGCACCGGGTCCGATGCGGTGCGGGGTGCATACTACAGAATACGGTGAAATTTCCGTGCCAAAAAAAATTAAAAAAAATTAAAAAAAATCAGTCAAGATTCGCAAGAATACAACTCCCACAGTGAAAGTGACTCCGACGCTAATTACACCTTTTTAACGCCCAATAAATGACCGGCAAAGACAGGTATGTAAGAGCAGCACGTAGTTTGGCGGCTAAAACCACGTCTCCAGCGCCCAAGAGCCCGATTTCGACAAACCCAAAAGCCTATCATTTTGTTGGACAGCTGCCGAGAAATGGCCGGGAGAGACAATTCCAGCACGTCGCAAGCTTTTCGAGGCCACAAAACGGACCTGTGCCTGACGAGCTCGTTTCAATTGAGTGATTCAAGACAGAGTTTGAACCGGTGGGGTGTTTGACGCGAAAAGCTGACTCGTTTGGTATTAGTGCGTACCCCACAGTCCTGTGCGTACCATGTAGACTATATACTATCTACACGGCTATTGGAGTGGTCCGAAGGGGTGTAGTTTAAGGGCGCGGTAGGGGGGATAATGGAAATATGAAAAGTGCGTTTTGATCAGCTCGTCGCCCAGAATCTATTAACGTGTTCATATTTCCCACATTATCCCCCAAAGCCCCCTTTTTGGTGGTCCTTTGCCCCCTCTTTATCCTCTCCATCCTGCATGGTTTAACCTTCGTCTCTCTCACCCCACGTTTACCGCACCCAAGTATATATATACCCCCAGCCTACCCAAAAACTAACATTTCCAACTTTCTCCCTTCACACCTCCGCCCACACAATGCTCAGCAGATCGACCCGACTGGCTCGAGTGGTCCAGACCTCCACCCGGCTCTACTCCACTGCCTACCCCACTACCCATGCGAAAATCGAGAACCCCGTGGACACCAAGGCGTTCATCAACGGCCAAGCAGTCGCCTCCAAGGCTACCACCTGGTTCGATCTCCATGACCCCGCAACAAACAACCTGGTGACGCGAGTCCCCCAGTCCACCGACGAGGAGATGCGACAGGCCGTCGAGGCCGCCCAGAAGGCCTTCCTCACCTGGAAAGACACCTCCATCATGCACAGACAACAGGTGGCTTTCAACTTTGTGCGTCTGATCCGAGACAACTGGGACCGACTCGCCGCCTCCATCACCCTCGAGCAGGGCAAGACCTTTGCCGATGCCAAGGGAGACGTGCTCCGTGGCCTTCAGGTGGCCGAGCAGGCCTGCTCCATCCCCAACACCCTCATGGGCGAGTCCCTGGAGGTGGCCAAGAACATGCGAACCGAAATGTACCGTGAGCCTCTCGGTGTCGTCGCCGCCATTGCTCCCTTCAACTTCCCCGCAATGGTGCCCCTCTGGTCCATCCCCCTGGCTCTCGTGACCGGTAACACTCTCATCCTCAAGCCCTCCGAGCGAGATCCCGGCGCTGCTCTCATCCTCGCCGAGCTCATCACCGAGGCCGGTGCCCCTCCCGGAACCGTCAACATTATCCACGGAGGCGCCCCCACCGTCAACTTCATCTGTGACGCCCCCGAGATCAAGGCCATCTCCTTCGTTGGAGGTGATGCTGCCGGCAAGCACATCCATCAGCGAGGCGGAGCCAACGGTAAGCGAGTTCAGGCCAACCTGGGCGCCAAGAACCACTGCGTTCTGATGCCCGATGCTGACAAGAACTTTGCTCTCAACTCCATTGTCGGCGCTGCCTTTGGCGCTGCCGGCCAGCGATGCATGGCTCTGTCCACCCTGGTCACCACCCAGGGCACCGGCTCGTGGATGCCCGAGCTTGTCGAGCGTGCCAAGAAGCTCACCATTAACGGTGGCTTTGAGGCTGACGCCGATCTGGGACCTGTCATCTCCCCCGCCGCCAAGGCCCGATGTGAGGCTCTGATCCAGTCTGCCATCGACGAGGGAGCCACCGTTCTGCTCGATGGCCGAGGACAGCACCCCGCCAAGTACCCCAACGGTAACTTCATTGGCCCCACCATCATCACCGGTGTCAAGCCCGGCATGAAGTGCTACGACCAGGAGATTTTCGGCCCCGTTCTTGTTGTCGTTGATACCACCGATCTTGACGACGCCATTGGTCTCATCAACCGAAACAAGTACGGCAACGGTGCTGCCATCTTCACCCGATCCGGTGCTGCAGGCAACAAGTTCCAGAAGCAGATCCAGGCCGGCCAGATTGGTATCAACGTGCCCATCCCCGTCCCTCTCCCCATGTTCTCCTTCACCGGAAACAAGGGCTCCTTCCTGGGCGACCTCAACTTCTACGGCAAGGCTGGTGTCATGTTCCTGACCCAGTACAAGACCGTGACCACCCAGTGGCGAGACGAGGATGTCACCTCCCAGAAGGCTGATGTTATCATGCCTACCCAGAGCTAGACCGTGAGTGAGCAGTCTTGCCGGTGACCCAGTGACGATGTTCTACAGTTCAACATGCCGAGAATGGCTGGACTGTGAAAAGTATATAATGATGCATATGATTGAAATACGAGAAGTGACTGCGCATGCTTGTAGGTACGAATCACGTGATTTTATTGTTGCTAGGGTTTACATCACTCCAACACATTCTCCACAAAAATTGTTAAGTAAATTGGTCACTTTATCAACGGGTGTTCTCGGCTATCGACTGTGCCGTTAACGGGGAAGTATGTTAGCTGCTACCCAAAGGAAAGATTATGTGAGAGTTGCGTGTTTATGTGCATCTCCGGTGCATTTCCGATGCTCTGGCATCGAAAGGAGTCCGTCCAAGTCTCTGAATGACCGGTTTAGTTGAATCCGGTGTTGGGTGTCTCTGCGGTGATCAGTTTCGGCGGTGATTAGTCTGTTGTGATTAGTCTGCTGCGATTAGTCTGCTGTGATTAGTTTGCTGTGATTACAAGAGCTGTTTTGGAGGGGGTAGGTCTTCTGTAGTTCTTCACATCATGTAGGCTACTTGAACTCCGCTGGCAATCTGTGGACTTCTTTGGGGTAGTGGATCTCGAGCAGTTTCCTTCGAACGCTTGATCTGAAGGATGGGTGACAGCTACTGTAAAGGCGCGAACATGCACCCTGGTTGGTATCACTGAGCAGTACTGTAACATCGGACTGGAATGTCGAGGAGGTCGAAAAGTCGTGACATCTTAGAGATGAGTACAGAGCAGTACACTACAGCACCATACACTACAGCACCATACACTACAGCACTGTACAATACAACACTGTACAATACAACACCGTTTTTTATGTCATGTTACTACAGAAGGAATGGTTGGTGGGTGAACTAATTTCATCTAATAACGAGAGTTGAAGTTGTCTCTAGATGACAATAGATGGATTGGTAATACAATAAATATTTGGTATTATGTAATACAGTAAATATTTGACATTATGTAATACAGTAAATATTTGACATTATGTAATACAGTAAATATTTGGTATTATATAATACAACATTTAGTGAATATTTTATATTTTATCATTTTTTTTAAAAAACATATTCCCTCCCCTCTTCTGTTCTGGGCTCTTCCTTTATATACCGATGCCATAGTGTTTCCCTTAATACCCACCCACCTACTTCTTACTTGTACCACAGTAGCAGCTACACCCTTCTATACTAGGACACTTGCTATAAGTACATACTTGCACCTCATGGGATACTCACTAACGACTCCGACGCCCATCGTGATCACCAACCTGATACCATGTTTGGGATTCCCTCAACAAGTGATTAAAAAGGCCTCGTCCATCTCGACCCTCAATCTCGACTTTGAACCGCTGTTCGAAGACGGTCGACTGCTCATTGGAGACCAAGAAGATTCCTATCCGGCGGCGGAGTTTGTCATACCGCGCTTCAGTCTCACAAGCAACAACTTTCTCGACGCCTCGTACCCGTGGAGAGAACCCAGTAGCGTGGTTGAGGTGAAACAGGAACGCGACCATCTGAGCAACCTGCTGGCGCTGGGGACGGGATACAGAGTTTACTACGGACACCGAAAGCGGTTCTACGTCTGCCACGACCGGTTTGGACGGTGCATTCTGGTCCACAACAAAAACCTGCACTCAGCGTTCGAGTTCAATCTCCACAATCAGCAGATTGTGCACGTGGCGATTCTGCCGAGCACCACCGTGATCCATGTGTCATCGGAAGAGGGCGTCATTGAAGCGCTGATCGTGGACCTGGCTAAAAAACGGCTCATCAAAATCCTCTCCTTCATCTACTTCAACCCGGCCACCTGTGGAGTGTTCCAGTTTGGAGAAGTACTGTGGTTTTCGTTTGGAGGAGTGTCAATTCGGGTGGAGGTCGACTGGAACACCAACCTCGAGTGTCTCCATGGCAACGTGTTCCTGGGGAGGTGCTCTTGGTCCGTTGGCCCATCTCTAGGGGTCTTTCCCATGCAAGGTACAGGAGCCTGTCTCAAGTATGTAGGATGTATCCAAGACCGGACCCGTGTCTTTGATCTCGAGACCGAAACGATGATCGTCTACAAAAGAGAGGTCCACGAGCAGCACATTCTGAGAGGTACTCGCAATGGTCAATTCGGTTTCTGGGTCGTCAATGGGTCTGTTTCGCAGACACTTCAGAAACTGTGGTTGCACAACTCCAAGACGGGAAAGACTCCGGATCAGTGGTTGTTGGAGGCGGGTTCATAACCAGGTGCAAGAAGCTGACTCTACGAACCTGGCCGTGATGTCATCTCAAACTCAGACCACTAGGAACTATCGGTATGTAATAATGAAAGCTGTGTTTCGCAATGCGAAAGTGTGTATCTTCAAACCGTCCCAGAGCAAAGTATCTTCAAACCGTCCCAGAGCAAAAAGCAGCTCACGAGCGAAAAAAAGATTACAGCACCCAGGATTCTCGTATGGTCTCCCACTACAATACTAACTAGGCTCTCTGGTGCTTGACTATGGCTGATCGGACGGGAAGCCGTATTTTCACCAGGATATGGCCGTAACCAAACTGCGCCGACCCGGAATCGAACCGGGGGCCCATCGATGGCAACGATGGATTTTACCACTAAACCATCGGCGCGTCTTTTTTCAAAATTTTAGAACTCAGGCATGTGACTAAGCAAACTGATGACTCAGCCGCTGTGGCAATACCGAAGGTATGGTCACTGCCGTCACTATGAAGAAAGGTATATTAGAATACATGGAATACAGGGGTTTATCCTGGCTTACCCCGCAACCCTTTGTCCGTGATAGCAGGCTTGGCATACCGATATTTAATGAAGTCCTGACGGGACTGCTAGAGGTTCACGGGTGACTAATCAAGCGGCTATTTCCGGGGTTATTTCATCCGGCGTTAAATATGCCAATTGGAGAATATTCACTGAGAAAAGTAAGTACTCAGTGTGTATAGTTATTGGTTTACTGTGAATCGTTGGTGCTGTGTTGTCTGGATATGGTGAATTTGGTATGGAGAAAACGCTGTAGAGATCTGGGGTGGTTGGGCAGTATATATAGGGATTTTGCGAGTTCAATAATTGAGTGGTAGATACCTCCATACAATTTTAGGGCACTTTGACAGGATTTCATGGCTTCAACTGAATCGATCTTACTCCTACAATGTAGACTGCTGATGATGTACTTCGTGCGCTCATAATTTTATATATCGAGCACAGTATTTTATATATCGAGTCAGTATGAGAGTCTATTTAGACCAGAATAATACCTCATTCTTATCAAATGGAACACTCATTGATTACTTGTGGGTTTCCCTTTTCTTTTCTTTTTTTATTCTATCGTTTTTTATAATAACATTCATACATTAAACAACACTATAGAATATGAGAAGAATACAGTACATACTATACCAGATGTCGCACTTTAGGATGACTTGCCTGATGATATGTTGCTGTGACGACTTCACCCGGTCTGATGAAGCGATTCTAAGGGTTAGTGGAGTGGGGGGCAACTGGGGGGTGGGGAGGGGTAACATGGGCATTTTGTGGGGTTTTCAGTGTGTTTTCGTCATGTTTTAGTGGTTTCCAGTGTCGGCCGTGGCGGTGTTATTGTATTATAAATCATTTTTTATATTTTTTGTGTTTTTGTGGTTTTCAATCTGTTTTTGTTGAGTCCGTCCAATATTCCGCCAATGTTACCCCTCCATCAGCATTAGCTAGGTTCGGTGTCCAATGCACCATAGTAGTCTCCCGGCCCTGCGGAGTCTAGCCAGTCCTGGATCCTCCTGAAACTGTCCATATATGATGGTTGAGATGTGTTGTGTGTGTCTGAAGGTTGGATTCATCAGTCATATCCAGAGGTTTTTTGCGGAGAGCCCGTTCCATCTCCAATATGGCATAAACAGGTATGGTGTGTGTGGTCTCGGCTCAGGCTGAGTGGTTTCCGCTCGCTCCACGTCGTTGGGGTTGGTGTAGAAGTAGCACATTGTTTGCAGGTAGTAGGGTGTCTCCAAGAAGTCCCAGACGGTGAATGTGATGAGGCATTGCACGAACAAGTGCTTAGTCATTGTGGTCTCTGGTGTTGCCAGTCCGTTGTTGATGAGTTCGAGTGGTGTCTGGCATGCTCCACATCCGTCCGCTTCATATTTGAAAGCATCACGATCCTGTATAATTCCGCATTCTAGGGTTCTCTACTAGTTCAGAGCCGTCCATGGTGAAGTAAGTCTAGTCGATAGGACCCCTTTACAAGTAACAGACTCTGTCTGTCATGATTGTTGGATAGAGATTTTGTTGCGCTAACGATTGTTGAATGGAACCAATACAAAAAGAAGACGTGCTTCATTCCACTCCTCTTCAACTCAACCGACTCCGCTTCAACTCAACATGGACATGTTCTGGGCTAGTTAGCCACTGCGCTGCTAGCCACTGACCACCACTGTGCTAACTAGTCCATATTGAAGTTTGAAATATCAAGTACAGCACAGTAGTATGGCCAAGATCAACTATCTTTTACTCCTGTTTGACTCCTGGGCTCTAGCCTATCCACCATTCTAGTATATAAACTGATGTAGATTCCAGGAGTGCTCTTACCAAACCAACAATGAGGACCTCTTTCCTACTCTTCGCTTTCCTGGCTACTACTACTGTTGCGGACAACAATCCGGCCGCAGCTGCTACAGACATCACCATTGGAGATGTTATAGACCTCAGCAAGCTGCTTGAAGCCACCCAGGATGCTCTGTCCGACTCCGACATTGCCGACCACGTTGATGAGGTAGTCGGAGTTAAGGACGCGGTTGACAATCTTTTTTCATCCGTTTCCTCGATTCAGAACCAAATCCCCGATGTGATTGCCGAAATCAACCCCTGTGCTCATCTGACTTTCAGTCCTGACGGCTGGCCGAATGGTCAGATCGAGTTGGGCTCTGAGGATCAACTCGAACCCAACAAGGACTGCAATGGAACGGCTACTCTCCGTCTGGATCGCCGAGATGCAGCAGTCGACCACCTTATGGACGATGTTGGGTTTGTTCTGGAGATGTACGGGCCCCTCACGAGTCTCGTTTTGGACCAAGCGACCCCGTCTCCGGAGCTCTTGAGAGGTGCGACTAGAATTGAAGACATTTCGCATCAACTGGACGCTTGGTTTAACCAGGTAAATGCCACAATCAAGGCCACAGCCGAGCTGAAGCCAGAGCCATCGTTTACGACTTTAGTCACCCACGTCTCCTCCCTTCCTGATTCAGTCAATCCCGATGTTGGCCTGGACAATGGCAAAGACAACGGAGAGGGTAACCAGGGCGGTTTCAACGGAAAGAACGATGGCATCGGAGGCGGCATGGGAAACGGAAACGGCAACGGAAACCAAAACGTTGGAGGCTACAATGGTAACAACAACGGCCAGGGTGGAGGCACCCACAACGGTAATGGCAATGGCAATGGAAACCATGGCGGATACAATGGTAACAACAACGGCAATGGAGGTGGTACACACAATGGCCAAAACAATGGTAATGGCAATGGAGGAAGTGGTGGTAAAGGAGGAGTAGGAGGTGTTTCCCATGTGTCCCATGTACCACATAAGTCCTATGTACCACATGTGCCCTCACATGTGCCCTATGTACCTCAACCTCACAGCAGAGTTTCCTATACTCCTCCTTGGTTGCAACATGGTCATGGATACTAGCGTTGATTCGCCGGATTTTCCCGATTCTGCGGGTTTATCTCTTTATAACTCTCAATCTGTTTTTGTTATGTCGTATTTGGGCCATCCATTGATATATGATTCTCTCATGACCGAGAGCAACGTACCAATACTGTACTTGTAGGCCGAGGCAATGAGCGCCATTTCATTTGAAAGCAGAAGCTGTGTTGATCATGATGTGGTCTTATTTTTGACAACTTTCGTGTCTATATCCCAAATTATCGGGACCTAATCTCGTAGAGTCGATTGTTCTTGTCTCTTTTTGGAGAGACTAAACAGACGGTAGATACAGGGTCAACTGTGTGAGACATGTTGGGCTTGAGTCCGAAAAATGAAGATCCAAACTGTTGATTCTTGTACAAGTACTTGAACAAAAGTCACATTCGCCTACCTGGACCCCAACTTCATTACTGATCGATTATATTGTTTTTTGGCTCAATCCCGAAACCGATTAACGACACTTTTCCGGATGTTGACACGTTCCAAGCACGTTTGGTCGAATTGCAACTACTTGTAGATCGAACGCTTGTGGTGTAGGGCTGGGTGAATCAGCCAGCAACAGGACACTTTACAACTCAGCTTGATCCCCAGGCTTTCAGCTGTCTCAATGCTCAGACAAGAGCACGAAAAGCTGTGTCCTAGTGACAACTACCAACAGCTCCACAAGCATTTTTTTGTTTCAGAAGCAGAGCAAGGATCTGGCAATTAAGATGGTCATACAGAGAAGGACAAGTATGATGGAGGCTGTGTGGAATTGGTCCAGCTCGAAATATTTCCAGAGCTTTACTGGTCTCGGAAAGCTAGGACTATGGCGGTAGGAATAAATGTAGAACAAGATCAGGTTGTTTGGAAGCTGTTGAAGGAACAAAACCCGTTGGTGAAGGGTGTTAAGGGAGAGGATGGTATTATTTTACCGTTCGTTCGTTCGCTACTGCCTCGATAATCGGAAAAAACACAACGTTCATCTATCCGGCCTAGCTTTGGGAGATTTAAAGGCATTAGATCCTTCTGAGTGTGTGGTATGCTTTGGGTAAAGAAGCCAACAAGTGTCCAGATTGACGAGAAGAGCAAGCGGTCCGGGCAAAAAACCCTCTTCTCTCGCTCTGGATATAGCACAGATGATCTTGTCTCGCGTTCTGACACGGAGTCTACCGAGTGAGTGAAGAGCATTTCAGAGAAACCCCATCCACAATCTTGTCCACTGAGATGTACTGTAAGATAAAGTCAGTGCTTGCTAGCAAGTTTTGTTTCGTGGTCGCGCATGTCAAGTATGTACATACTGTACAGTACGTACTTCAGCAGTGTGACATAAATAATAATTAATATATATAATCTTTTCTGTAAAATCGTTGTTATGTGGGGGAGATTGGGGAATTTTGGTCGTTTTGGAGGGGGTTTGAAAAGCCGAAGGAAGTACTTGTGATAAAATAAAATGGTATTTTGAAGTTTCAAGAGCAATAATTTTCTTTTTTCTGACATTTCGTCCTGTTTTCACCCCTTCATCAAGTGTCTGAAATTGTAGTCCCCCACATAGATTGAGTTTGTCACACTGCCACTTACAGTTGCATCGCGAAACTAATTAGCAGACGCGTCTGGATTTGAAGATGTGCGATGAGATGCAATAAACTGAACGAAACGGTGCCGACGGATGTCGAGATTGAGCGGAAACATTGAATTGAACGGGAAAATGTTTCTGGAGAGAAAAAAAAAGCCCAACTGAGAAATCAGACTAGAACTAGAAGCTATCGTTGTGAGGGCCAAGGTGGTTAGAGTGGAGCGAATGAAAACAACTTCAGCTGGTTTTGTCAGTCAATCAAAGGATCTACAGGATATGGTTGGTATCTCAGAGGGAAAACAAACATACGAGAGATTACTGAGCATGTGCGAAATCTATAGTATTGACAGACCAGGATTCGATCTGGGGTGCAATTCAGAGATAAGAGGTCCGGCCAAACGAAGCGTTAGTGACAATCAGTTGAACTGGAGAGGTCACGCGTGTGTTCTGTCTACTCTTGCAACGGTGGTGGGTATATAATCGCTGAACAACAATCTCCCATGGCAATTTAGAAACGTCTGTGGAGATGAACCTGACGGGTTTCTCCGGGTACACTGTCTTCCAGCGCTCTGCTGAAGAACAAACTGAGAAGGGCAGTTCTTGGATGAACCCGTAGCCGAATTGTATATCTGGACTGACAGGTATTGGTCAACTGAAAATACTGTGTACCGTAGTGGTTCTCTCCGAATAGTCGGTCTGAGACGCTGGGGCTGAGAGCTGGAGAATGCGGTTTCAGGAGTACATGTTTTACAATCGGAATTGATCCATGGCTTTCAACAATTGTGATAGGATGTCTCTCAGCAAAACAATGTTCAACTCCAAGACATTACAAAAGCAGTTTCTGGTCAGAGAGCATATCGAATACGATGATGGAGCTAGCACCTGGACCATATGTGACAACGAGGACCGGCATTGAACACGAATTTGGCACTACCTTGGAGTTGTATGGAACTATGTCCAGGCCTAAATGTGCTAGCTGTGAACACTAGATCAACAGCTCTCAGCAACCACTAGTTAGTCCTCAGCTCTCACAGATCACGACCGTTTCCCACGATGACTGTACAGCCCAAGTCGCTCCCCCCTAGCTCTACAAGTAAACACCATTAAATACAAATACATTATCATCTACTTTATCTTACCCTCAGCGAAGTGATGCCGGCCTCTGATGTAGGACTTGAGCAAAGGCTGAGCTCCCAACGTAGATCAAAGCTCAAGCCCACAGAGCCATGGCTGTCACGAAAACGGAGCTCAGTCAACAGTACTTTTCTGTAGTAAGGGTCCCAAGTGACTCAGGTGTGCTGTGAACAGCTCAATTCCTGCTGACAACCTTTGGGCGAGGTCTAATACTCATACTGGACCTCGCTCGTCATCTATCTCTGCGGATTCGAGCTCTGCGCCTTCAATCCCTGTCCAATGCCTGGCATGATTCCCGTGTCCACCACAATACTCTGCATGACGGGAGCCATGTCATTTCCCGGCTCAGAGTCGTACTCCGAGTCCATGCTTTTCTTGGGCACGTTAAACAAGCCCGAATGGGGTCTTCCATCGACCGACTTTCTATGGAAGATACCAGAAAGTCGTTCGGACATGCCTAGATGGTGATGGGGGTGGTTCTCTGCCGTTTCTGCGGGTCTGGGGGATCCGTCGGCGTCTGCAATCGAAATTCTGGGAGCAGGTCCGCCCGGAACATGGGTCTGGACGCCTGTCGATCGGCCTCTTGGTTGATCCACCAGCTCTTCGTCGTCATCCTCCTCCAAAATAGGGTGTCCACTGAATCCCTCTCCTGCAGCAATGTTGTTGGAGCCACACAGTGAGTGGGCCGCTACTGAGGGCGATCGGGTGGCCACCAGGTCCGTGTCGCTGATCACGAACGGGTTGTGTTTCGGCTCCTGGGTCTCCGTGGCCGGCGTGGCTACAATTGGGCCCTTTTTAGACGACTTTTCCATAGAGCAACAGTTTCCCATGGTGAAATTATGTGAGGCGAGATGTTTTCAGCGGTTTTCGCGGTTTTTGACGGGCTTTTTGACCGGCTTTTGGTGATGCAGTCTGTGGACGGTGATGCAGGCGTGGACGTATGACAGATGCGATGAGAGAGCAGTACAGATCAAGTGCGGGCTCGGATGCGGTATTCGGGGCAAAAACAAGCGGTGGAACAAGTGTCTCGAGTCAATAGCGTGGGCTGGAAGTCGCACCTGAGATCAGAAAGGGTCTGGAGATTGAGTCTCAAAGGAGGGGGCTGGCACACGGGTAAAGTGCAGCAAAAGAAACCTTGTTTGAAAGGTTGCGGTATTTTGATCAAAAATGGAGGTGAGGTGATTGAGGTGATTGAGGTAGAAAAGTGGTGATTTCGGGCTGATATCTAGTTGGAGGTACCACTCCCCTCTCTCTCTCTCTCTCCCTCTCCCTCTGCGCCCCCAGTTTTAGCACCGGCAAACCCACTAGTGCTGTCCTCTAGTACTTGTAAGTCCCAGGCATCGTCTGTATAGTGTCTACTTGTACTGTAGTTACCACAGCTTAAACCTGTGAAGAAAAACGCTCTAAAACTTCAGTGTGCACAAAGTTGATCGTCCGAGCCCGTTGCAAAATCGAATCTGAATTTCCTCCAGTCCAGGGGTCTATCCATCGGTCTATCTTCGCAAAAGGTATCTCGTCAATCATGTACCCCATCGCTTGGCATGCAGATGACATGTGTAGCTCATTTGTGACGCTAGCGGCCGCGAAGGCGAAGTATTATGGTACTGACAGAATCCCCCGCGCCCAGGGAACTTTTCTATCCAGTCAGAATTGCAACATGTTGTCTACATCGCCCACAATCCACACTGACACTTGTCGGACTTGTCGGAGTTAAAAAAAATCAAACTCAGCAACGTAATTGGTCCCCAAAGTTAAGCCTGAAACGATGCCTCAGATCCAGTGGAAAAAGGTCTCAGGGGATGGTGGTCTCATAATCATGTGACTCCACGTGAGCCGCTTGGTTAGCTTGGTCTGCGAAACGCTCCACCCGACGAAGGCAAGCAATAAATCGTTTATGCAGTTTTCAGTGGTTGCTTTCGAACAGAAGGAGCGTGCAGATGAGACACGCATGTACAAGTTGAGGCGGGCATAGTGGAGTGGTTTTGGCTGAGTGGTTTATCTAAAGTAGTTACGAGTCGGGTTGCTTTCAATTGTACAAGTTGTTGAGGTGTTTTGCAGTTGGTGGTTAGACATGATGGTATAGTGGGTGCTGATTCTAGTAAGAGTACCGTACAGTAAGTACATGCCGTACGCTTAGTAATACTGTACATACTCGTACACAGTTTTATTCTGACTAAAAGCGCTATTGTACCAACACAGCGATGATACATGTACTTGTAGACTTGGAACTATTAACTCCCCGATCTGTGTCTCAGCAGTACAAGTAGGTCAAACTCTCCTTGACCCTTCGAGACATGATCTCCTCGGCTGTGCACTGAGGTTACTGTAGACTGCAGACCAGCTAATTCGCCACGTTTGGTCATAACATGCCTAACATCGACGTTATTTGTTTGGTAGGCTCTTTGCTCGTCTACACACTTCCACCAGAGTCAAGTCACTGTCAGAAGCTTTCTAGGTCTTACCAGTCACGCGTGGAACCACTTCAGGAAGCTGCTAGAGTGGTTCTAGTTTTATCAGCCCCGTCATGTCGTCGAAAACAACTCCAGAAACTCAGGAGATGAGTTGGTTCTGGAGTCCTGCTTGAGGACTTGGCCTAGTTGCTCCAAACTGTCAGACCCGATACACTGTCACTAAGTGGTAAAACCAGATAGGCGGGAATTGCAACTTGATTCACCAGGTTGAAAGGTGGCAACTGTGGGTGGGGCCCTGGAGCGTATCTGACTTATCTGACTGGCATCATGTTTGCTTTCACGAGCTCTTCACACAATGGCAAGAGACTTCCCAAATTCCCTTGGACTGTGGAACGGCAATTGGCAAGTTCCCTTTGGTGTAGGGGTCTAGCTACACAGGTACGCCATTATCATTGAGAATGTCTATGACGTTCCTCGCTTTACTACGATATGTTCTTGTAGACTTATATAAGCACCACGGGGGAAGTCGGGTAGCCATCTCGCCTTACTATTGTCAACGAGTCAAGAATCATGAACATGTCCAGAAGAAACAATATCAGCCATGCGACCTCTACGTCAACTGTCATGTGACCTAAATAACTCACGTGACTTCGATCCAATATCCTACTCCAATACCCCGTGATATACCTTCAGCGTAGTATGTGTGTGCTCCTCCTAGTATATATATCGTCATTCGTCCTACGCTGGACACTGTTGTATCATAGTTAATTCATCTATAGGAAAGCTTTTCCAAGCTATTAATGCACGGCTCTTGACGAGTTCCGAGTGCTGGAGTTTTTGATTGGTGTACACGGTTGACTGTAGCAGATGTTATCAACACATGCCAACTGATCAATTTGTAGCGGTCAATTGACTCCTACAGCAGAAATTCGTTCGCTGTTCGCTGTTAGCTGTCGCTATTTGCAGTCGCGGTTCACTCATCTCGCTCTTGTCTAAGGGAGACTCTCGCTGGTCTCGTCAAAAACCAAACAAACACCCTCGTCACCCGCAGTAACCAGCTTACCCTGGCTAGTAACAGCCATATCCAAGACACCCATGTTATGTCCTCGTCCAACCCACATCTCGTCACCGTTTCGAGCGTCGAATCGTCGAATAACTCCGTCCATAGCACCAGCCACCAGCACGGGAGTATCCTCGATAAACTGCAGCCAGGTGACGGCGTCTCCCATGACGAGGATCTTTCGCAGACGCCAGGTGTTTGTGTCGTAGAGCATAATCTGACCAGAAGTGGTTCCAGCGGCCAGCAGTTTCATGCTCTTGCACCAGGACAGAGCCTCCACAGACCGCTCTCCGTCCTCCATCTTGGTAGAGCAAGTGTTGATGGTCTCAATGAGCTGACCTCCGTCAATCTTGAACAATACGAGTTTGCCGTCGGCAGCTCCAGCGGCCAAAGTCTTCTTGGTAGGGTCCTCGGCCATGGACACCCAGACGTCGGGGCCCTTGAACAGAGTGGCAGAAAGAGTGTAGTTGGCCACGGAGTTGTAGACATTCCAGTTGACGATGGATCCGTCGTCTGAGCCGGTAACAAGAGTCAGAGAGTCCTTGTCGTCGGCCAGAACCCAGGTGCCAACAGTGCAGCAGCCAGAGTGACCGTTCAGCACAGTCATGGACACGAAGCCAGTGTCCTCAATGGAGTAGACCCAAACGGAGCCGTCGGTGGCTCCAAAGGCCACAATGTTCTGCTCGGGATGCACCTTGGTCCACACGACTTCCTCAACCTCCTGGATCGAGTCAATTTCGGTCCATTTTTGGAACTTGTTAGTGCCGTGGAACAACTTGACACATCCAGCCATATCTGAAGTCACCAGAAAAGTACCGTCGGCAGTGAAGCCTCCATCGGTCACACTCTCCTTGTGACCGTCCAGTTTGGTCACCAGCTTTGGTTCGTTGGAATTGCTGGTCCACATGTATCCACAGTTGTCGCCACCTCCAGACACAACCAGAGGCACCGAGGGGTGTGCAATCACTCGGAACACAGAGTCCTCATGTTTGTCGAACCAGGCCACGGCATTGTTTCGCATATCAACCTCGATTCGCTCCTCGCCCTCGCCCTGCTCTCCGTCGTCCTCCATGCCCTCGTCGAGACCCTCCATATCGTCATCGTCCTCTTCGGGCTCAGGCTCGTTGGAATCGGGAACAACATCGGCGATTTCAGATTCGTCAATGTAGATGTCGTTCTGGTTATCCTGGTCGTGCGATGCCTGCGCGTCGATCTGGTCTCCTAGATGGTTGTTTACACTCATTGTCTTTCTTAGTATCAGTGTAGTTGGTTGTACGTCAAGTTGTGCGCTCCTCTAATATTTTTGTATGATACCCTTTGGTCACACTTGCAGATATTTTTTTAGACTTTTATGCATGGGTTAGGGCTGGATATGTAGCAATTCATAGTGGCAATGGACATAGATGTGGGTTCATAAAAACATGTTGGAAGCATTTTTCTGCCTTATTAAAGTGGTTTTATGTGTTCCCAAACTCACTCAAATAGCTCCAATTCCATTTTCATGACTTTTCGCCGAAAAAAATGAGCTATTTTTACCGATTACAATTATCTATTATTTATCAACTATAACTAACAAATTAGCGACAATTCTGTTGGAACATACACTTAGCTTGAAGAACTATCTGGATCATCATAAAACCCGACCAGGGAAAGAGACAATTAGAGGGTCTCATTTAGGTACTATTGACACACCCTATCACATTATGTCCATGTCATAACCAGTTGGTCTCATTTGTCACTCATAACCTGAAAAGTTCCATACCTCTTAGTATGTACAAGTAACTACAAGTACAGGACATACTGTAGTGTAGCACCATCACGGATATCACAAGCACCAATCCAATACTCCACGTGACCCCACTGTTCTAGCTGACTAATCCAATACAATCCCCGAGTCACATGACTGATCTCCAACAGATGCTGCATCTCTCATCAAACCCCGATCGGTGAACCTTGGAGCTGCAGCATTGATCGGAAGAGAAGGAGATGTAGACAGCCACGGGGCGGGTCACGTGACGTGACGAGGAGAGACATATTAGTTAATAAATTCGTCTCGTAGCCAGCATGTCACGTGCGTCCCCGCTCAGGCTAGCCACTTGCAACATCTCCACTGGATTCACCGCCGCATGTGAAGATCTCAGGCTCCACCCCTTACCCAGTTCGAAGGCTATTTCAAAAGTTGCTTCAGAACGGCTTTTACAAACGAGTAGAATAATGGATATATTGGTAAAATAAGACTGGTACGAGAATCACACGGCTTGCTTGATCAAGTTGATACCCATAAATCCACTCTAACTCCTCCCCTTCGCAAACTATCCCTGACCTTTTACGTCCCCACTGCACCCTAACCCTGGAGACTAACAGGTTAAAACAACCTTGATCCCACCACCACTTATCACCACTACCAAACATCACAATGACCAAGTTTCCTGCCTTGAAAAACGATCTGATTCTGCGAGCTGCCCGCGGCGAAAAAGTTGAGCGGCCTCCCGTGTGGATGATGCGTCAGGCTGGTCGATATCTCCCCGAGTACCATGTTGTCAAAGGTAAGCGAGATTTTTTCGAGACCTGTCGAGACCCCAAGATCGCCGCTGAGATTACAATTCAGCCCATTGAGCACTTCCCCGGGCTCATTGACGTGGCCATCATCTTCAACGACATCCTGGTGATCCCCCAGGCTCTCGGAATGACGGTCGAAATGGTGGACAAGGTGGGCCCCCACTTCCCCGAGCCTCTCCGAACTCCTGAGGACATCAAAAGACTGAAGAAGAGCAGTGAGGTGGTCATTAAGGACTGCCTCGGATGGTCACTGGACGCCATCACTCTGACACGTCATCAGCTCGACGGACGAGTCCCCCTGTTTGGCTTTGTGGGTGCTCCCTTCACTCTGCTGGCTTACATGCTGGAGGGCGGATCGTCCCGAATGCACAAGTGGACCAAGGAGTGGCTGTACAAGTACCCCGAGGAATGCCACGAGGTCCTGCAGCGAATCACCGATGTCGCTGTGGACTACCTGGCTCATCAGGTGATTGCAGGCGCCCAGCTTCTACAGGTGTTTGAGAGCACCGGTGGTGAGCTTACCCCCGCCGAGTTCAAGCTCTACTCGCTTCCTTACGTCAAGCAGATCCGAGACAAGGTGCCTGCCCGTGTCAAGGAGCTTGCTGGAGATGAGTACGACCGCAAGGAACACGATGTTCCTATGGTCTTCTTCCCTCGAAACTCGTGGTACGCTCTGGACGCATGCTGTGATCTAGGCTACGACGTAATCTCGCTGGACTCGTCCTGGGACCCCGCCGAGGCCGTTAAGGTCGTGGGAGACCGACGAGTCACTCTGCAGGGTAACCTGGACCCCGGCGTCATCTACGGATCCCGAGAAATGATCACCAAGAAGGTCGAGGAGATGATTGCCGGCTTTGGAGGTGGAAAGCAGAATTACATTATCAACTTTGGTCACGGTACTCAGCCTATGATGGACCCCGAGCAGGTTGGGTGGTTTTTGGAGGAATGCCACCGGGTTGGTAAGCAGTAATCGAGCCGTCACGAGCGTGGCAAACGGCTGCGGTGGGCTGTGGGCCTACAAATGGCTTAACAACGTTGTGAGCCAGTAATTGGCTACAACTCTTTTTGTATATACTTGATGATAATGAGTGATGTTTCGAATTCTTGTGCAAGCGTACTGGTGCACTTGTGACTGTCCTGGGATGTCGGGATTCGTTTTAGTGCACTCTTTGAGCCGTCCAACGTTGAGTTTTAGCGAACAATGTGTCGTTCTGACTTGAGCGGTTCTTCTACTGTCGTTGTTATCACTCGTCCTGCTTTCTTGCCTCGAAATATGATGTTAGTTGGGTTTTGTTGATATATTGGATTTAGTTGAACCTTTTGTTGATTTCCACCTTAATTTCAACGATCTGCTTTTTTTCTACACAACTCTCCCGACACTGACGCTACAGTGGAAAAAAATGGCATCATGAGATTCAGCTCACCGAGGCCATCAGTTTGAGCCTACAAATTGGTGTTTTTGAAGCCTCCGTTTCGGAGCAGACCACCGTTTCGGAGCAGACCACATCTTTGAGTAGTCTGTGGTGAGGAGGGTACTGGTTTGCACCCGTGATCACGGGACCATTGATATGCAGATCATCGGTCTTTTTGTCTCTTTGTATCACTCCTGAATGGCTTCTCCATACAGATTGGTTTCCTTATCACTACTGTACATACCGTACAAGGTACTTCAGTAGAACCTAGACATTCTGCGCTCTCTGGTATTTTCGAGCTCTTGGACAAGTAAATCTATATGTTGTATCTTGCAATTGTTGTTTTTATTCTTTCGCGGTCACAATGAGACATTGCATGACAGCGTGACGTTCACTTCCAGGTCAGCTGGAGACGACTCGACAAGTTTCCTTAGAATTACTCCAAGCTTATCCCAGACATTCACAAAGTTTCAAGTATAATTGGGCATTAAAAATGTTTGATTTGCAGTAACTCCCGTCATCCGAGTAGAAAAGGCATATTTATTGCTGCAAATTAGTTGGTAATAAGATGTTTAGCTATCAATTTCACATGTTTTTGGCCTTCTACTATTAACGGAACACCTGGAATGAACCCCCAGCTGACTTTTATACTTAACAAATCCTCAATTAAAACACACCCAAAAAACCAAACCTCCTGAAACACCGTTGAACACTCGCTGAACACTCGTTTGAATCACCCTTCCTTCTCTCCTTCCCTAAAATTAATAGCTCATCAGGTCCCCTTTCGACTAAATTAGTCGGTGCTAATGGATCCTCGTGATGAGTCCAAAATAGCTGACACTAGCCAGCTGGTAAGGACTAGAGTGAAAAATGCTGCTAAACATAGAAGATCTGCCTTGGGCTAACTACAAGGAGCGGTAGTGAAACAGCGGAGTTCCGGGTTATTCGAGGACTTCGGAATGGCGTGTATATATCGCGGACTTGCGGAGATAAACGGGTTTAATAGCTGTTAATTAGCGGCTCTACCATGTCCGACATTAGTGGTGGTATGTTATGTACAAGTATTGTTCTGGTTTCAGTTGGGTCTAACAGATGGGCCAAAATCTCATGTGAGTGACAGTCGTCCACGAACTCCCTCCCCCCGGGTCACGTGACATAAATCATGATTTGTCATTTACTTTGGTTGGCATTCGCTTTTTCGTGTTTACTTTGTTGGTCTTTGGCCTTTGGTCTTTGGTGACAGAGACTTTGCTCATCGACTGGCTGGCAGTATTTAGATTAAAACTGATGCAGATGCAAATGGGTCATTGTCTTCTGGGAGAGAGAGCCTGGGGCGTGTAACGGAGCGTTCTTTGAGCGGATTTGAGCGGGTTTTGAGCGAAATAGGGCTTCCGTTGGGCTGCTAAAACCCCCTCCGGTTTCCTTTTCATCCTCTACTAGCCCCTTTTCTCGGTTCTCCGTTTTTCGTCCATTTTTCAACATTAACTCTCAAACTCTGATAGGGACAAAAAAGCAATACCCGTGGTGAGAGGCGAAAATCCGAGAAATCTTGATGGTGTAAATTTTGATGGAATCTTGGCACCATCAGCCGTTACTAAGCCACACTTTTTACGACTCCTTGGCCAGAGAAAAGGTTCCGGAATTATAATAGCATGGTGTGGAATCGGGTTGTGGTTGTGTGAGGTTGAAAGGGGTCGAGGCTCAGAGGGAGGTGTGGTTACGAGTGAGTACTGTACTTGGGTGAACACTTGGGTGAACACTTGGGTGAACACTTACGAATGAGCAGCTACGAGTCCCATTTTCTCTACAAGTAATTGTGCGGACTACTCTCCGTGCTGCCAATGTAATATAATAATAATAATAATAATAATAATAATTAAATTAATAAATCAAAACCCTGCACTTGTAGCGTTTCCAATCTACTGTACATACTGTACTCATACAATCATATGCTATGAGCAGCAGCTGTACTGTAGCTGTACTGTAGCTGTACTTTTGCTAGATGCACCGTTTGCCGCCAACCAACGGCAGCAGGAAGCGAATAATGGGTCAATGACAAGGAATACCCGTCACTCAAAAGTAATGGATACGTCAGCCCGTGGGACCTGGACGTTTACAGTGAGTGCAGTGCGAGTACTGTACAGTATTGGTACAAGTATTGTACCGGACAAGCACCGGACAAGTACTCCATCACGTATCACTCAATCACTTATCACTCCTACTCCTACTCCTACTCATCTCACTTCGCCCTACAGGACATATGAGACAATGTCTATTAATTAGACGGCAGCAAGCAGCACGTTTTGTAATGATGGGAGGGAAAGGCGATTCTGCTAAAGGTAGCTCGAGCTTGCTCCCAAAAGGGCTGAAGAGGGGTCATGAAAACGGTCGTTATATCATGGAGACTATCAATAGAAGAGGATGTGGCGATCTACACACGTCGGGCTTCCGCTAGTGTCTGTTTTTTTTGTGTTTTTCTGGCCACCTCTGGTCCAGCTCTCCAAGTCTTGCTGTCTACTTTTATCCCCTTGCGGCATTACCATACAGCCTGGCCTGGCAGACGGACAATAAGCTTCAACGTTGTCACAGTGGAAAATGTGTTTAATAGATGGTACATGTAGTGTTTAATTCCGGTCGGTGCGAATACCAACCGGTGCAGGTGGCAGTGCCATTGACGAGACGAGAATGGCCCTACTTATAGATGAGTTGGGAGGAACCCACAACAATGACCACGCCACGGGTTCCATGACCCAGTCCGCCTTTTCCCAACCCCCATTTCTTGTCCCCCCAACCCCGCCATTAGCCTCTCCCTTTACTAAGCAAACTCTCTGCGTGGATTGCCATGATAGTCGCCAATTAGCCCCAAGAGGAGAAGTAATGACAGGACAGGGTCCTCTGGTCTGCTGACTAACGCCCGGGCCCATCGCAGACAAGATACGGACACAGCGGGGCTCCCCACACCCCAACCCAACGGGTCTCAGCTGACTCCGCGTGTTTCACTTGTCGCCTTGTCTACCTGTCCCGCTGCTGCTTAGCTCTTCTTCGTATACGGTTTGTGGGATTTTACGTGCCGTTATTTACAGTGCGAAAACCTTGATAGCAGCGGTGGGCAGGACCAACCATGCTCTTCTGGCGACTCGTAGTAAGCATGCTCAAGATATGTAAGGAGAGCGGGGCGGGCGCAGTGCAAGCGCGGTGTCATTTCCGGTGATGGAGTTTGCTTCGGGAGTCAACAGTGGTGCAGGCAAGTCTCGGTGTGATAGAGTGAGCGTTGTAGAGTGAGCGTTGTAGAGTGACCATTGTAGAGTGAGCATGGTAGAGTGCGAGCTCGGTGAGCCCACAGCAGCTGCTACACCGGCTACTGTCCCTCCCACAACCATAACTCCGTGGCTTGTGTATCCACATTCACCAACCACCAACCACCAACCGCCAACCGCCAATCCTAGTCTGGTCTAGTATGACGTTGTTGGCTCCTCCGCTTTTTTCGGATGCAGATCTGAGAGACTTTCAGAGGCTGCACCATGAAGCTTACAAGCTAACTTTTGGCGGGAGAGTCTAAAGTGCACAAGGTGGAAATATGAATAAAGCTGGTGCTATAGGATTGGCAAAGTCAAACCGAGTGATATATACCGTCGGATATAACATTGAGGGCCGACATCATCTTCAACCTCAAGGATATCGGTGAGTCGAATGTACAGCGGCGAGAAGCCAGGGTGCGGTGGAGCTACGGCGATGACAGTGACGTACAGCCGTCTGCATTAGTGCGATGGTGGATCAGGTGGTGCACGGAGACGGCGGACTGGAGTACGATACAGACTGTGGTGGACACAAACCTGAGTGATACAAGTGGCACGACAATAGTTGTACGACACAGAAGCGACATCTGCGACTGCGACTGCGACTGCGACTGCGACATCATCAACTCGACTGCGAGCGACTGCGACATCGACATCTGTGACTGCGACATCATCAACAGCATCAACGTCTCTGCAGGGTCTGACAGGTTGGGTGCGTTTGTTCTCTGAGCCGCAGACTTTTTGTTGTGGAGAATGGTTAAGAAGACATGTTCGAAGCTGGAACCAGGAGATACCCAACTTCCGCCTTTGCCATTACCCCACAGCCACCACGAAAGCATCACTTGCACTGGTCTACTTGCTTTCCAGACAATGGAACTGACCGTATCCAGATAACTAGTATATCTTGGACCATCTCGATCCAGCTGACTACCATTTGGATCCGGTATTGTCCGCTCTTGACCTCCCTACCTTATACTAACCCAGATGACTACACCGGGCCACGTTCCAGACCCAGGTCAAGAAAAAGAAGAGTTTGATTTCGAGCTCGACCACAACCCCCAGGACCATGCCGTCCAAGAAACACAGCCTGCCGACAGCCATGTCCCCCAGGACCACCACGACCAGGACCACCATCACCAGCCACAACAGTATTATGGTGAGGATGATAGTTACGAGATGGAAAAGGGCGAATCGGCATCTCCCGAAGAAGGCGACAACAAGCTCCCACAACAGCCTCGATCTCTAGCACGCAGAATCAGCGAGGACTTCTTCTCGATTCGACCCCGACGTCACAGAACTGTCGACGATCCCACCCCGCGACGCGAGATGCTCAACAACACAAAACGGTCCTTCCCCAACCGAGCACCCGGTCCTCCACAACACCACTTCTTCTGGCGATTCTTTCATCCGTGGTGGTTCACGGATCATCTCAATCTCGATGGCTTCATTGTCATTCTGCGTGACTGGATCGTCTCTTTCACCATCATCATTCTGATGGTGGTACACAAGTCGGCGCGGTGGCTGGGTCCCTCGTGCTACCTCGGCCTCGTCATGTCTATTGTCATGCCTTCGGGCCAGCTGTCCATCATCTCGGCGTTTGTGATCAACGTCCTGCTCATGTTCTTCATCATGACGGGATGGGTCTGCGCCAACATTGTCCCCATGCGAATTAGCAACACGTATTTCTACGACCGATGGACAGTAACCGACTTTATGCAGGACGTTGTAAACAGAGGCCTCTGTAGCGCTGATCTCAGCAAAACAGAGCTTATGACTTGTCTCAATGAGCATGCCAGTCGAGGTATCTACATGAAGGGCAGCACGTCTGCTATCTACGCCTTCTGGCTAGGAGTAACTGGATGCATCCACTTCTACTTCAAGTTCAAGCACCCCGTGTACATCCCTGGAGCCATCACGGGCATGATTGCTGCCTGTGTGTCTCTTGTTTCGTCAGTTCACACCCCCTGGTTCGATGCCAAAGAGGTGGGAACCGGTATGATGAAGCCCATGGGTCTGGCTCTTGCGCTCAATATGTTTGTCGCAATTGTCATTTGCCCCGTCACCTCCTCTCACCAGTACATGGACATGATCAAGAAGGAGTACATGCTGCTCAGTTCTTTGATCAAATTTCAGCGCAAGTTTGTGGCCGAGACCCGACCTTCCAATGAGACCGAGTGGCTGAAGTTCAACACCATCGAGGGTCTTATTCTCAAGATCCGGGGTCTCTTCCCTGTGTTGTCGGCCATGGAGTCTTCTATGCCCATGGAAGTCACTATCACGCGGTACTCTTTGGCCCACTACCCTAGTGCAAAGATCACCGTCTCTCGTCTTGCGTCCATGATGAGCGGTTTCAGCATGTTCTATGACTCGATGGAAAACCTGCGACATGCTGTGCTGGAGTACCACAAGGGTGACACACAGACTCTGGAGCGCCAGCTCAGTTTTGCAATTGGTACCGACAATACCAAGCCAGACAAGAAGTCCAAGAAACCGAAGGACTATGCTCCCGTAGGTGCTTTTGAGACCCAGCACTCCATGGCTGGTATCCTGCGAGACGAGTGGAAGCGAGCTTCGGTTCAGGAGCAGGATGGTGGTTCCAAGGCTGTTTCTTCCGATCCACCGTTCTCTATGGCTGACCTGGACCATGTGATGGAGACGTTGGACAGAATCTCTGGTCCTGTTCTAGACTCTGTGGCTGAGCTACTCGATACAATGGTCTCCTGGACCAATGCCTGCAACCACTTCCGAACTTACGCTTACTTCCTTCCTTGGATGCGAAAGAAGCGAGTTGCTCTGCAAAAGGAGCAGGCTGCTCAGCTGGTGGAGGTCTACGAGCGGTACAAAGTGGTTCGAGATCAGTTTATTGCTGACCGCTACACCATCTTCACTGGCGCCGAAGCTGGAGTCCTCATTTCCCGTGTTCTTCAAGGTTCTCTGTACTGCGGCTACCTGCAGGAGATTCTACACAACCTGGACTTCATGGTTGATCAGATGATCGACATGGACTACAAGCAGCCCGAGCCCCACTTTGTTACTGGTCTCGGAAATTATGTCCAGATGAGCAAGTTCCGAATGTCTGTCTTCACTGGTGCTGGTGATGCCAAGTACAGCAATGAGACCGAGGCTGAGCAGAGCACTTTCTCTCTCAAGAGCACCATGGCCGAGACTCGTGATCCCGACGCCCTTCCTGGACAGCACATTGGTCACTCTGTGGGTGGATTCATTCGATCTACCTACCATCATCTTATCCAGACCAAGTTCATGGTTCCACTTAAGGGCTCGATTTTCGTCATCATTGCTTCTTTTCCCGCCCTGTTCAAGCACTCGCACCACTGGTACTACACTAACCGTCTTTACTGGGTCATTGTAATGACTTTCCTGTCGGTGGCCGAGCTGGCTGTCGATAACCTGTACAATATCATCAACCGTATTCTGCATACCTTCTATGCGGTAATCATCTCAATGGTTGCATGGTACATTAGTACGGGTAAAGGTCATGGTAACTCCTACGGCTACGCAGTCACCATGGGTATTGTCTACATTCCCCTGCAATTCTACCGTGAGTTCCATCCCATTGGTTCTCCCATCCCTACCATTGTGTTGGTTATCACTCATACTCTGGTGGTGGGTATTTCGTGGGTCGATGGCCAGAAGATCTCTACCTACAGCATTGGCGTGGGTTGGACTGTTGCGTGGCATCGATTTGTTGCTGTCTGCTGTGGTATTGTCATTGGTTCCATTTGTTCGTACCTCCCTCACCCTTACACCGGTAAGAAGGCTGTTCGAAAGATGCTCTCGTCTGTCATTCATGAGACCGGTAACCTCTTTTGTGAGGTGTCTCACTTTGCCGCGGAGAAGATGCGCAATCCCCGAATCGTGGTGGACGCCAAGGCTGATCCTATTGCAGCTCACATCAACGGTATCATCATGAAGCTGATGGGCGCACGTCGAACGACCATGATTCTCAAGTACGAGCCCGAAATGCAGGGTCCCTGGCCTGCCGCGGTGTACAAGGAGCTTATTGCGCTGCTCGGCGAGGTTGTCGAGCTGTATCTGCACCTGTACACAATTCTCAAGCGGTTCAAGGACCCAACGTTCTGGCTACCGCACGTTCTCAAGTGTATTGGATGGCGAAACCAAAACCTAATGTCTCACTATTTTGCCATTCTCTACATGTCTGGATCTGCTCTGGAGCGAGGTGTCGGTCTTCCCGAGATCACTCCTGCTCATCTTCTGATGGAGCATGTCCAGATGCTCGATGGTCAGCTCTACAGCTTGGCCACCGAAAGTGAGGTGGGTGTGGAGGACCCCGGTAGTCCCGGAAACCCCCAAGCCTCGCCTGACATTATTGAAGGAGCCGTCAACGAGCATGTGGATGTCTCCAACGAGCGTCTTCGAACCTCGGATGGTCTTCAGTACATTTCTGCCCTGTCGATTGCCAACAAGATTTACGACCGAATGGACCGAATTCTGATCCAGGTCAAGATGATTGTTGGTGAGCAGTACGGGTCCCATAATTATTATCTTTACGACCATCTCAACACGGTCTAGATTTTTGCATATAGAATATTTAATGTATATTGATGATTGACAAAATAATCGTTGTAATTTGATGGTCTTATTGTGATATCAGTTCACCATCTATTTGTAGACGTAATATATGCTGAACCTCTTAGTATTTTTAGTCATCAAGGTGTGTTCTTTCTCGACTCAGTTACTCCAACAACAAAAAAAAAAAAAAAAAAAAAAAAAAAAAAGCCTTCCCTCTCCTATCGAGTTTTGTATAGCTCTGTCCGTGGTTAGATCAATTAATGCCCAGTTAGGCAACAGGTAAACCAGCGCCCATCCAGTGTCGATCTGTCGCTCCGCAAATCGTGGTTGCACCGATCGGCGCTTTCCACTGTACAGTTGCCCATGCTCGTTGAGCACATGTTGGGATGTGGGCGTCTGAGTTCCACCAGGTTTGAAGATGTTTTATCGTCTTGGTCGGGAGGGAGGCTGAAGCGGCGGGGCTACCGAACTGTGTTGCTGTGCCGTACTTGTATTTCGTAGCTTGTTTCTACAGCTTGTGAAAATCAGCCGTAGTGCTACGACCCAACCAGTCCTTCATCAAGAGAAGACATCTTCGCCAACGAAATGGGCATGTAAAGCTCTTCATCGCGAGCACGTGCTGTCGAGGTGCTGTTTGGTAGTAGCTTGCGGGTTCGGAGCCCGCATACAGGGGCCGGGGCCGGGGCCGGAGCCGTGGCCCCTTCAGAGCCGTCCCTGAAGCCTGAGCCGTCTACAATACCTCTCTCCTCTCATAGTTTAATTTATCGGAGATGAAAAGAGCTCTTAACTTTGGAGATGGGAGTCGTAATGTAGCCGAGGCTGCGCAAAAGCAAATGCGTGAAAAGTTTTGCGCTACATTTTAATTCCGGTCTTGCGTCACCAACATAAGGGGTGCCAATTCTGCTAATGTCTGATAGCAGGCTTGGCACATGGATAACGCGAGGGGAATAAGTGGGCGGGATTAGCGTGGTGTGGTTGGGAAATGGAAGGAGGAAATACTGAGGATGGGCCAACTCTTGCATGTGCGAAAAACAGAACCAAGACCTCTTCTCAGTTAAAATTGAGAAGAAGAAAAAATTGGACGACACCGGAATCGAACCGGGGACCTCGCGCATGCTAAGCGCATGTGATAACCAACTACACCAGACGCCCATTTTTGAAAATGGTACATCATTGCATGCAGTATCTAAATTCTGACTTTTGAAAAAAATTAGAATAAAAAAAATAAAAAAAAAGATTCACCACCACGAGACCACGACAATGACATCAACTAGATGAAGCGTCGACAACCAACCGACAGCGCCCCGCAGCGCACATCGCAAAGATTCAGAAGTGTATGATTTATTGAACGCCAATAACCCGGCTTACTAGGTAAGCTGTAATGAATCATTAGAATAAAAAATAAAATAAAAATAAAATAAATGCTGTAATGAATCATTAGAATAAGGAAAATGAAGAAAAAAATTGCCAATTCTGTGTAATTTACAAGTTTATTAGATACTTTGTCGTCTTCTGATAGTGACATAATCTTTAATTTCTTTATGATGGTCCTCATTCTGGAGTTGCTTTTCTGTTACTTCGGAAAGAAGCCAGCTATGGGCTGAGAAAAATACATACTGGTTGTTCTGCGGTATTTGTGAAGCTATATAAGTATTTTTACTTCATTTCATTGTTCGTTTGATTTGCAAACTGACTCGGATACCGGACTTCTCCATGTTGCTTACTGTACAGTGATTGATTTGATACATTGAGATTGAGTGAACTCAGAACTCAGCTATTAATGTTAACTACTGTGCTTGTAGATTAGTACTCGCTGAGCTGGATAATGAGAACGTCCTTTCCGTGGCTTCTCTAGCTTCTCCAGAGTTCTTAGTTTTTCTCTGTTGAACAACTTGGCCATCTGCAATGCACTCGTTTCTTCCGTTTCCGCATCCCCGACACGATTTTTGAATGCAAGGACTCGGAATTTCACATATTACTTCAAAATATCGTCGGGTAGCGTTTGAAACCATTCTGTATCTGGCAGCGTTGACTTCACTTAAAGCAACACATGCTCCCACATCTGCAAAATGAGTAGACTGTCTAGACACGAAAGGTGAGTTCTAGGAACAACATGAAACCCTCGCCAGAACATGTTCGTGTTGGATGCTTCCTATTATTAATGGCTTGTAAGGGAGTCTTCTCGTCGAGAGTTCCGTGAGTTACTTGTACCATCTCCTTCAAGCACGTTCGAAAGTGTCTATTGTGAGCTGTATTACTATAAGTACTTGTTATGTCGGGACCGAGGAATAAATAAATGTTCTAGTGGCATATTCTCCTCTGCGAGTCGACCAAAGGAAATTCCTACCTAGCCATAGACGCCGTCATCGACAGGCATCATTCTCGACTCCAGATTCTTAGAGCTTCCCGACGTTAAGAATCTCATACTCTCGCTCAATGATGGAACTGGCGTCAAGGGCAATAACTCCTTTAAATTGGTGCGAGTGTAACGCAACTGGAATGACTAGTCTTCCTCCTTCTTCATCTCCGTCGTCTTGTCAACTCTTCAAGTTGTGATTCTACCCCTTATTACAAACGCTGGTACTGTACCAATCAAAAATCTATAGTTACATACAAATAAATAACACTGGTGTCCGAAGGAACCAGTTGCTAGATGAAGTCTAGCTTAATCCGTGACGTTGGATAGTGAGATACGTTTCTCGGACGATGGAGTTTCAATGAGACCCGAGGGCTCGTGAAACAAGCTTACTAATCAACTCTCACCAGCTCCGCTGGATCGAGAAGACTTCCATTAATTGTGCCGTTCCACGAACTCAACACCATCGCCAGAAACGCAGACTCGAGCTAAGGTGTTTAGATCTCTACGTACAACCGTCCATCAATGTGTTCGACGGCCGATCATAACCAGCATCAGACCATAGGGTGAAGTTGGCATTATCATATGCCGGTCGGTGCCTCTCAATATAATCATAGGTAGGGTAATCCTTGGGGTCACAAGTGATACTCTGCTGTCCCGGAGGCTGGTAGATTCTCACGTAGTCGATTCGCATCTTGGATGGGAAGCTGAGACTGGGCCAGTCAATGTAGGTCCACGAATTAGACACACCCAAGTTCATGATGATGGACATGGGTTCCTTGGAGATGGGTCGTCGGTCGACGTTACCATTGGGTCCAAGGGCAAAGGTGTGGAGAGTGAATGTAGGGTCGGAACCTACGTGCCACTGGATGTATCCATTGTTGTCGTCGTTGGTGTATTCGAAACCAAACGTCTGGAAGTATGAGTTATCGTCATTTGAACCGGCAGATGGGGTCTCGTACCACTCGTTGTTGAGCACGGTGATACCGGAGATGGCCTGTTGGAACATTCCACCAGCGTATGTGTTCATGGAGGTGACACTGGAGTTGTGGATCTCCACAAAGTTGTAATCGGGAATGTACCAGATATCAAAGGGTGCAACCTGCAGCGACTGGGATGCAACTCCAACGTGAAGAGTCGAGTCGACCGAGCCTTCCAGAGCATCAATCTCGGGAGCTCCTCGTCCCACGCCGGGGTTCGGATGGTCTTCACCCTTGCAAGTGCACTTGTTCAGTCTCTGGCCAGGAAGGTAAGAGATACCGTCGCTGGAGGACTGGTTGGGGGTGATTCCAGCGTCACACGAGTCGTACGAGTAAGGCCAGACTCCGTCGGTAGTACTCAGGTAGCCAGGACGTCCCAAGTTACCCATGGTCCATAGACCAGGCCACAGGCCAGGGGTTTCTTCCTTGGCCGGGGAGAGACGCCGAGATTTCAATGTAGCCCTGAGTGAAGCACAGCTTGTTCCACGACTGAACCATGCCGGACCGGTAGTACAGGTCGTGGTTCTTAAAGGCATCAAGAGTGAGCACCAGAGTACCATTCTCAGTAATAGCGGCGTCGGGGTCGTACCACTCCAGGTCGCGGGTGGCGGCGTAATGCAGGTCCACAGCGGTCCAGAAGGGGTCGTCCTTGGGGTAAAATGTTCGGCCCTCGAGGTTGAATTCGTCAGAGAACACGAGGTTCCAGGACGAGCCGTCTCGTGCAGTGTGAGAGGTGGCCGACGAAGGGGTATCTGGGTCGATGAGTGTTTTTCTAAAGTTGAGCTGGGGGAATCTGTACGCCGATAATACCTCGACATCGTGGGTGACGACAGGATGATCGATACGTTCGGTGACTCCAGAGTAGGTGAGAGCAGGCACGATAATAAAGACGGCAATGGCGCCCAGAATGAGTGCGATGAAGGCGATCAGCGAGCTGACGCCCCGGAAGTCCATTCGGTGGCACTTTTTGTCCATCTCCTGGTCCAGCACCGGGTCCGGGTTATGCAGGTAGTCATCTCCTTCCTTCTCGTCCATGTTGAGAGGGAACACCGACACCGGGTAGCCTCCAAACGGGCTGAACGAGTCCTCAGCCATGAGTGGGTGTTTCTCGAATGAGATATTATACGACGACAACGACGCTGCCACGGGGTATCTGTCAAACGACGGCGTGCCCATCTTCTCCTTCTTCAGCGAGTCGCTGGACGAACCAAAAGAACGCTGTTCGCCCGAATGGCGTCGGGTGCGCGGCATATACGGCGTGCCGGGCCCGTAGCTGAATTCTGATCCTTCCGAAATGTTGCGTGAGTTGTTGTATGGAGTTTCGGGGCCTCCGAGGTCCGGCGGAATGCCAGGGCTCTGCGCCGGGGTACGCATCTCGGGCGTCTGCTCCAGCGTCTCGTTAGACGTGGATGGGTGCTCGAATGAGTCCACGCTTTCGACATTGGTCTGGACGAGCTTGTCGGACAAGTTTTTGTCGGACGAGTTTTTGTCGGACGAGTCGCTGCCGTCGTTTTCGGGGTCTGTCAAGTTGCGCATGGTGTGATGGTGTTAGAAGACTAGAGAAACGATGGTCGGGGGGAACGAACGACGAATAACACAAAAACACGACTTGGTAGACAACGTCAAAGATCTAGGCCAAGGTAATATATGCTGCTAGTGGTGTTGGGTTTTCGGTCCAGGTGAGAGGGCAGCTCCTAAACTTAGCAACTTTGAATAATTTGCGCAGGGAAAGATGAGACTGGTGGGGGCAGTTTGAGAGCTACAAAAAAACGGAAAAGTGCGTCAGAACCCTGGGAAACGGAGTGTCGTATCTGTGGGTCTAGTTTTCTTGCATTTCTACCAGTAATTGCACCAGATACACTTCTCCTCCCCCGGCAATAAACTTCCTCACCCTCCCAGCCACTCACACCCACACTAACCTTTTGGTGAACGTTCAGAGGCGGAGTAGCAAGTGAGACCTATAGATGGATCTCTACGGGGACTGGAACAAACCACAAATATACAGCCACTTTGCTTATTAAGCGTGTTCTGTCCTCCAAGACACCTGTGTCCAAAACCGCCTGCATTTTCCGGAGCTTGTGCATGCACCCCTTGCAGCTATATGTATGCCTCGGATGGGGAAGTAAACACAAGACATTAGTGTTAGGAATAGTATTTCTTGTGATGCAGTGCATATAATGGAAATTCGAGGGCATAATTGGACTTGTTGCGTTGGGAGGAATTGATTGATATGTACAAATCGCAGATTGGAGCGGTATCTGTATGTGGATTATGTAATCACATTACTCCAGGGTTAGTTTCGGGAATGCAGAGTGGTTTGCAAAGGTGCTGCTAGCTGTTTTCAGAACCGACGCGTAGTCTCAAGAAGCTGGAGAAGAGTGTTTTTTGGCCTCCAAGTGGGCTATTTATGGCACTTTTTGCCTTGTCTGAAAATACAAGATTTTCAAATTAAGGTCGAGATGAAAAGAAAAAAAAGTCCGAGACAAAAACGCAGACAATGGGGCGCAGGTAATTATGCAAATATTACCAGAAATGGGGGAAATACGAAGGAAAATTTGCAAGGGGAAAATGCGCCGGAATAAGGATTAACCCGATGATTGGATAGGAGATATTCGCGGAAAAATTTAGACGTCCAGACTGTCTCGAAAAGAAACATCCGCCCCACACTGTCACCTGGCAAGTTGCCCGTTTTGGAAAGGTAATGGCCCAAATCATTTGAATTTCTTTGCCAAAAGCAAGCCAAGCAATGGGAGGCAGCATGCGTGCATTATCTACGAGATAGGGCGGTAGGGTAAGAGGAGTGAAGGGAGGGGATATTGGAAAGATGGCCAAATATGCGTGGTTAGTGGAGCGAGGCGGGTCTTTTGGCAGTAGTACTGTTTCTATATCTAGTCTACGGGAGGCTCTATATTGATGTTCATGTCATCATGTGTAATTACAGATGTACAGCGATATACTGTATATATATAAGCTTGGGGGTGAGATGACAAAAATGGGCGACCATAATAACGACAGTAGGGCTACTCGTACGGTACAAGTACTTGTACGGTCGAAAGTTGGTGTTGGCACCGGAGTGGTTAACTGGAAAGAGCCTCCGGATCAGGCAGGACTTGTGGGGCAATCCGGGATGGTCAGGAGAGCAAGCGGGAGTTGTGGAGAAAGCCACCGTGTGTATGGTCGTAGGTGCCAATGGTAGTTGTACTCGTACTGATTACTGTGGAACTACAGATGGTACTAGAGTCCGGTTTGGCTTGGTTTATTTCATTTTCAGTTTGACTTGGTTAACCAGAGTGGTTATAGACGGATCTGGAACGAGTATGTACTGATGTACAGTAGTGAGTAAGCTAGAGAGAAACCCCAGCAATATATACTGTATTGTATATTTTACAAGTACAGTATATACTGTATTGTTTATTGTACAAGTACTGTATACACAGTATACTGTATGTACAAGTACTAAATGGGAACCACGCTGGTCTTTTTAAGAGAGTAGCAGTTACTCCACGGTCTACTCCTCAGTGGCAGCACTTTACAGACAGATGGCTAATTAATGTCACATGCTTGAAGTGGATCTACCAGCAGCTATTATAAGATCGGCAATGAACAGTTGCTCTGTTAAGCAACGATCTCACGTGTTCAGATGCCGTTACAAGTAGCTATTATCTGTTTCAGATATCGATAACCAGGAGTGTGGACTTCATTATTGAGAAGTCACTACAAGTTCAGCATTAGAAGTTCGGTGTAAAACAATCAAACTACTTGTAGTCTGGTTGATTATTCAGCATGCGTACTACCCTCCCACCAAGTATCAGGTTGGATGTTTGCTTACCGACTGACAACTATGGTATATATTCATTCACCACAGATCACGTGTATTGAAACTCCGCGTCTCCTTCCCACCTCAACCACGTGCTCCACACCTGTCGTCCAACACACGTCAGGAATGATAACAAACCACATGTTCGACATCTCTCAGCCATCGTTACCTTGTCGATCTCGTTTTCAGCCCGATCCGCCATCCCTGCCCCAAAAATTTTCACTTCTCAAATATCGTCAGTTCACTGGACGTGTTAGACTCACCAAGGGATAACCAAGGTTTAACGAAGGGGTAGGAATGATATTGAGAATCGACCTAGAGGGGGTTTCAGCGTAGAATACAGAGGGGAAATGACATGGTTGTGTTTCTCAGTGTTTCGGCACCACATTGATATAATTATTTACCAAAATAGTTGAACACACGACTCACAATTGGCATACCTTGATTTTGCTTCCTTCGTTAAATTACTGACATCAGAAATGAGCTTACCGTTTTACAAATAGTATAGGAAGCTCCAAAATCGCAGTAGCTCTCCAAATATACCAAATATATACATGTTCGTCTGTTCAATATCATTTTACCATACAAGCGTGAACTCTCCACACAAATATTCATCTCTACTGGATCCAATAATGCACCGATTTTGAATATAAAAACACTGACTTGTTCTTGTAATCTTTGACTTGATTTCAATAAATTATCTTCTCTATAAATCCCCATCCTCGACTTCTTCCAAGCACCATCAAAAACACACCCTTCAGACACTATCATGCGCCTCCAAAGCTTATCAACGCAACCTTAACCTACGTCACACGAAATATAATTGATCATTTCATTAACGCAGAAAACCACCTGTTCCTTTCAACTACACACTCTCAAACGACCAAAAAGAGCCCAATTTGCGCCCAATTTTTTTAATAAAGCTACACGTGACCAGCCGAAACACGTGACTGAACTTTCCCGCGCAAAAAAGCAATGTCTTTGCCTACATATGAACAGCCGAAAAAATCGTGGCTCTCACTGCCCACCAACCCTGTGACTCGACTGAAACAGTCCCTCTTCTTCAACGTCCAGAACAGCCCCTACACCAGATCCCGTGATGAGATCCTGCGCGAGATTGACACGCGACACAGACACGACACGCAGGAGTTTCTCGAGCTTCAGAAGGCTGCCGTTGACCTGGTAGCTGTTGGAGAGCTCAGTGGCACCTACAAGACTGTTGATTATGTGATCCCTGAGCCTGAGAAGGATAAGGGACAAGGTGGAGATAATGACGATAGTGAGGACGACAGCGATGATGATGAGGTGGTGGAGGCTGGTCCTTCTGGTGGCGCTATTGAGGAGGCGATTCCTGAAGCCTCGTCTTCTCTAGCTGGACCTTCTGGTTCAGGACGGGAAGGTCTGTTTCGACCTTGCTCGGAAGAGTCATACGAGCTGCTCTCTTACCTTCCTCTCCCCTTCACCAAGCCCTGCACAGTCTACCGAACTGGGTATGTGTGTGAGGCGGCTGCGTCTGTGCTCAATGCCCTGCTGGGCTTCAACGTGGTCCCTCTGACACGTGTTACTTCCGTCAAGGATAAATTGGGCTCTTTGCTTGAGCTTGATGACGATGCTATTGCCGCCTTTGAGTACTTCAAGGCCAACGGCGAGGAAAATACTCCCGAGTGGCTCAATCTGGAGATCCAGAAGCTCGCGGTGGTGGACTGGCTGTGTCGAAACATGAACCGAACCCCTGGCAATTGGTACATTAACACCGCCACCGAGCAGATTCACGGTAACGGTCTGGACACCGGTTACGACTCGTGTTTCCCCTACAAGCACCCCTGGATGTTCCGGTGGAACCTTCCTGGCAAGGTGACAAGTGCTCCCTGGAGCGAGGAGATCAGAGCTCGAGTTGTGCCTCTGCTAACGTCACAGGAGTGGTGGCAAGTTGCCTCGGACGCCTTGTACCATACCTTCTTTGACAACCACGACGACTTTGAGGAGGGATTCTGGAACTCTCAGTGGGCCATTTTCCGCGGCCAAGCTTACTTGCTGTTGAGTAACTTGCTCAGAAAAGACTCTACTCCTGACGACTTGTCTCGAGGCCATCCTAAGTTGATGATTGCGTACGATGGAGGTATGGACAAGGCTCAGAGAGGCGTGGAGTTGTACATTGAGCCTAAGGGTAAATAAGGAAGCAGGCGGCTATCACTTGAGGACCTAGGACCGTAGTGGTTAATATTCTGTACTCCCACGCGCTGTCCCCATATCTCCTTATCGTAGTCTGTTTTACCTAGTCACCCAATATTTAAATAGTAATAGAGCATGTTTCGTATGACTGTGGCACAATTGTAAGACATTCAGTAATGAGTGTCAATTGGACTGTATGTTTTGTTTTGTTTTTATTATATATAACATAATGCATTTGTACAAGCATCGTAATATCATTCATTTGTGGGAGTGTTAACAAATGGATGTACTAATACCCCCTCTCTCAGCCGTGATGTTTCAAGACATCGACCTCAGTGCCATGTTCATTTAGTTATAGTCGCTCAACTAAGTTCTGACATTATCTCAACAACTTACCTAATTCCAAGCTCCACAATAATGGAACTCCGTCCAGTTGAAATTTACTTGAAAGTACCCCAGAACTACATAAATTGTATCATTATCATCCTCTAATATCTCTGATTTCAAATAACCCCTCATCCTACTACTTAATCTACCGCTACCCAAAATAATCCCACCTTGTTCATCCCCAACTCGTGTGGGTTAGGGTTCAGGATAACCACGCATATCTCCGCCGGACTCTATGATATCTTATGCACAGCTCATCATAATCGAAACGCGATACAGCACCAAAAGCAGAAGCAACCAACCGAGATTGACGTTGCTTGACCGACCAATCAAAGCAAGCATTTGGCCAGTCAGATTGCGTTTCCCGGGTAACTGATATTAGAGCGACAACATATTGCTGACAACCTGAAACACACCGACAACAGTGAGTATGAATGAGTGGTTTGATTGAAGAGCTGAGAGCAGTAGGATAGGATAGAAGGTGTCGGGACGTCACTTGAGTGTGTATGGAGCGATAGGAGTCCCGTCACATGACCTCAGTATCGTGTGATCTGTCTTTAGCCATATGAAGAGGTGCAACATACCGATGGCACTAGCTGACTTTCGCAGAGAGCAGCTGTTCATGTGATGGTTGTGGTAATGTGATCTGATTCCTCGAACAGTTTAATTGCTATCTTCTTCCCATTCTTGGGCTGATATGTGGCGCATTCCGTGGTTGAAGTGGTATCCACTTCAAGCAATCACATTGATGATGTGTGCCCTCCTCAGCTGCAACCCTCTCTATGGGTTCACTCAGATCTACGGTCATCGTTTTTGTGACTCTCTTTCCGTACTAACACAGTGTCCATCTACGCCTTGGACGACTCTACTCGTCAACTTCTACAAGAAGAAAACTTTCTGGGCCGGTTTTCCCCCAAAGACCTCGTTGAGCAACTCTCTCACAACGGCGACGCTCCTCCCGCCAACGAGTCGACGCTCGAGTCTCTCGATCCGAAACCTTACATTCGTACGTTTGAAGCTGCTCTGAATGAATTGAAACGACTAAGAGAACAAGTTTCGTCCCGTGAGAATGATGTCGCCGGCGACGTGGATCAGGCCGAGCTGACCCATTCGAGAATCGTTCTCAATCTCCAAAAGTCGGTCCAGTCTACAGTCTCCGAGTACACCGACATGGAGCAGTTGATGGCCGAGGTGAGCAAACAGACGTCCTCTCTGGGCGACAAAATGGACCGTATTTCGGGCCAGCATCAAAAGGCCATTGCATCGCATTTCCTCATCAACTGTTACCTTTCGTTTGTAAAGAAGAGCAGCTGTTTGGAGCTCGAGAGAATGTGGAAAGACGGTCCCAGTGGTCAGCGAAAGTGTGCCACCTACGTGCGCCAATTATTGATTCTGTCGTCGAAGATCGACACTGTGGAGGCTTGTCGACGAGCCCAGAGTGATATTGAGAAGTTTGCAGAGAAAATCGAGAAGGATTTACTCGATGTGTTTGACCAGGCATACAGAAACGCCGATATGCTGATGATGAAGGACTCGGCCGACGTCCTGACGGACTTCAACGGCGGAACGAACGTTATTATGGCGTTTGTCAACCAGCATGACTTCTTTATTGCTCAGGATAAAGTGGTGGCTGCCAACTCTGAGCCAGATGAAGCTGTTCTCAAAGAACTGGCTGATCCTAACAACTCCGATCCCCAATTCGACCATGTGACCGAAGAGCTCTGTTCCGAGGTTGTTTCTGTGGTCAACACCGAAACCGAGATCATCAAGCGTGTTTTCAAGGAGCCCGTGGTTGTTTTGCAGGTGTTCCTTCAGCGAGTATTTGCCCAGCGAATCCAGCAGCGAATCGAGCTGTTTCTGAGCTCTGCAGAGGCCATGAGTACCCTTGCATACGTCAGATCGCTGCATCTGGCTTACAATGTGGTCTCTAGTTTGGTGAAGAAGTTGAAGGACTTCTTTTCGTCGGAGAACCTCGACACTCACGATTCCCTGGCAGCTCTGCTTGACCAGAACTTTGCCGACATCTTCATTCCCCATATCGACAAGAATCGGTACTTTGAGAGCGAAAAGAAGTCACTTAGTGAGCTCATTTCTGCTGCTCTATGGAAGTTCGCCGAGTTCCACGAAAAGAAGTCATCACACAAAGAAGGTGGTCTGCTTGGTCGAATCACCCATTCTCTTGACAACGAAGACAACAAGGGTATCGGCAACTTCATGCGAAACTTCAGAGACAGAAACGAGCGTCACAGCACTCCTGACTCGCCTGTTCCTCTGGAGCCAGAAGATGGAGAGATTAAGATTGATGTAGTGCAAATGTGTCTGAAGTGTCTGGCTGAGAGTATTCAGCGAGTGCTTGAACTGGCACACCAGAATGAAATCAACGACTGTGTGGTTTCTCTGCATGACCTGCTGATTGAGTCAGTGGGTAAGAGTTACATTGAGACCGGTCTGGACGATGCCATTGTGTCTCGTGACATGAAGACCATCTCTTTTGTGCATCTCAAGACGATCCGACGAGTTCTGACTGCCATTCGACTCATGTCCGTTGTGATCAACTCTGTGATTGTCCCTTTGACCGATTCTCATGGTCAAGGAAGACGATACATTGTCATGCAGACCAATAATTTTTTTACAAAGTGCGAAGAGAAGATCAATTCAATTCTGCAGGTGACCTTGGACATTGTTTCTGCTCGAGTTACTGTTCTGTTGAGCAAGCAGAAGAAGCGAGACTTTCTACCAAAGGAAGACACCCCTACACATCAGCCCACTAGCACTTGTCTCGAGCTGATTTCTTTCCTCACAGAAGTGCACGATGCCGGTGCCATCTTTCTCATTGAGCAAACACTCAAACAGTTCCTATTCCATGTTGGAATCGAATTTAGAGATGCTCTTCTTGAGCATCTTAAAAAGTTTACCGTCTCTGTGGCTGGAGGCTCGATTCTGAGCATGGATATGGCCAACTACACCAAGATGGTCAACTCGTGGGGCATCTCTGAGTTGTCTGAGGCGTTTGTGATTGTGAACGACCTGGCTGGTATTTTCGCAGCTGAGCTGGCCATGGTTAACTCACTGGTCAAGGAGGGTCCTCTGAGTAAGACCAAGCCGTTTATTCTGAAGGAGTATCTGAGTAAACGAAGTGATTATCAGGGAGGAACGGTGAACAAGATGTTTGCAGCAACGAATAAGATCCAGGCGTTGGGTATGATGTAGACATGACCCCTGAGCACATCGTATGGGTCTTAATTCGCATCTTGAGCTGAGCGATGATGTCGCATACTGTGGTCAGCGCAAGTGCTTGGCTGGTATATATTGACAATCAACATTAGATATTGATGATACTTGTAGTTTGTTTAGCTGTGGTGTACCTCTGAGGCAGTCTCATCATCCTCATTTTTTCAAAGTACAAACACTGGCACGAAAACATTTATATCCATCCTATTCCCCATGAACCAAACTTTCATCCTAACACAAGATCCGGGGATAGCCGACTATCAGCGTCGAAAGGGACAATTACCTTACCTCATGTCTCTAGTGATCAAGATGTACACAATCTGATTGTCGTACCGAGTCGGGAACCCGAGATATGTTTGCACAATGAGTGTTGTTCTTCCCAACTATCATTTCAACTAAATCTCAACTAAATCTGTTAAGCCGCTAATATCGTCAAGTAAATGGTTTCTCTGGTTGGAGCATTGGCTGTTATATTATTTCGGCATAATACAGCGCGCGCCTGACTACACGGTCTCACTGCTCGATCTTAGTTCTCTTACTCTATGTATCAGCCTGGGTTAGAATATATCCTGAGAAAGCACAAAGACTTTGCAAGAAGATCAGTGGAAAGGTGAAAATCGTTTTTTAATCAATGTTGTTCATGATTAGCATGATTGGATCATCAGTGCAATGTCAACCAGGGGTTGGCTAGGGTACTCACTTGAGAGGTAGAGAAGATAATAAATTAATTGTAAAGGGTATCACGAATTTGGGATAGAGTCGTCATCAAAGAGTTCTCAAAGAGTTCTCACAGGGGCTGGGTTAGTTTGGTTCGGAAAATTCAACCACAGTTGTGTTCAATTTCAGATATTCCTTTTGGCTAGGAGTCGTATCACCATGAAAATAAAGATAATAAGATTGGGGCGACAAAGGTTCATCATTGACATCAAAGCATCCGGATGGATGTCGGATTTCCAACTGTTTTCGGGTACTCACGTATCATGTTGTATGGTGCGAAGTAAGAAAAGATTTTTACCAAATTCTTAAATAGCATTGGGAGGTTAGGCCGGGTAAATTGAACCCTACCTGGTCCTGGAAATAGACTCTGCTATGTTATGAGCATGGCTTATGTAAGCGGAGTGGAGGGTGAAGAGGAGCTGCAAAAGTGCCGTGGAATTGATATATATACAAGTTCAGTATCGCACAGTGCAGTACAGTAGGTGAATATGTTTTGAAACCGCTGATAGGGTTTAGTAAGGCTCATTGGAGAAGATTGGGCTGTTCTGTCTATCGAGAAGCGTGAAAATCGTGCTATTGAGGGTTTCCAGGGTCCATAATTGTCCGGAAAAGATAGAATGAAAGAACTGAACAACAATTACACTGAAATTATATATTACTTTTGAATACTTCCTTTCTAAACACACATTTTTGTCCTTTCGATCACCCCAGTAGAATCAATAGAGTTAGATCGATGTAAATACATGCATGCATAAACGGGATAAATTGAAACGCGAAAACAGAAAGTCGAATCATACAGCAAGAAAGTCTACGGCATGGAATCATGAGCAGGTTCACGTACCGCAATCTCTACAATCTCAAAACCCCGGAAAAGTCGTTCGACTCGCCCATGGCCTGCATTGTGCACTTGGACATGGACGCCTTCTTCGCCCAGGTGGAACAGGTGCGTCTCGGTCTTCCTCCAGGCACTCCGGTGGCGTGTCGACAGTGGGACGGACTGATTGCTGTGGGCTATGCGGCTCGAGCGTCGGGAATCACGCGTCATATGAGAGCTCCGGAGGCCCAAAAGCTGTGTCCTAATTTGGTTATGGCCCATGCAGCTTCTTTCAAACGAGGAGAAGACATGTGGGAGTACCATGCCAATCCCTCGGCGGACGACTACAAAATCTCTTTGGATCCCTATCGACAGGCTGGAAAGAAGGTGCTCAACATTGTCAAGCAGTACTCTTCGGTGGTGGAGAAGGCCAGTGTTGACGAAAGTTATCTCGACCTGGGCCCTCGGATCTTCAATGAGATCATGATTGCATTTCCTCAATTGCAGCTTCTGGACAATGATCTGGACAATTTCCTGCCCGCTCCACCCCGTGCCCATGAGCTGAAGATCAGAGGATACAACTGGGACGGTCTGGGAGTGCTGGAAATCGTCACTGATGTGTCACGATTCGATCCTGATATCAGAGTTCATGACGATACCATGGTGACGGACTGGGACGACCTGGTTCTCATGTTTGGCGCCAGAATATCCAAACGGATGCGAGAACAAGTCTATGAAGAGCTCAAGTACACTTGTTCGGCTGGTATTGCGCGCTGTAGAAGCGTGGCCAAGCTGGCTAGTGCACAAAACAAACCCAACAATCAAACGGTGGTCAGAGCAGGAGCTCTCAACAACTACCTGAAAAAGAAGAGTCTGACAGACATTGGAGGAATGGGGGGAAAGCTGGGAGAGGAGGTTTTGGAGAAGCTGGGGCTGGATAAGGAAAGCAAGGACAATATCACCCAAGTCCAGGCCTTGTCGAAACAACAGTTGCAACAGAAGCTGCAGAATGCTTCTCTCACAGAAAAAGTGTTTAATCTGGCACGTGGAAATCTGTATCGAGGACTCAAGACGCGAATTGAGCTCAAGTCGATGCTTTCAGCCAAAAACTTTGCCAGAGTGCCCTTGAAGGATCGAAAGGAAGCAGAGTTATGGCTGGTTGTGTTTGCAGGAGAGCTGGCTATGCGTATTGTGGAGCATGAAAAAGAGCTGGGCACCTGTAGGCGTCCCAGAACGGTGTCTCTTCAACATGCTCGGTTCAAACCGATGGTGAAGCGGTCTAGACAGCAAGACTTGCCATTGGTACACACTAATAAGCTGAAGGAGGAGTTATTTGCTGCTGGTGTCAAGCTGCTCAAGCTGATTGAGAATGAGCCTGAGCACGATGCATATCCCATATCCATGCTTTCTCTGTCTGTCACTGGGTTTGTGGAGCTTCCAGCGGGTGCCTCTATTGGACATTTCTTCAAGACCATCACCACAGAGGCTCGAGAGAAGGCCGCGGTGGAGAAGACCAAGGCTCAGCAGGTCAACACATTGTGGAACAAGCCCAAGGAGGAGAAGAAGAGCTCGGGTAAGGACATCACGCAGTTCTTTGCCAAGAAGCCCAAAGAGAAGAAGGATTCTGATGAGACAACCAAGAAGCCAGAAGCATCCGACCCCGAAGTGAAGAAACCTCTGAGTTCTGAAGCTAATGATTACAACTCCTCTTCGCTATTCGTGTTCAGTGACGATGAGATGGACGAGTACATTGACACCTTCACTTGCCCGAAGTGCGACAAAAAGTACCCCATCGATGAGGAGATGGAGCACAGTGACTGGCATGTGGCTGTGGAGTTGAGCAAGGCCAATCGACCTGAACCCAAGCCTTTGAAGGTCGTCAAGCCCAAGGGGAAGAGAAAGGGAGATCGTCAGGCGAGGTTGGCCTTCTAGGCGGATATGAGGCCAATCAGAGAGAGGCAGGGATCTGGAGTGCGAGTACTGTACTGTACTCAGGTTTTGCTCTTCCGTCTTGAACAGCAGTATTTATTATAGGCATTTGCATGACACGAGGTTACTGTAGGCTGTAAGCTGTAATCAAGAGACAGATTCTCAGACTATATATATTGTGTAATGTACAGTACGCACAGTATAGTGCACTGTGATATAGACGTCCAAGGAGAACTCGGCTCAATAGAAAACAAGACACTAGCGGTCTCTAAGGGGCCCATGATACATAGATGTACAGTTCTAAGAGGTACGTCTCTGAAGTCGTCACGTAACAGAGCATAGCACGATATGGAACATAAGGGAGTGGATAAATAAAGATGAAAACTTGTGACATAGTTCTGCTGAGTATACACAACAAGATTATATTGTCAGAAAGTTCAATACCGCTCAATTTAGAAAAAGAATTAGCCCTTTTTTTCGTTTTTTTGGTGGTTTTTTTTTTTATTCTAATGATTCATTACAGCTATATACCTAGTAAGCCGGGTTATTGGCGTTCAATAAATCATACACTTCTGAATCTTTGCGATGTGCGCTGCGGGGCGCTGTCGGTTGGTTTGTCGACGCTTCGTCTAGTTGATGTCATTTTCGTGGTCTCGTGGTAGTGAATCATGGCTAACAGATCAAGAAATCATATCAATCGTTGATGGTAATTTTTGGAAAACTTCAACATGACTTACCGTCTTTATTCGCAAAATCACGAGATTTCCGATATAGTGTAGGGGCTATCACATCACGCTCTCAAGTTGAGAACCGTGGAGACCGGGGTTCGATTCCCCGTATCGGAGTACAATCGTCTGATTTCTTTTCGTCCGTCCTACACGGTGCTTTTTTTTGTCTGCTCTCAAATAATGGTGGGAGAATGTGCGTTTAGATGTTGAGATAGTGTGCTACAGTACGTTGTGCAGTTCAGACTGAGCCTGACACTTGACGATAACCCAATTTGTTATTGAACCCACCTGGTGGGGAGACCAGACATGCATGGCAACTGTCCCCGTGACCATGCTCACGTGTGTGGCTTTTGACAACATACCGCCCAGACCAGTAAGCGGTTGCTTCCAAATACCGCACCAAAACGAGGTGTTTGTCTGATAGTAGTACAAGCCACTCACGTCACTGCTTGTACCGGTTCTTGCGTTGGACACTCATCTGAGCCAACTATAGCCAAATTGTATTGCGGGAAGCTATTTTTTCACATTAGCGCCAGAAGCGTTTAACGTCGCAGAGCGAGCTAATGAGACACGACGCTGTTAGCAGTAATGTGATACAGAAGAGGGCTGGGTTGGAGAAGTGAAAACGGGGAGACTTTGGCACTGTACTGCTCACGTGGTCAACAGCGTGGGGCTCTTGGTGTACTTCTCCGCCGCCGCTCCTGTCAAACAGGCTCCCCCTCTTTCCGGACCATCTCGTTTCCAGGGTCAACCAAAATTGTTTGCTCCCAAGCAGAACTCTATATCACCTCTTATCGTGCGCTATACATGCGTGAGTATTCACATGTCGCTCGCTACAATAGCCACAACTCCGGTGACACAGGTAGGAACACCGTCAGAGGGCAGCTTCAGGTAACAGGCGGGATTCATATATACCGGAGCCACAAACCCCATCTCACAAGGGGAAAAAAAATACACAAGAAATCAACATCCACTCCGCAGCTTCAGCTCTACCACAACATGTCGCTATCGCTGCCTCCGGAAATCATCACCATGGTGTGTTATCACCTCGACACAAAAAGCCTCCTTGCTCTGGAGGCCAGCTGTTCAGAAATCCGAGCAATAACGTCGTCGCGGTTTCTCGACGAGGCGCTATTTGCACACAGATGCCGAGACCTGTGCCAGTGGATCTCTCCTCAGTATGGCCATGGCTCCTGGAGAGGCACTCTACGACGTCTCAAACGAGTGGTGACGCCCATGGACTATCACAATTTGCATTTCATGTACGAGCTGGCCGAAGGCGGGCGTCTTCCCAGCCGTTTCCGCCGAGGAGAACTCGTCAAACGAAGTCATCTCAACACAAAGATGGAACGGGAGGGCAAGAAAACTGACCAAAACAAACGACTGAGCGTGATAGCGTCAGACGTTGTTGCCCGCAACTTCCGCTGCAAAATCCTCCACAACCGCATCCAGATGCACCATAACGGAGTCATCATCACCCTCAACATGTCCGACCAAATTGGAGTTTGTGAGACAGCACGTCCGGAGTTTTCAATCAAGGACGATGGAGAAAAGGGCTGGAGATACGAGTACGAAACGCGTCTGGGACAAGTGGTGCTGCCGTTTGAAGCTTCTTTCATTGCTCAAACAGACGACCATATGACAGTCAAGGCCATCTCGGGAGACTCCAAAGACAAATTCTTCTTCGTGGACATGACCACGCTGCCTCATAAACAGCCCATGAAAGTGCCAGCACACACCGCTTTGCACACTGTGGGATCCCTTGCTCTTCTTACTGATGATTCACACTTACATGTTGTGCACCAAACTGGAGTCTACTCGTTTGGAGAACAACATGGAAGAAAGAAGTTCACTGTGTGTGGACCCTTCCTCGTGGTATTGTACGACAACCTGGTGCTCTCCGTCCTCTACCAAGATGACTCTTCCGTTTATTTGGTGGGCCATGTCGTACTCCAAGGATGGAACTTTGAAACTGCTAGACTGGTAGCAGACGTCACCCTGCATAAATTCGTCATGCTGTGCTCAGATAATTGCACGCTGCTGATGGATCTAGAAACCCTAGAGATGGACACCTTGCCTCCATCCCAAATCAACAGTATTGATTCGGAACTCAACGCATGGGCTTACTCCGAGCGGTATCTCAAGGTCATAGCCTACAAGGCTGCATGTATCAAGAAGGCCACCGAGGAGAGAATAGGACGAGTGATTGAGGAGCCGTTTGTATTCGACTTTCGCTACGTGAACAATGTAGCCGAGGAAGGGTTGATTCAGATGAGCACCCATTCAACTATCGTTTAAGCATTATAGAAATAAAGTGTAACTGATTACTTGGGGTGTTGTAAATTAGTTAATCTCTTTCTGTTAAACTTACGAATTAATTATGTACAATTATGTTTCCTGATTCCAATAAATATAAGGCTGGGCCGGATTATAGCACTTCCAAGACCACTAGACCCGGTTCCAGGCTCTCCAACCCATCAATGTGGTCCAATCCAAGATGGAATCGGGTCTTCCACACCTCCTTGTACGCGGGAAGGTCTAGCTCCTTCAGACCAGCTACTGGTGCAACAAGGAGGGGGTTAATCGGTGCCAGAGCTGCAATGACATCATTGACATACTCTGGAGAAGATCCCATGAGATCCAGAACCGTCACCATGGTCTTTTTGTGTCTGATTTGGATGTTTTCGATCTCATCCGTGACTCTTTTGAACAGGTTTGTTCCTAGAGGATGGTCTTTATCGAGAATCTCAAGCTCACCCTCTGGAATACCTAACAGCCACGAGGGAGGTTTGTATGTTCTCCAGTAGACCACTGTGTGCGAGCCGCTGTCAACGTGTTTGGACAGGTAGTGTTGGGCTGGAACCACTCCTCCTTGATGAAGAGTACCCATAAGGAAGCCCATGATGATGTTGAACACGTACGACAGGAGGAATATAGCCGAGGTAAATCTTCTTGGCACAGCATTGATGTCGTAGCAGGAAATCAGGAGCGGAACTGCCGGCATGAGGAATCTAGCCTCCTGGTGGGGAAACAAGGACAGGAAGAAGACACCACTGATGGCGCTCTGGAACTGCAGAGACTTCCAGTATTGAGAAGGGGTTCTCAGAAGAATAAGAAGAGGACCCAGAAGCACAGGGAGGTTGCTCACGAGGTGTGTGAGTCTGTTGTGAATGCCGTGCTCAGCCAGATTGTGTCCTTGAGAATTGTACAGGAAGGAGTTGAGGGGAGTGATGGTCCATTCAAGGTCATAATGAACTGAATCAACATGGATGACAAAGAAGGCCGTGAGAGCTACACTGGCAATAAGCAGTATGAGCGACGAAATGTTATGAATGAGGTACTTCCGTAGGTAGGTCAGTCCAGGAACAATGAGCCATAGAGGGAAAGTAACTCGGTTCCAGGTTCCAATGACAATAAGCAGACCGAGCAAACCAGCATCCATAAACTTGTGGACACGTTGATGGTGCATTGAGTGCCGTTGCTGGCTCTCTTTGATGATCACAAGACACCACAGTACCAGCAGTGTCTCTGTGGAGTTGGAGAAGGTATGGCTCTGGTATGACCACGTGACGTAGGAGCATCCCACGAGATACAGCGTCTTGGTCTTGCTCTTTTTGCTGTCGCTCAATCGGTCCAGAGCCATGTCTCCCAGAATCCAGTATGCCAGCGCGTGGCCGGCTCGGATGAACCAGTAAGCTTCTCGAGGCGACAACTGACCCTTCCACAGGAAATTCAACACGCTCAGGGGAGCAGTATACAGGATCCATAGCGGCACAAAGCTGCGAATGGGACTGTCGCCCCTGAACTCCCAGGTGGTTTCATGGGCCCAGTCAAACAGGTTGCCCAGCGCGTACTCCGGGCCCTGAAAGTGCTCATCGGGGTGGATGTAAGACGGCGAGATGGCGAGATGCAGGCGCAGCAGCAGCGACAACGCCAAAATCAGACGGTTGTTCCAGATCATGGTACGAGTGCTGGAGAAGGGCAGTGTTTGGTAGACTGAATGTTCTCGTACTGGTCACTAGTGCGCGTCTCAGCTGCAACTGGTACAGAGGAACGTGTCAGGGGAATGTTACCTTGAACTGAAGGGTGATATGAGGCGAAATAAACGTGTCGAGGCGAATTGAGGCGTATACCGGAAGGGCAGTGTGAATGAAGACGTACGTTCATCCATCTGCGGGGCCAATAAGGTGCTTCCAAACCCTCACCGAACATAAAAGGTAGCTAACCCAACCCACCGACCCATCCAAAGCTAATAAATCCGAAGTCCATATCCGATAAATCCAAAGCAACAGAACGTGAGCCATAGAGAGTAAAAAAAAAAGGGAAACGCAAGTGTTTATATAAGAAGAGAGAATAGACCAGCATCACATAGACCGTGTCATACACCCATTTTCTATATACCGTAGCATGGTGACACACATTTCTACCATGGCTTCACCACATGCCATCTATCATATTATTATATAAAGACTCTAAAGACTCAGTTGTCTCAGAAATACGATCCCTAAATCTCCACTACAATCACAAACTTATATAGATGTTAATATGTTAATATACTCATAAATTACCTGCCCGTGCATAATGTCACAATAAATAGAAAAGGGGTCTGATGTGAGAGGAAATGACTCCAAACTCGCTTGAACCGTGCCTTGCAGACACGCTTCATCGTCGGAGCCGGGAGGGAGAAAGACCGATCCGGTACCCGTCCTGCGTCTTGATGGGACTGTCCAGACGAATACCCTCCTCAATAATCATTCGTCGAAAATCAATAGAATCCCAGTTACCAGATCCGGGAGAAGCACTCTTGCCTCCGTCAGCGCCGCCATTCTCCACTGCCCGTCGAACCACCTGACACACATCCACGCCAAACACGTCAACGTGGTCGCCAGAGTGCTCAAATAACACCGAGTGGTCCAGGAACTGCTGCGATCGAGCCGCCCGCTTGCCAGGCGAGCCAAAGCACGCGCGGGAAATGTGGTCGTCCTCATCCAGCAAGGCCTGCACACGTCGCGACGAAGGCGAATGGGCCAGATCGTCCAGCTCCCGAGATGTTACAGGAGGACCCATCAGAGAGCCTCGGGGGGAGTCCGACAGAACAGACTTATGCAGAGGAGACCGGAACCGAGGAGAGGTGAAGGACGGGAGGTTCGACACGGGAGGGGCCAGTGTAGTAGCGGGGGTTAGAGGGGCCAGTGTAAGGCCTCCGTTACGAACTGGAGAAAGAGCAGCGGCTGTGGAGAGAGCAGCCGAGCCCACAGCACTGAGTGCGTTGCTGCCGCCAGTGCCTCCACCTCGGACGGGCGAATTGCCATACCGTCCGAAAGAGAACTCGGTCATTGACGAGTAGCCAAACGAAGTTCCGGAAGACCATGACGTCGGAGGCATCATGGACTGCGACTGAGCATCAAGCTTCAGTGTACCCAGGCTGACACCTCCACCGAGCATGTGAGCGGCTCGCCCGCTGTTGAGCATCCGCCGCTTGGCACTGTGGGTCATGGGGTACATGTCCAGGTCGTCCAGAGAGTGCTTGCCCCGTGTGGGCGAGTCCAGAGACAGCGAGGTGGAAGAGAAATGCTTGAGGGAGTCGAGGCCCAGCGACTTTCGCACCGGAGTCGCAAACGGGTACGACTGCTCGCTCACAGATCGGGCCAGCGCCGTGGGTCGCAGATCGCTGGCCCCGTCGCTTCCAATATGGGAGTCCGAGTCTCCGGAGTTCAGAGTGCTTGTGCCCCGTCGCTTGCCGGGAGTGCTCTTCTCAGGAGTTCGGAGCTGGTCAAGCACAGAACCTCGCTGCGGGGTCTGCAACAGAATGGCGTCAGTAGTTGGCTCGCCCAAGCTACTGGTGTTGCTGCTGCTGACGCCCTGGCTCGACGCGTTGTCCTCGTCCTCGTCGTCGGTGCTGTCGTCGGGCTTCTTGAGCCGAAGCGGCGACTGTAGGTTGGGGTTATGCATGGCTGCATGGAGCTCCAGCCCGTGGGCCAATGCAGAGTGGGAGTGGGGGAATGCCTGCGAGAAGTCGCTGTGTGTCATTCCTCCGTGCAAAGGCGCGCTCTGGCCTAGTCCATGGTGCGGCACCTGGTGCTGCTGCTGTCCCTGTTGATGCTGATGCTGGTTCTGGTGCTGCTGATGGTGTTGCTGCTGTTGCTGAGGCTGCTGCTGTGTATGTTGGACTTGCTGAGGCTGCTGCTGCTGTTGCTGGGTGTGATGACTAATCGACGTAGGCATCTGCATGGGAATCTGGCCCTGAACAGCACCGTTCTGCATGGGAGTGGCCTTGAAAGGAGACATGACACCCATGAACTGGCTGGGGGGAGGACCGTGGGACTCACCGAAAGAGCCCTGGCCCATTGAGTCACTGTTGGAGCGCGACATGGCCTCTCGCGAGTATCGAGACTCCTGCTGAGGAGCGGGCTTCTTATTGATACGCTCTTTGAGAAACTGCTGCTCCATGCCCGGCTCAATCATCCAGTAGTTACCCTTTCCGGGGTCGCTCTTGGGGCGCTCCTGCTTTTTGAATGCCTTGTTGAGCGACAGGTTGTGTCGGATGGAGTTTTGCCATCCGCTCTTCTGCTGCGAGTACCACTTGAACGTGGTGTTGATCCACTCGTAGATCTGTGACAGCGTGAGCTTGCGGTTGGGCGACCGCAGGATGGCCATGCCGATGAGCTGTGCGTACGAGAACGGCGGCTTGGTGCCCTCGTCCACAATCTCGGGGAACTCGTTAGGCTCGGGAATCCGCAGCTTGGCTGGAGCGTCAACGGGTGAGGCGCTGTTGCTGTTGGCGTCCTTGTTGTCGACACAGAAGAAAGGCTGCGGCGGCTTGGTGGAGGCCTTGAGGTCTGGCGAATAGAGCGGCACGTTCTCCTTATCGACCTTGTATCGCATAGACTGAGGCACTGTGGGCGTGAAGTACGGCTGCTGAGAGTTATTGTGCTGCTGCTTCTGGTTGGTGTTGACAAACCGCTGCTGCGACGAAGGGGGCGTATACATGACGTTGGACATGGACAGGTTCACGTCGCCGAGATGAGGCGAGTAGTCTGCTGGCGTCTGTTGCTGCTGTTGCTGCTGTTGCTGCTGGCCGTTCTGGTTGTAGCGCTGCTGCTTGCCCTGGCTGGACTCGGGGGTGTAGCAGTACATCTTTGAAGAGGAGGTACGTGACGACATGGCGCGAGTGCTGGGAGGGGGCGGCAGGTGGACCGAGCTGAGGGACTTGAGCAGGTTAGAGTTGAGCGTTGGCAGCGCCGATGTGTTGTACTTGATGGGGGTTATACCTTCGTCCATCGTGACTTTGTGTGTAGAGCGAGTGAGAGGGATGGGTGAGTGATTAGAATAGGAACACAAAGACGTACCGGTTAATTAGTGAGCCGGGTACGTGAGAACTGAAAGAAGAAGGCCCGAATACGAGAGGTTGGTGTGGCCCCTGAGTGTGTGTGTGTGTGTGTTTGTTTACCTCGTCGTCGTTTTCAGTTGAAGGGGGGGAGGGTGTCTGCTCTGAGGCGTCTATGTCTGACTGTCTTGAGGCGTTATGAGACACTTCAGGTTTTTGTCAGTGTCAGTAGCAGCAGGGGGGGGTGAGAAAAGAAATGAGCGAATGTGAGGAAGTTGTGCGTGGTCTGGGATGGCGTGTCCGTCGATATTGGTCCAGTCAATGTTCTTCTGTTCGTTCTGGATCCTCAATCTGGGTCTGTGTCTGTGTCTGTGACAGTGTCAGTGATGGAGGAGGACGAAGAATTTAGACGTGTGTAAGTGGCAACGTTGAGAGTCGTTGGCAACGTCCTGGCTAGTGTCTGGTGACTGTTTGTGGCGGTTGACTGGTCCTGTTGAAGTCGTGTGTGTGGGTGTGAGTATGTTCGTGGATTGAAGAGTAGAGATGAGATGCTGAGATTAGACGTCAGTTTGAAAATCCGAATTCGGGCGCAGCCAACAAAGAGAAAGAGTTTTGGCTTGTACAGAAGCTCCCATTCCAACTACCGCGTCATGTGCATAGAGTTGTGCCGAAGGTTTGCTACAAGGTTACGGTTCGGCCAGAATCGCGAAAACCCACGCGTGAGGAGAAGCTTCGGTGGGCAAAAAAGCGAGCGTCTGAGAGAGGCCGGAGAGCGCACGTAGCAAGCCAAAAGATTGCTACGGCATGTTGGATTATGTAAGAGGCGGTGCCGGCGACGGCGTTAGACGGAATTTGCTGCGATTTCCCCTTGGCTGCCCTCTACACTGTGACGTGACGCATGTATATCTCCACTGTCGTCCCACCATGCAATGATCCACCAGGAGGTGCGAAAGAAGAAGGGGAAAAAAAAGTGAGAAAAAAGTGAGAAAAAAGAGGGAAAAAGAGGAAAAAAGAGGGAAAAAGGGAAAAAAGGGAAAAAAGGCCATTGACAGAGACACACTGACACCACGCGGGGACCAAAGTATGTTCAGGTTGAGTTCGGCTACGAGTACATAAGACGGATATTGGAGGGTAGGAGATGTTGGAGACTACGATACTAGGAACGAGACCAATTGGACGCCTGAGTTGACTGGGGGTATTGGTTCAGCAAGCGATAGTGTAATGTCGTAAATTGTAGCTGGCTCGATCACCCGCAACCTATAGGATCTACATACCCATTGAGGATCAGCCGGATGAGGCAAACGCAACGGCCTCACGAACGGATCGTCCACCCCAACTATCTGAGCAAGCATGGACACGGCCATCATGGTGTGGGATGGGGTGTGGCCGTTCAACTCGACTGCTTCTTGTCTGCTTCCCATTGCTTGCTTGTCTCGTCTTGTCTTGTCGTATCACTCCTGGCCTGCACTCCTTACCATATTCTACCAGCCCTTTCAGCCTTTTCACTTGTTCTAGGTAGAAGGGAAAAAAATACAATCAGGATGGAAAATATCCACACGGTCTGCCTCACAGGCGGCGTACTGAACGATGGTAATGCAACTAACATGGGTTCCGTATCCGGACCAGCGCTCCTCCAAACACTACCACCATCTAATTGTCGAGCCATACGGTTTTGGGAGGCTCCACCGTGACTCCCCTGGAGATCGTACAAGTAACGTGGGCGAGTTAAACCGAAAAAAAGACGTAGGTATCGTGCGTCTTTGACACCCGGCTCCGCGACTCCTAACAGGCTCTCCCCAGACTGGTGACATGTCGACATGTGTCCGTGCACCTGAAGAAGCCACATTGGCGCGGTTCCTTTGGATCGGGCCAAAACGTGACCAATGCACTACATTGTAGCTACTTGTAGGCTCCCCCTGGCGCGTGTAAGGGACCTTACCAGCGGCCTCTGTAGCCCACCCTAGGCCTGCTAGACTCATGCCACACTATCGGACTACCGACACGCGCGTCCGCTTCGGGCCCTCTACCCTAACCCTATGGAATGCAGAGTCGCGTCCCGGTTGCAACTTTGGCATTAACGTTTGGCATATAAGCTCGCACCAGGCAGCACCCTAGCATAATCGCAACCGTACAATGCTTGACAATGCCAGCCTGGGCCGATAAGCTGGAATGTGGGGGGGTGGCATTTCAGACCAGAAAACGGCGTGAATAATATTTGCCAAAGTATGGTGGTTGTGTTGGCGGTGGTGGTGATGTCTTTTCGGAGGTGGACCTCATGTGAGAACAAGTACCAGGAGACTACGAGTACCAGTAACGGTACCACCACTGCCAATGCTGGCTCCATCTCCCATGCTTCAAAATGCGTACACGTTTCCGTCCAAGCGAAAGGCAGCCATGCAGGCCATCGGATCGTTCATAGCCTACCAGTGTACGGTGGTATTCGTACGTACTGTACTGTACTTGTACTTGCACAATAGTGCGAATCTGTCAGGAATCGATATTGGATTGACTTTGAACGTGGATTATATTTTTTCTCTATTGAGGTGATAATTTTTCATACGGAATTGGCGTATCCACCAAAAAGACACGTCAACGGTGCACACTAAATAATATGGTGGGTGACGGCTATTACAAGGGTCCTACAGACTTGTTCCAGTTGTCGTACTTGTGCTCGCCCGACGCTGACCACCATCATGCCTCGTTTCACATCTCTCGCTTGAGTGACTTTTCTCTTGGCTTTGGCTCTGGCTTTGGCTTTGGCTTTGGCTTTGGCTTTGGCTTAGGTTTTTGCAAAGGCCCTTCTCCCACGCCTTCTCAAAGCACCTTATTGCTCATTGGAGATGTCTCTTCTCATTCCACGCTGCAACCTAGTGTCCAACTCTATTGAAACCTTGCCCTAGTAACAATGGGCGATCACATGTACAAGTGGTTCCTTGTCTGACGGGAGTGAATGTGGCTACATCTATTGTGGCGGGGTGGTGGTGTTGGCGCGGGTACGATACAGACTGTGGTCTTTTTCACCTACTCGGGCTTGTTTGGACTCACTTAGAGTCGTCTTTATTGCACTCATATATACTTGTACAAGTACAGCATCATTATAAATTTTACTCGATAAACTCATACTCATACTCACACCGGACCACTCCCTGTAACCTCCAGTTATGCACTCAGAGTGGGGATGCTATATGGACCAGGCTATGATACTGCATTCCACGTGGGCTCCATTTCGACCACTATCAGGCTACCTTGTACGAGTAAGAGTGGCAGTACTTGTGGTCGGTCAGACGGATTCGGCCCCATCACCGCCAGCTGACGTCTGATAGCTGTCAAACAAGGACGTTGCATTGTTCTCTTTTTCAGTGCTGGTAGTATGGTATGAACATGAGTGTGCATACGGCACTCTTCTCAGGTTTTAGTCAGAGCACCCTCCTATTTGGTACCCACCTCCATTTCTGCCTCCGTTTCTGCCTCCATAGATGCATCTCTTTCACCTTTTGCACCGTTTGCATCATTTGCACCATTTTTGCCTCCATTCTTCATCTCACTGTAACCACTGTTTTATATGGTTCCCACCGCTCACTCTGTCACTCTGTACATGTCTATACACACCGCGTCGTGCCTTAGCTATATATAGCTAGCATTGCGCAGGAGAGATGAGTGTGTGTGATTTTTAGTAAGTCAGATATTTATAGTCACTACAAGTAGCTCACAGTCGGAAAAATATCTCACATGAAGCGGGCACAGACCGGGCGTGTCAGATCAAAAAAACCACGCATCCCAAGCCACTTGCACCGCGTGGTCTCGGTCATTTCTTTTTCAACGCGAATGCTCACCAGTGTTTGAACAGGGAGAGGGCGGTGACGGGCGGTGATGGGCGGTGACGGGCGGTGAAAGGGCGGGTAACAAGCGGTTCAAAAAGAACAAAGCACAGCACGAGCACAAGTACGCTGAAGTACGCACTCGGTCCTGGACACGCCCACTCAGCAACCTGGATGCTTTTCGTCCAGTTGCCCAACCTGCTTCGGATCAACGTAAAGTATGCAAGTAGTTTGCTAAAGTGTTCCCCCAAGCTTAACTAAACCAGAATATGTACGAGTAGCAACCGAGGAGAGCAGACAAAGAGCCAGGATCGCAGTCGCAATCAATTCAAGATGACAAGCCAGCCTCATTCCAATTCCAAGACAGAAGCCACCAGACACGGCAGAGTGCGACGGAGCATGGGCTTTGGCAAACTACAAGTAGAACAGATTGATTTCTTTTTCTCCATCTACCATCTACACTGTGGTGTAGAACGCCAGAGGCAGCCACGGAGCAGCCAACAAACACTGTTATAGTAGTAGATGCTTGTTGAATCGGAACTGTTGATTGGGAACTTTTGATCAGGTCAAAGGGATCATCGGAAGGAGTCAAGTTAGCTGTTTTCGAGCCCTAAACAACGGCGTTTCCTACAAACCCATCTATATTCACCACTCATGAGTCAGTAATCTATTGGTCTATACACCATTGCTCGCGGACCAGAAGAACAAAGTCTTTGGACAGATAAATAAGAATGCAGCAATGGGAATGTCCTCTGCCAGGAAGGACGTGATATAAGTTAGGTATTTGTTTTGTGGGAGTTTTGTTCTCTCTGGTCCACCACAGCTGGTACACTGTGACTGTGTGACTGTGGGTTGTGCAGCACCTAATGAACCACCTTGTTAGGAGTGTCATTGGAATTCAGCAAGTAGTCAACAATGGGCTCGTGGTCTCGCATTCGGTCCTCCATGGACTTTTCCAAGTCTGTCTTGTTGAGGTCCACCTCCTCGGCCCGTCGCTTCTCCTCCTCCAGGAACTTGGTCTTGACTCGCCACAGATACAGAGTTCCGAGCAGCATGACTGCCACGGAAAAGATGAGAAATAGACCATTTCGCATCAGCACCCACCGGAACTCTTCGATTACGGGCTTCATACGATGGTTGGCGTCAACTACAATGCTGTTGTTTACCTCCTGGATTCGGATATCTGTGTGTTTGAGCACCTCGTCGTTCTCGTTCTTTCGCTCGCTCAGCAGAATGTCAATGTTGTTTCGCATGTCAATCAGCAGCGAGTTAACATCCTGCTCAAACTCCTCCATGTCTTTCTGGAACGAGTCGATTTCCAGCTGTCGTTCGTTGACATCCGCCTCTCTCATCTTCTGCACCTCGGTTCGCAGCTCCGAACAGGCAGCCTCAAACAAGTAGGCTTCGTTGTCAGAGTCTAGCATGGGGAAGTAGTTTTCCAGAATATCGCCAATCTTGTACTTGACCATATCACCAATGATCCCTACCATCTGATGAGCCTGTTCGTCGTCAAACCCTCCCTCCTTGAGTTCGTCAAACACCTGATAGGTATTAAAGTACTGGTAGTACCGCACATCTCGAGCCTCCTCCTCCTTGTACTTGTTCATTTCCTTGTCCAGGGTGGTATTGTCGGTGATGCCAGAGCAGTCCAGACCCACAGCTCCAAACAGCCCTGCATCCGGAACCTCCTTGTTCTCAATACTATTACCTGTATTCAACCCGGCATTATCGATAGGCATGGAGGTCCCTTCGGCGCGGGGGATGGTCTGGTTCATTTGGCTGCCGATAGCCACCTTGTCCTTGTCGTTCCTATCCGAGGACTTGCCCTTGGTCTCTTTGGCTGGCAGCTCAATCACAGGGTCCACATCGAGTCCTGCTTCGGACTTGAGTCTTCTGAGTCGCAACAGATCGTCTCGCAACTCGTATGGCGTCGGACCGGGCATATGTGGCGCCTCGCACACGGGGCTCTCCTTCTGGAGCATGGGCTGGGTGCCGAACCGTCTTTTGGACGCCAGGGTTCTCAGCCCAGCTGAGAAGGAAATGTGTGACGACACCAGACTCAGCTTCTTGCTCCTCAGAAGCAGCTGTGGAAGATAGATCATGGTGTGTGGGGCGAGGCGGGCGTGTATCTGTGTCCGAAAGGACGGGAGCAATGTTGGCAGTTGTGGTGGCGCTAGCAGGTTGAATGCTGGATCGTGAGATCAACCCGTGGGTGGATGGTATGAACTGAGCTGTTGAATCTCAGCGTGGTGGGTGGCGTATAAAGGCGCTTGTTGTGGCTGTTGCGATGACTGGGTCGGCGATCGTGGGGTCTTGCGAGTTGTGTTGAAGTGGTCAAGTGGGCAGGTTGTATCTCACTTGGCTCTAGACCACACACAATTAACTTCCTTTACACTTGTAAGGCACGCTCTACAGGCTTATATCTCACGTCCTGCTACGCACTAGTGCTGCACCCTAAGTTTATCGCCTACTCTTGCTTCAAACAGACACCAGGGGAGAGCGCCCTCAGTCAAGAATGTGCGGTACAGGTTCCGGTAGGAGTTCAAGTATCATGTCTCATACAACCACCCGGGGCTTTCGTCTTGCAGGGTCCACTGTTGTTGCGTTTTCCCTTCTTATTATTCTCCGCCTCACCAACTGCTCTGTATATTATATATCCCAGTTCCCTACTACAGTCCTCCCCACGCTGTATAGTTATACGAGCTTCAAAGGGTAGGGGCGATGCCAACCAGTTATGTTTGAAAATACAGTAATGTTTTTTTGTTTGTTTTGGGGCGCCCAAAATATCCCCGAAATTGAGCCAAGCACAACAAGTATCATCCGGCCCTTGATTTGCTGGCCTCAAATTACACTCGTATCAAACGGCCCATCTGAGAGAGAACGGCCAGAACGAGGTTGGGATTAGGGCACACACCCCAAACTTGTACATGGGGTTGGGGTTTGGATCTGCCCAAGGCAGCTGATCCCGAAAAAAGGGACAACGGACTGAGCAAATTAGCCGAGGCTCCACTTACAAATTCACGTGAGGCCACGTAGTGCAGGAGCATATGACAGGGTGATACAGACGAAGCCCATGGCCGTTTTTCGAAGCTCAAAGTCGTGCTTTTTACAAGTATTTATAATTGCCACTCATGACCAATTATTGTCTTGTTTCAGACCTATCCAAAATTAGTCCAGTCTAAACACCACTATCTTTTCCTTTTTAGGCTTGGGAGAGAGTAAGGGAAAAAGAGGGTGGTTATGGCGCCTAAAGGGGGAACATATAGTGGATGACTAATGGCAGGAGAGGTTTGGAGAACGAGTACAAGTGGACATACTTGAATGAGTCAAATATAGCATACGAACATGCCTGTGTTTCTACTTTCAATACTGGCACAGTGGTTAAGCGTATACCTTCCGTACAGTGTACTTGTAGGGGTATATATGTCATATTACGCAATTATACAAGACAAAAAGTGATGAAAAACGTACTGTAGCAATTCACGCAGATATCTTCGATGATGCTAATGATCCTCATATATCCACCTGTAGTTGTACAGACATGTGTGGTTGTGTGGTGCCGCTTGCTATGATGCCTAGGCAGATCCTTGGATGTTGTCAGAAGGCGGTATATAACGGCACTTAATGCGCTGAAAACACTGCCAGAGCATTTACATGAACGGACGACATGACTTGAGCTCAATTTGGAAGCCATTGACTAGCCATGTGGATTCACACAGCCATCTTTGATTAGATCACGAGAATCCTAAAATCGGCATGGGATGCTTCCAGCGTATGCCACAAACTGCAGTCAAAGAAGCTGACTACCTCATTGTGATCTGAAATGATTTCAATTTCTCCGTCTCAGCGGTTTGTCGGTGTCTGTAAGTGTCAGTTTGGTAAATGTCGGGTTAGTAAGTGTTCGTGTCCCATGTTGGTATCAATGGTGTCACCTTCAGAGTCTGCCATGCCAGTCGAAATGTCCTAGCCATGAAGCCCCAATCCGAGTCGAAGAAGATCTCCTTGTCGCATTATTAATCAATAAATATCATTCACTACTAATTTTGGTGTATTAATTTTGATGGACAATGACTTTGCATCGTTCACTTGGCCTCGACCTTCTGAACAGCAGGCATCTCCTCAAAGACAGGAGAGCCGTCATGCATGTGCAGAGACTGAGCCAGAGCTCCCAGACCTGAGGCCGAGCCGGTATCGATGATGAGCTGAGAGTTGGTGTGCTCTCGTGCAAAAGTAGAAGGACAATCAGAAGAGACCTCATCCAGAAGGGTCTTCTTGACGGCCTCGGCCTTGGCAAAGCCAAAGGCAAGAATGATGACTTCCTTGGCGGCCAGAACAGTGGAAACTCCGACTGAAAGAGCAGATCGGGGCACCTGAGAGGGGTCCTCGAAGAATCGAGAGTTCACGCGAATGGTGCTCTCGTCCAGAAACACCTGTCGGGTTCGAGAGTCGCGCGTGGATCCCTTCTCGTTGAAGGCAATGTGTCCCTCGACACCTACGCCTGCCAGGAAAAGGTCAATGCCGCCGAAAGATGCAATGGTGGCCTCGTAGTTGGCGCACTCGAGCTCAAAGTTGTCCGACTGGCCGTTGAGAATGTGAATGTTTTTCTCGGGAATGTCCACGTGGGAGAAGAAGTGATGGTACATGAAGTAGTGGTACGACTGGTCGTTGGTCGGGGCCAGACCGCAGTACTCGTCCATGTTGAAGGTGACCACATTTCGGAACGACAGACCGTTTTTGTGGGCCTCCACCAGTCGTCTGTAGACGCCCTCGGGAGACGAGCCGGTGGGCAGGCCGAGAACAAAGGGCCGCTCCTCGGTAGGCTTGAAGGCGACGATTCGATCAATCACCAGCTGGGCAACATAGGCACAGCCCTGGTCGGAAGAGGGAAACAGTTGAGGGATCATTGTGCTGGTGGGTATTGAGCTGGAGCTGGCGTTGGGCTTGTATAGTGGGAGATCAAACTAGGTCTTCGCGACGGCGTTCGTGCAGCCTGATATATACCTCTCCGGACCAAAACTATGGTAACATCTGGGGTTAGTGTCGTAGTGACTCCAATGCAACAGTAGCACCACGCACGCGACAAAGACTATGGTTGGGAGAAACCTATGGCGCGCGTCAACTAACTTTATTGGACAGAAATGAGATGTTGGACAGTATAGGGGTGGGCCTTGTAGAGCATACAGAGGAGATATTGCAGTTTTTTTTTCTTCTCTTTCTGTGATTCAAGATGACGGGATATATATAACTGTCTATCATGCCCGATTATGTCTTTATAACCGCTGATATCGCTGGTGTGCCCCTGGTCTGAGGCTCAACTCTACTCAATTTTCTCCTGCTTTTTCCAACTATTCTTACTTAAACCTGCTTATCAAGGTTCGCGGCCAAGCTGTATGGGGTAGAGTTTGATTTTCCATCAGTGTAGTATTCCCAATGTAACGTTGCACAGTGACGTTACATTGGAGCCAGTGTCTCGTAGCGGACGGGAGGAGAGAGAGATTTCGAGGCGGGAGGCACATTTCCGGGGAGAAGGGGAGAAGGGGAGCAGGGGATCCAGTCACGTGATCCAAGTCTATGCTCTGTCTCTCACCTGACGGTCCTCCGCTCTGGGGTTACTTGCTGGCATAAAATATGTTAAGATAGGCCTCGGCCTCAAATCTCCTATCTGGCTTGTTGTATGGCAAGCGGCTGAAGGGGGCTGAAACACCACATGCATATATAATCCCCCTTACTGGCGGCAGTACTGTAGGAGCTACGATAAGTTGAGGATAGAGAGATGGGAAGTGGAGCTGGAAGATGACGAGGAGGCGTTTTCGGTTGTTGTCTGGAGGCGTTTTCATCGGCTGTCATAAGACGTTCTCCGTGTCTCCACTACCGCCCAATTTAGTGTACGAGGTCAACATGTCTCATGTATGTACGAGTCGCGATACTATTCCTCATGTATGCACGAGTACGATACTATCGCTCAACATGTACAAGTTTAGGGGGTCCAGATCTGATTGGAGCATGGTTAGTATCGGCCAGAAAGCGAGCGAATCACGAAGATTCGAACGGCGGAATGACTAACAAGCGGCGGAAAAGCTCGAACCACAGTCTAGAACATGTGGGGTGACATGCAGATAATACGACGAAGATGATCATGGGTTCAGGTTTGTTATACGTCATAATACGAGGATTGTATAGGTGTCTTGTGCTCGTACTACAAAATATACCGTATCGTACGTTTATAGGGCACTAAGGCGGCGCGAGGCTAGGGTTTTCAGGGCCATTTTAGCCGACTCCCCCAATTTTGCTGCATCGATGTATCCGTACGAGTAACCTTAAGTAAAAGTTAAGTAAAATTTGGGGGTATGTTTTTCTAAAGTGTGGAAAAGCGGCAAATTTCACGGTGCAAGGTGTCTGCTTGAAGATTCTATATGTTATGGATATTATTTCGTACATTTTTGTTCATTTTTAGTTTCTGTGGGAGTTCGGGAACCCTGTATTTTAACCCCCAGCCGACTTTTGTTTCTAACTAAAGGGTAAGTAATTGGGATAATTGATTTGGGGGTCTGTTCAAACCTCCAGTTTACCACTGCAAGACCTTTTGTCTCTTTTTAGCTTCTTGATACTTCAATTCATGGGACAATTTTTCCAAGTGAGTTCACTCGGCCGGCCGGTCTAATTTTATCAATCTCCAATCTCGACATCGCACAGCATCCATTTCTCAACCACAGCTCTAGTTAACTACAGTACAATTATTTTCTGTCTTTTCTTCCACTAATTTTTATAAGGTTACTGAAGCAACGCGATCAATCACAGTTTGTGTTGTGTTGTGACCACCCTATCATATCTTCTCCACCTAATCTTCTGCAACTTTTACACACACCTTTGCCTCGACACTCGCCACCCTAGATACCCTCTGAGAGATACTATCGGATATTCCCTGGACTAGAGCTTCTACCAAGAGATACCAAGGTATGTGGACCGGCGCCCATGTTGCGATACCACCGCTCTATTCATTGTGATACCTCCAGCCATTATCATACTAACACAGATGCCTCGAAGGGCTACCATGCGGTCAGTGTACTCGGAGAGCACGCACAGCATGGCGTCCTACGATAACCGCAGCTCGGACTTTTCCGAAGACTACACCACAGAGGGCCACATTACTGAAAATGCCGCCACAGATGGCCACTACACCACCACCGACGACGACTCGTACGACTCGTACTACGACGGCGGCGACAATGCCTCCACCATGCGCATGGCACCAGACACCTCTTCACTGGCGGCAGTCAACTCTTCCGTAGACTGGATCCGTGAAAAGGACGAAGCCATCGTCAACCCCGGAGTGGCTCCCGATCTCCAGGGAGACGGAAACCTGCACAGCATCCCTCCGGACCACCAAAAATACGAACATGGAGCCCCCGCCTTCACCACGGGCAAGATGTCTGCGCCATACAACCAGAAGTCTGCTCCATACGACGGCCAGGAAATGTCTGGATTCGTGTCTCCGCAGGTGCGATACCGAATGGCACTGTTTCCAGAGGAGATTGGCTCTGGAAATGTCCCGCTTGAGTACACGGACGAGCACCAGAAACACCTGTTCGAGACGTACTTTGACTGGGTACCACACCCCCAGATTGTCATCCCCATCAATCTCTACGAGGTTGTGGAGGTGTTCGATCTGCTCCAGTCCAAGTTTGGCTTCCAGGTGCAGAGCATGCGAAACATGCGTGACCACTTCATGTGTCTTCTGGACTCCCGGTCCTCTCGAATGTCTTACAACGATGCTCTGCTCACCCTCCACGCGGACTATATTGGAGGAGAACATTCCAACTACCGGAAGTGGTACTTTGCTTCCCAGATGGACATCACAGACAAGATTGGAGGAATAAATGTCGATTACTCCGGCAAGTTGACCAAAGCCGGACGTCGCATGGTCGCTACCGATACCGTTTGGAACGAAGAAAACGCAAACTTCTCCTACGAGCACAGCAATCGGAACTGGAAGAACCATATGGCGACTATAAGCCCCAAGGACCAGCTGAAGGACATTGCTCTGTATCTGCTCATTTGGGGTGAGGCAAACCAGGTTCGATTTATGCCTGAATGTCTCTGTTTCCTGTACAATTGTGCACGGGACTTTTGTTACTCCACCGCCTTCGCTACTGCCCCTGACGTGGAGGATGGTGTCTTTTTAGACACTATCATCACACCCCTCTATTCTTTCTACAGAAACCAGAGGTACGAGAATTTCGAGGGCAAGTTTATCGATCGTGAGCGCGATCACAAGGACGTGATTGGTTACGACGATATCAACCAGCTGTTTTGGTACCGCCAGGGTCTCTTACGCATCAAGCTGAAGGGCGGAACTAACCGCATTTTAGACTTGCCGGCTTCAGAGAGATACAATGCGTTGTCCACCGTGGATTGGACCACGTGCTTCTACAAGACTTACCATGAGTCTCGGTCTTGGATGCACCTGGCAGTCAATTTCCACAGAATCTGGATCATCCACTTCTGTGTCTTCTGGTTCTACACGGCCTTCAATACGCCGTCACTCTACACAGAGAACTACTCCCAGGAGCTGGACAATTTGCCCCCAGCTCACGTGAGAATCTCGGTGGTCGGATTGGGAGGAGTTATGGCACCATTGATCTGCCTGGTAGCTGTTATGGGTGAGGCCGTTTTTGTGCCGATGAGATGGCCTGGACGTGAAAGAGTTGCATATCGGCTCTTCTGCCTGCTACTCGTGACAAGCCTCAACGCTGCACCCGCTGTGTTTGTGCTGTTATGGTACTCACGAACAGAAGAGAATGGCCAGGCCCTGATGATATCCATCATTCAGCTGGTCATTGCCTTCGTGACAGTGCTCTACTTTGCCTTCACGCCGCTCAAAAGCTTGTTTACCTTCTTCCCTAAAGACAAGTTCAATCGTCGACAGCTTCCTACGAAATTCTTTGCCTCGTCATTTCCTCCTTTAAAGGGTAATGATAGATGGATGTCGTATGGCCTGTGGGTGTGTGTATTTGTCGCCAAGTACATTGAGTCTTACTTCTTCATGATTCTCTCTCTCAAGGACCCCACACGAGAGCTGGGATTGGTTGAGTATGACAAGTGTGTGGGTGCTGAGTACGTCGGAAAGATCCTGTGCAAGTACCAGCCCCTATTTGTGCTTGCATGCATGTTTGTCACAGAACTGGTTCTGTTTTTCCTCGATACCTATCTCTGGTACATTATCTTCAACACAACATTCTCTGTGATCCGGTCTGTGTATCTTGGAGGCACCCTTTGGACTCCTTGGCGCAACACGTTTTCGAGACTGCCGAAACGAATCTACTCCAAAATCCTTTCCACCTCTCATCTGCCCTCCAACAGATACAAAAAGAGCTATCTGGTGTCTCAAGTCTGGAATTCTATAATAACTTCATTGTATCGCGAGCACATCATCTCTCAAGAGCATGCTCACAGGCTCGCGTATCAGCAGGAGATTGATGGACAGGGCATGTGTGTGTTATCAGAGCCCAAGTACTTCGCATCTCAGGAGGATCAGTCGTTCCACAACTCTGTGTTTGATTCTCAGACCGAAGGCGAACGTCGTCTTTCATTCTTTGCACAGTCCCTGGCCACTCCTATCCCAGACAATTATGTCATTGATGAGATGCCTACGTTCACCGTCCTTGTTCCTCACTACAACGAGAAGATTCTGCTGTCGCTGAAGGAGATCATCAAGGAGGATGGCGAGAACTCACGAGTAACACTGTTGGAGTACCTCAAGCAGCTTCATGCCAATGAGTGGGATAACTTTGTGTGTGATTCCAAGCTGATGCACGACTTCATGCACAACAACGGCGGCGAAGAGGTTCAGGGCAGCTACCAGGAGAAGAAGGATGGTGGGGAGGATGGTCTTCTCAATGTGCCGGAGGTAATTCACAAGCGGGACCAAAAGAGTGGCAAGTACGACAATCTGCCATACTATTGTGTCGGTTTCAAGTTTTCGTCTCCTGAGAACCAGATGAGAACTCGAATTTGGGCCTCGCTGAGATGCCAGACCCTCTACCGTACCGTTTGTGGTTTCATGAACTACTCCAGGGCCATCAAACTGCTCTACAACGTGGAGAACCCCGAGCTGCTCCACCACTGCCAGAACGACACCCGAGTCTTCAACCAGCATCTTGACATGATATCCCGTCGTAAGTTCAGATTGCTTGTTTCTATGCAGAGATTGAGCAAGTTTGATGTGCAGGAGACTGAAAATCTGGAGTACCTGCTCAAGATGCACCCCGAGCTGCAGGTGGCTTATCTGGACGAGGACCCCAGCCAAGGTGGACGAGAACCGATCGTGTATGCCTCTCTCATTGACGGTGACAGCGACATTCTTGACAACGGCAGACGGAAGCCTCGGTACCGAATTCGGCTGTCTGGAAATCCCATTCTCGGAGACGGAAAGAGTGATAACCAGAATGTGGCTCTCATTTTTCATCGAGGAGAGTACATTCAGCTCGTGGACGCCAACCAGGACAGCTACATTGAGGAGTGTCTGAAGATTCGGAGCATTCTGGCTGAATTTGAGGAGTTTCCAGCTGGAAATGTGCCTGCTTCTCCGTACGCCAGTCCCAAGGCCAACGAAAAGAACCCCGACACTCTTGCCAACCCTGTGGCCTTCATTGGTTCTCGCGAGTACATCTTCTCCGAGAACATTGGTGTGCTTGGAGACATTGCTGCAGGAAAGGAACAGACTTTTGGTACTCTCTTTGCGCGTACACTGTCCAAGATCGGTGGAAAACTGCACTACGGTCATCCAGATTACCTCAATGCCACATTCATGGTGACCCGAGGTGGTGTTTCCAAAGCGCAAAAAGGATTGCACCTGAACGAGGACATCTATGCTGGTATGAACGCGCTCATGAGAGGTGGTCGAATTAAGCACTCAGAGTACGTCCAATGCGGTAAGGGTCGTGATCTTGGGTTCGGATCTATTCTCAATTTTTCCACAAAGATTGGCGCTGGTATGGGAGAGCAGATGCTGAGTCGGGAATACTACTACCTCGGCACTCACCTCCCTCTGGACCGCTTCTTGTCGTTCTATTACGCCCACCCAGGGTTCCATATCAACAACATGTTCATCATCATGTCTGTCGAGTTTTTCCTCATTGTTGGAATCAACATTGCTGCTCTCTACAGCTCCTCAGTTATATGTGAGTACGACAGATCTGCACCCATTACTGCTGCTCGTGTTCCAGAGGGCTGCACCAACGTGATCCCTATTATTGAGTGGCTGGAGCGGTGCATTTTGTCCATCTTTGTCGTCTTCTTCATGTCCTTTGTGCCACTTTTCATTCAGGAGTTCAGCGAGAGAGGTTTCTTGAGAGCTGCCACAAGACTTGCCAAGCATCTGGCTTGTCTGTCGCCACTGTTTGAGGTCTTTTGTTGTCAGATCTACGCCAAGGCGCTCTTACAAGATTTGACGATTGGTGGCGCTCGGTACATCTCCACTGGACGAGGATTTGCAACATCTCGGATACCGTTCGTAACTTTATATTCGCGATTTGCAACTGCCTCTATCTACTTTGGTGCGATATCACTGCTCATCATGATTGTGATTAGTACCACCATGTGGAGAGTGGCTCTGCTATGGTTTTGGGTGACAGCTGTGGCCCTTTGCATCTCTCCCTTCTTGTTCAATCCCCACCAGTTTGCGTGGGTTGACTACTTTGTGGACTATCGAAACTTCATTCGGTGGCTGAATCGAGGCAACACAAAGTGGCACAAGTCGTCTTGGATTGGGTACACTCGTCTGATTCGAACCAGGATCACTGGCTACAAGAAGAAAACGCTCAACGAGATTTCCGAGACTGACAGTCGGGGAGTGATGAAGCCCAGTCTGGTGAATGTCTTCCTGTCCGAGGTTGTTGGCACTCTTCTCTCGGCGTGCTGCATTACTCTCCCCTACCTGTTCATGAACTACCAAAATGAGCAAATCGACGGGACACCTAGCAACCCTCTTATGCGACTGGCAATCTGCACCTTGTTCCCTATCGTTATGAACATTGTGATGGAGCTGGTGCTATTTGGAGTGTCTTGTCTTGTGGGGCCCATTTTCTCTGTCTGTTGTAAGTCAGCACCTGGCACCTTTGCCGCAGTCGTCCACACCTTTGCTGTACTGAACCATCTGGTTGCGTTTGAACTCATGTGGTTCTTCCAGCGTTGGAATGTTCCCGTGACACTTCTTGGTTTCATTTCATGCACTTTGATTCAAGACTTCATATTCAAGACCATAATTACGTTGTTCCTGAGTCGAGAATTGAAGCACGACCACACAAACCGTGCCTGGTGGTCTGGCAAGTGGTTCACCGCTGGGTTAGGATGGAGGATCCTCACCCAGCCTTGGAGAGAGATGCTGTGCAAGAAGATCGAAAGCAGCATGTATGCTCTGGATTACATTCTTGGACATGCGCTGTTTTTCGTTCAGTTCCCACTCATTTTGATTCCTTTTGTTGATCGGTGGCACTCCATGATGCTATTCTGGCTGCGGCCCAGCAGGCAGATTCGGTCACCCGTCTTCTCGACCCGACAGAAGCGAGTTCGAAGACGCATTGTGACCCGATACGCAATTCTATTTGCGCTGAACCTGCTCGCGATGACGGCCCTGTTTGTGTTACCCATTGTGTTCAAAGATACCCTTGATATCGAGCTGGATAACCATGTGCCTTGGTTTCTTCGGGGCTTGCAGCAGCCGTTACCTAACGCTCGGCTGCCACTTGGGAAGCTGCCGGAGAAGAAGATTGATGTTTAGAGATTGCTTTAGCTAATATATGGCATTATTATGTATGTTTGTTATTATTAGTTATATTCACAGAGATTCACCACATATCTCGTTAACCTTGGTCTTGAGGTCCTTGGGCACAAATGTGTTTGCGATATTGAATCGTTCGCATTTCTTCATACTCTGTACAATATCCCTTGGTCGTTGTGAATTGTCCTCGTTCTCAATGATAGCCTTGAGCATCTCTTCGATGAAGTCCGCGTCGATTCCTCCTCTTCCAAAGATATGGGGCCATTGGGCCACATCGTAGTTGTACAAGTATGTTCGGACTTCCTTCATTTGGTTCTGGGGGGATTTGAGCAGCTGGGCAAGTGTGTAAGCGTTCAGGCAGGCTGGAAGCATGAGAGGCAGCTGGGTAGGGAATGCATGGTGTGTGGGTGCTGCAGTGGATAGTTTTGGAGACTCCAGCAGGTCTGTAGTTTCGGGAGTGTTATATATCGACATTAGATCGATAGGCAGCGAGTCGACCACCTGGATTGGAATATATTGGGTTGTTGGAGAGGCTTCTGGGGTGGGGATTGCTTGCGTCTGTGGCTGGGGAGCAAAGGCCTTTTGTTTCATGTCTCGTTTCTCCTTCTTCTCTACCCATTGCAATTTCTTGAGCTGTGTCGTGAGCGATTCGTTACCCGGGTATGTCTTGAGACCCGAGTTGCACACGTAGATCGCGGCTGCGTAGTTGCGTTGGTCTTCCAGAGCCTGAGACCATCGGAAGAAGAGCTTGATGGGAGTGTCGGGTTTCAGCTCGGGGACGTTGGGTTGTGGTTTCTGGAACTCGGGCACGTGATCGAGACCGGCCTTGCAATCCGCGGCGGCCTTGTCGTACTCTCCTAGTTTGAGGTAGCATGCCGCTCTGTTGGAGTAGTAGACGGGGTGGGGGAGGGCGTCAATGGCGAGAGAGTATTTCTGGGCTGCTTGTGCGTAGTCCTGGGCTTTGAAGAGCGCGTTGCCTGTGTTAGTTAGATAGGGGATGGTAAGAGCTCTCGATTGTGGTACTCACCCTTTTCTTTGAACTCTTCTGACATGCTGTTTTGTTTTGTTGCGTGATCTTGTCAAGTGCCTGGAATAAATATACTGTCTTGCAGGGTACTGTACTCGATTTATGCATGGTGGTGAAAACCGAACTTTCAGATTATATATAAAAGAAAAGTACTTGTATGACAAAAGATGAAAAGAGGATGGAAACGAATAAAATCAAGAAAAAAGCAATAGTTGAGTAAACGCGAAGGCCCGACTACTTGTACGTCCATGTATTCAGCCGTAATTCTGGGATTCTTCCCGCTCAAAAAACACGACTTATCCGGTCATATACTGCAGCCCCCACATTTCCACTTGCTTCCATTCTCCACCTTTTAGTGTCTCCTCCACTAGTTGCTAGCTCGAGCTAGCCTGTACTCGGATCTCGGATCATAAACCTACAATGGTCTATACACTACATACAGTACTGTACCGTACAGTAATTATCATCTTGTACCGTCAATAATACATCCCAAATAAATAACTAGGTGAAGCCGTAATCAAGCTGTCTCCACAGCCCAGTGTTGACCTGGGCATTCGCCGTGCCGTTTTCAAACACCTCAATCTCGTTTGTCTGCCGCGCCCATGAGCTGATGTCCTGCACCACATTCTGCATATCATCGTCGTAGTAGTAAAAGTCGCTGTTGGGGATGTTCGGAAGAGGGGGCCTATCGTTAATGTTGTTCATAAAGTAATCCACCACGGGAGCAGGTTCTTCCAGAACAGTAGCAGCATTAGCAGCCACAGGAGGCTTGGGAGAAGCCGCCACCTGCTGTTCACGCTTGACTCGTACGTCATAGCTGGGGTGGAGCTCTGAGTATTGTCCCACTGGTGAAGCAGCTGCCACTGGAGCATCTGCAGCAACAGCAGCCTCAACTTCAACGCATCCTGTCTCATCGCACTTTGTGACTCTCTCGTTAAGACAGCCACTGGCGCCGTTGGAAATGAGGAAGTTGAGCGTGCTCTTGGTCATGTTCTCAAACGTGTCTCTATATCCTCTTGCGAGGCGTGTCCGGGCGCTCATAATCGCCAGAGTCACCGAACAGTCTCGAATACCGTCCAAAATGTGGATGGGAAAGTGATGCTTGGACAGCCACAGAGAGTAAAGCAGAGTGAGGCCACAGACGAAGATGGTATGGATAGACGAGATGGTGAAACCCCGCTGCGAGTTCCAGAAGTATTCCTTGAAGATCTTGATCATGTCTTCGGTGGCAGTCACACACTTGCGGAACAGGTCAGACGTGGGATCCAGACGACCCAGAAACGGCTGCAGTAGCATACGCATAACGCGCGAGTAATGCAAGTGATGCAGGTCCTTGTCCATGCCTCCAATCTGGATGATCTCCGTCTTGCAGTCCTCCAGTTTGTCCAGGAACGGTTGCACCTTGAGAATCTGTTCATCGAGAGGCCTGTCATCGAGATAAATGTGTTCTCTAATCTCAGACTCAATTCTGCGCAGCTTAAGAATCCGTTTCAGAACTCTGGAACCGTTAATTCGAGCTAAGGGGTCGTCTTTGATAGTAGGTGTGCTGGTTCCCGAGTCACCATGCTCAGAGCCGTCATTTTCAACCTGCTTGGGTGCATATGGCGGTTCCAGGTCGAAATCAATGTCCGTGGTGATATCACCTTCCAGGTGTCTGTACTTCTTTCGGCCTAGTCCACTGTGGACGATCCGTTCAATGTTGTAAGTCGCCCAAAAGCTGATTTTTAGACGGTTGCTGTCGGTTCGAGACAGCCCCTCGTATGTCTCCTTCTTGTGCAGCAACGCCTGTGACGACAGCAAGGTTGCAATGTCGAGAAACTTCTTGTACAACTCAACCTCGTTATCACATCGTACCAGCACATGAATGGCGAACAGACAGGCCTCAATCTGCAGACACGGATCGTCCACCTTGGCGCATTGACCGTATCTCATGGCCATGTAAAAGTAGCCCATGTAGTCAGGCCCTTCATACTGGTCGGCCATATCGAGAATCATGGCAGCAGCAGCATAGGCAATATACAGTCGAAAACACCGGACACGGTATGCTGTGTATGCAGCCGAGTTGAATGCACCCACAGGTTTGTCAAATCGCAGTCTGTACATTTGCTGGTACTCATGTCGGGGAACCATGGGTAGACGAGTATGGACTTTGAGGAAGAACGTCTCGAGAAGCTTGTCGGCCAGTTCACTGCTGGGTTGCTCCACAGGGTCTCCTTTGTATGGCGAGAAGTCAAACTGTGGCGGAATAAGGAATCCTTCGGAAGAAGGATCCACGGGCACGTTCGTTTCTGTCGCCAGATGGCTGTCCCATAACGAGTCCTGAAGCCGCTGTGAAACCACCGAAAACGACTGTGGCGCTGTCGAGTTACTGTTGGGATCGACGTTGAGAATTGAAACTGTTCGGTTGGGTGGTTCCGAGGGAGTAGGGGGAGCGTTTGGTGACGATGTCGGCCCTCCCTGTTGTTGTAGAGGAAGAGGAATACCCGGCGAAAGAATATGGTTATGACCCAGCGACCCATGGGAGTGGTGGTGGTGATGTGCCTGGGACTCCTTGACGCCGTTACAGGCGTCTGACACTCGCGACTGGCCTTGTTGTCGAGCTATCAGGTCCTCCAGCATGGCCACCTTCTTCTCCAGATGCAGCACGTAGTCGTCCTTCTCGGGGGCCTTGGTGGCGTACTTTTCGGGCTGCACACAGGTGACGCCGGCCTTGAGGCAGTTTGTGCACGTTGGTAGCATGTGGTCGCATTTCTGTTTTCGTCTCTGGCATCGTTCGCACGACGTGGTTCTTGATTTTTTGGCTCCGGGGCCGGAAGGGGATATCGACCTTTTCATGGGTGCCTTGGGGGTGGAGAGTGGTACGTTGCTGGCGGTTCGTTTGTTTTCTGCGTCGCCTTCACAGGAACTTGTACAAGTACTGAGTGCTATGCCAGGCGATGGTGGATTTCATATACGGCTGTGGAGTGCCGCGCATATTAAAGTGTAAGAAAATAGAGTCTTGTAAAGAGAGTTTCAGAGTGTATGCAGAGTAGCAGAAAAAGCAGAAGATGGGACCTAAGACGTATATGGTGTAAAATGGGGTGCTCGTACTTGAGACTAGAACTATGACAGACGGAACACATTTACAAGACTCGTCGTTGTAGGTGTCTCCATGAAGTTAAACCGGCCTACCTACTTGCAGCTTCCACTCCTCTTCCCTCACCCCTCTCCCACCAGCTCCCACCAGCTCGTGTGTGTACAGTACATACTGATTTTTCTGTGCACTCATACTCTTTTTTGTCCAATGTTCGACTCTCGCTTGTATGATGATGACTCGTGCAAAGGTGCCAAATGTATATATGCACATTTTTGCCCGACAGACTCAACACAGCCTCAACTCAACGTTAAAGAAGGACTCTGGAATTGAACATGACGCGCGCGTGTGGCGGCTCATAAGACATAAGACATACGAAACCATCTGGGGACTATTTGAAGACTTATTGTGCCGTAACCCCCGGTCACTACTCGTACCAAGCCTTGCCAAGCTCTGCATACGACGACTTGTCTACCAACTCGACGGTGGGTCCGTGGAAGGTGTGCCAGTAGACTACAGTACATACTGTACGATACCATGCAACGACGGTACGAGTATGAGAGGTGATTCAGCAGCGCTTGTGGTGTCGCCAGGACCACTGTTCCTGCTCGTTTCGCGGAATCTTGTTGCCAGTCTTCAGTCTTGTCATGTCCAGTCGAGAAATAAAGTCGGGGCTGAGCAGCGAAGACGGTGCTAACAATTGGAGTTTACGAGCGTTGCTAGCGCGGTGTATGACCAACTCTAGAGTGAAGATAAGTATGGTAGAGAGAATGTTGGTGTGCGTGCATGCCTATATTATCGGTGTCCATGAACTTATCTCTTCTTCAACTGTTACAAGCAGCCAGCTACGATACTCCTCCAACTCTACGTTTATCATGACAGCTCGACTAGGACCCGCTTAGCCTACTTGGCTCTAACAGCTTAATTCCAAATGCACTGTCGATGACAGGGAGACGCTTACCACACTTGTACATGTATTTAGTGGAGGCTGTGCTGGACTAGACCGACTTGGGCAGGTGCGGAGATGGCGGTGGTTGGACTCAAACCGTCATGGCTGTCGAGTGATTTAGAGAACGGCATAGTGAATTGAGTGCAGACATACTGTACGAGTAGAGTAGTTACAGTACATCGTCGTGTTAAGATTTTTTTTTTTTTCTGCATATACATTCATTTAATTATAACTTTGCCGTGAAAGAATAACCTTTGAAATGAATGTACGCTTACACGAATATTACTAATTAAACACGTTTAGTGTCATGGTCCAACTTGGCACGTACCTATTTCCAGTAAAAAAATCATAAAAAAACCTGGTTCAGTCCGTGTTGTATGTTGGTCCACATAGCTTCGCGTGTTTGTTCGTTCATCGGGAAAACGCCACTCCAGTCTCCAGTTCTCTAATCTCAATCCTTCCATTGCCCTCTTCATTTGCATTGCCTTTGAAAACTTCTCCTTGTGGTTCTTCTTCGTCATTGGTTTGGTTCTGCGTCCCCTGTGGTGACTACGCGCCCTGCTACGCTGTTCTCTCGGTGGCCTCGGCCGCCTTTTACGCTTGCTACTGTGTCTACTCTCGCTCATCGTGAAGTGCTGGCGGTTGTCCATCGTAGAAACACATCTGGGCTTCCTTCAGGAATTGAAGCAAACCCTGTTGGACATGTCCCAGGGTGGCGTCGTCCCCTGAGTACCGGAGGGATCTCTCCATCTTCCAGATCCCATAAGCCAATTCCCGCAGATATTTGCGTGTCTTGACTTGTTGATGTTTCCGGGGGGCGTCACTGTTCACATGCCCTGGGAAAGAGGGGAGTACTCCACATTTCGACTCGGTAAAGATCCAGTCCTTTAGAGAGTCCACTGACGGAATCTTCATCCTGGTCAACATGGAAAGAAGAACTTCGCACTTGCAGAAGATATGCTCGTGCAGATCCTGAATGATGGCCTTATCACAGAGCCCGCATCCTGGATTCTTCTTGGTGAAAACGTGGTCGTCAGGGTATCTCCATTTCACGAGCGGAAGTCGAGATATCCGCATGAGGTGAAGAACTTGTGCTTTGTTGGCGTCGGCGATGTAGTGTTTTCGAAGGTCATGCATTACCTCCTGCCAGACCATGTCGTCAGAGATGCCCCCGTAGTCGCTTCGTTGAGTCCACTTCTTCGGTCGTGCAAGTGTGTGTGGGAAGTTTGGCAAGTCGGGAGACGAGGTCTTGTGAAACATGAAGTTCTCTAGAGTAAGTGGTCCCATGCTCCACCGGAGGTGGTCGATTTCCGCTGTGGACACCATTCTGACCGGATGGTATCGTCTCGCGGCTGCGATGTCGACGTGTGCTTCCCGGAAAGATTCTGCTGCTCTCACGTTCACCTGGTTTCGTTCCCAGATTCTGTGATTAACTGTGTCTGTTGTAGAGGGCTCGTGATCTTCTCGAGGGTTGGCATGTTCCGCGGTGAGGGGCTTGTTGAGCTCGAAAGAAGCTCTGATTGCGTCTCGCATGGTGGGGGAGGCTGCGTAGCCCCAAGCTTGGCCTGTCGGAAAGCGGCAGTCGACGCGCTGGTGTGGCTTTTCCTGTGTGAGACTGTGAGAACAATGCACACGACGGTCTGTACTGTAGCTACAAGTACTGTAGTACAAACAAGACTTCCACTACAGTCACATCTCACACACTCACTCCTCGAATACTTGTTTCTACATCTACAGTCTCTTAACCGTCTCTCTAAGGTATAACTTCCGCTACTGTAGATACTCGAAATTAAGGACCACAACGCCATCGGTTCTAGAACTCGAGCCGCTCTGTCTTACAAGCGCATCTGAAACACTTAGTGCGGGAGTAGTGGGTTCGAGAAGTCTTTGTGTGGCTTCTCGAGTGGACGTGCCATTGATTCAAGGATCCACTTGGTGATCTCAGGGTGGAGGTGGTCTACTTGTAGGTTGGCTGTAGGGTCGAACGTCCTTGCCAGCAGATGATTATTAGAGAGACTTACTTGAGAAGGCAAGTAACAGGATATTAAAATTTAAGACAAACCAAGTACCAGTTTTGGTTTACTTGAAAAGTCAAGTGTAATTGTAAGTATTGTACTGCCAATGGTTCTCGTACCTCAACGCCATTCATTCAGCCAAATAGAACCAGTCTAATTAATCTTGCATGATAAATGTCCCAGGATCATCGAACAGCCACGTAGAATTGATATCAAAGTGTCGGCTGTACTATCCCTCTATCCATACTTGAATGAGCTCCTCTTTCACCCTAACCTTGAGATCATGCAGTGTGCAAGTGTGCTGCAAGTGGTGAGACCACTGATACCACTCTCATGATTAGTGCAAAGATCGGTGCTAAAAGCGCAAATTCGACACAAAGCAGCCACTCACGCATCTAAAACACATCTACAACAAGCGCCATGTCGTTAGAAGAAGAGGTGGAGACCATCGACGCTATTTTCCCAGACTCTCTCAAGGAGATTGGGCCTCGCAGATACACCCTTTCGATTCCAGATCGAAGAGCGCTGGTGCAGCTATCTTTCCCTTCAGCCTACCCAGACATCCTTCCAGAGGTGCAGTCGACTGAGCACGTGGACAAGGGGCTGGTGGAAGACATTTTGGCTCAGGTCTATATGGAGGGCGAGGTTGTCTTATTCTCACTGATCCAAGAGGTCCAGGAAGTGACTGAGGAGATCTCTGAGGAAGCCGAGGAGCCAGAAACACATCAGGATCACGACGAGACAAGCGCAGAAGCCAAGGCTGCCATTTTTGCGGGCTGGACCTTGTCGGATCCGGTGGTGGATCGAAAGTCCATATTCGTGGCTCATGCATTCACAGTCCATTCGGCAGCCGAGGCTGAGGCCAAGATCAACCATCTGAAAGAGGACAAGAAGATTGCCCGTGCCACCCACAATATCACAGCTTACCGCATTCTGAGGGACGCAGAAAAGGGTATCTATGCGCAGGACTGTGATGACGATGGAGAGGATGCTGCAGGAGGCAGATTACTGCATTTGTTGTCTCTCACGGGGGTTGAGAATGTGGTTGTGGTGGTCGCTCGATGGTATGGAGGCATCAAACTTGGTCCTGACCGATTTAAACACATTAATGCGGCTGCCAGAGATGCCCTCGAAAAGGGTGGTTATTTGAAAAAGTAGATAGAGCGCTTGCAAACAGGTCTGTTAGAGCTATGGGGACACCGTACGACTATGCCTACAAGTGTACCTACACCTAAAATCAATAATAATGCTTATATGTTACATATTCCGTTGCCGTCTACCATAGACTAATACTTCATCTTCTTCTTTCCCCCGTTATCTCCACCCTCAGAGGGCCGCTTTTTGGCCTTGTTTCCTCCAGACCCAGAAACACCCTGGTTCTTGGCGGCCGCTCGTAATAACTCGTGCTCTTCCTTCTCAATCTCGGCAGCCGACCGAGTGTCTTCCTTGGGCTTCTTGGTGTCTTCCAGATCGTTGAATCCTCCCCATGACAGCCGTCCCTTGGTATCTTCAGCAAGCGCAATGTCCGAGTAGCCCACGGAGACGATTTTGCGCGACTTTTTTCGGATTCGCGGCGCCTTGACACCCTTGACGGTCCATTTCGATGCGTCGTCAATCTTTTTTTGTGCCTTTTCCTCCTCCTTCTTCATTTCCTGATCAGAAGATCTTTGCATAAACTGCGTTAGTGGGTGGAAAAGAATGGATTGAATATGTGTAAAAGAAGTACTGGCAATTGAAAGCGTCTGTTAACCTGCAACAGTCACAACCCCATTTGATTCTCCAGGTCCTGGTGGCGTCGAAACTGCTCTGTTTGCTCTGAGCATCCCAGTTGTCATCCAAGATCATCTCCAGATCAGTCCGACACTCTCCTCACGTGATACTCACCTTCATGTTGTTCAGTTTACTACTGAGATGCGTTTTGCTCGCCGTAGGAGGCGCCTTTTTCATGTTGCTGTTCATGGCGGTTGTGTGGTTGGTGATGGATGAAATTGTATCATGCATGTCGAAGGATATATTTTCTGTGCATTTCCGAGCCGCACGGATGCCACAGTTGGACACAGTCCTGGAGTATGTATACTGTAGGCTGTAGATAGGAGGAGAAGTTTTAAAGACGTTGAAGATATCTTAAAAGGTGAATTAACAGGGGACATAGTCTACGGTCCCGTGATAATACCTCAGCAGCATATATATTGGTTACTAAGAGATGCAACACAATGTAACGTGAGGTAAGGTACCAATTGCAAGTACAAGCATGGACTGTAACGTATATTATCGAATACAGTATGTTTTTAATGCTGCTATATGCACCTATGCCAACGCCTCCAAGTCAACCGGCTGGTTATTCTTGTCCAGAATCTTACTGAAGAACTCTCGAGAGATCTTTCCATCCTTACCCTCAGTCAAGACAACACCATTTTCAGACAGGAAGAATTCGATTCCGGCCTCCAGAGCCTTGGGAACATTGATGTAAATGAACACCTCTCTGTTAAGTCGCTTTCCAGCCACAGAGCCTCCTTCGGTGACTAGATCGGTAGCCAAATGGATATGTTGACGTTTCATCTTGGACAATCCTTCCTTAAGTACAATGGGAAGCACCTGTTTCGAGGTGGCGTGGAAGATCTCAAGAGTGGGGAAGTCCTCGGGGGTCTTGAGAGCCTTCATCTCGACCTTGGTGTTGATAGTGTGTCCCTGGTTAGCTCTGATCCAGTATCCCGTGCAATCGTTGGGGTCTGTGGGTTCTTTGGGCTGTTTTTCTGTGGGCTCAAAGATGAGCTTGTATCTCTGTTTGTCGTTATCTCGCACAACCCGCTTGGTGTCTTCCAGGTTCCATTTCCCCTTGATTCCAGCTCTATTGAGCAGCACACCTACAGACAAGTATCCGTCTTCTCGAATGGGCAGCTTTTCCTTGGTGGCGCCGTGTCGCAAGATGTACGACAGTTTGCGAGAGTACTCCTCGTCAGGCGTCATTTCTCGTCGGGGTCGAGGCATTGTTGTTGGAGTGAACTGTGTGAAGAAGATTCAATTTAGATGCAGATAAAGATCCTGGTTATGCATGCAAATGTGACAGTGGGATACATGACAGAGCAGCATAGGTATGGGCGATATAGGACGGGGATGCGTCACGTGACTGATTGAGAAGTTGGCTTAGACCCCATTGAGGCCCCCGGGCACCTGTGTAGTGTCAAACGAGAAAGTATGAACGTTCCTTAACGAGGTGCTGTATGTTCCACTTCAGCTGAAAGATGAAGGCCCTTCAGTAATTAGTCTACAAGAGCACTGTTTTAACGTACATACTGTACTGGACCTACTCTGTCCTCCCCCCAAGTAAGTCAAAGCAGTGCAACAGGACATTTTAACACCATGCGGACCGTCTGAGTAAATATTTCGGCCGTGTCTGCCAGCCACAACCCGCTATTTCGACATCTTCCTTCTGACTGGTGCACCTTCATTCCAGCCAAACTTTCCAAGCATACTCACCCAAAGCGGAGTCGAACCGGCAACATCCATACCGCGCCGCGTAAAACGTGGTCCGAAACCGTGGGTGGGAGCAGATTAGACTTTGGTCGACCCTCACACACTTTCACCCACTGCTGTCGAGCGAAACTATCAAGCGTGTAGAACCGTGCGGTATTCGACGAAACCGAATCATCAACGGCACACACAGCACTGGCAAGATGGATCTCGAAAACGGGCATTCGCCAGCACCCAATGGCGGTGCTCTCAACGGCTCCGCCAAACAGCCCCACTATTATTCCATCCCCACCCCCGAGAGCGTGGAGCAGGCCCAGTTGTTGTTTTTGGTGAGTATCAGAGGAAGAGGAAGACAAGAGGAGGGGAGACAGACCCAACACGACGGACGGAACACCATCACGTGACACCGAGGACGTGACGACACCACGTGACATTGTCAGAGTGTGATTGTGTTATGGACACGACAGCCGACGTTGGACGGGTCGACACGACATTATCGATGTCATGGGTCATGGGTCATTGGTATCGTATCGTATCGTTGCACATAACGTGACGACACACGTGTCTCAACACAGCACAGTGTGCAAGTCTATTGCTTGACCGCCATCTATTCTCATTCTAACACAGCGATTCAATGCTCTTAATCAATCCGACCACCCGGTGACACCCGAACTCGAGGGCATCGTCACCCGGCTGCACACCATGGGCCAGGAGCAGCAGCTGTACAACAAGCGTCTGGCAGAGGTCAACAGCGCCCGAAAAGCCGCCCACAACAAGATCGACCTCGACCTGCTCCGAACCCAGGTCAACGCGTTCAGATACCTGAGCCGAGGTCTCGACATGCCCACCGACGTGCAGGAGCGCCTAATGGAGACGGTAGGCATCGAAAGTGACATCACCGAAGAGGAGGCTGACGCAGCACTTGAAAAGTCACTCACCCCTTACCAGCGACGTCTCAAGGACAGCGGAGTGCCCCCCCGAGGCGGGTTTGTGGACAACGGGCGGGGAGTCGGTGGACGACACGAGTTCATCATCACGAACCGAATCTCGCAGCGGATTCTGGAGCTCGAGTCTCTGCCATCAAACCTCGGAGTGTTGGATGCTTCCCGGGATGATCTCGGCAAAGCCGAAGGCACTGATGCGCTCAAAGTACGAGCTGTGGCCGAGCTCAAGGCCCTGCGGCTGCTAACCAAGCAAAAAAGTCTGCGGCAACATCTAGTCTTCTGCAAGGCCCAGACGTCCCAGGTGACCGACTCGGTCATCAACCGGGCTCTCAACCGACGAGCCAAGGTGCAGACCGCGCACGAGATGCGACTGACGGAGCAGCTAGAGCGACAGCAGCGCATGGAGCGTGAACGCAAGCAGCGGGAGGAAATCATGGCGTACGTCAACTCGGTGTGCCACCAGTCGGACCGAATCAGAGAAGAGGCCCATCGTCGACGAACCAAGCAGTACGCCGTGGCCAAGGGCATCCAGCAGTTCCACTCGTACGTTGAGCGAGAAGAGAGTCGACGAGTCGAGCGAACTGCCAAGCAGCGTCTGCAAGCTCTCAAGTCCAACGACGAGGAGGCCTACCTCAAGCTCCTGGACCAGACCAAGGATACACGTATCACCCACTTGCTGCGACAGACCAATTCGTTCTTGGACTCTCTGTCATCTGCCGTTCGTGCTCAGCAAGGAGAAGCCGGAACTCAAATGCCCATTCCTGCTGCGGAGGAAGAAGGAGGAGAGGGAGAAGAGGACCGCGAGAAGATCGACTACTACCATATTGCTCATCGAGTCAAGGAGACAGTCTCCAAGCAGCCTTCTATCTTGGTTGGGGGTCAGCTCAAGGAGTACCAGCTCAAGGGTCTGCAGTGGATGGTGTCTCTGTATAACAACTCTCTGAATGGTATCTTGGCCGACGAAATGGGCCTTGGAAAAACTATCCAGTCCATTTCCCTCATTACCTACCTTATTGAAGTCAAGAGACAGACCCGGCCTTACCTGGTCATTGTCCCTCTCTCGACACTCACTAACTGGACCAATGAGTTTGAAAAGTGGGCTCCCAGCGTTAAGAAGATTGTGTTCAAGGGTTCGCCCAACCAGCGTAAGGAGTTGTCCAACCAGGTACGAGCAGGAGACTTCCAGGTGCTGCTCACCACCTACGAGTACATCATCAAGGACAAGGCGCTTCTGGGCCGAATCCGGTGGGTGCATATGATCATTGACGAAGGTCATCGAATGAAAAACACCCAATCCAAGCTTGCCCAGACGCTCACGCAGTTCTACTACTCTCGATACCGACTCATTCTTACAGGTACCCCTCTGCAGAACAACCTGCCCGAACTGTGGGCGCTGCTCAACTTTGTGCTACCCAAGATTTTCAACTCGGTTAAGACGTTCGACGAGTGGTTCAACACGCCGTTTGCTAACAGCGGATCACAGGACAAGATGGAGCTCACGGAAGAAGAGACGCTGCTGGTCATCCGACGTCTTCATAAGGTGCTGCGTCCCTTCCTGCTGCGACGTCTTAAGAAGGACGTTGAGAAGGATCTCCCCGACAAGGTGGAGACCGTCATCAAGTGCAAGATGAGCGCTCTTCAGCTCAAAATGTACCAGCAGATGCTCAAGTACAACGCTTTGTACGTTGGTGACGATTCTGGCGCGGCTGGTGTCAACAAGAGCGGAGTCAAGGGTCTCAACAACAAGATTATGCAACTGCGTAAGATTTGTAACCATCCTTATGTATACGAGGAAGTCGAGACTCTTCTGAACCCATCACATGGCAACAACGACCTACTGTGGCGTTCTGCAGGTAAGTTTGAGCTTTTGGACCGAATTCTGCCCAAGTTCAAGGCTAGGGACCATAGGGTGCTCATGTTCTTCCAAATGACCCAGATTATGGACATTATGGAGGACTATTTGCGGCTCCGTGGCTTGCAGTACCTGCGACTAGATGGTAACACCAAGGCCGACGATCGATCCGAGATGCTGAAGCTCTTCAACGCTCCCGATTCGCCCTATTTCTGTTTTCTGCTGTCCACTCGAGCTGGTGGTCTAGGTCTGAACCTGCAGACAGCCGACACAGTTATCATCTACGACACTGATTGGAACCCTCATCAGGATCTGCAGGCACAGGATCGAGCACATCGAATTGGTCAAACCAAGGAGGTGCGAATTCTGCGTCTGATCACAGAGGATTCCGTTGAGGAGGTTATTCTCCAGCGAGCTCACGCAAAGCTTGAAATCGACGGAAAGGTCATTCAGGCCGGAAAGTTCGATAACAAGTCGACGGCCGAGGAGCAGGAGGCGTTCCTGCGAGGGCTGCTGGAGCAGGAGGAGTCTAAGCGTGGCTCTCGAGAGGCAGAGGACGAGGACCTTGACGATGAGGAGCTCAACGACCTGCTGGCTCGAAACGAGGAGGAGCGGGCTTTCTACGCCCAGATGGACGCCGAGCGGAACGCCACAAGCGATTATGGCAAGGGCGCAGGACGACCCGATCGGCTGCTTTCCGAGTCCGAGTTGCCGGACCAGTTCACTCAGGATGTGTCTGAGCATTTCCGAGAGGACGACATGGCCGACTCGGACAAGTACGGCCGAGGAGCTCGAGAGCGAAAGGAAGTGTACTACGACGACGGCCTCACAGAGGAGCAGTGGCTCAACATTGTGGACAATGACGAGGATCTGGACGCTGCCATCAAGAAGCGACGCCGAAGCCGACGGTCCCGAGCCCCCACTGATCTGGATGACGGTCTGGACGCCGATGATATCATCGTTGACGATGCCGATGGAGACGACCAGTTTGTCGACGAAGAGGCGTCTCCTCCTCCCAAGAAGAAGAACAAGAACAAGATCCCCAAGGTCCGGGAAACCTTGTCTGTGGCTGACCGGGAGGAGCTCAACGAGTCATGCCAGCTGGCTCTCAACGAGTGTTTTGCGCTGACGGAGCCCTGGGATCCTGAAGATGAGTCTGCGGGCCTGCGGCATGTGTGTGACCTGTTCCGGTCCATTCCCTCCAAAAAGCTGTATCCCGACTACTTCAAGCTCATCAAGAATCCGATTGCGCTTGACGTGATCCAGAAGAAGGTGAAGCAGAATGTGTACCAGAACCGGTACGATTTTGTGGCTGATTTCGAGCTCATGAACCAGAATGCTCGAACCTACAACGAGGAGAACTCTCCGGTTGTTACGGATGCCGACCGTCTTTTGGACATTGCCCGGGGTTAGAAGATATATAATGGGCAAAAAGGTCCCACTAAGCTGTATAATATGATGTGTTTGTTTATTACACAGCTGGAGCGAAGCTGTCTATCCGTACGTCTACTTGTAGTAATATCGCCTTTACCTTCTACTCAACGAAACCAAGCACTCGCAGTGTATCTATCGAAATTCGTCTCATTGTATGTTCTTGCCAAGGGCGCTCAGAAAAAGCGCCTCACAGCTAGTCTAGACAATTAGAGATTAGAACACACCCTTTTTTGCAAGTTTTACTACAGTACTTGTTTTGTCATGTGACATAATCTATGGAATATTCTTTTCAATCTTTTCTATTTCTCTCGCACTCAGGTCAGAATATTGTTGAGAGAGTCTTGTTAAAGGTGATACCCCGGACCAACCTGGTCAATTTCTCACATAGACATGAGAGGAACCAGCTTGGTCGTAGACAATGATGTCCATCCTGTAAGCAGTGTATCTGCCGATCTAGAATCTCTTTCTGGTGAATGAGCAAGCACACACTCTTCTGGTGTGTGCTACTATCGGAACGTAGGGTCCTGAAATGAGTTGTAAGCCGTTAACTATATATATCAATCATACTTTATAATTGATGTTCTGAGAATATTGCTGAAAAAAGAGGCATAAATGGACATGACACAATTTGGTTAACCGATACACACAGAAGTGTTGTTTCAATATTAATGTTTCAAGATACTCGAGTTTCTGCTTAGAAATGAGTGGATTCACAGTTAGGGACGTTGTTGGAGTTTACTTGGAATTTGGAACATTTATGCTGTGTGCGACATAAAAAAACATGTCAATCTAATATCTGGACAGAAAACTTAGCATATTCTAACAGCTATCGTACTGGTACACACTTGTACTTGTGCGTATTCCATTGGCACACGCATTTTACTCCAATGAACCTCAATTAGCTCGTCAGAGCTGGATCTATCGTGCCCTCTCATATCCGCCAAAGGATATGTGCTCGTTCTTGCAGTCTCGAGACTGATATATGTGGTTTTTTTTAGCAGACATATATGGTGTTTCAGTTTCTGCCGCTAATATGTGCCATCGCCGTACAAAGTACTTTTATTGCAAAAGTACAATTCCGATCCATTTTCATATAGCTCACATTGTGTACAAATGCAACACCAGACTTGTCTGTTTCATGTCCTGTCTCGTCCTTGTTGGAGATGTACTGTACCTGACCCTAGTCACGAGAAGCGCGCGATACGATAACTCCAGATGAGATACACTCGTCTAGACACGTCCAATACTGAGGTACGCGTCGGAAATAATACAGTACATTCTTGACAGGATTTGGTGACATGAAACAATGGGTCTGAAATGGGAGTACTTGGCGAAGGCAACTTGGAGTGACAGAATCGAGGCCCAAATACAGCGTCTTGTAGCTCCCAAAAAAGACCTTTCTGGACCTGGAACCGAGAATGCACACTTTTATTATGTCTGCGGGAGGAGACACATTTTTGGCAAGAGTAGACTACAGTAGCTGCGCATGTGCCCCGGCGTCTTGGGTCGAAAACAAATGTGCTCTGAAGCACATAGACAATGGATCTGTACGGGCTATGCGTATATCGGAATTTTTATTATATCGGGAATAGTGCAGTTTTGCCATTTTGCCAAGCCAGCCAGTTGGAGCGCGCAGATGTCAAAAAAGAGGCGTGCTGGGGTTGGCAACCCGCTAAAAAGGCATGGGGCGAGGTCATTCAGGGGTCGACGGTCTAGAGTCGAGGTTCCCGTGTCAAAATCGGACTAATATCTGACCCTTTGAGAGGTGTTCATTTAGGTCCCCCTTGTTGCATTTCATATCCTAACCTCGCTGCACAGCACCCGAAAAAGCACACAGCAGCAGCGTTGGGCCTTTGTCGGTGCCGGTACATACTTGTACGTCGTGTCTCTTGGCTCGTGGTCTACAGTGCCAGTATTATTTGAGAGTTTTGGTACAGTACCGTACGTATTGTCGCTGTATTTTATTATTTGCGGTGGTCAACAGAGCCCGAGTCGAGGTGAGGGGTTGCTGCCTGGCCGTGTATTTTCGACACTAATTACTGTACCGCCATCACTAGCTTGTTCGTCGACACGGCTTTTCCACTCACTTTAATTTAAGCCGTATTTTAAGCCATGTCTTAGATCCAGACGAAAAAACGGTCTACCGGACTTGGTACAGACCTTAAACCAGCCCGTCAAAATACCGGTCGAAATACAGTACATTTACAAAACAATATAGGCTAAAGGCCAATATAAAAAAGCGTGTTGTAGTTGGACACGCGTATTGCACGCCCACGTCCAATTGCTCGATATACCACGTACCAGTGCGTACATTGTGTACAGCGGACTGTGCATACACCAGGCGCTGCCGGAGGTTCGGTTTAATTACGTGCTTGTGCTCGGATGCAGGGGAACCAACGGCAGTCACCGTTCTTAGTTTACCGGCATGCCGAAAAAGGCACGGTTTGCGAGCAGACAAACGGGCTGCTCACGACGGCAGAAAATTAATAATCGGCCATTGTTGCGCACTGCTGGCGACGTCCGCCACGTAATATGACGGCATTGCATTACATGGAGGGGCTGGATAAGAAAAATATTGCAAGGCTGATTGGCGATAGATAGCCGAGCACGGTGTATGTTGGGTTGAGTGGGTGGGAGGAGAGCCTTTGGAGCACACTTGTGAGACAGGACAAGGACAAGTGTAGCGGCGTATGCAATTACCCGTGTATCTGGTAATTAATGATGCATTTAGTGTGGGGGTCGAGGCCATAGCAGGTTGGCGACTGGGCAGGCATGGTAATAATCAACAAACGAGAGCCAATGGGCGCTCGTGAAGCTGTCGAATGTCGTTATTCTCTACTGTTAAAGTAACGGTTGGGACAAATACTTGAACTTAGTGGGCTCAATCAAACCCCCTGGTTGACAGCCTTAATTCAACCCCAAATTTACCACCTTGCTGTTGAACTACGGGCTCTAAAGACCATGCTCAAGGTGGAGGGTCGGCGGTCCAAAAGCCCAATTTTCCTTTCCCCACACGAAGCGATGGATCGCAGCAATATTTTCCACCGTCTTCCCCACTCTGCCCCACAGTAGAGCCTCATGATTTCATTTCCTTTGAACCAGACCAAGAAAGAGGTTAAACCACCTCGATCAGGTCACGTGATCATGCATACGGAAATCTGGGGACGCCTCGAACCTTAAGCAATCGTACCATGATCGAAACCTGCATCACCACCACGAACAAGTCCTTCCTTGTACACACAAGCATTTAACACAACAAAAACACACAATGGAAACCAAAGAATACCCTCTCCAGGTGGCTGCGCGGGACGGCGACTTGGCCACAGTGAAGGAGATTCTGTCACGTGACCCCAAGCAGGTGAACCTGGTGGATTCGGACGGCCGAAGCGCTCTGCTGTGGGCGGTGTCCATGGGCCACAAGAATATTGTGGAGTGGATTCTGGACAACCAAAAGCCTGCTGACATTGACCAGACCGACGCTAGTGGCTGGACCGTTGTTCACATTGCCTCCTCCACCGGAAACATTGACATGCTGCAGCTTGTTCTGCCTCTGGATCCCGATGTCAACGAGAAGGCCAATGGAGGACAGACTCCTTTGCATCTTGCTGTGGGCAAGAACCGAATCGATGCCGTGCGACTGTTGCTAGATCATGGAGCCAAGCCCTCAGTTCGAACAAAGGACGGCCAGGGCCAGATTCCGCTCGTTCGAGCTGCTGCCAACGGCTCCATGGTCATGGTCAAGACTCTGCTTGAGAACGGGTCGCCTCTGTCCACCACCGACATCAACGGCTGGACCGCTCTGCATCACGCCATGGCCGAGGGCCAGGGTGACGTTGCTGTCTATCTCATCCAGCAGGGTGCTTCCGCGGAGGCTGTGGACAGCGACAACAAGACCCCCTTTGATGTTGCTGTCGACACCAAGGTTCTGGAATACGTCAAGTCTCAGCTCGCCTAGATGGTCTTATCATGGGATCGGCGACCGATTGCTATTTGTACAGCACAATTGTACGGTCGAAGAGCGCAATTGGGTAGCGAAACTGTCAAGAGCTCACTTGACAAACATGATAGGATGGCTTTGTCTTGGCATGGATCGGACCCGCTATTACTTCTATTTCATAGTCAACCAAATGCATACACTGTTGGGCGGACATTGGTGAATTGCCATGCTATGCTGTGGGGTTCTGCCTTTGCTCCATCATATCAGCTACCTGTAGCGCAAAGAGCCAGTCTAGCCGTACGTGCTGTAACCTTCGCACTTTCCGAGCCCACGGAGTTTTGTACGAAAGAAGACAAGGATCGTAGGAAGGGTAGAGAGTGGATAAAGCGCGTATAAAAGTAGATAGAGAGTTTCGTTAACGCGGTAAAAGGGATGCACGTAGATGAGGTAGGACCAAGCAGCATACGTGTACAAGTAAGTGCTTTACCGGGAATGTGTGTTTTACCGAGTACAGGTATGCACATTGTGTAGTGCTTGGTAACGGTTGAGGTTTTTAAGTGTAGACGAAGAGGTTTAAATAACTGTCCAAGTGATTTGTCAAACAACACAGTTAGACAATCATGCCGCATTCATGAGACGAACTGTCTCAGTTCAGTAATCCAGTCTCGTCGCAACCCATCCCTACCGGACCATACAGTACACACTTTGAAGCACAATGTGGGGTCGTACAAGGGTATTGTCACGTACAGTACAGTACTGTACAGCAACGTTAGTCCCTTGCCAAAAAACAAGTGAGAATATTTTCATTTTTTTGACCCTGCCATATCAGTGCGAGTACCAAGCCTTCTGCCTCATGGACTCTTATTCTGAATCAAAATCAAGGTTGAAACGGCCCAATACGGATGGCTGAGCCTATTTATTCTGGGTGCTGTGAGGGCAAGTATACCATACAAGTATGTACAATACATGTAGTATTAAGACTAATAGTCATATTGACATGCCTCGGGTGGATATTTTCAATTGTCGTGTGGTGAATAATATCTCGTAAATGTATCCTCAAGTGTAGTGCATATTCAGTAGATTGATTCAGTAGATTGATTTCAGCATGTACAAGGGTTCTACCAACCCGTTAGTGACCGCTTAAACACCGTTTTCTCGCTCTCTCTCCAGGTCTCGCGTACCAGTACCCACGCCGAGGGTCACATGACTCAGAATACAATCCTAGTGCCACAGCCGCGCGCTCGGCGATATTGACTGCTTGTGGCGACCGGTGTCTTGGAAAAAGCAAGAAATGCACCAACAGGCACATGCAGTAAGAGAAAAAAAACACAGTATCTGGTACAGTAGGTTTTAGCAGCAGCAACCACCAAGCTCCAAGCACGAAAAGCAGGTTGTTCAGGGGCCCCACAGGACAATATAAACAATGCGAGGATAATATTTCGCGAATCGGGGAGACGCATTGTCTCCATGTAGGCGGATCGGGTGTCACTTGCTCTCGCTCTTCCTTCTTGGCCAGTAATTGGTGCGCTATGTCCACACTGTTAGTCAGATAATTTTTCCCAAGCCGGCTATTTTTCGTGCACAATTTTTCAACATATATAATAAACGGATCGCCCACGGATGAAACCCGAAATGAAGACGGCATCGCGACCATCACTACGAGATAAAGGGTGTGAAACACGGGCCATTTGTCAACGTGTGTAAGCGCAAAAAAAGCAAAACCAGACAGCACTTGGACAAGTACACTACAGTACACACAATCGGTTTGCAAAAAGAAACGAGTATAAACGGCAGTCAAGGGATACATGAAAAAACCCACACCTTGCACACACGCAGTACAAAAGTAAAAGAAATGTGCATGGAAGGAGTTTGCACACTCTCGGTGTATCGGTGATGCGTCCCACACGTACCCGAGCAACCCGGTCAGCAACCGCAACCACTTCTGGAGCTACTTGTACTGGTGCCGAGAAGGTGCTCCTGCAGAGGTTTGGGTGTGCAATTCTGTCTCCACAAGTACTGTACAATACTTGGTTGAGGAGATTGTCCCACGGTTGACACACGCTTCTCAATTGATCTCAATGGAGACTGTAGGCACAGCCTCGGCAACCGAGACTGTCGTGTGGGTAGATTGTATTATGTCTCTGAATCTGTGGGTCTCACAGGATGCAGAGCGGCAGAAGGTCTGGAAACATGGACAATGTACGGTAGGAGTTTGTCGACGTTTGTGGTCCATCCGCCAACAACTTGGAAGTGTGCCCCGAATGTTTTTCGCCAAAACGTCTCTTTCAGGTAACATGTGGACCCAGCCTAAACAGACAGCTGTCGACCTGTGGGCCTGAGAGAGCAGATCCAGTGACGTGCTCGTACTGCGGCGGCTACTGTACGATGTACAAGCACACATTGCCAGACACCAGAACGTCCCAAATGGAAGCCGAGACTGCCTCTTTCAGGAAATTTAGGAAATTATGGCGAGTTGACAGTGGCTTCCGCAGCACATACATTCCCTGGTGACATCGGCATGAGCCATCGTAGGACAGTCGGTAGTCAGAAATAATAATCCATGCTTCACAGAGTACACAAAAGAACATCCCCTCCTTTGAACAAGACGACTGTCCTGTTGCTGCTGCTTCTCCTTTAGTCTCTTGGCCATAATACGAGTGCAACCGTGGTGGAGGGCGAATGGGGGTGCAAGATGGGGTACAGACGAGGTGGAGAGATGGAGGAAATTGCATTTTGAAGCTCAGGGAGATTGCACCAAGGCTGCCCAAACCCCACCCCACAGTGATCCTCCTCAACCTCATGTAGTCCCCATCCCAGTCCCCGAGACTCCATATCGCAATACGAAGCTAAAAAGTACAACCACGCTAACGTGCGGACAATGTTGCAGGGTGTGACAGGTGAACTTGGAGACTGTAGAGCTGTCAGCTGTCAGTGATAGGGCTCAACAGTCTGAAGAAGTCTCATTATGGACCTGGTTCAATGTATACATAGTGAGAATTCTGCCCGTGGAAAGGGATATCTGCTCTACTAGTACACTGTAGCATCTCTCTCCTAATCTGTAGCCACCATTATCTCCAAGGCGATAGGCTTCGTTTAGCTCTTCAGACTACCATAACAAAGACATGTGGTAGTCAGGGCAGCCTTGGAACTTTTAGATGTTGCAATGGCTGTCGTGTGTGTGTGTGTGTGTGTGTGTGCGAGGTTGACGTGCAGACTTGGATACTGTGGGTGGGACTGTGAGAACGGATTGTAGGTCTACCACGGATTGTAGGTCTACCACGGATTGTAGGTCTACCGCAGATTGTAGGTCTACCGCGGATTGAAGGTATACCGCTTGTCTTCCTGATTGTAATCACTCAATCTCAATCGACGATATTACAACCATGCACTGGGTTGACCTTTTTGCGATTTGGATTAGTTGATTCGCCTTTTTTTATTCTTTTGTGATTTTTGTCCGTCCTCCAGAAATTTGGTTTTCTCCCCAGAGTTGGGTTTTTCGTTTTGCGCTTCTAGCTCGGCCACTTTGCGTTTTTCTCCATCTCAGCCTCTCTGGGTTTTCGGGCACTTTTCGAGTCCCGGCATAAGAGCCTATATTAAGCGAGAAGGCGGGCTCAAGGGGCTCACAAAAGGGGTGTGCACATGTATACAGTGCGACACAATAGGGGGAGAGGGGATATGCAGAGACGGAGGCCTCAGGACCGTTTTTTGGGTCGGCACAAACACAGCTGGGGCACCACACACTTTGACGCTTCTATCGTCCACGCTAGCTGGAGGCTCTAATTGTGCTGCTTGTAGTTCACACCTTTTGATTTGGCTGTTTCCAAGGTTTGGAAAAGGTGGGAAAACCTAGAGTTTGAGACTACCAATGCAAGAACAAGTACAAGTTCTGTACTCCCCCCCAAACACTTTTCGTTTGGACCCTCTTTGTCCTAGACAGAGAGCAGCGGCTGTATGCACATGCAATAGGCAGCAGAGGGCTGCCAAGGGTCACCGAAGCAAAGCTCTCTCACATTATATAGAGACTGGGGGACCTACTGGAAAGGCCTGTTATCAGCAGAATACCATACACACCACCATGACAAGTCTCGATGACGCCATTGCCATGGCCTACGTCTCTGGCGGCACGTCGCAGCTAGACAAGGACTCTGCGGTACAAAAGGCCGAACGAATGGCCCAGGCAAAACGACTGTGGGCCACCCAGACAGCGCCCGTGGTCTCCCCCGGACCCCGTGCCTCCACGGCGGCCACCGAGCCCAAGTCACTCAATGCATCTCAGAACGAGCGCCTCAAGGCGCTGCGACAACGCCATCTGCAACAGGCCCGATCTCCCCAGCCAGCACACGGCCCCTACTGTAGCTGGAACACCCACACCCGGGCTGCTTCTGCCATCAGCGAACGGAGCTCGTCCTCCACGCACTCGGGCTTCTCTATGGCATCTCCTGACAGCGCGGTATCTGCCACCTTTGATGGCATGCATGACTCGGAAGACGAGGCTCTGGAAAGCAAGTACCGATCTCTGCAGCAGGACCTGGACGACCTCCACTGGGTAGACGAAGTCAAGCCTGAGAAGCCCAGAAAGATGTCGTCACGCTACTATGCCAATCACAACAACCTGTCGGCCTCGGAGGGCCATCCGGACAACCTGGTGCGATTCACAGCCAAGGGAATCATGTGGATAGGACCCGAGACGGACGAGATGGAGCCTACGGGATCCGCCCAGTCTCACAGAGGAACTCCTTCCATCAGCTCGGCGGCATCCACCGCATCCACTCAGTCCGTCAACAGCCTGTACACCGTCCAGGACGTGAGCTACATGTACGCCGAGGAGCGGGTGCAGATCCGGCAGCAGAACGAGTTCGAATGGGTCGATCTGCTGGAGGGAGGCTTTTGCGGCGAAAAGGCTGGCCGGCCCGTCATGAAACGCATGGTGTGGTGATTCCCTTAATTACCCACTCTTACTCACTCACATAACTTATTTATTATATTTATTCTAATGGTACAGATACTACGAGAACAGGTGTGGATACAGTAGATGCTAAGGTAAGACTGCGGCAAGACATATTGTGGGCTGGGCTGGATTGACACGAGAACGTGCCACGGCACCTGCCTGGAGTGTTTCACGTACAATTACAGACACTATGGAATCGGTACTGTAGTGAAACCGCTGTGCCTGAATCTACATGTAGTTAGAATCTTCACCTGGTAAACAGCAAGATGCTTGTGTGGTATAAAAGACCCTTTCCAGGTAACTTTTTTGTCAAGAGATTATATTTATTACACCTTGTTTGACCAGGGTCTGTGATATAGGCCATATCTGTTTGTACCAGCCCTAGGACGATCGAACCATCGAAGCATACCAAATCTCGTATAAAGCACAACCAACCATGGTCGTTTGGTGGATAACTGTTCCCTATTATACACAGATCTCCATAATATTCCGACCTCTATCATATTCCGACCTCTATCATACTCCGACCACTATCATACACACTCGTACGAGTAGCTATGGTGATCACCCAACCGCCCCATGTGCTAGCGCCGATACTAACGCCCATAATAAAGAAAACGCGCTACACGTACCGCTGGTACGCCCCCCCCAGTGAATGTGAAACACCACAAAGTGTGGATTCTTGCCTGCAACGAAACGGCGTCCTCGCTTGTTCGTTGGTTACACCTCATTGTTATTGCTCCCCAGATGTAGGTCTGCTCCAGATTAGATTTGAAGGTCGACAGGGGGGTGATATGGAGGATGAGATGAGACGAAGGATCGGTCGTATAGATCTTGGTTATGAGATCTGTCCGGAAGGGAATCATTGTGTTTTTCTGGTCGTGGGTAGTTCTTCCAGCCACGACCGAAAAAGAAGCCAAATGTCGCACACAACTGACTGGAAACTACACATAGTCAGGCCATCACGTGACTCTCCCTAACCCCCCTTTCCCCCCCACTGATGCCGCACCTTGCCTTGTACTCGCGCTGTCTCTAGTTATTACCCTCAAGTGGTTGCCAAATGGTGCCGATGTACAAGTATAAACGGTGCATGCATCGTCTCGCCTAATGAGTCTAAAGTGGCTTCTAGACTTTGATGGCGATCTTTGAAAGTTTAAGAGTGAGTCCAAATCGGAGCTAGTGGCCGGAAAATGGGGGTTATGAAGGATATATTGGTGCCATTGGCCAGATGCGGGGTCTGCGGAGGGTCCTAAAGGCGCTGTTTCTGGAAAAAGTCACGCCACATTGCCGACCATCAAGACCCTTGCTTCTTACGCTGCAATTAAGCGAAGCAAGGGTCAAAACTCTGAAACGTAGATCTAAACATTGCACTGGAGACAACGACAGAGTGTGTAAGCTAGAGCCAGAGACAAGTGAAAGATACAAGAGAAAGCAGCGAACCATCTGGAATTTATAACGGTGTAACCTATCTACCGCTCTTTGTTTTATGGTCGTGGTGGTGAATCAGGGTGGTTATGTGAGTGTGTGAGCTCAGATTGGTGTTGCGGTAGGCATACCAACACACCGGCGGCATCAATTGGCATATCCACACAAATGTTGCGCAAATAGCCCATCATTATGGTATGCATTGGTTGTGTTAGCAATTCGTGGCGGCAAATTCCCATATGAATAGCAATCCCAAGCAGCAGCAAAAGGCAGATCGCAAATGTTCCTGTACGTCCCTGCACGTCCCAGTATGTACTGTTACCTGCACCGCTATGCGCTCACGGAGCTCTTACGGGGAGGTGGAAGCTATCAAGGAGAATAACAAATGGCCTGGTTGCCATTAGCACCGTGCCGCCAGCGCTCTAATCCGACTCTACCTTCCCGCCGTCTCCCTGGAGTAGGAGTGGCTTGAGGGGAGACCCTTCTCCACTGTCTACCTGAGCAACCACAGCGGCTTAAGGGCTTTTAGGTGTGGTGAAAACCACGTATACACGAGTCATGCAAAATGACACCCGTTCCCGCACCGCTGTAACTAGCAACAGTGTGTTTCCCCACGTGATATAGGCACTTGGTGAAGGTAGGGAGACTTGCGCAGAGACACACGGTCTTTTTCTAACCTTGACGACAAGACGGAATAAAACCTACTTGGAGAGACCGGGTTGAATTAGGAGTCCGCGGTGTCGCTCTGTGCAAGCCGAACCGATTAGCTCTCCGTTGGTGCTTACCAAGTGTGATGCAATGGCCCAGGAAGATCTTGTCTGACCTCAAGAGTCGACCATCTGTTCCTGGTCTCCCATTACTCCGTATATTCTCGTGCTGGCGAAGATTCCACATATGGTTCGATGCAGGTGTAGATCGCAAAAGATGTTCATGGATCAGCGTTGCAAAAGGTGTAAAAGCAGAACGCAGGAAATTCACGTGTGTCGATGAGGAGATAGCGATGGAGGTCGATAAGCCCCACAGACTACTAACTATCCTAAAGAGCTTTGTATGAGTAATTGTGCACTAGTCGCCTCCTTGGCGCAGGAACAAGGAGTGAGGTCGTGAGACATGATCTGACTTGTTCCAGGCTGGTTCAGCCCTGGGTTGTCGCTCAAGGATCTTCATTGAGGGGTTGAAGTGAACCAACATGTAGGAACAACGCAGGAACCAATTTGCGATGGTTATACACACCTGGAAAGGTGTCCAGCTCGCGCAGATTCCTGCTGTACCGTTCAGAGTCTCTATAAGGAAAAAGTACAAAGATATTAGTTAGTTGAAATACTAGTCATTTCCCATAAAAAAACACACATACAGGTAAACCTGTCTCAACCAGCCAAGCCTCAGTCTCAAATACTCTGCACCTTTCGAATGCAGGGTTTGGACCAAGACCAAATGCCTCAGGTTCAGTACGCTACCCTTACTGTATGGGTCAGCCGAGTTGTGATTCAATCATCGAACTGTGTCTGGTTTTCAAGTCTTCATGGGTGCATCTATCACCATGGGTCTTTTCAGATCATGTATGGAAGTCACTATCAACATGCGTCAATCACAACAATGTCTCTCTTGAGGAGAAGAAAAAACTCCGGATGATTGATAAACATTAGATAGCGGACAGAAACGTGCAAAGGTGGAGACAGACAAGTTCCAAAAGGTGGGCGTGTTGAAGATCGAGTTTGGAGATCAACGTACTCTCTGGTTACCGAGAAGCTATCCGTTCCGCCAAAAGAAATTCCAGGTACGAAAGCTTGAGACTGTGATCCACAGCTAAAGGGTGCTTAGTTATATCTTTCCAAATGGTATCGTGCTCCATCTTGATCCTCTTATGGTTTCAACTCGTAATACAGAATCTGAGCTCAACTGGTTGGCCCATGGCTCAGTAGTAGTAGTACAGTCGATAGAGAGAGAGTCAAAGATACGAGAACCGGTCGTTGAGGTCCCCAGGAGTGCTCTGTCGTCTGCAACGTCCTACAATATATTATTTATTCGCGTATACACAGATAGCCGCCATGGCTGCCACGCACAAAGAAAAAGAAAGCAGGTCTTTTTATAGCAGAAAACAAAAAAAAAAAACGGGAAAGGAGCATCACAATAAGAGAAGGCTGAAAAAGCAATGCGACTCTGAAAAATACTCCAAAAGAAGCAATTGAGAGAGACTTTGTTTTCACTAGAGAAACCCTGCCCCTATTTATATTTCCATTTAACACTAGAGTATAGATACAGTACCCACCCTATCAGGAACATCGATCTGCCTATTGAACTGCAGCTAAACCAGACCGTGCAAACAGATACTTATATATCGAAAGGTATACCAAAAAGACAGATGAAATCGACAAGTCCAAGCCATAATACTCCAAAACTGGTGAAATAAGAGACCGAGACTTACCCAGAATGGACTCTTACATCTACCGGTACTGTACTGTACTTGCAGCACAGCATAGCGTCAGAGCTATATGTTCTAGCAAGACATGTCTCTAAGGGGCGCACAGCTACATCTACTGCACAAACAATGCGGAAGACTGATAGGTATCCTGACAAGAATAGTACATCTTTAGTGTGCATTGTCTGTATCCGAGTCAGTGGATGTATCTATGCTTGTACGGTGCCTGTTCTTACTGGGCTGCACTTTCCTTTTTTGCAGATATAGTAGCAACAGGTGCATTTCGATTTGGTTGAAAGTGCAAGTCGAGGTTGGTATACATACAGATACAAACAGGCTGTAGCTATAAGGGATCTTCTTGTATCACTGGGGCTTCGTACTTGCAGTGTCCTGAGCAGCATTGTCTGGAGGTGCGCAACAAAGACATGTCTGTGACAGACACTGTGAAGAGACGATTTCACAGGGGAGAAACTTTGGAAGACTGTCAAACAACTAATTGAATGTATAATTGAACTTGTATCAAGTCTCACTCTTGGTTTGGCGTATATAACTGTCTCACAGTTCCGGGCCGATTTCGAACCTCCCCTCACACTGACTTTTGACTGTAGGTGCTAGGATCAATAGGGGGTAAACTGGGCAGGGTAGATGGACCTCTATTGATTGATCCAGGAGTAGATCAGCTCAAATGAATAGTCCCCAGGTGTCCATTGAAAAGGGGAATCTAGGAGCTTGTCGTACGATTTCTGTACCCCCGACGCTGGAGCAGAACTACTGCACGGACAGTTACGGGCTCTGGATGCATCTAAAGATGTAGCCACGGCTTCTTTAGCTTGAAATTGAATCAAGAGAGCTCAGATATTAATCAGGACTCTTGCAAAGTTGTCATGACAACGGGTGCAAGCACTCATCACTAACCGACGTCCTTCAGAGTAAGAATGAAGACTGTGTCTCATATCAGAGTCACCAGACGTCCACAACACTGGTGCACTTCAAAAATCAAAACACTTTCTAGTAGGCATCCAAACTCCTCAAACGGAACTTTCCTGTCAGTAGTAGTTCTGAATCGTATCGGACCAACAAGCAGTTGTAGTCTCGCTACGTTGCCAGGCAAGTTCGTCAGATCCATGCCCGTAAATACGTGCCAAGAGGGCATTTCCAGCGTGAATAATAACAGACTGACCGAACTCGGAGGTACATCGGGCTGTTCATTCTCGTCTTGTGAAACATTGCTCGTGTTCCCACTCTACATGAAAAAATACAGGACGCAGAAAGTACGCACACTGACTCGAGAACGCGACCGAAATATCAATAAATGAGCATATATCATACTGTAGTGCAGAAATATATTGACGTGACTACAAAGGCATGAGCCGAATTATACCCACATCAAAAAAATGTCAACCTCATTGCAGCCTAGTTTCTTTTTTGCGTACAGTAGTAGAAGTTGCAATACATAGAGCCAAATACCGCAGTTGTAGCGTTGTAGCTCGTCAGACCTCGTAATAAACCAAGTCTGGCGTGTTTGGGCCAATGGGAGAGCTTCTCCAGACCTCAAACGCCGTTCATTTACCACATTTCTCACTTTGGTTGGACACACTGAGACAATGGTCTTGGCCCGAGAGTTCTGTGACTTTGGACATCGGGCTTTTGACCATCACTGTAGTATATATACTATATTATATCGTAGTTGCGACTATCAGTACTGGTTCCGTTCTGTACTTGTAACTAATACCCGATTATAGATTATTGAAATATTTTAACACAAAAAACGACTGAAGAAAAAACAAAAGATGAGCATTCCCCTTTCGTCACAGCCCTGGAGAGTCACACCACATTCCTCAGTGCGACTCAGGCACCAGGCACCTCTCATCATGCAGGGGTCTCGACCCAGTAGATTGAATAATATTTCACACATAAGTGCGGTACAAGTCCTGGTACGTTCTACACGTAGCTGGTATTAGCCACAGACGCTACAAGTACTATACATACAGTACAACACCTCTCTCTAATGTACGAGAAAGGTGGCTCAGTTGTTCACGGTCCATGTGTGGTAATAATCTCAATGCTTATGCTATGCTAATCCTATATGCTGTGTTCTCCTTTCTCCTTTTTCCTACTCCACTGACTTTGCGTCCAGCCAACTCTCGCTCTCCAAAACTAACGGGGTCATGGGAGCGTCAAACTTGGGGCTTTTGACAGGCTGCAAATCGGGCGAGTCAGGAACCTCTCCGTCGTCATTTTCTTCCACCTCCTCATGCACATCGGGCACCGCGTGGGTGCTGTAGACCAAGCCAGAGGCCTTGGGGACCGCCAGCAGCGACGGTCGGCTCTTCTTGCGCTTCTTGACCCCTCCAGAAGATGCAGAGCTGGCCAGGGCTCCCGCCAGACTCATGGCATGTTCCCCTTGCATGGCCTTGTCGAAACTGGACGACAGGAACAGCACAGTGGGAGAGCCACAGAGCGAAATCGGGTCCAGACCGGGAGAGTCCGGAGGAGAGGCCACAGATGGAGCCTTGGAGTGGGGCCTGCTGGGGGTGGTGGCCCGGTAGTGCTGATGGCGTCGCTGGTTGTAGTGTTGTTGCAGCGAGTTGCGTCTGGAGGCGGGCGCACTGGGGGTGTTGCTATTGCTGGCGCCTGTGCTTGTGTCTCCAAACGACTCCTTGGAGAACTCGAAAGTCAGTCCGTCGTCATCTATGGTGTTGTGGTGATCCAGCTCGTTCAGCGACAGGGAGAGCAGTGAGATGGCCGAGGTGCTGGGGAGGATGCGAGAGGTGCCGGGCGACTTTGTGTTGGGAGACAGAGTGGACGCCAGCGACTGGTAGTACGGGTACCGCAGGCCTGGAGAGATGGGTATCAGCATGGGCGAGGCGTGAGGCGATAGTCCAGGCGATAGTCCGGGGCTTATACCAGGCGACAAACTAGGCGAAGTTGTTGTCATTTGTCTAGTTATGTGAAATGGGGTAGTCCTTGTTGCACTGTAGTCGAACAAGAGTGCTGATTGCGTCTCTTATAACTGCTCTTGTTTAGTGCTTAGTCTTCCGAAGTACACTTGTAGTGCGCAAGACTAACTTTTTGTCGGGTCGGATAATATGGGCCGGGATATGGGCGAGAAATGTGAAACGAGAGTAGTGTCGTGCCTAGTGCGTGAGCTTTGCCCTTTCCGTCTTCACAGTATTGTTTTTTGGTTCTCTTGATCTGACACCTGTGCTTGCCCTGATATGTATGTCGCAAGTTGCTGTCGAAAGATCCAGGATATGTACTGTATCGTACAAGTAGTGTGTGTGTGTGTGTGTGTGTCGTGTGAGGAGAGTCGTGCGAGGAGTCGTGTGAGCAGTCGTGTGAGAAGCTCGGCGTTTTTTTGGTCGTGTGAGTGAGGAAGAGAATCGGCTCGGTGACTGAGTCTCTGCTTTGGTTTTTCGTTTCTTTTTGCCGCCTCCTTTCTGAACAGGCTTTTGATCGCTACTATAGGAAGAAGAGTTGCTGGAAACTCAGCAAACGGTTATCTGGCAACAGCTCCCATGCAAACCCATCAGTATATAGAGTTGCTGTGGTGATGTTTATGTACTGGAGCTAAAAAAAATGCAGCGTCAAAAGGGAGAATTTTTTCCCACCCAGCAACTATACTGCAGGTCTCAAGCAAGATACTACGGTCTCATGTGGGCTTTAGGGTCCTGAAAAATGGCGGAAATGGCGGCGGGCCTTCTCTCGGCCACTATTACCGGTTCAACTCGCCTCCCCAAAGTCTAACCCCGGCAGATAACCATTCCTACCCTTCAACTGCTATCTTTAGCACTACTGTAACCTATATATTCCCGACACAAGCCCCCGCAAAAATCTATTTCAAGCCACTTTATGCAGACCCGAAAAACGGCAAACGTTGGAGATGGCTCCGGGTACCGTATGTACAGTAATAGCACGCCACAGTGGCCCAGGTGTCAGGTGCCAAATGCCACAAGATCCGCGGATCCGCCAGTGCATGGTTGAGTGCATGGTTGAGTGCATGGTTGCAGTATTCACAAGTCGATTGCAAGTAGACCATGGTGTTGGTTGTTGGTTCGTACTGTACGTACTGCAACATACAGCTTGTACCGTACCACTCGTACTGTACTGTACTGTGTACTGTACTCTTACCGCACAACTACCGCCAGCGTAGCCATGTTGTATGTATCACAGCACACTTTCTCATCCCGTGTATCCGAAAAACGTTTAGATATAGGCCGCTTTTATTATAATAGGTTTCACGTATTGCAGCACATCTGGAAGACACCTGTACAAGGTAGCAGGGTAGCAGGGTAGTTATCGTCCTCCCTACCCCTGCGAACATGTCAGTCCAAGGTGAACATTTCAGTACAAGCTAAAGTGAATATTTCAGTACAAAACTAGACCCTTGGAGATCTAGGCCGAACCAAACAAGACAGAATGAACTTGTATTGAACTTGTACTATAGCTAAAGAAAGCCACCAGTCAAAATCGCCCATTCCAACCACATGCTTGTTTCTGTCTCTTCCACTGACCGTCGCTGAACCTCGGTCTACGACAAGCAACTGCACGCAAGGACGAATTTGGAAGGTATCAAGAGCACCGAAGAAGAGCCATGAAGAAGAGCCATGCAAATCGCGTCATGTTGTTTGGGGGCAGACGCGGAGTTGACGGTCGTCCGAGTTGACGGTTCCGAGTTGCCGGTCGTCAGAGTTTTTTCCATATTAATCAGCAGTACACGGCACGGTCCTTGGGTGTGGAGCTCCTGGTCTACTGTAGCTGTAGCCAGTTGGAACACGTCTAGTTCCTTTCGGCCATATATCCCTGACTAAGCAACCTAAACAGGCCATCTCCCTCGCGTCTCTCCGCACTCCCCTAATAGAAGACTAATGCTAACACACATCAAGGTTACTGTGATCAACAAGACAGGATGATAACTACCACCATGGTAACGACGGAGCATGAAATCACGGAGACGCCGCCGGCCAACCCGTTTGCGCATCTCATCAAGGCGTGTCCAGACCCCCAGTGCATGCAGCAGGCCTATGAACGACACAGACGGACCCGCAACAGGGACAAAGCAGCCGAGCTTCGAAGTCGCAAAATCGCCGTCAAACCAGACCCCATTCTGTCGGGGCTTCTCAACGGCGAGCCTCCGGAGTTTGATCCCCGAAATTGCATCACATTGTGGGGGAGACCGACCTCAGACGTGATTGAATGTGTCAAGACCGTGCAACAACAGCTCACGGCGGTTACCAAGGCCTTGTGGTGTATGCCGCCAGAGTGTCTTCATTTGTCCATTCTGGAAGTCGCACACTCTGTGACCGAAGACACGGTCCGCGCCCTGCTACAGAACCTCAAGCCCTCCATCTCCAACCTCAAGAACGTGCCCCAGGACGTGGTGCTGGTCAAGCCTCTAGTTTGCTTCGACAACTCGGCCGTGGCATTGACTCTCGTGCCGGACGATCATTCGGTCTTCACATACACGCACTATAGAGCGTGGTTGCACAAGGCAGTGTCCGACACTGGTGTTCAGGTCGAGTCGCGATACCAGGTTCCTTCAGCCCACATCACCATCGGACGGTTTACCGATAAAGTGAGCGAAGAGACCGTGGACGAGTTTGTCACCGCGATTGAAGAGATCAATGAGCGGCTGGAGGATAGTGCCCTAGAGTGGCATGTAGGAGAGGAAAGAGAGGTGGAGGTTAGATGTGGAAGAATTTGGTACGGCGGTGGATGGAATGAAGTGAGTGGTGAACGAAGCGAACCACTCACGAACGGGAAGGGGGCCGTTAAGGAGTAATGCTCATCTCCTCAGCCCCGCATGGAAGGTGCATGTTTCAGCCGTAGACTGAAAAGGATAGGTATTTATGTTTAGAAAAATGAGCTATGACACTGTTCGCGTCTGTTTCAAAACAATGAGACTGACCCGGCAAGTATGACATTGTTGATATCAACACCATTATTGAGATGAGTTACAAGTATTCATATCATGTTTATCAAAGCGAACTGCAGGGTATCCCACACTGAAGGCAGCACCATCTTCCACTGCATGTACAGTATGCACAGTAGCTATAGCTATATCTTATGCATTCTAAATATATATTAAACATGGTTAGCAAATGTGGTTAGAGCTCGACGTACTTACTGACCTCAACAAGACCTCTGCCCTGGTTGCTCCAAATGGACCAGGCCGGGGAAAAATTGTTCAGCTCCGTAAAGGCTGGAATCTTGTCCATGGTGCGTCGTCGACCCTGCTCGTCCACAATAGACGAGGGATCCAGGTACTCGGCCCAGCTGCATGTGACTGTGACGCCCAGCCGGTTTTTGAGTGCCTCATTACCCTCGTCCTCAGGATCGCCCACTTCGTACCACCGAGGAATCCAGCTCAACTGGATGTCATACTCGGGGTCCTCCCAGTCCAGCTTATGCAGAGTTACGTCGTCAACTCCATGCATAAACGACCGGAACTCGTCCTTACCCGTCTTGGGATCTCTAGTCCATCCAAACATGGAGAACCGACTTCCTGATCCGGTAGTGATGCCCGTTTTGCCCACCCGGTTGTGACGAAGTGTCACCATCTTCACAGGAGACACACCAGTCTCAACATCGCCAGACTTGAACCGGGTGGTGTTGAACCGCAGAACACAGCCACGGTTGTTGAGGGCCGATATTTTGAATCGACCATCAAATCGGTCAAACGGGCCAGAAGAAGTCTCGTTCACAGGAACCACCTTGACGTCCAAAAGGTTGGTAGGAAGCCCAGCGAAATCCCCATCAGATGACACCTTCTCACCGTCAATCAGCCAGGGTCGAGGGGCAATGTAGTTGCATATCTCGACACCATCTCCCCGGGAAGAACAGTTGGGCTTGAAGGTATCGGTGGAAGGAATGTACTCCAGAACCTCCTGCAGAACGTCCTGTCGTCCCAGAACATTCGCATAACTCGTACCCTCATCCAGGTTGATGTTCTGCACAAACCGCATCTTGGCAGGAGCATTGCTGCTGAAGGGTGGGCTCAGAATATGGACAAAACTTGCAGTCACAGCCACCCCAACAACCACAATGGGCACAAACACCTGCAGTTTGTGCACAAAGGGCAAAAAGGTAATTCCAACCAAGACAGACATGGCTGTAATGGTTGTGTAGACGAAATCAGCCGACTTTTCAGACTCCAGAGGGGTCTGGTGAAGACCGTCAAGCAGAGAAGCAGCCAGACCAAAGGTCACGAAGAAAGTGATTGGTACAACCAGCAGAAACTGGATACTCCAATCGTAGCCCATGGAAACAGCAATCTTCTGAAGAGTCTTGTCCTCTTGCTGGTTCTCGGGGTCAACGGCACCGTGAATGCTGGGAGCAGCATTGTCAGGGCTGGCCTCGGGGAGCAGGGGGGAAGTTTCGGTGGCCTCAGATGCGTCCACAGTGTCTTCCTCGTCTTCGGGACCCTCGACAAAAGTAGAAGTCTCCGTAGACGTCACCAGGTGACCAAACAATCCCAAAATCGACGCTGTGGCCACTACAATGTACAGGATCAAGAAATGATACTCACCTGTAGCCTTGTGGGTGGCCTCATGGATGACAGACAAGAGAAGAAGGACCCAGAGAACGACTGATAGCTCTAACAGGATGATGAGCTTTTGATCACACACGGGTCGCACAAAGTGGAAGAAGCCAAGGAGCACGTAGTTGACGAAAATGAAGGTGCCCAAGCCGGCAAACAGAGGGGTATAGAACGACCGAACAACATAAAGCTCGTTACCAAGATGGAGAGTCTCGACTACAAAGTAGGTTGCGACCACACTCACGAGCACAGAGACGATAGATCGGAGCCAGCCGCCGAGAATGGTTTCTGAAGTCCCAGCATTGATCTGCTTTCGAAGCACCAGTAGGAATAGGAAGCCGACAAAGATTGGACCAACAGCAAGAGTCAAACAGGAGATAACAAAGATGTACTGCAGAGGCAGAATGATGAACAAATAGCCCCCGATATCAGAGAAGACAGCTGGCTGGTCGGCGTGGTCAAACGAGTCTGCTTCGGTCATCGACTGGGTCACGTCAATGGTGTTGACCAGCATGTGGTTGAGTGCGTTCTTGGTGGTCTCGGCAATGTTGTCCCTTCGAGTGTGGTAAAGAGCTCGAGGCTTGTAGAAGGCAATGTCAAGACCTCGAAGACCGCCTTCAGTGTAGACCTTATAGTCGGTCTGGGAGTGGATGAAGCCATTAGAGAAGCCCTCCTGGTAGACAGAAGAGGCAAATGGCATTTCTGCCGCGGAGTAATGGGAGGCGACGCCGTAGTCAGAGGCTCGGAACAGAATGGCCTTTCCTCCAGCACCGGTACCTTCTAGGTTGATGAAGGCAGATACGTTTTGTGCCCAGGGGTGGTGCATGAATGCTTCAGCTCCTAGCAGACCAAACTCCTCATTGTTGTTGAAGTTGAAGATTATATCTCGCTTGGGTCCTTCGTTCTGAGCCAGGGCGTGTTTGAGAACAGCCAGCATGGTGGCGATACCAGCACCGTCATCGGTGACACCAAAGGATGAAGGCACAGAGTCAAAGTGTGCAGAGAGCAGGATTGCCCCCAGACTCTTGTCCGAGTTCTTGGAGGACAGTCTGACGACGACATTGTTACCTTCAAAGTAGGTGAGTTTTCCCGGTGGCGCTGACTTGTCGAACACGTCTTCTTTCTGGATGAAGATGTCTGTCTGTGAGTCGTCGACCTCTATCTGTGCTCCTTCAAAGTGCTCACGGCCTGCGAGGGTGTAGACCTCCTTGAGTATGTGTTGTCTGACACGGTCGTTGTCGTGGGAGAAGTAAGGGTGCGGGTATCGAGAAATTTCGCCCAATTGGGCCCATGCGTAGTTGAGCAGTGGTTTCTGCGCCTCAGTCACGTCCGGTGGGTTCACCGACGTGGACACGTAGACCAGCAGTCCCAGAAGCACGGTTGTGATGGTCACGAGGGTGGTGAGAGGGACCGAGTTGAAACCAAAAGTCCACCTCACAAAAGACCCGATTGTCGTTTTTTTCGCGCCTTTGGCCGAGCCGTTTTCGTTGGAGGCATCCATGGCTCTGAGGGTCGTTCGAAGCGACTGTCGGTCCATTTGTAGCCCTTTCGCGAGAGGTTTGGGGGAGAAAGAGAAAGGTGGGTGTTGGTGTGGAGAGTCAAGAACAAGAACAAGATGAGCAAAAGGGGACCCAAATGTTATTTCCCTGTACGGCACTAGATAACCTAATTGGGGAAGTAGGAGAGAGTTACTTGAGAGCGAAGAAGACTGTCTCCAAAACGCGATGAAAAGAGTTGCAAACGAGAAGAGACAATAAATACAATCCTTGGATCATTCTGATTCTATCGGTATTATGCTTAGTCACATTCTATAGTCATGGCAACGCCCAAAACACACTGTTTTCCGTCGCCCATCCCCATAAAGTTCACATCTGGGCGTTTACCCGTATCGTACATCAGATGCAGTATACTTGTAGTCAAACGTGCCTCATAATGCATGTCTGATGGACCCCAAATTAGACGGCAAGGCTGACTTTTTAGGGTGGTTTCAAGGTGAAACAGAAACGGGTCTAGTGGATGAATATTGGAGGCGGACCTGGAGAAGAAAGAATCTACAGGCGGTGATTCGTGTGAGAAGACTCAGTAGCGTTTATGGGGACAGGGGAGCGTGGAGGGAGAGCGTGGAGGGGAACTGTGGAAGGGGGGTCGCTATAATATGTACTGTACTGTACGTGAGATTGAACAGCTACCGAATGGTACCGGCGGCAAATAGTTTTAGTACGGGAACCAATGATATATATAGAGATAGGTACTTTAGACGAGATAAGAGTCATTTGGCAAAGATTGTAGGACAGCTACATCGTCTGTCATTTTCTATCGAGATTCAATATGTTTACTTAACTTGAAGTTTAGATTAGTTGAAGATTAGACGAAGAGAAAGTTGTGCTGGGGGATACATTTCGCTGTTACAAAGCAGGCAGGGGTTTGAAAAGTATTCCAATCGATAGAGACATACGTAGTTACTAACTATTTGGTGTTTAGGTAAGGCCTGTTTAATATAATATACTGAAGAATTTGCATTTCAATGTTTGTCAGCAAGTAACAATTTCTGGAGGATTAGTTGGTACTTTAGTCGAGTTAAAAGCTAACTCCGAGCATCCCTGACAGAAGGGGAAAGGAGTCATTTCTGAGAGATTACCCATATCTCTCTTCAAGTTACGACTCTGAAACTATTAGTAGATTAAGACTTGTATTATTCCTCTATGTCGTATATCTGGTCTTCGATTTTACTCGGCTTTTTTATTTTCTCGAATTTTATTTTTTCGAATTTTTTATTTCAGAAGAGAACTGCGTCAACTCTTGGAAAATTGTACCACGTGTCCAACTGGAGCACCTTAACCAACGGCAGACTTATTATAAATACTCGAGTGAATTCAAAACTTGGTATTCTCCAGCAGTTCACTTGTGCTAACTCGCCCCCCACCAACTACCCCCACAGTAAGCCATTACCAACAAGGTTTGAGATGCATGACTCTGAATCAGATGATCAGATCATCTTTCTCAACCACCCGACACCGTGAAAAACCGCCACCACAAAATGTTCACTGGAATCGTCGAGCACATTGGAACCGTGTCTGAGTTCAAGCAGCTGGATTCGTCCCAGTCGGGCGGCAACGGCGCCTCTCTGACTATCTCCAACGTCGGACCTATCCTAGATGACGTCAACATGGGAGACTCCATTGCCGTCAACGGAGTGTGTCTCACTGTGACGGAATATGATGATGACAAGACCTATTTCAAGGCCGGTCTTGCCCCTGAAACCCTGCGACGAACCAACCTGGGCCAGCTCAAATCGGACTCGCCTGTCAACCTTGAGAGAGCCATTTCTGGGCATGTGCGATTCGGAGGCCACTTTGTTCAGGGCCATGTGGATGGTACAGCCGAGATTGTGGTGAAGAAGCCCGACGGAAACTCCATCGCCTTCACCTTCAAGCCCAAGGACCAGTCACTCATGACTTATATTGTGGAGAAGGGCTTTATCGCTGTGGATGGCACCTCTCTGACTGTGACTGCAGTTACCGAGGACACCTTCTCGATCATGATGGTGGCTTACACTCAAGAGAAGGTAGTTCTGGCTAAGAAGGAGGTGGGAGATTTCGTCAACGTGGAGGTGGACTTTATGGGAAAGCTGCTGGAGAAGCAGATCGATGGGGCGGTGGAGAAGAAGCTTGGAGGCCTGGAGGCGTTGATTGAGAAGATTGTCGACAAGAAGCTGAAGCAGTAAGTGCGCAGGAGACACAGGAGACGAGCTGAGTGGCGATAGTTCAATGGTCGCTGTCGTGTTACCTTCTAAGCTAGTTGAGTGATAACGCTCTACTCTACTCTACTCTACTTGTAGGACTAAAGACGACGGACTGCGAATGAGACTTCTTGAGATATCAAAAGCTATGCACGAATGATAAATGAATAATATGATGTGGTAATGGTTTGTAGGCATCTAACAATGTGTGCTCATGTGGTCAGCAGGATTACAGTAACGTCAATGAGTGGCCATGACAAGAGTTACAGTAAGGGACGAAGCAGACTGGAGATAGGAATATCAACGTATTAAGCAAGCATGAAACAGTCATTCTAAACTGGATTTCTGTCTTACAAGTATTCTATTAGCCCGTTCAAGGCCAACACGAAGATTCTGAAAAGTGTGATTGACTCTGCTCTGTCCGATTGTACATATACGTTGCTTTTGAAGATGTTTATTAGTTTTTGGCGATTTTTCACGATTTTAGCGATTTTATTTTAACGATTATTTTAACGATTTTAATGATATAACGGTTTCAACGATTTCAACGATTTCAACGATTTAAACGATTTTAATGAATATCGCAATTTATATGTTTGGCTTCAAATTAATTTCCAAACTCTCTTTGTCAGAGTTATGACCCGGAACCTTAAACGCACTTCCCCACATAACTTAGTCCTCTCTCTTTGTTCCTTTCTGCTGCTGCCCTGTGACGGCCCGCTCAACTCCGTTACAACTAGACATGCAACCAATCAGAAGACCGGTAGACGGTCACGAGACGGTTTTGTGTGAGTTGTTGGGCGAGAGCAGCCATTCCCCGCTCTGTTTCCACCAGCAGCACCTCGAAGAAGTCGTTGGGGGCGACCTTGCCGCTATCATCGGTGGTGAAGAGAGCATCAAAGTACCTTTTGTGGTTATCGTGGAGATTCGAAACGGTGATGTATTCACCCTGTGGAGTTCGAACCACCTGGGCACGCACGTCTCTGCACAGCCGCGGCTCTCCAGACAGAATTTCGTAGTTGACAGCGGAGCAGATTTGGCTGAGGAGATTGGGGTGATGCGAATGGGGGATAGTAAAGGTCACATAGTCGAGTTTCCCTCCGGGGCGGGCGATGAATTCAGGTGGTGCTATGGCGGAAATGGTGGCAGTGGTGGTGATTGTAGACATGATATCGGTGTGTGTGTGAGAGAGAGAGAGAGAGAGAGGCTAAGACGCTGCCGCAAGACCCCCTCCTGCTGTTGTTCACTCTATGTATGGTGGTTATGCATAACGGCACTACAGTATGCACGGTTCAGTGGGCCAGGACTTCACAATACCCACGGAAAGAAAGTAGAATGCCGCTAGAGACCGTACCATTGAAAGAGGAGACCGTAGGGATCACAACCATGTGTGTGTATTTGGTGTGTGTTGAGTGGAAGGGACTATAAGAGGGTTAAATGGGGGCAATTAGACCTTTTTTTTTTCCGCATGTAGATTGAAATCAACAGAATGGGGAGTATTACTTAAGATTGTACTTTAACAAATAGTTGAAGCTGATTTGGGTGAAAGAGCTGCACGGTTCTATATGAGAGGAAACAGCTCAATTATATAGTATCATATAATGTATACGACAATTCATGAAAGCTTGTGAAACCATAGAACCGTGTTCCACAGTGCACTGTACCGTCACTAAACAACTGTCTCCCTGGTAGCTAGCTCGACGCTAACTACAATATGTACATACTGCTTCAGAAGCTAGTCGCGGAGGCAACTTCACCATGAGAAACAAGAACCGGTAGCAATAACTCAATGGGCAGATATTCCCATGCGTCTCTTTGAAATATTCTTGGAACGCGTCCAAATTTTCAAGTACAGTACACATGTACAATTCCTAGATATTTTGTTGATTTATCCCGGATTTAATTCTTGTTCTTTAAACTCTACTCAGTTTGACCTATTTAATAACCAACAAATATATTTGAGAAGCAGAAATACCCAACAAAGTATACTTAAGAAGCTGAAAAAATCCAAGAGAGAGATTCTGCATATGTAAACAACAGTCATCTCGGTCCAAATATCGGCGACAATATGTGACAAGATTATGATGAAGCAATTATAATAGAAAAAAAACAACAATTAAAAAACACTACCGCCCCTTAGCTCGATGCTAAAGCTCCATAAACCTCACACTAGTGCTGGGTGGCAACTTGTCCGCAGTACCAGCACCGTAACCATCATGGCACTCAAGAAATCTGTTTCAGCAGCAAAGTCGCCTACTCACTCAATTGAAAAGAAAGTCGCTCAGGAATCCGTCTCCATCTCTCTCAAGACTGGGTTCACTTACTCATTCAAGTATGCAGACTGTGTCACCGAGATCATTTCAATCCCCCGTCAGGATGATGAGGCAGACGACGATGACTGTCTAAGGCCGGATATCAACCAAATTGTGAAGCAAGGGCTCACTTCTTCCGAGTCTCCCGTTGCTCCCAGGGCTCGCTCCTACTCCTACTTTACCAACCTGAATGAAACATATATCTACCTCAAGATAGAGACCGACAAGAACATCTTCTACCAAGTCCCGATTCCACAAGTGGCGTCTGCGGAGGAGGTGACAGAAGACTTCTACGAGACGGAAAAGTGGTGGTTTCAACTCGTTTCCGAAATGTATCCCGACGGCTACGACAAAGACGGAAGACCAGCAGATCACAGGCTCAACCCCAAGACCCGCGAGTACAAGTACAACTTCACGTTGCTCGACAGTTTCGGCTCGGAGACGGATGTGGACAGAGACGTATTTGACAGCTACTTTCCCGAGTGCAAGCGAATGGTATGCTATCGTAATGAGCACAGGCTCAAGATATGGGGGTCTTACGAGGCTGTTCGAGATCTGGCGTGGTATCTCAGTGGAAACGAGCCTGTCGGCGAAGGCTTGGACTCCCTAGGAGACTTGATTCTCATTTCAGAGGAATACAAGGGTCTGTATTTGAAGCACTGGTGTATCAGGAGGATCCTGTCTACGCAATGGAGTGATATTTCTCTGCAGAGTGCAGCAGGGCTCTATGAGAGACTATCGGAGACTGATTGTGAGGAGATGAAACAACTCAAGCCTCTGTTGTTTAGACTGATCCAGCAAAAGATGATGTCTCTAGACAGGACCAAATGGAGCCCTCCTCAGATTCTCGCAGCAGAAGTAGGTCCTGAGTGGACTTGTCTTCCAGGTTCAGGTTTAACCACATTGTAATGCCATTTTAATCTCCATCAAAGACAATAACATTACTTGGAACTACTTATTGACTATCGTTAAACACTTTGGAAATTACTTGAGTTATTGCAGAAACACCATAGAACTGAACCCTTAGAACTGAAGAATTAGGCCTCAAGACGCGCCGTCCTTCACAAGCCGGCGTTGAACACGAGTGACAGTTTCAGCAACAGAATCGGCTACATACACCAAAACACAGGCGCAGCCCCCAGGAAGACATTTCACATGTAGGTGCCATCAAAGGGATTTTCTGCTTCAGTCCTCGAGATGATTCTCCGACGCCTAGAAATCAGAGAACCAGAACCGGTTCACCTCACCCTGAGAAACACAGAACTCCAGATTCAGAGTAAGTCAGCAACCGAACTGTTCATCTGTCTCGTTTCGCAGCGCCCTAGGAAAGCACCTCATATACCGGAAGAATTTCTCGTCGACATTTTCAGACCAAAAATCCCCGGGAAATACTCCGGTAAACAAGTTAGAACGGACTAGGATCTCCCGAAACATCTTGGATTACGATGTACCCCGGATTTTGGCTGTGGGGAGCTACTCTACAGTTAGGAAGCTACCCTACAGTTATTCATAGAACAAAATGTCGTTGAAATGTTGCATCCATTTTTTATTGATCATTGTTCTGGTTCTTCACAAACCAACTTTTTAACGGAAAACTTCCCTTTTTTCTCCCTTTTTCCTATTTTTTCTTTCGTTTTTTCCTAATATCTTCTGCTTTTTTGTCAACCCACCTATGTACAGTGTACTTGCATTTTTCTGAGATCAATTATTCACTGGAACAGGCTTGAAAAGACACACCCCGAAGCGACAGTAGAAAGTACCCTTGAATCCAGCTGTCAATCACCTTCTATAATCGACCTCAGCTATTTATTCGATCTTAAATCAATGTCAACACCGGTGATCATATCAATATCACGACTTCAACAATTTACTTGATATTACTTCAACATCCAAAAGTCAGTCGAGTTTCTACTTAAAACAAGACCAATCCAATTACCCTATTTAATCCAAACTAAATCATAACATCATAATCATTATAATCGTCCATATTACTTTCTGCCCTTGGCTACCAGACTCTCAGTCGCCAACGTCTGCTGAAGACGCTCCTTCTGCTTTATTCGTCTCGCCACAAAGTCCAGCTCGCCCCTCATTCTCAGAATGCACAGAATAATGTCCTCGTTCTGAGGCGCCTCTCGCTTGGCGTTTCGGATCCGCTCCTTCTGCTTGCGCATCACCGTTCGGTTTCTGTGAGCCATGACGGTGTTCTTTCGCTTGATGAGCTCGGGCAGACCGACGTAAGTCTTGTCTTGCAGGGCCTTAAACGTAGAAGAAGACAGTTTCTCACACTCGTCCTTGAGCTCCTCATTGGACAAGTCGTAATAGACAGGCACCCGCATCAGCTCCTGGTACTGCTGAGAATGCAACACTTCGAGACTGGGACCGGCTCCATCGTGGTGGAAAAAGTCTCGAAGAGAAGACAGCCATGTGAAGACAATATCGACCTCCTTGGCAGACAGCTGGGTCTTGGAGGTACGCTTGTAGGACAAACGAGGCAAGAGAAGAGACGTCAGAGTCGTCAAAACGACTCTCCACGTTCGAGACATGACCTTGAGCCGGATTTCGTCAGTCAGACCGACTGCCAGCGTCGCAAAAGACTCGTTGAGATAGTCAAACAGCGGAGTTATGGCGTCTTCAATCATGGTAGGTGTAAGAGGTACATTTGAAATACTCGTGCTACTCAGCCAACTGGAGACGCTCTCCATATTGAACTCCTTGAGCTTGCCTCTCCCGGGGCTGATGAGACTCTTCATAGTCTCTCTGGACAATGAGTACTGAATGAAAGCCGTCAGTTTATCAACCATGACCTTGATCATATCGTTTTCACATCGCACTAGCGTTCTCAGAGCCTTACCAAAGTAGAACCGCACATCGTCCCGTTCACTTTCCATTGTAATGTTCACCAAAAGCTTTCCCTGAGTGTCCAGATCCAGCCAGTAATCCTGGGCAATAAAGTCTCCAAAGGCAGCAGGATCTAGACGTAAAAATGCTCGGCCGCAGAGATCATGTGATCCTAAGGAATCTTCGTCCCATACTGTGGCGGTCAACCAAGAAGGACCGCCTGTGGCAATCTCAAACGTCTCGTCCCACACGGGGTTCAGCTCTTCAAAAATTGTACGTGTCTTTCCAATCTGTTTTCGAGTAGCCTGGTCGACAAGAGTCACGTAGGGATCCGACAGTCCGTTCATATCGCACGCCTTTAGATTCTCAGCCTGGACAATGCGAATAGTGAAGAGATAAGCACGCTTCTTGTTGGTTGTGTCCTTGGTAACAATCTTACCGGGTCCAGCATTGGTATTGACTCCCTCCAGAACCTTTGCAAGCTTCTCCGAGTCCAACTGCGCCTCAATCTCGTCCAGTTTTGCCTGTGCCGTCTCAATATCGTTCAGTTTAATGCATGTGGTCTTTTTGAACTGATACGGAGTGAGAGGAGCACTACCAGCCATGGCGTTTTTTGCCATGGCCATCCACTTTTCCTGCCGGCTTTTGTACTTGACCTTCTTGTCGTCCTCGAGTTCCAGTTCCTCGCTGAACAGTTGGAACACTCTCGAGGCGTACTTGCACACAGCCACTGACACGCCATTCATCAATGTGGTGTAGAACTGGGCCACATGCACGGGATTGTCCCAGTGGAGCTCTGAGATGATCGCCAGAGCTGTTCCCAACGAAGTGAACATGTCTGCCACCGAAGACGAGTACATGATGCCTTCTCCTTCGTCCATAGGCTCCCACTTATCCGCATCAATGGCAGGATCAACCCAGGAAGTCGCTAGAGTCGCTGACTGTTCCACATGCCGTCTAATGTACTTGACAAACGCAGCCTCGAGATCAAACGGGAACTTGCCAGGTAAAACTTGGACATAGAGCTCTCTGATCTCGCACAGCTTCTTATACAGCAGCGTCATATCATCGTAAGAGGGCTCCTCGTGTCGTGCGGTCATGTGGCTCATCAGATGGGTGAACATGGACTGCGAATCAACAGAAAACAGCGAAAAATGTGTCTTGGCTGCAATCAGAGCAATGGGAACGTGCTCTAAAAGCGGCCGTTTATATCGTTTCTGCAGCCTCTCAGCGGAAGAGATGATTCGGTCCGCCAACTCGATGATATGCAGAGGATCCAGTGTATGGTCACGTGGAATGGCGTCGATGAACTCGTCGTATTTATGCTCGGCCACACTCTTGACCACTAGACTCAGATTGTCGAATACCTTGGGCATATCGACTATCATCTCGACCCTGTCCCATTCGGACGAGCAAAAGACACACTCGCCGAGAATCTGCAGATAGGGACCAATGGAGGGTGGTTTCTGTTCGTAGATTGACTTAATGCAGCCTGAAATGAGGTCAATGACGAACACAAGCACCTCCTTGAGCCCCAACACGTACACTTCTCTGTCGCAGACCGGCCACAGAGACGTGTCCCACTCTCGTTTGCCGTTCTCCCGGCCTACGTGTGAAATGAAAGACACCGAGTCCTCGATGAGGGAGATGGGAAGCTCCTTCAACTTGAGCAGTTCTTGACAAACGTCCATAACAAGCGCGGCTCGTGTACTGGATGGAATTTGCCACAGATTAAAGCATTCCGTGAGAATGGCGATCGAGTTTTTGCTCAGTAGAGTATCACTTTTGGACTTGAGGTCGTGGGAAAGACAGATTTTGACCAGTAATCGCCCGTAGGCACGCGGATCTTCGGGAATGTAGTAGTAAGTGGTGCTCTGGGTTGACGACTGGGCTCCATACCCTGCCAGCTGTGTCTGAACAGCTTCTATAGCTCGATTCTTGTAATCCTGATACGCGTCGTCAGAACCAAAATACTGTCTTTGGTAATATGGGAATCTGTCTTGTTTGAGTTGGTCCAGTGCTAGTCGAAGATCTGCCTCTGCTGCCTGCTCAGTGGCTGTATCTTTGATTTCAGAGACACCTTTCTGAATAAGACTGTCACTCATGAGAAAGTACGGACCCAGCGATTTGGCCAGATGAATATCTGCCACGTCAAACGTTGGTGTCAGTCCCGCCGAGTAAGATGCGCTTCCGTTTGACTCTCCCAGGTTGCCCGTATCATTAACCAGCTTTGATTCGTAGCTCTGTAGTTGTCGAATAAGAGAAGCACAGGACGATTCGAATCCTGCTTCTCGCAGGGTGGCAATCAGAAATTTGACAAAGGTGGCGGTGAAGTAATTGACCAGTCGTTTAGTTTCTGCTGGCTGTGAGCCGCTTTTGGCCAACTCCTTCGTGGACGAGGAAATGAAGAACATGACCACGTCTTCAGCCCGTCTGTTTTCTTTGATTCGACGGGAAAAGTCTGGATCCAAAAGTAGAGCGTAAAATGCGAGGAAACACCGCCGAACCAGCGGGTCAGTGATGTCGCTAGAACCCTGGTTAAGAGCCAGCTTGTTAAGCTTCTGCTGCAGCAGCTTGGGGGCCTCCTTGGGCAACTTTTGGTCGCCGAACGACGGAGTGGGATCCGACACCCCCAGAGACGCCAAGTCACGCGACTGCCGTTTGCCTCCCCCTCGGAATCGCGGTTCGCATCGGTATGACAAGACACACACCTTGAGCACCTGGTCGAACAGTGACTTTTCGGTTACCCTGGAGATTCCCGACTTGACCCGCGAGTGTCGTCGCGTCGTCGTGAGCGGGTCTCCCACGGGTTTGCGGCGTATAGCTGACATGTGGGTTGTTGTGTTCAAGTGTCAAGTGTTCAGAGAGAGAGAGAGAGAGGGAGAGATGGTTGATGATGTTGATACGGAGAGTGCATGCATGAATGCGAAGTTTAAGGGGTGGTAGAGGATAGTGGGGGTGGATGCTTAGTCAGGAGAAGGTCGAGGGTTCGAGGGGCAAAATAGGGCAAAATAGGGCAAAATAGGGGTTGCCACGTGATAAATCGGATGTTCACGTGACCCCTGATCGAGAGACGCAACACGTCCTTCGTTTCTGGTCACGTGAACCCTCATCTCCGTCCGCTGTGGCGACGTCAGTCTGTCCTTGCTTTTGTCATTAATAAGCTCCATAATTTCAGCTGTCTGCTGTCTGCTAATTATAGATATTGTGAATCAATCGAGGGGGTGTGAAATTTGGCGAGCAAAGTGTTTTGAAGCTGATATTGGGCCAAACTTGAGGTATTTCCGGGATTGGTATTTCTCAGATTATGACTTGTGGCTGTGGAGGTCACGTTTTCATCGCTCAGATCATTGTTATGAGTGCAGATCTGTTTATCAGTTTCTTCATAGGGAGACGCAGTGTCAGATCCAGCACTGGACCCGATAGTTGCTGTAGGCACGTGCGCAACTGCAGAGTGGATGCATGTTCAGGCTCTCAGGGTCTCTAGTGTGTTTTCGTCTTAGCGTCATGTATTCTCAAGCTTAGTCAGAGAGAAGGACTATGGAGGAGAAGGGGAGAATTGAGAAGGGTATTTGAAGGGACTTTGAAGGTCGCGTGGAAGAGGTACTTGAAGAGGTATTTGAAGGTCACGTGGAAGAGGTATTTGAAGATCACGTGGAAGAAGTACTTGTTTTACAGAGAATATCGGGGTGATTTTGACAGTGGGATTGTCTCCCAAGTCCTAATCGTTTGACATGGGAGCAGTGAAAAGTCGGGCTAAAAAAGGGAATATCGGAAATCGGAAAGACGGAAAGAATTACTGGACTCATGTTTAGTAGATCTGAGCACTTCAAATTTGAAAATATCTCTTCAAACAGCAGATCGGTTGGTCGTGGAGGTACCATCAAGGGTAAAATCAAGGCTATCATCAAGGGCCATATATCGCAAGTTTGGGGGAAGATAATATGTTCATAGTGAATCAGGGTTGTGGATTTCCTCATCTAACGGCATTGTAACTAGTCCTGGAGGGTCTTTTTTATGGATAACCTCCATGTACGATGTATCCAAGATCTCCACGTACTGTGTTCTGTTTCCTAAGTAATACCCAACAACCTCTCCAACAAACACTTGGGAAGATGCACTTGTGCTGAGATGTCAAGATGTTAGTACTGTACTGGATGGAGAGAATATTAATAAATAATTGTTACCCAACTACATCTTGTCGATTGAAAGAGATACCCCTAAGACAGATAGGATATCTGCAACCCGAGGAATGAACCCCCCAGCACCGGCACCCTTTCTATTAACAAAATGCCAACTGAAATTTGAAAAGTTCAACTAAACTTATTTGACCCACAAAAACTCGTCAAAAGTGGCGGCGAAAGCTGGCAAATGATGACATCCCCTTGGAACTATGATATCCCCTCGGAATCTTCGTCCCCATTTGCCACATCTACTTGCAACGCCACGTCTGCTTACTAAGCAACCCAAATCTGCCTCGGCTCAAAATGTGGGGAAGTTCACATGCATTCGCTGGTGAATCTGATCTGACACTACAACTACACACCAGGTCCAACATGAGCGACAATACGACAATCAAAAAGCCGATCCGACCCAAACCGATCCGGACGGAACGCCTGCCTTACGCTGGGGCCGCAGAAATCATCCGAGCCAACCAGAAAGACCACTACTTTGAGTCCGTGCTTGAACAGCATCTCGTCACGTTTCTGCAGAAATGGAAGGGAGTACGATTTATCCACCAGTACAAGGAGGAGCTGGAGACGGCGTCCAAGTTTGCATATCTCGGTTTGTGTACGCTTGTGGGCTCCAAGACTCTCGGAGAAGAGTACACCAATCTCATGTACACTATCAGAGACCGAACAGCTCTACCGGGGGTGGTGAGACGGTTTGGCTACGTGCTTTCCAACACTCTGTTTCCATACCTGTTTGTGCGCTACATGGGCAAGTTGCGCGCCAAACTGATGCGCGAGTATCCCCATCTGGTGGAGTACGACGAAGATGAGCCTGTGCCCAGCCCGGAAACATGGAAGGAGCGGGTCATCAAGACGTTTGTGAACAAGTTTGACAAGTTCACGGCGCTGGAGGGGTTTACCGCGATCCACTTGGCGATTTTCTACGTCTACGGCTCGTACTACCAGCTCAGTAAGCGGATCTGGGGCATGCGTTATGTATTTGGACACCGACTGGACAAGAATGAGCCTCGAATCGGTTACGAGATGCTCGGTCTGCTGATTTTCGCCCGGTTTGCCACGTCATTTGTGCAGACGGGAAGAGAGTACCTCGGAGCGCTGCTGGAAAAGAGCGTGGAGAAAGAGGCAGGGGAGAAGGAAGATGAAAAGGAAGCGGTTGTGCCGAAAAAGAAGTCGTCAATTCCGTTCATTGAGGATACAGAAGGGGAGACGGAAGACAAGATCGATCTGGAGGACCCTCGACAGCTCAAGTTCATTCCTGAGGCGTCCAGAGCGTGCACTCTGTGTCTGTCATACATTAGTGCGCCGGCATGTACGCCATGTGGACACTTTTTCTGTTGGGACTGTATTTCCGAATGGGTGAGAGAGAAGCCCGAGTGTCCCTTGTGTCGGCAGGGTGTGAGAGAGCAGAACTTGTTGCCTATCAGATAATGACGAGGTCTGGATGGAAGGACTAGTCAGCGAGACACAGAGCATCAGGGACCAGACACGACCAATTCAATCGACAACACTGTGCTGCATAGCAGTGCACAGAGGTCCTGGGCATGAATATATTTTAGCATTGGAGATATGAGTGGTAGAGCGTATACAGTATTAATTGTGGAGGTATCTCGTCGCATTGATAGAGCAATACAGTTACTGCTGAAGGGAATGATACCGAGTATTTCGGCCCGATTCAGTTCTTGATATCGTCATTTTGTCTCTATTGTCTACTTTTCAGATAACCTCAACAAATCTTCAACAAATCTCCCAGTAAACAGTCAGAGATCATATCCGAGATCATATCAGATATGTCACGATCCGAGTACAATAATGGATATTAATCTGCTTGATTTTGAATTCTGTTGCGATTATGATTTCTTTGATTTCGATATGAACACATACGGCGACTCCCAGACCTTTAGAAGCTCCAGTTTGGATTCTTAGCAATGGTTACACTCAACTATATCCCAAGTAATACTTGGTAACAATATGCCAAGTTAGTCATTCATTCGTTATAGGAGTTAGCAAGTGTTTGTCAGCTAAAAATGGTTAGTCGGTCGATTACCACTTAGATCTTTTCAGCGTGGAACTTGATGGTACGCTTGAACCGACACTTGGAGTAGTCGGGGCTGTTGATGACGTAGATGACGTTTCGCTCAGGGTGAGGAGTGCAATAGTAGTACTCCTTGGGGCCGTCTCTCAGCTCAAAGGTTCCATCGGCGGCAATGTCAAAGACCGAGCCCTGGAGCTTGTAGCCGTAGTCGCCGGTCCAGAACAAAGCCTGCAGCTCCAGATAGGCGATGGGCATGTCGTTAACAGAGAAGGTGTTGCCCTCGCCCTCGGTGATGGTGATGGGTTCGCCGTCGGTGGAGGCGGTGATCAGGTCATCTTGGTAGGTGACGGGCAGAGATTCGACCGATTGGGCGTCTGATCTGGTATAGGTCAGCTTGTACTTGTCTCCGACAGCCGCCAGAGCGGTGGTAGCGACGGTGATGAGGGAGATGAGTTTCATATTGGCGGCAAGTTTAGCAAAAGATGGCAGTGGGATTGAGGGACAAGAGTGTTTATATAGATATAGATACAACACAACGAGTCTGAATGAGACAACCGAGACAACCACTCCCGAAGCCTCACTAATAGTTACTAACGGCATATTTCAGGTACCACCTGCACCGAGCTGCATAGAGTTTGGAGGGGCACTTAATCTGAAGGCACTAACGGCTGTGATAACGACAGCTACAAGGGTCGTATTGACAATATGGACATATCAGGGAGAAGCTGGAAGCTGGGAGGGTAATTTGATTGGATTTTTCTCCAGAAAACTCCCCATTTAACCCCCTTTATAACGCCCCACTTCGGGTCGTAATTTTAGTTAACCGCGCGCCCACCTCGAAATATGCAGGCCAAGCAGATCGGCGCACAGCGACATGAGCAAAGGGGGCAGTACAGAAGCGGAGAAGAAGACGAGTGTCGTCGGACCACCAAGCCAGTCAGGCACTGTCGGGGCGTTTGTGTCGGTCACGTGACTCTACGATATCGGCTGCCGGTGTATTTTTCGGGAGTCATGGCGGGCTCTCGATGTTTGGTTTGGCTCAGTTTGGTTTGGCTCAGTTTGGTTTGGCTCAGTCTGGTTGGGCATGTCTTTTCGAAGCAACTGAAAGTGAGCGCCAGGGCGGAGTCTATTGTCGGGTCATGTGTTGTTTCAGGTTCATGTATCTTCGAGGTCGGGCATTAAAAGTAATTACTGTTGGAGACAAGTGTCGATTTCTGTAGCGCACACTGTGAAGATCACTGTGGATGTTGGTCACATTTCAACTAATTACTTGGATCATTTAAGGAAATTACTTAGTCTCGTGTAGTAAATTACTTGGTATCACTTAGTCTCACGCAGCTAATTACGTAGTCTCTAATTACCTAGGACCATCTCTCGAACGAGATGTCAGAGAAGAAATCAAAAAAGTGCATTTTGTTAAGAAAAGCCGGATTAGTAAGATGGTAAAAATCTGGATCCGAGTTGGTCTTATTGTGGACGTTGATCTGGATTCTTTAGTGTTGGAATTGAGCTGGGTGCAATACTGGGACTTGGTTTGAAACCAGAAACCTGTTTTCAGGTGTGATTCTGCAGCTTGACTTCGCCGCAACTCCTCTTTGGCGACTCTGAGAGAAAAACTAAGCATATATTCGTGTTCTTCGTGCCATAATTGCAGTACAAAAGTTTCGTTATTTTCGTAATTGGAGCTCTCATACTGAAGATTACGTAATGCTCAGTGTTAACTGGATTCAAAACCATTACTCGGCTTCAACTAATAAACTCACTAAATGCTAGGGTATAGTTGACATTGCACTCACCAAACCCCCCGGTTCTCCTCAGACCCAGTGGTCTTCTGTTAATCTATATGGCTGGCAGAAACACAAGGTGACATCTGGATCAGAAGTAACACCAGTCGACAGTTGGACTTGCCGGAATACAGGGGTTTTCACCCCCTTCCGATGTAGTATCGTAAACACAAGGACTCTATCTTGATCCTGCCATTGGTGCGATGCCAGAGAATTAATAGTAGTACCATTATAACCGTCATGGTCGCGGAATAATATTGGTACCACTTTCTTTGACACCACATGGACCATTTTTGGAACTCCACAAGCTATTTACAGCTGGCTCCGAGCAAGATGGCGGATGTGAAGATGACTCTACCTTGAGACGTAGTGGCTGTGTCTCTCCCTGTGCTGCTGTGTGAGAACTTCTTGGTCTGATAATACTATCTACAGTAATGCTCTACCACTGGCTACATGCAATGAATCTGCTCTCTCACTTGCACTTACATCGGAAAGAAGGGCCAGGGGACTGGTATGTACGCTTCAAGTATAGTAGTCTCGGGTAGGTAACAGTTGCTATTCAATAATAATATATCCTGAGGTGCCGTATCCTCACAATTGAGTCATATTTTTGGACTGCAAACACGCAAATCTCTCATCCAACGAGCTCGTCACAAACGAACAAAACGCATCCAGCAGACACTCTTGATCACACTCGTTTGGGGTATACGGGGACTTTCGGTAGTAGTGATCCCAATACAGCTGGTTCTGCTCCGGGTTTTCCAGAATCGCCTTGGCTGCTCGGTGCCAAAAGGTGGCGTTGAGAGGAGCATCCTTAGGCCAGGTGCCGTTTAAGTCGTAGGAGTCTCGGGCAGAGTACTCCCATCTCCAGGTCAAGTGCCGAGGAGTCTGGGGCTCATAGACCGCCACAGTGTAGTTGTTGGCTACTGTGTGATTCTTGGACTTGGCAAGGTCGTAGTCGTACGTCTCGTTGAGGGGAGAATAGTAGTTTCGGGAGTCCATAATCTCAAACGTCTTGGTGTCCACCTCGTAGTATCTCCAGGCTGGGTTGTAGAGGTCGACGGGGGTCACCGACTGGGTGATCCAGCCAACCGCTAGAGCACTCTCCTCTGTCCATACATTGTCTTTTTCGTAGAAGAGGTTGAACTGGTCGGCATGGGTGTGTCCAAAGAAGGTGGCGGCAATAACATGGGGAGAAAAGCGTCTGATCACTTGTCTGAACACCTCCGAGTTCCATCCCGTTGCCCCCAAGTCCTGAGCGGGAATATGAGCCATGATCCAGGCCTTTTGTCCGAGTTTCTCGCACAAAAGAAGCTCGTCCACCAGCCAGTGGAACAGGCCAGATGGGTCGGGGTCGGTGATGTTCCAGAAGTTGTAGTAGTTTCCTGAGTACCACAGATTCGAGTCAAGCGAAATGACTCTCAGGCCACGTTTGGTAGTGACTGCAAAAGACCCGTAGGTATGTTCGGCCTGGGCCTCGGTGGTCTCATTGATCCACCCAAAGTCCTTCCACATTTTGGCCGACAGTTCAGCGTTCCAGGAAAAGTCGCCGGCAAAACCAGAGGAGTTCTGGGCCACCTGCCCATAAGGATACGAGTCGTGGTTGCCAAAAGTCGGATAGACGGGAATGTCGCCCATGTACTTTTTCATCAGGTAGTAGCATTCTTCTTCCGACTGGTAGGAGTGAGCGAAGGAGAGCCAGTCTTCGAGATCGTGCGACACCATGTCGCCAGTGAAGAGTCCAAATTCAAAGTCTCGGGCGAGCGACATGGCACCCACAGACTTCATGGAGTCTTCAACGAGTGCCTCGGGCGAGTCACAATGGTACGAGCCGAGTTTTTGGGCCGGCAAGACGGTCCGATTGAGACCAGCAGCTATAGCCGCCTCGTTATGGGACTCGACTGTGCAGCACATGTAGTCGTCGCACCAGGCCTCTTGTCCGGGCGTGTATCTGAGATCTAGATGGAAGTCGGAGATGTGCAGCACGTTGAAGGTCTCGTTGTAGGACGATTCGATTTTCTTTGGGTTTTTGGGCTTCTCTGGCCACCAGGAAGACAAGTCCGGAACCGGCACCTGGACACGATCGCAGGTAAGTGGAGCGAATCCGTTGCATAGAGCTTGGCCATCGAGTCCAAAGGCGTCCATCAGAGTAAAGACCTGGGCCAGATGTTTGCCCTGGTTGCCTCTGGTGATGCTGGCTCCCTGGTAGGAGTCGCAGTCGTCCTGCCACTTGTAGAAGTTGCAGAGCTTCACCATGAGGTTTGGGGTGACTGTGGGGGCCTTGAGGGTGATGTATTTGCCGAGATTGATACCCTGTTGGCACTTTGTGCAGTTGGAAGCCGAGGTGTTGAAGATCTTCTGGGCCTCCTGGAATCCCCACTCTAGGAGAGCCTCGTTGCCAATGTCCGGGACCTGGATTTGATGAGACGAGTTGTCTGCTCGCTTGGCTAGCCCAGAGGCTGCCAAAAGACCTGTGGTGAGTTGGACGATGTTGACCATTGTTGGTTGGACGAGAGAGAGTGAATGGAGTTGGCATCTTATGTTGCCAGGTCTGAGCCGCTCGTTTGGCCGAGAAACACTTTCCTGGAACGCCCGTGGAATTGGTTTGGCTGCAGGACAGTCCAAAGGAGGGTTAAATCATGTCTATTGTTCGGATAACTCCCTTATCGTGATGCCAATGCATGCTTCAGGTGCGATTATGTATGTTGGTCTTGGCTGTTGGTCTTGGCGAGGAAAACAGATATGAGAAAGGGTCTACATCTGGTTGGTCCTTCATACACGGTCTCCCCGACCAGCCTCCAATTCAACTGAAATCGGACTTCTCTCGGGCCCCGCTAATTAACCAGAGCTTAGTTGCACGTGGGGCCGAGATTCCGGGGAGGTTCAGAGATCGCCATAGGGTGTGGAAGCAGCCGTATCAATGCTAATACCACTAAGAGTTACACGGAACCACTGGATAGGATTTCGAGAAGAAGAGTTTGTAATTCTCTCTGTCAACAGGTTTGATTGGATGATGACGAGTTGAGAAAAAAGTCGGCACAGTTCTGTTGTGTACTGTAGCAACATAGCGCGGTTTGAAGGGAGTCCGTAGAGTCTGTCATGTCTATGGATAGGGAGGAATCTTTTTATTTCATTCAAGTACATATTGTATCACCTCATCGTTGGACAGAATTGCTTTTGGCGAGACTAGTTGCAGATTGGACATGCTAGTTGTTGACCGAGATCTGGTCCGAGTTACTACAATAATAGCCCCTTGAAAAGACCCTGCTCGACTAATGGGCTTCTATAATTCGGTGAAGTAGCAGGAACCCGAGATGGATCTTACTGTAGTTGATTGTTGAAGCAACTTGAAGAGCATTGAGTCCGGAGCCGCAGACAATACATTACCGAGCAGCTTGTAGAACAACAGTTGATCTGGTTTTTTCTGCCGAATCGGCCCCTCTCACATCCAAGAAAGATTCATTCACATAAAAATGGCTATTGTTGGCCCTAGGTGCCTTTTTTTTATCACTACAAATGACATCACAGCGGGCTCTCCAGAGCAGATATACGGAATCTGAAAACATTTTCATGATGCTCCCGCCCGAATAAATGTAAGGATTTGGCTGCTTTCTGGCTTGTACTTGCACGTGATGATTTTGGTCCCGTTTCTGGACCCTGGAATCATTCCCCTAATTGCACTATCAAACCTGACACCATATACCCTTGTACAGGTGTCAAAACATGTCAAATTCGTTCTTTTTTGAATAAAATCACGTGACAAACCTGTCCATCATCACGTGCCCCGATTTTACAGTACAAGCACTTGTACCTCCGCTCTCCACCCACATCTCCGATCTGCCACTCTGTTACACCTTCCCGATTAGGCAATATAACACCCCCCAACTCGATGAATCTTTGCGACCAGATCAGGGTAACTCGGAAGACCTGGTTCGTGGAAGAAGATTGGCCACTGACGCGATCCCAAGGGTTTGGTCACGTGGCCAGCCCTGGATTTTTCTCCCAGTTTTTCGCTTCTGGCCCGTGATTTTTAGTCTTGCTGGCGCCTGTGAAATGCATCTATGACAAACAAGTGGGGAGGGGGTTGTTTATGTTGACTAGTATTGGTGCCAGCGAGGATTTAAGACAAGAAATCGATTTGTCTCGTCTGTGCGAGTTGATTCCCCCGTTTTCCGTCTCTCTAGCTCCACAGGAACCCCTCGATCAAGGCGTCTTGGCCACTGGTCCAGGCAGTTGTCCCACCTAACTAATAAACTTCCACCTCCAAAAAATCATCACCAACTTTTTTGCGATCTATCTTTTTAGACCTGTTGTACGCCACGACACAAGATGCGAGTCGAGACCGGAAAACTGGAGGCCAAGCCCAAGCCCACGGGCGTATCTTCTGCTCTACAGCCCGGCAAAAAGCGGGGCAACCGAGGTGGCAAATCACGACCGAGACGAGAAAGAGAAAAGGGAGACGAAAAGCCGAATAGAGACAAGGAGGAAGGAGACTCGGAGGACGACGACTCGGAGGAGCGCAAGGAGGAGAACGAGGATGATGACGACGCGGACCTTTGCCACATTTGCGCGGAAAAAGTCAAGTACTACGCGATCACACAGTGCAACAACGTCATGTGCCACAAATGTCCCTTACGACGAGAGGCGCTGTTTGGCAGCCGAAAGTGCGAGTTCTGCCGAAGTGAACACGATTACGTGGTGATTGCCAACTCGGCCGACAAGCGGTTTGAGGAGTACAGCGTGCTGGATCTCAAGGCCAGCTCCGATGAGTTCCACATGAAGTTTGAGAGTGAGCCCATCAAGAACGACTCGCTACTGCTGCTGAAACACAAGTGTCCGATCTGCAAGTCGCAGCTCAATAACGCGCAGCACTTCAAGGATCACGTGCGGGACGCCCACCACAAGCAGGTCTGCAACCTCTGTTTTGTCCACAAGAAGCAGTTCCCCATTGAGCGGCGGCTCTACGGCACTAAGCAGCTCACCGACCACATGCAGCGCGGTATGGCCCAGGAGATTGGTTTTTCTGGCCATCCCGAGTGCAAGTTCTGCCGTGAGCGATTCTACGACGGCGATCATCTGTTCAAACACATGCGAGACAAGCACGAAAAGTGCCACATGTGCGAGAAGCTGAACCGTGGCAACCCGGAGTTTCAGCCGCGGTACTTCCGCAACTACGAACATCTGTTTGAACACTTCAAGGACGAGCATTACGTGTGTACTGTGCAGTCATGTCTGGACGCCAAGTTTGTGGCCTTTGACAATGACATTGATCTCAAGGCGCACCAGATTGAACAGCATCCTAATTTGTACGCAGGCAAGGCATCGCGAAACATTGACGTTGCCTTTGAGCCTGTTCGAAGCGGTAACAATCGACGCCGAGGCTTTGGAGGAGAGCTGAGCACCATTTCCCAGCCTGCTCCCCAGCAGCAACAGCAACGCAACCAGCAGCAGCCGACTGTGGTTGAGCGAACAGGCCCGGCGTTTTCGGCAACTGATTTCCCTGCTCTCGGAGGCTCTTCTGCCGCTGGAAGCAGTCGGTCAGGCAGCTCGACTCCCTCTGCTCCTGCAGCCCCCACTTCGCAGCAGCTGCAGATGCGACGGCTCAACGAGCGGGCCCGCAACTACCTCGGTTACAGCATGTCCAAGTTCGATGAGTTTGAGGAGATGACCAACAAGTTTCTCAGGTATCAGATTGACGGCAAGAAGCTGGTGTTTGGCTACGTGACGCTTTTCCAGGGCACATCGACGTCGGACCTGGAGCTGCTGATCGAAGAGGTGGCGGGCCTGATGCAAAACTCGGGTGTCAAACATAAGCTGCGAATTGCATGGGACGAACACAAGAAGAGCAAGACGGCTCCCACACTGCGGCTCGTTCCCAAAAACAAACCCATGATCAACTCGGCATGGTCTGCATCTTCTGCTGGTTCTTCTTCTGGTAGAGCCTCGGGCAGAATGGATACCCGCAGCGAGTCCGCTTTCCCTGCTCTCGGGGGTGGATCTTCAGCATCGTCGTCGCGGTCAGCAAGTACCTCTTCGTCGCGTGCTTCTTCATCTACTAACCTTGCAGGCCGTATGAACGGACTGTCGATTTCGTCGCCCGGCGCGTCTTCTTCTTCGTTGGCTTCGTGGGGCGCTCCTGCTCCCAAGACCACCAAGAAAATTGTGCGCAACGAGGCCGACTTTCCGGCTCTTCCCAAGGCCGCTCCCAAAAAGTACGGACGAGTGAACCCCGTGGTTCCCCCGGGCCAGTGGGGGGCTGCGTCTCTGCATTCGCCCTACGAGGAGCCCGAGAACCCCAACACTCTCAAGACCACCAAGAAGGGCAAGAAGATTGTTCTGGACCTGGGCTTGTAAGGCTAACGAGTGTAATTGTACTGTACCAGTAGACGTAATGCATTTAGAAATATGTCAGTGATGGAGTACCACTATAGAACAGTACATTCCGTACAGTTTTTTTTTTTTTTTTCTGCATATACATTCATTTAATTATAACTTTGCCGTGAAAGAATAACCTTTGAAATGAATGTACGCTTACACGAATATTACTAATTAAACACGTTTAGTGTCATGGTCCAACTTGGCACGTACCTATTTCCAGTAAAAAAATCATAAAAAAACCTGGTTCAGTCCGTGTTGTATGTTGGTCCACATAGCTTCGCGTGTTTGTTCGTTCATCGGGAAAACGCCACTCCAGTCTCCAGTTCTCTAATCTCAATCCTTCCATTGCCCTCTTCATTTGCATTGCCTTTGAAAACTTCTCCTTGTGGTTCTTCTTCGTCATTGGTTTGGTTCTGCGTCCCCTGTGGTGACTACGCGCCCTGCTACGCTGTTCTCTCGGTGGCCTCGGCCGCCTTTTACGCTTGCTACTGTGTCTACTCTCGCTCATCGTGAAGTGCTGGCGGTTGTCCATCGTAGAAACACATCTGGGCTTCCTTCAGGAATTGAAGCAAACCCTGTTGGACATGTCCCAGGGTGGCGTCGTCCCCTGAGTACCGGAGGGATCTCTCCATCTTCCAGATCCCATAAGCCAATTCCCGCAGATATTTGCGTGTCTTGACTTGTTGATGTTTCCGGGGGGCGTCACTGTTCACATGCCCTGGGAAAGAGGGGAGTACTCCACATTTCGACTCGGTAAAGATCCAGTCCTTTAGAGAGTCCACTGACGGAATCTTCATCCTGGTCAACATGGAAAGAAGAACTTCGCACTTGCAGAAGATATGCTCGTGCAGATCCTGAATGATGGCCTTATCACAGAGCCCGCATCCTGGATTCTTCTTGGTGAAAACGTGGTCGTCAGGGTATCTCCATTTCACGAGCGGAAGTCGAGATATCCGCATGAGGTGAAGAACTTGTGCTTTGTTGGCGTCGGCGATGTAGTGTTTTCGAAGGTCATGCATTACCTCCTGCCAGACCATGTCGTCAGAGATGCCCCCGTAGTCGCTTCGTTGAGTCCACTTCTTCGGTCGTGCAAGTGTGTGTGGGAAGTTTGGCAAGTCGGGAGACGAGGTCTTGTGAAACATGAAGTTCTCTAGAGTAAGTGGTCCCATGCTCCACCGGAGGTGGTCGATTTCCGCTGTGGACACCATTCTGACCGGATGGTATCGTCTCGCGGCTGCGATGTCGACGTGTGCTTCCCGGAAAGATTCTGCTGCTCTCACGTTCACCTGGTTTCGTTCCCAGATTCTGTGATTAACTGTGTCTGTTGTAGAGGGCTCGTGATCTTCTCGAGGGTTGGCATGTTCCGCGGTGAGGGGCTTGTTGAGCTCGAAAGAAGCTCTGATTGCGTCTCGCATGGTGGGGGAGGCTGCGTAGCCCCAAGCTTGGCCTGTCGGAAAGCGGCAGTCGACGCGCTGGTGTGGCTTTTCCTGTGTGAGACTGTGAGTTCTGCTGTAGAACTGGAAGGTGCAGTCCCAAAGGGCCGGCGATGAGCCATGGAAGAACCTGTAAGCCCGAGCGGCCTTCAGGCACACCATGAAACGTCCCATGTCCCGCAGGTTCAGTCCTCCTCTGCCTACCGGAGTTTGGATGTATGTACAGTACAACACAAGTGTCAAGTAATATCCCAACAAAGACCCTATCGTGGCTAAACTAAATTATTGGACACTTGACTCTGTCAATAATTGTCACTAACTGTCCATAATCACATCACGAACACGAGACAACCGCCATAGCAAGTGTACGTCTTTGTAGTTATACTTAACCTAGCAAATGGTGACTTATGTAAGCAGAAGGGGTTCCTCAGTTGTACTGTTGCGCTCATAGTCATAATCTGTACTGTAAACTGAAAAACCTTAACGCGAAGTCTAAAATATTTTTATTTGCATGCATGGCGACTGCAATTTGCACTACATCTACAACCCCATCACACCATGGTAAAATCATACAACCGATTCGAGGCCGAGGCCGTGTTTGGCGTCGTGTCGTCGAGCAATGCGCTGTGGCTGAAAAATTCAAATTCCAGTACTGGACGGGCCGTGACAGGGGCTCTAGAGACAGTTCTGGCCTGGGACATCAAGGCCGGAACCTGTGTTCAGAAGCTGTCAGACAGCGATCTGGCAGTCGGAACAGGTGCCACGGTGGCAACTGCGTCTCCTCCGGTTGTTTCTGTGCTGACAAACTATTTTTCCGAACTGCTAGCTGCGGGATACACCGACGGCAGTATCCGGGTGTTTGACTATCGATCTGGCCAGGTAATGACCACCTTCAAGGGCCACAAGTCTTCAATCACATGTCTCGAGTTTGACGCAAGTGGAACCCGGCTTGTTTCCGGCTCGCGTGACTCCAACGTGATTCTGTGGGACCTAGTTGAAGAGGTGGGCGTGTCTCGACTGCGATCCCACCGAGACCAGGTGACGGGAGTCAAGTTCCTAGACGAAAAGAAACTCATCACGTGCGCCAAGGACGGCTTGGTCAAGATCTGGGACCTGGAGTCACGTGACTGCATCGAGACGCGGGTGGGCGGCTCCGAGGTGTGGGCCATGGACGTTTACAGCGACACCGTCATGACTGTGGGGCGAGAAAAGGAGGTCAAGGTCTGGCAGGTGGATTTGGACGCCAAGGACGGCGAGATGCTCTCTCAGCGCGGTTCTCTGGAGCGGGTTTCCAACGACCGAGGCATCGATATCGAGTTTTCCAAGGACGGCGGCCATGTCATCTTTTCCGGTAACGATAAGACTGTGGAATTGTGGCGACGACGAACTTTGGCCGAGATCAAGAAATCTATTGCTAAGAAAATCAAACGTCGAGTCAAGAAGGGTGATACTGTTGACGAAGACGAGTACGACGAGAAGTCGGTCAACGAGATCTGGGTGCAGGTGGTCAACTTCAAGACATCTGCCAAGATCAGAAACGTGACGTGGACGGGATCAGAATCGGTGTCTGGCGCCAACAAGGACGCCGCAGGCCTGCTGGTGGCGCTCACAAACAACTCTCTGGAGTACTACACCCTCGAGTTGGAGGACGGCAAGTTTAGCCGGGATCACGTGATCGATCTGTGCGGCCACCGCGCCGACATTCGGGCTCTGTCTCTTTCTTCTGATGACAAGATGGTGGCCTCCACCTCCAACGGTCAGCTCAAAATCTGGAATCTCAGAACCACAAACTGCATTCGGTCCATGGACTGTGGGTATGCTCTGTGTGTCAAGTTTCTGCCTGGAGACTCGCTGGTGATTGTTGGAACCAAGTCTGGACAGATCCAGCTGTTTGATGTTGCTTCCTCGTCTCTCATTGACACTGTAGATGCCCATGAGGGATCTCTGTGGTCTTGTGACGTTTCCAGTGACGGCAAAACCGTGGTTACGGGTGGATCTGATAAGCGGGTGTGTTTCTGGGAGCTGGCTGTTTCCTCGGAGACCGTTCCCGGTACTGGAGAGACCACTCAGAAGCTGAAGCTGAAGCAGACCCGTGTTCTGGAGCTGTCCGACGACGTTCTGTGCGTCACTCTATCGTCAGATAACAAGTACATTGCCTGCTCTCTGCTGGACTCGACTGTTAAAGTCTTTTTCTTCGACTCGCTCAAGTTCTACCTCAACTTGTACGGCCACAAGCTGCCTGTTTTGGCCATGGACATTTCCAGCGATTCCAACATCATCGTCACATGTTCGGCCGACAAGAACATCAAGCTGTGGGGTCTGGACTTTGGAGACTGTCGAAAGTCTCTGTTTGGACACGCCGACTCGGTCATGAGCGTCAAGTTTGTACCCGGGTCTCACAACTTCTTTTCGGCAGGAAAAGACAGGCTGGTCAAGTACTGGGACGGAGACAAGTTTGACTGCATCCAGCGGCTGGTGGGCCACGTCGGCGAGGTCTGGGCCCTCTGCGTGTCGTCTGCCGGTGACTTTATTGTCTCCGGTTCGCATGATAAGAGTATCCGAGTGTGGATGGAGTCCGATGACGAAATCTTCCTCGAAGAAGAACGAGAAAAGGAGCTCGAGGAAATGTATGAGTCCACACTCGCCGTGTCTCTCGAGGGAGAGGGCCAGGAGCTCGACGAAGATGACAAGGAAGACGCGGTCGTGGATAAAGTGCATATGCAGACTGGAGAGACGCTCAAGGGCGGAGAAAAGCTCATGGAGGCGCTGGAAATGGGAACCGAGGACCTGGACCTGATCGAAAACTGGAAGATTGCCCAGGCAACCAACCCCAACGCGGCCTGCCCTCCCCGTCACGTGATTCTCGCCACGCTGAAGCTGTCTGCCGAGCGACACGTTCTCAACGTTGTTGAGAAGATCAAGCCAGCGCAGCTGGAGGACTCATTGCTGGTGCTGCCCTTCAGCCACGTGATGAAGCTGGTGCGGTTCATCCAGATCTGGACCGCCAAGGAGTGGTCTATTCCTCTTGTGTGTCGGGTTCTCTTTTTCGTGACTCGAACTCACCATAAGCAGATTGTGGCTTCCCGGGAGCTCAAGCCCATGCTGGAGGAGGTGCGACACAACATTCGAAAGTGCCTGGCTCGTCAAAAGTCCGAGATTGGCTACAACCTGGCCGGTCTGCGGTTCATCAAGCAAAACTGGGACCTGCATCATAAGAAGGAGTTTATCGACGCTGTGGAGGCCAAGGAGGCCGAGGAGAGATCGCAGAAGAAGCGTGCTTTTGGCACGGTTGTTTAAATCGCATTGAAGAGCGAATACATGGTGACTTGTTGTCACTAGCTACTGCTAATTGAATAGATACTAAAGATAGGATATACAGATTACAGATTACAATGTTGAATTGTCCAGAACCTGGCGAGAAGAAGTCGGATGCAAGTGCCTTAAGGAGAGACGAGTTGAAAGTTGCCATTGGCCAAGTAGTGAGTCGGAAGTCCTACAAGTGCGAACTGACAGATTGAAGAATGGTAGTTCACGAGTTGCCATGGTTTTTCAATCGAGACTGTTCCATGTGCGGCCTGGAGGATCAGATTGTCGATTTCTCGGTTACACTCTCTTGTCATTGCTGGCCGGGCCAGAGATAGATCGCCTGCCGGATACTCCCAGTCACCTGAGATTGGCCGCATCTTTGAACTTGAGATGGAGCTCCCCCGTAGATACTGCCTCTCCTCCGTAGATACTGTCTCTCCTCCGTAGATACTGTCTCTCCTCCGTAGATACTGTCTCTCCTCCGTAGATACTGTCTCTCCTCCGTAGATACTGTCTCTCCTCCGTAGATACTGTCTCTCCTCCGTAGATACTGTCTCTCCTCCGTAGATACTGTCTCTCCTCCGTAGATACTGTCTCTCCTCCGTAGATACTGTCTCTCCTCCGTAGATACTGTCTCTCCCCCGTAGATACTGCCTCTCCTCCGTAGATACCGCCTCTGTGGAAGACCCTGAGAGCCATTTTGGATGTTGCAATGACTAATTTGATGGAGAGAATGAGGGTAGCGTGACAGTGGGAAATAATTGGCCATGCGCTCGCAATTGTTGAAACTGATGTGGTCCAACTACTTGTGTACTCGTACAATAAAACACTTGCACCGTTTGAGTACTTCCATCATCTCGTCGAGAGACAAGCCTGAAGTCCGGTGGTTGACAGGCAAATGGAGCCCACAGTCTTCAAAGGACTTCTCCAGATGGAGTTGTACTGGTTCGCGCTGCTGGTGAAGTTTGGCTAGTAGAGAAAATCGTTGGACAAGTGTAGTTGTAGTGGCTGTCCAACTGAGAGTAGATCAATGGGAGAACCCCCTGGACATCTGTCTACATCACCGACTCAGCTACTGACCAAGGTAGCTCATGGCCCTAGAATACTCCTGGACCCAAGACCACAGTCCGATAAATATGCGATTAATTCCAATTATATGCGTGCCTTTCGGCTTTTCAATAAAAAACGCCAGCTTCCCTTTCTCGCTGACTGCGCTTGAGCTAACTACTACCAGCAGAACATGAACAGAATTGAACAATGAACAACCAACAACAGAACATTCTCAAACGGTGTCACTGAAGCGAGACTAGTTAGATCCAGTCATCTGACAGAAGTGATAGGATCAAAAGCGCACGTGTAGCTGCTACACTACTCGTGCCGCTCTTAATGACCCGTCTCACCCGCCTCACACACCTTGATTTCCCGGCCCCACTCACTATTCAAAATCTGCTTGCCCGTAATCCGTCTACTCGGAACAGGGTCCAGAATCGAATAAATCACGTTTCGACAACGCGCTCTCTTCAAATGCTCAATGGGCTCGTAACCATCCTCGTCCTTTCGACCCTGCAGATACCGGGTGTAGAACTCGTCCTCCTCAGCGTTGGCAGTTCGCCACAGATGTCGGCCGGTTCGCATCGCCATGTAAATGACTCCACAGGCCCAAATGTCGACCGGTCGCGGATCAAACTCCTTCTCGTGGTACTCCTCGGGGGCAATGTAAGGAGCAGAGCCACACAGCCCGTTACTCAGATGCACCTCCTTTTCCCACGCCATTCGAAAACACTCGCCGTTGCCAAAGTCGGTAATTTTGACCGTACCCTTGAGCGTCAGCAGAATATTTTCCGGCTTGAGATCCCGATGAGCCACACCCATGTCGTGCATATAGTTGACGCCCCGGATGATCTGCTTGAAGAAGCAGTCGGCCTCGGTGAACTCGAGCTTGCCGGCAGACAGAATCAAAGTGTACAGGTCGCCGCCAGAGCAAAACTCCATCACCTCGCAGTAGTCGCCCTTGGCGTCCTGCAACAAATCCAGCGTGTGGATGATGTTCGGGTGGTGCAGCGACGACGAGATGCAGAACTCGGACGTCAGCCGCTTGTTGTAGTGCTTTTCCGTCTCGTTGGGCCGGCGCTTGAACTCCTTAACGGCATACAGCTGCTCCGCAGTGCCGCTTTTCCGATCAGCCGCCTTGTGTGAAATACGCACAACGCCAAAGGCGCCCTTTCCAATCACTTCCTGACAGCGACCGTACTTCTCCAGGAATGAGCCCGATGTCGTGGCCGGATGGTTGCAAACATAGGGGTTCTTTCCGTCCTTTTCGGGTGCAGGGTGGGCATGTTGCACCTGGGGGTTCGGCGAGTTGGGATCGTTGATCTGCTTGAGGAAACCGTGCATGAGCGAGGGGGGCAGGTCGCCGTTACCTCCGTTGGGGGCGTTGGCGCCAGCGAGAATCTGCGGCACGGCAGAGACGGCCTCATCTCGCAGCTTTTTGGCGCCCAGCAGATCCTTGATCATGTTGCCAATCTTTTCGTGACGTTTTGCGGCCTTGAGGCAATGCTCGTGGGTGCCGTTGTCGTAGGCGAAGAACCGCTTGGTGGGCTCCTTTTTGGCGGCGGCCGAAACTCCACCAGAGGTGGGTGCGGCGCCTGCATTGGGCGTCTCCTTCAGTGTGAGCGAGGTGGTGCTGCTGGATGCGCGGCTGCTGCTTCGCACCGACGAGCCCACGTCGCGCAAGTCGGCGGGCGGAATGCGGCCCGAGGGGGCAGCTGTGGGTCCACAGATGGGGCTGGGCAGCGGCGAGGGGGTTGTGCGAGAGTTGGGGCCAGGGGCGGCCGGGGTGGTCGATGGGGATCGCACACCCGCGGGCGGAGCAGCTCCCGTACCAGCAGCAGTCGCAGCCGTGGGAGGCGATCTCACTGCGGCGGCCGTCGAGCCTACAGCTCCAGTCACCGGTCGCACGGCGGCAGACGCAGCATGGGCCACTGCAGACGCAGCGCCCGCGCCGGAGGACCGCACGCTTGAGTTGCTCACCCGCGGCGCAATCTTGTCCACCGGCGTGGCCACCGGTGGCGACACGGACCCCGCGGACTTTCCCTCCTTGGCGGTGGTGTTCACAGCCAGCTTTTTGCGTCCCAGCAACGAAGCTCCAAATTTGGCGGCCTTGGACGAAAAGTCGGACTTTTCCTTGTCGTCGGCTTCAGACTCCATCACGTCGGATTTCATGTGTGGCGGCGACCGTGGCGGCGAGGGGGGAGCGTGGGGGGTTTGGTGGTGGTGGTGGTGGGGATGTGGATGAGAGGAACCGTAGGGTGCACTGGGTCGAGTAGCACAAGTTGCAGCAGCAGAGTTTTTTTCAAAAATTTGAGTTCCCATCGTAGCGGACACGACAAGGCGATGGGGGTGGTCGGGGAGAGGCGCTAGAAACCCGCGGGAAATCTGGATGGCTACCTCTGATGGCGGTTGTATTTATGGCGATTTTCGCCGATTTTTTTTGGATGACGTTGACGTCGCTAGAAAACTTTCAAGAAAATGCACGCCAAAAGCGAACGGGGGGCGAAAGCGACGGCAACTATCGCTGGAAAATAGCGGGAAATCAACGGCCGGTGGGTTTGCAAAGACGACAATTTTTGCAAAATTTTCACTCTCCAAACACCCCTCCCCCCGCGCTTATATACTGTCTTTTCCCCGGTGATATTGGTTGCGGCAGGTCGCGGGGAGCTGAGCCAACCACTATAGACTTTCCGCACGAGGCTGAGACTAGGTTGACAGAAAAAGGGCCGGTTAACGGGCGGAAACGAGACGGGATTGCTGGGTAAAACACACCGTTTTGTAGCGCTCGTCGCACAGAGCACGAATATCGTCTTGGATTTCGCACCGCTCGTCTCTCGCCCTTTCTACGCCCTTCCCCTCCTGTCTTGCCCCAAACTTTAGACGCAAACTTGGTCTCAGCAACTTTCACTTCACGTCGACGTACAATACAAGTCTAAAGGTGCCAATGTAAATAATGTAAACGGGATTCGATGATGTCATGGGTCAGGGGGAAGGTGGGCGGGCGGTGGGTTGTGGGTTGAGATGGGGAATCAGGGGGTTGGACGGGCGGCGAAAATCGGCGAAAATCGGCGAAAATCGGGGCAAAATAGTCGACGGAAAAACATCAACCATGTCCATTTTTCCGGCCCAATCTCTCGCTTGCTCGGTTTATGGCAGCTCCTGTTGGGCTCGACAGATGCAAAACGCTCGCCTATTGCTCTGCAACCTTGTGCATGGCCAAGTCACTGGTCCAGGGGAAATGGACGAAACCATCGAGGCGAGGTTCTACCGGGTAAAAACCAGTGTGGACAGATAGGTTGGGGCGTGACTCGTCGGGCTGTTGTCTTGGTTTTTTTTTCGACGCCCTGGCCATGGAGATATCGATTTTGCAACTAATATTCCCCGAAAATGCTAAATAAATAAAGTGCAAAAATGGGACTGGAGAAGTTCGGGAGGATAATCAGGGAAATTGGGCGACAATAGCAGAAATTGGGCGAAAATCGCAGGTAAAAAAACCCCAGCTAAATACAAATAAAACCCACAAAAAAGCAAAGAAAATATTACCAGTGAAATCCATCCTCATATCGACTTCCAAACACTGCCAATATCTCCCATTTCCGACGCCAGCAAAATTCTCAAACCCTCATCTCCAGTTGTTTTTTTCCCTTTTTTTCCCTTTTTTTCCCTTTTTCCCTTTTTTTTCTTTTTTTTTTTTTTGTCTCAGAAGCCAAAAAGGCTAATCCATGCCTATTTCTACCAGCCCTGGGATTACTCTCTGGGCTCCGAATTCTGTGCCCCACAGAGTTTGCCCCATATATTGGCACTTTTTAAAGTTTCGTAAAAGTATGAATGAAAGTTAATGACAGATGGCGGATGGATATTTGGGAATAATAAAGTAATATTCGTATTAATTCAGGTGATAATGCCGGATTTTTTTTATCATAATCCTCAGATTATTCCCTTCAAAATGGTTCTCTTTTCAATACCCCTATTCGCATTTTTCGCATTTTTCGCAATTTTCGCATTTTCGCATTTTCGCATTTTTCGCAATTTTCGGCTGTGTCAGACGTGACATTTCAATCAACTCTAACGTCACTAGTACCAGCTCTTAAACGGGAGGTAAAAAGCCGCCAAAATATCGACAATTATGCGCCATTTTGCACCCACACACTCCACACCCCCGCGGATTTTGCCCGATTTCGTCGGAATTTCTTTTCTCAACTTTGTCTTTTCCCCACAGCCCTCGTGCAAAGTGGTGCGTTTCCGAAATGACAACAACTGTATGCGGCCAAGGTATGCGTGTCTTACCGGAATGAACTCGTGGCAACAGACCAAGCCATCACGTGTCTGATTGCCCACCCCGATAGTTAGCCCATAACAACAGTAACAAAAGTTACAAGGTAACAAAAGTAACGCCAATCACATGGCAATTGTGGTAGGCACCACACCGCCCATGTGGTGACCACCCGGGAAATGTAACGGGCCGCGCCGCCCATGTCGCGGGCACCACACGGGCACTGTTCCCGCCACGGCTCCGGCCATGTCACGGGTGAACATCACGCCACCAGTGTCGTGACAAGCCGAGTTCACCACTAACACCCCCCCACAGACACTGCAATACGCTCTCCTGATTGCGCGCATTAGCTGAGACCGTAATTTGACGTTGCACCGCGCATCTATAGACCAATAATGCCATTATGAAATACCATCTAAACGGGCGCTAAACGGCGGCTAAAGTGGCGAAAATAAGGTTTGACGAATTTCAGCCTTTTAACAGTGAATTATTATTCGGTAAAAAATCGGCTAAAAAGGCCTGGCACCTTTAGCCGCCTGTAATATTACTAAGCAGGTTGGTTTTTTCGACCACATTTGCCCCTATTGACACCCTCAAGGTGCTCTCGGCCCCCCCCCTCGTCCAACTCTAATAGCCCCTCTGTTCTGTTCGGGAATGCTCCTGAACACATTGGGAAATTACCTCACCTGTGTCGTAGGTATAAGGGCACCACGGAGGCTGGGTAGTGGGCACCACATGAGCCATGTAAGGGGCGACATTATCGATGTGGCCCGCCACAGTAGCCATGTATCTGGTGGCAGCACGTGAGACACGCCGTCCAGCGGGGCACCTCAGCCTTGGCCTTGGCGTTGCACAAGGCTGTGCAAGCGTATTTAATTTTGTCGAATTTTGTTGCATTTTTAGCCCTCATTTTTCCCCCCATTACATCATGTTTCATTTGCTCAACTTTGTTGGCGATAGTGTAGGTTTAGGTACGAACCAAAAATGGCGGAAAATAAATATATTAAAATAAAATAAAATAAAATACATTGAAAGAAAATAAGAAAAAAATGGGGGAAATATGAAAAAAATGGGGGAAATATGAAAAAAATGGGGGAAATTGGAAAAGAGGAATTCAAAACTACGTGAATAATTGAGGTGAATTTCCTAATTTTTCTTGCGTATTCTCTCTTTTTTGTGTAATCTTGTCCAGCTGATGATTTTTTTAATTCTTTTTTTAATTCTGTTTTTAATTCTTTTTTAATTCTTTTTTAATTGATATTTAATTGATATTTATTTGATTTAAGCGCTCAAAATTGCACCTTCAAGTGCACGTTCAAGTGCATTTTTCGGCTCATCAGTTACCCTGCAGTTACCCTACCGGCGACTCTGGGCCAAACCAGAAGTAAACAAGCAACCGAAAGAAACCCGATATCCATGGAAAGCGGAAAACAAACAACAGAAAGAGGGCTAAAAGTATATCAAAATGATCGGCCGGATGTTGTGGGTCACGTGATGGCTTTTTTTGGGTTGGATCTTCGCAGTTGGGGAAGTCTGGGGGTGGAAGGGAGGGGAGCAAGAGGGAAAAAAGAGATGAGAGATCAAAGTAATTCAAGGGGGGGTTTTGTGGCGATTGTAAGGGAATATCGTTTGAGTAGTGAGTTTTGAGCTTGTCCTGAGGGACTTTGGAAGGCAGGGAGTGGAAGGGATGGGCTAACAATATAATTAAGTATTGGTACAAGATTTAGTTGGGATTATAGTTGAAGAGGAATACCATCATTGTCAGGATATGAGAGTATTCTGATGGTAGAGAGAGTTGTATCTGCTGTCATTGATGATACATGTCACGTGTAAATGTCGAAGTTCTTACTACCGCAAAAATATCTACAGATACTGTGCCGTTACAGTGTACTTGGAGTATGTACTTATGCCTATGACATCTGTCTCTGTCAATCACACGTGATCTATAGAGGGGTCGGTAGTCGTCGAACTCCCTCAAAGAAGGTCATGTTGGAGTTGGTCGTTATTCTTAGACCTTGGGGCAGACTCTGCTGCTCGTTGTAGTAGTAGGTGCGGTATCGGTGGAGTTGTTGGAGGAGTTAAAGTGCAGTTAAAAGGATCACAGTTGAGGAGCAGACAAGAAGAAGTTGGTCAAAGAGTTGAAAAAAGAAATTTAATGACTCCACAGTCCATCTTGGCTACTTTTTGGTGGTCTAGACGTTGTAGTGCAGCACCTATGATCTGGACATGTCTCACTATCGAGTGTGCATTGAAAGAGGACAAGAATCAAGTCAATGAAGATAAAAACTGGGATATAATTGATAATTAGACCGGTTAATCTGTTTTAATAACTATTGACAACAACATGGCTTGTGAGAGGTCCATTTCGGGTGTTTCCAGATGTACGAATGACTACACAACGAATGACTACACAACTGTACTTGCAGATCCTCGTCGGAGATTGCCATTGTTTTCAGAACATTCAATGTACATTTGTACTTTTCCTGGATATCCACAAACTCATATTCCTCTTCGTTTATAAACACCCGGTGGACGCAGCAGTTGAGACCTGTGTTCCTGTAGGTTGAACATCTCAACAGATTCCACCTCCAGATCCTACAATTGAGTCTCTAGCAGCAACAACGACTTTTCCCTTTGTCAAGTGACTTCGCTAGTACTTCACTCCCCAATTTACTGCTTTTTAACTGTACAGATACCCTCTTCTCGCTCCTCTCGAGTTTCTCTACCTTGAAGGTATACTGTATACCTCTCGGGGCGTTGGCGAAATCAGACTGAAGCTGGTGACGACATACCAGTGTACCGATGTATCTATTCTTCTTTTCAAAGTCGATTCCACCTTGTCAATCGCCACAAATGAGAGAGTTGTAGCGGAACATCTAAGTAGACACGAGACCTTAGAAGAACGCTAGAGAAGTCATGTGACAAAAATCGTACAGAAGATGGATGCCAATCACTCTTCTTCAATGCATTTCAATAGCTAGTGTTAAAATCTGATTGATATTGATCAAATTGGAGCGGCTGTGTGGAAGTTGATTCAGATCTACGTGAGTCCCCTAACTTCTTCAGTCCTCATCCGATCTACGACTCTGATCAATTGAGAAGACCTACCAGGAGGTACTATCTAGTAGAAACTTTGTATCTGGGATAATCTCTCTAATTTTCTATAAATGACTCTGCTCATCTCTCTACTCTGCTATAAAGGGCTCTACTGAGATGTGTTGTTTTGATTGTAGAGTAGAGGTCTACACCACAGGGTATATAACCAACTGGGAGATAGGATAAAAGAGAGATATTGTATTGTTAGAACCATAGTAATCAGTCATCAGTTGAATATTCCTGATCGGATGAAAACTGGGGAAGTTGGAACAGCTCTTTTGATAGCTTAGTAAGTGAACTCAGGAGTAGCTGTTCTGGGGAAGTGAAGTGATTTTTTGAATGAGAAATCTGATAGTGAATTCGTCTCAGTCTCATGTCACTATCAGATTTCTCACTGGACCAAATTGAAGGAGTTTGGAGGAGGATATCGTTCGTGAGTTGTACTGACATCCGTTTTCGTTTATATACTCGACTAAAAAACCAGTTTACTTACCTAACTTGTTGAGAGAACGGGAGTGCATACATGAGAGTAATGGAGCGAGAAAAGATACTCTTTGTATAATGCAAGTGTTTTTGTGTCGCCAGGTGAGTTAATTCCTCCTTGGTTTCTTTCAATCTGAAGAATATTGGAGATGCTGAGGTTTCCAAGTAGTCCTTGCGACTTTCATCATGTTGAGAAAGAGAGGGAGAATTCTTTGTATGGGTGAATTGTTAATATTGGCTGACATTTCTACATTATCCAGCACAGCGATCTCTCCGATCAGGTTCATATGGTAGATACTCATGGTTGACGTCGTCAGGGAACACTTGGGGGTGCCAGGGCGTCTTCTGGAGGGCGTCCCCAGACATTCCACTGACGGGTGTCTTCGAGACGAAACGAACAAACACTTGGATGGATAGAATCAAACAGTTGTGCGAGCTGATTCATATGAATCATCCTGGTGAGCATATCCAAGAATGTCAAGCTGGGTCTGGGTCTGGGTCTGGGTCTGGGTCCGAATAGGGATGGGAAAGTTCTATCCTAGTAACAGTACATACGGTTTTACGACCCTTGTACTCGTGCTGTACTCGTGCTGTGCTCGTACTGTCCTCAACACTCATACTCGTACGCTGACTCATAACCCTCGATTGGACCTTGTCAACTGCTTCTCAACCGCAACTATCGCACCTCCAGGGCTGCTTTCCACGGTGAAACGTGCTGTACCCCTCCATAACAGCGGGGCGAACTTTCCATGGAGATGGAGATAGAAAGAAGTGTAAAGCAGCACCATGGCAAAAGCATGGCCAGTGCAATACGGCGTGGCTTGACTGTCTCTGTCGATCACTATGCTATTGTACTCGTGCTAGCAGTAATCATCCTATCGTACTCGAGTAGTCCCTCATGCCAGTCCTATGCCCTCCAGCATATGCACTCCAGCTGTCTCAACCCCTAGCCAGGTCTTGAGGCATGTCTTGGAATGTGTCCATGTGTCAGGATGTGTGTACATACCTATGCAGCCAGACCTCCGGTCTATTGCACCGATCCAACGGTCTACTTTTCCTTGTCTGGAGCATAGACACAAGGTTGAACTACTGCTGTCAGACTGGCTGCGATGATGTCGCCATGGTGATGGTGACTGATCTATGCAGCAGGTGGAGTGGTCGCTGCCGTAGTACACCGCCCCAGTGAATACCGAAAAGGGGACCGGACTGCGCAAAAGCAGCCATTTGTCTTTCTCCAGTCTCACACAAACAGCTCCTTTGCGCACGCATACCCGGTACACCCTTGTCCCTAGTTGCTGCACCCCCTGTCATGTCTCACTTTTCAGATGTGCGCTTCGATCTTCCGTAACTGTGTTTGTCGCGCAACCGACGGGTCTCTGGGGGTTTTTCGAGATATATCTTCTTCTCTGGCCCATGTGACGTTGATTCTGCTGACCGAAGTGTTGTCCACCATTCTCCATAACCTCTCTAGTGCAGTTGTCGAGTGCTACCCCGACTTGGTGCGGTCCCTCGCTAAAAAAAGAAGCACGTCAAATATGCAGGAAAAACCACCAAACGAGATAAACTCGATTTTAAACGACATGAACCCTGGACAAGTGAGACGGGTTTACGACGACAGATGGAGCGATCGTCCGAGTGATGTGCTGCCCAACGGTCCTTCTGCCGGTTGATTGAAGAAGCAGGGAGACCGCGTCCGGGTAGAAGACCATTTGTGTGGCTGCTCGTGGCTAGTTGCGACGACTGCCCTTTCCAAGACACTAAAATAGTACAGCCGCATGACTGGCTGCTTGGAGGACAGTTCAGTTTGGTTCTAATATTTCGGCCTCTCCCGTAGCTCTCGTTACCCCTGTCAAGGTTGGCTGTCTGACAGAGATGTGAACGGTGCTCCCCGCTCTGTTCTCCACGTTCTATTCTTCACGTCTCTCTCAGACATCTACAGACACTTAATCGACGCCTAACCACCATCTCGCACTACCCAAATGGTACCAAAACTGGTGCTGTTCACCTGTGGAATCCTCACGGTGCTCACCCTCTGCTCCTACTTCTTCATCAAGGCGCCCAACTACACACAGCTCATCCGAGCATCGGACGTGGAGTACCAGTTCCGACTGCTGCGCAAGGACGGAGATAACCCCGAACATCTCTTTCTGCCCTACAGAAACACACGCTGGGACCCAGATGACACCCCTGAGCTCAACAACCAGCTCAATCACTACATGAAACACATGACCGACCCCTACACCCGTTCTTTTCCCCGCCAAGACGAACTGCCGCCTCTGGTCAACGGCATGTTCCACGCCATTGCCAAAGAACAGATGATAGCGCCTGCACAGTTCTCCTTCGAACAAGCCAGAGAGTCCTACAAGACCACCACGGGACGATGTCCTCCACCGCAGTTCAAGGAAATGTACCTCGGAGCACTGGCCAAGGGAGAATGGGATGAACTGCTGGTAGACCAAGTGACTCAGCAGATCAAAAAGCTGCCCAAAGGGCAAGACCTCCAAGCTGCCCTCAAAGAGGCGCTCAAAGGACCGGGAATCGAAGGAATCAGAATCTCCAATGGAACGGTAGAGAGATCAAGTGAGGCAAAACTGTCCGACGTCAGCCAACGGACACTCGATGGGTTCATGACAATGGTCGGTTCCGTTAGCAAGTATCTTCCCGACATGGAACTGGCTCTTAATGTGGAACCTTTCCCCCGAGTGCTCAAATTTCCCAAACGGCTCAAGGAGCTGCGAAAAGAGCTGACTAAAGGCACTCTCTGGGCTGTGCCTGAGGGTTATGATCTTGATCGCTATGTCGGAGAAATGTGTGCTGGTATCAAGGCTGAAGCTTTGAGAGGGGTGTTTCGAGACGGACTTCTCGGAGGCGGATCCCCTCTGACGTACAGTGAAGCATGCTACATTCGAAATGACTGGGGCAAGACCCCTGTTGTTTCTGCCATCACAATGCTTCCTGTTTTTTCAGACTTCACTTCCTCCATGCACTCGGATATCGTCTACCCTTCCTACGACTTTTACGCCCCCGAGCTCAGCATGAACTATCAGCCTGAGAGGGACATCTATCACATGGAGAAGAATAGCGGAGTCAGCCGAGTTAAGGCCGGTGATTGGGGCTACCTCAAGTACCAAAAGGCTCTGGTTAGAGACACCAAAGAGCCCGCTGCAACGGTGTCTGTCAAGGGCAAAAGGTTCTCCAAGAAAAGTCTCGATAATCACGCCTTTCTGGGGGCCCTCAAGTCACGATCTACCGTCCTCAGAGCAAGCAGATGGAGAACCTGGCTCGATCTGTACACCACCAATGCCTGGGTCTCTTTTATCCCTGTTCAACTGTCTGGAAACGATACTGAGGTGGTAACCAAACTGCTCAGTGAACGACATACGACCGCAGTGGGCCAGGCGTTTGCTTCCCGGGGAGCTAGAGATGTGCGATACCGAGCCACCCGCAAGAAGATTGAGCTGTCTCTCTATTACATGCTACTGGAGTACCATCGAAGAATGTACGACCCGGAAGCCTGTGAAGATGAAATTATTGCCAGAGGCGGAGGTCAAATCCAGTAACCAGTTCAATGTAACAATAATTACTATCATAAAAAGCATTAATTACATGTCTACCTCATACCAACATCGACCAGCCGTACCTCTATGCTTCTGCCCTCATTGGACCATACTCACCCACACAAACATTCTTGTTGCATGGATCCTCCTCCGCTTTCTCCTTCTCCTCAAGCAGAACCTTGGTTCTACCATACTCGGCCTCCCGAATACCCTCCCCTCGGTAGATTAAAAAGAGGAGCGGAAGGGCAGCAAAAATACATACAATCGCTGCAATTGTAGCTGCCCACCCAATACCAATGTTGTTGATTGCAGTCAGGGTACTGGCGGCCGTCACACACGAGCCCACGTTTCGAGCAGAGTAGTTGATCATGACCGCAGCGCCTCCGAGATCGGGAGTGGAGTCTGCATAATAAGCGTTGACACTGGGATAGTAGATGGAGAGCGAGAAGCCTGTCAAGAGCATAGCTACGATAGGCAGAGCCATTCCTCCAAACTCCTTCTTCAGAGACCATCCGTAGAGCATCATGAATAGGGGACCTGTAATCAGAGTAAAGATGATGACGCTTCGGAGTCGGTCTTCCGGCACTCTTCTGCCCTTGATTTTGACCCATTTTTTCACCTGATAGTCGGCATACCAGCCTCCAAACAGACATCCAAAGAAGTAGCCAATACCCTGAGGTACGTAGAAGAGACCCAGAATGAGCTCATTCTCGAGGTTGAAGCGAGGCTTCATGATTGCGGCGATAGGGACAATGAGGGTCTCGTTGATGTAGAGAGCGAAAATGAGCGACACAGTGACCATCATGATATGCTTCTTGGCGAAGCCCTTGAGGATATGGGTACAATGTAAGGGGAAAAACCATTGGCCCGGTTTTCGCTGTGAAAAGGGTGTGTTGGGTTTGGTTTCTCGCATTACGACAGCCACAATCGTCATTGCCAGACCTCCAATACCGCATTGCATCCAGAAGATGTTTCTCCAGTTGGATTTCATGACAATGAGGCCTCCCAGCACCGGTCCTAAAGACGACCCAATCTGGGTGCCTGCCAGACAGCATCCCACGGCCTTGGACCGCTGTTCGGGTTTCCAAATGTCCGAAATCACCGCCACGCCCACAGAGAAGGTGGAGTTGCCTCCAACTGCTGACATGGCTCGGAAGACGTAGTAGCAGGCGAGGTTGGGAGATAGGGCTAAGCCGATACCCGAGACACAGAAGAAGAAGCAGCACGTCAGCAGACCGGCTTTGCGTCCATATGTTTCGCACACGGGGCCGACAAAGAAGACCGACAGGCCTTGTACAATGTAGAACAGCGCGTTTCCAATGATCACCACCGTGTCACTGACGTTGAACTCCTCGGCAATCTTGTCCAGGGCGGGCATGAGTCCGTAGGCGACCAGAAACGGCTGGAAAAACACACATGCCACTACCAGAGTGAAGATGCATTTTTGGCGGAACGGAAACCGGCTGTATGGGTCTTTATCCGACAGAGACACAAGGCTCTCCAGGTCGGCGGAGGAGGCGGGAGTATCGGGGCATGTTAAGACGGCGGTGTTTGAGACGGCGGTGTTTGAGACTGTATCTGTAGGGTTAATGGTTGTACTCGCCAGCTTTTCTTCCGTCATATGGTGCTTGGGGTGGAGGAAATTAGGAGCATCTGTGCATGTCTATATATTCAAGAGTCACGATACTATCGCGCTGAGGAGGTGACTCTTAGTTTACTACAAATGCAAAAGTCCCTTTGTCTCGCTCACTGCTAACGTTTCGAGAGATCTGCATGGGGTACTTTTTCCGCAATATGCAAGCTACAGTGCATACCTGATGTGTACGTGTGCATGTTTGCTGCACTGACGCACCCTACATTAGCCGTGTCGGACAAGTAAGGAAATTATATATACGACTACGATAAGGGGTAGGAGCGGTAATAACGCAGTAACGGACGACAGTGTAGCAATAATACGTCTGACTTAATAGGCACTGAATCTGCTCTATCTCCGACCGCTCTAACCCCGATTGTCACCTTTTCAAATTGAATTTCAGCCGCACTAAATCTGGCTCGACCTTCCCTGTAGTAGTCTGACAAATATCGGGGCTCGGATTCCGACGTGACACTAGAGCAAAAAGCGAGTTGGTACGAGTACGAGTAGCGCCAATACGGTGGTTCTAAAACTCACATCTGATACCCCGGGTTTGCCGCGGAGAGTTGTCCAAAGGCCATGTTCGTCAATTCGCGCTGAGGAGAACATGGCCGGATGTATTATATTCTGTTAAAGATTGTATGTACTAGCCGCTGGGCGTGGTGTCTCAGAGGGGTCCTAGGTCTTATCAGAGCAAGGAGATCGACAAAGAGTTTGACTTGTATAGTATCGCGATTGTGTGAACGGTGGTTGGACTGTACAGTGGCATGAGCCACTGGGAACACTTGCTTCGAATGGCCACCCTTGTAGTCGATCACGCTTTGATTCGAGCTTTCCTAGAACTTGCTTCTCCAGGTTTTGCCCTCAATACACATCTTACTGGCAAAGACGCAGAATCCTCCAACTAGCATGGTGACTCCAGCCCAAACTTGCAGACCAGTAAAGTTGTCGTTATCGCTGTGCAGAATTTGGCCGGCAATGGGCATGGCTGTGAGGGACGAGAAGGAGTAGAAGAAGGAGACGACGCCCATCCGTCTACCGACCTCTGTAGGCGGAGTAATAGACGCCACCAGAGCCGGAAACAGCGACACCGTAGCTCCAGAAATGACTCCGAAGCAGGAGCTGAATGCAATAATCACAGGGTTCGTCTTCGCTGGAATCCACATGGCTAAAAGGAAGACTCCACAGATGACGGTGCAAATGGAGTGCATGTTGTAGGAGCCGAATTTGTCAGCCACAAATCCCGGGAGAATTCGCCCGATTAGAGAAGAACCATTGTAAATGGACACGAGATAGTAGGCGGTCTCTTCGGACATTCCATGGGCAATAGCATGGGTAGACATGTATCCGATGGCGGTAAAAAGCCCCCAGAAGGAGAAGAACATGGCCAGAGTCACGAGAATGATGGAGGGCTTGGTGTAGGGTACGAGCACTTCTTCCCGCAGGTTGAAGAACTCTTTTCGTAGCTTTTTGTTGGGCGGGAATCTGGACGACACCAGCAGAGTGCAAATGACGCAGACGCCAATCATGAGGTATCCGATCGCTCTGACGGTCTGAGGGAATCCGATTCGGGGCTGCAGTTTGGTGAAAATGAAGGGCATGGTGGTACCTCCGAGAGAAGAGCCGGCAACCACCACTCCGAGAGCCAGAGCTCGCTTCTTCTGGAACCAGGTGGTGGCTGCTAGGAGCGAGGCGTAGTAGATGGCGGAGTTACCGATACTTGTGCAGATGCCCTGGGCCAGCAGAAAGTGCCAGTATTCCTTGCACACGCTGGTGGTCATGATTCCTGTGATGGTGAACACGGTTCCGAAAGCCGCGAGTTTCTGGGGGCCGTACATTTCTGCGATTCGGCCAAAGAAAATTCCTCCCACAAAGAGGATGAAGATTTGGAGGGAGGTGATCCACGAGATGGTGGAGGCCGAGTAGTGGCTCAGCTGGTGGTGCAGGTAGTAGGCTTCGTAGAGACCCACGACGTTGATGTAGCCGAACGAGGAGTAGAGACCGAACGAGGCTCCGATCATGGCCAGCCAGGCGCGTCCGGTGTCGGGAGGGGGGATTGGAGCTACTGTGTCGGCACTGGGGGCGTCAGCTGTGGCTCCGTTGGGCTCAGTTGTGACTGCAGGTTGAGACTTTTCGATGTCAGAGCCCCGGTTTTCGTTGTCAGAAACAGCAGGGGTGGCATTAGGGGAGATTGGGGTCTTCTCGGCGTCGTGCTGGACGCTGTGGTCAATGATCTGTTCGTCGCTGGTCATTGACATGGTATCTTTGGGAAGTGGAGAGGGCTGTGACTAACTAACCTATTGGTGGTAGCCGCCGGGTCTTTATATAGCATCTCTGGAGTGGCACAAACATCCTCCAGCCACTACAAGAGTGTCTCCGACGATATTTCGGCGTCCCGCTGCTTCCGAAATGCAAACGGAAGGATTGAGTTTGGTGAGAAGTGCGTATTGAATGTACATACGCTAGAGCAGATCAGGATGAGCTCTAGATGTAAGAGGAGGTCACGATGAGAGAATCCAACTGGATATCCGTTGATTGGGCCATCTTTGAGCGTGCAGAACGGGGTCAAACTGGTCTTTAATTGGTCAAAGTGTCCCGCTCCACGATGGCTCAACATATCCGGTCGGATTCTCTCACCTCACCAGCCTTCATCCAAAGACACCTGAAGCGAGATGTAACTTTCTGAGTTGATCCGAACGGTGAATGGAAGCAGGACGCCCTAAACCATGGTATCTTGGTCTATCTCTGCGCCACCCATACAGGAGTTTGTCTAGCCGTTTCTTTGTCGCCTGCCTCCGGAAAAGCGTCGGAACGACTTATGCTTTCTTGGGTGAATGTATATTGAAAGGGACCGGTGTTCAAGGGAACATAGAACGCCAACGCGATACGCAGTAGCGAAAATAACAACACTTTTGTATTTCAATATTGATGCGCAGAATATATTGGTTGTTTTTATCTTCGTCTAACATTGTTTATGGGCGAGAAAGAGCGGCGTTTACTCTCTCACTCCGAAGACTGTCCTGTCTAAATTTCACGACAAATGTTAAATCCCGATAATACGATAAGGAGGAGACCGAAAACCCCACTCTGCGGCATCATTACTGAATATGAAAAGGAGATTGCTAGCCGATCCCAATGAGGTACCATTCGGAGCTTTCTTCGAACGAATTCAGGTCGGAATTCACCGACTTTTTGACGCCGTTCCGTTTGTCGAGTCGTAGAGTTGTTTTGTAAACTTGTCGTAAAGTCGTCTTGTACCGCAAAGTTGGGTTGACTCATTTACGAGACTCATGGTAAAAAAGGAGCCCAAAAAACGCCCCTGTTTCGACCACTTTTTGTAAGGCAAATGAGGGTAAAAATTATATGATTCGACTCGTACTTTGGTACTCAATGGGAATATGAAATAATTTCCATCACTTGCGGTACAAAACAGTCCAGTTTGATGTCTCCTTGCACCTTTTCGCTTATTCTATTGTCTTCATTTTAGCCTCCAGCATTGCATGAAACTCTACCATTCCAGACGCACATCTCGGAGAGTTCCGAAACGACTAACGGTATTTGTAGATGGAGTTGTTCTTGCGACGACTCCTTGTGAGTCTGTTTGTGTCAGGAACAAAAATACCCGCTTTCTTGCGGGAAAGTGCGCTGACTTTTGGGCTTTGCGGAATGCTGGCAATTGCTCGCAGCTCCGAGTGTGAGACGGTTATCAGATGTACAGTATACGTTTTTATGATGTTGAAATGTTACTTAGTATCAAGCACGTTTAGCTGAATATTGTTGGTGGATTTTCTGAGAGGTGGAGCTTGATTTCACCTCAGAAAGACCTTCCTGAAATCAAACATGTGTGCCGATGAAGAAATGAGAGATTCGGTTGTCGTATTCCAGTTATCCGTCAAACTGTTTCAATCGGCATTACCGGTCTTTCCAAGGTATGCATAACGCTTATATTCAATCTACGATATATTTTGCTTTGTTTTGACGCAATTTTCGGACCCCGTTTGCATAAAAAATACAGTTCACCAACACGAAAATACTGCTTAATCAAAAGAAAAATGACATTTATTAATGAGAAGCAAAGTCAGTTAGAATCTTGTAAATCATCACCCTACTCCAGCTGATGATCTCCACTCATCCATCGGTTAATCATCTCCGAAGTAGCCACGGGCTGGTCATGGGGAACCATATGTCCAGCATCAAAGATTCTCAGAAAGGTGAACTGCTGGTAGTTTCGCACCTCACCAGCCTGCTTTCCGCCTGCGGAAAAGGGCTTGAACTGGGCGTCGTTGAATCCCTGCTTGCCGGGCCACTCCAGCGCCTCGGTCCACTTCTTCTGGCCCAGCCAGTTGCAGATCCAGTCCTTGTCGCCGGCGTAAATCAGCACGGGCACCTCCTTGAGAATGGCAGGAATGTCTCGCACCACAGGCAGCATCCAGTCTCCAGAGGTCTCGGTGAAGTCGTTGTAGACGGTTCCAGAAGAACCGGTCCAGTTGTGCTTGGCTCCGATAGCCTCCAGGGTGGAGGGCAGGTTGAGCCACTCCGTCATGTAGTCAGTTTCGGTGTAGCAGCCATCGTCCTGAGCTTGCTCGCACTGCTTGGTCTCATCGTAAGGGTTGAGAGAAGAAGGATATAGACCAAGAACATTGTCGTTGCAGTTGTTGACGGCGTCGGCGCAGTCCTGAGGAGCTCCGGTGTCGTAGCACTTTTGGATCAGAGGAATGCACTCCTTGGCGGCCTCGTCGACCTGCTGGCACGTGCTCTGGTCCACCACAGGAGCCACGCCGCCCTTGCCGCACATCATGGGGCCGTACTCGGTGTACTGGTTGAGGGGATCAGTCATGCCGTTGCCGACCACGAGCGACTCCAGAGTGAAAGACCGGTCGGGGTGCTGCAGAATCTCGTAGGCGGTGGCAGGTCCGTAGTGGCCTCCGTACGACTCAGCTGTCACGTGCAGCTTCTTGGGCAAGTGGTCGTACTTGGCGAAGAAGAGCTCGAGGAAGTTGTACACCTCGGTGGCGGCCTGGGCGCTGTTGACGACCGAATGAGGCTTGTCGGTGTATGAGAAGCCCACGTCGGCAGGCTGGTCCAGGTACACGATGGTGGCATTGTTGTTCCAGGCGTGGGGGTTGTGGATGGGCTTGAGGTCTTTTCCGATTCGCGAGGGGCCGTTCTCGAACAGGTTTCCGAGCTCGGAGGACGAGCCGGGGCCTCCCTGGAGCCACAAAATGACTGGGTCGTTCTTGGGGTCGTTTCGCGACTCAAACGCCCAGTAGAAAAAGTGCTCCGTCTCGTTGGCGGTCAGGTAGCCAGTGTACTCGGTGACGGTGTCGAGACCGAGGCCGTTGTTTTTCTGCGACGAGAGAGATCGGTTGGGGATGGACTCTAGGGAGAATCCCATGGCCACGGTGGCCAGCAGGAGTTGTGGAAAGAGCATCTTGATCTGGGGGAAAGTAGACTGGGCCAGGTGTGGAGAACAGATGGTGGGGCTAGAGAGCCGTTTAAGTACCGGACTTGCACAGCTGTGCTCGGCCCACCTTGGAGCTTGTCTACGAGGTAAGTTCACATGGCAAGAGTTAGTATACAGAGTCTGTACTACTGTAAGACATGATTGATCGTCATGTGGGGATGTACTGTTACGGGGAGCTGTATGGAGAGGTTTTAGTGGAACCATGTGGAGATTGAAAACAAGAATCGGTGAAAACCCCCAGGAAAGTCGTCTTTTGATACCTTCTGATCGACCTGAAAGCGTCTTCTCCTCTTTTCGGCCCGTCTACAGCTCTAGTCACCCTCCCCAAAGGTCCGACCGTGTTGCATTGGCGCAAAGTTAGACCTGAAACAGGAGGGGAGAGGGAGACCGACGGTGGAGCCAGAGAGGCCATTTGGAGGGGAGAGAGGAGGCTAGCGGCTCCCCATGGACTGTTGCCGGGGCAACCGGTTCATCCAATCAGCACTCATTTGCCAAATACTCGATGCTCAACCAATCACAATCTCATCCCACTCGCCCCTCCTTCCGCCCACCATGCAGGTACAATGGGCTCGCCAAGCTCCAGACAAGGCTTGGTTGTTGGGAGATAGGGCCCGAGATTGGAATATTAAACTAACGGTCGAGGCAGACAGAGTGTCAGTGAGCAAGTGGCTCGAAAGCAGTCAAATTAGTCATTTCTTGTCACTTAGTCATGTTTTGTCGCTTACTCATTCTCGTCGCTTACTCATTCTTGTCGCTTACTCATTCTTGTGTCTTACTCGTTCCCCCCTTGCCTCATGTCGAGCTCAAGGCACTATTGCTACCACTGCTCCAGACCCTTGCATATGGCCCACCCGAATAAACTCAGTGCCGTGTGATAAGCACTGTGGCTGACGGACCAGTGCCGTAGCTGAGCCAGAGCCGTTGGATGTCAGACAATCTCGGTCGTTGAGCGATCGTTTCTGGAGTCTGGTTCTGTCGCGAGGTGTGTTACAGCGAGATGCACTATGACCGGTATGTACTGTAGTAATGCCAATTATCTTATTAACCGTCCAGTAGTCCGGTAAATACCTCATCCATTGCTCAGACGAACAGATATGGTTAGGTTATAGACTGGAAAGTGGCTGAAAGGGTTCCAGCTCTTGGTAAGTGGGTGTAAGTCCGAGACGGAATTCAATGTCGTATTGTAGAGTGGTTGAAGAGTGAATAATCCATCGGTCGACCCTCAGGGTAGAGCTATAGTTGACTGTTCCTGTCGTCCACGAGGCGACTCAACGGTTGTCAGTCTGTAGTCAGTGGATCTAGCACCAGATGAATCTATCTACGGTATTGTAATGCCTAGTCCATAGACGGATCTCGATTTCTGAACTTGAACAAGCTAGCCATGACCCAGCTCACCAATTCCTGTCTTGAAAGTTGGTGCTTTTGAATACAAGTAGCAGGGTTGCGGTTGTGTTCGGTCTCCCGTGCCATCTAACTCCAACTACATACCCACTTCCTCACCATCTGTCTAAAGGCACCGCATACTTCGTACCCGAGCATCCTGCAGGTTCGTCAATAAATAATACATTACCAAACTGCCAAAGAGTCAAACGGTCAAGTCGTGATTATGCTCATTCTTCAAATTGTACGGGTACGACACACTCCAGACCCCGTCCTTGTTTTCCCGAGCATACACGTGATAGGGACACTTTGTAGCACTCTTTCTGGTTTTTGCACACTCGTAATTCACCAGCAGCCGGCCATTCTTCTCCTTCTTGCTCCGCTTGATTGCAAACCTGAAGTTTCGGGCCTTGGCAAACTTTTCCAGGTGGAGAAACAGCTTCTCTCGGTCTGGAAAAGTTACTGTTCTCGACGGAAGATGCTCAGGCGCATATTCTGGCATCTGAATAATCCTCCGAGTCTCTGCCGCCTCCAAAAGAAGCTGTTGTTGGCCTGTCAACTCGTCCTCCAGGCTATGGTTATGCTCCTTTCTCGCCTTGATGGCCTGGCTGACAGCCCACGTCCCATCCTTGGCTTCTTTGACGATAATGCTGTACTCACAGGGATCGCCGGTATCGCTGGCCATACAACACACCATGTACTTGCTCACCAGTCCGTTGGTGTGACCTGTGGAAGAAGTCCCGGTCTTGAAAGCAAAGTTCTTGGTCACAGACCAACCGTTGAGAGCTTCGTGGAGAGCCGAAAACGAAGCGTACTTGTCAGCTATGGGTGGCAGAGACACGGGAGTGACCTGCTCTCTGTTCTTGACACTGGCTCCCTCGTGATTGTGTTCCACGTGACGAGCATTGTACGATCGGATGGCCCACGACTTCTGGCCTGCCAATCTGATACCTGTGATGGAATATGAGCACCCAGAGATACCACAGTAATACGTCTGGTTCTCATTGCCCGATTTCGTCGCCCAGTTGGTGCCCAGTCTGAAGAAAAAGCCCTGGTGACGAGCCCAGTCGTTGAGACCTGTATACAGAGCATCTGACGAAGAATAGGCTACAAACCGCGGAGGTAGAGACGAATGGTAGAAAGAGGGAATGTCACACAGTCGCTGTCGTTCAGCCAAATCAACTAGACTTTGTTGGTCTGCTGAAAGTTCTTCGTCTCCTGTAGGATGGTTATGGCCTGTTCCTTTCACGTCCACCTTATGAAGGGTCCAAAAGTCCTCGTCTTTGCGTTTTTTTCCCCGGACTTCGAACGTACAAGCCTTCCCATCCACATTCGATCGACAACATGTATAAGTGATGGCAATTGATCTGTCTGAGTTGCGTTCCTTGCCCGTGGTAAAGGCGAAATTCGACTGCATGGCCCAGTCGTTCAGAACATGGTGAAAGTCGTGCGGAGAAGAGAAGCGCGAAAACGGGATGTCTGACGACGTTCGCGGCTTCTTTTGAACCGGCTGGAGAAACTGGTTGCTGAGTTCTTCTTGAAGAACTGTTTCCAGATTGTCGGATAACTGGGTTGTACATTGTGAGTCGGTCTGTCCGGCTGGCTGTGGGTCTGCTTGACCAGTAGACTGAGGGTTTGTCTGTCCTGAAGACTCTGAATCTGTCGCCTTATCTGACTTGTTTTCTGGCGCCTCAATAGCGTCAGCGTCGCGCTTCCGACTCGCGGTCTTGATCTCTGCTTCTTCCATATGGCGTCGTGATGGGTCGAGCGACACTTGTAAGGCAGTGCCTATAGGAAAAATATACAAACTCAATCTGATAACAGGAGAGTCACACTTCCATTAGTCGGTGTAGATTAAGGAAAGATGAAAGGAGGCATTAGGAGGAGATATATATGGAGTTTTTTTGTGTCCCACTCCAACATTACGTCAAATGACTGTGGTTTTGTGTCCCCAATTGTTCCCTAGGTATTTCGGCTCCCTGTCTCCGTCATTTACTGCTGCATAACGAGCAGTGAGAGTGAATCTAATTCCGACAACTGAACATAGGTGGGGGAGTTGGGCGAATTTGTGGGGGCTCTGGGTGGTTCAATTGAGTGACGAGGGATATATTTCTATGTAGTCTTGTATATATTTCTATATATTTTTGTATATATTTCTATATATTTTTGTATATATTTCTATATATTTTTGTATATATTTCTATATATTTTTGTATATATTTCTATATAGCTAGGTATGTATTTCTTTATAGCTTGGTATATATTTCTATATAGCTTAGTATATATTTTTATATAGCTGAGTATATATTTTTATATAGCTTAGTATATATTTTTATATAGCTTAGTATATATTTTTATATAGCGTAGTATATATTTCTACAGTATATAGCTTAGTATATATTTCAATTCTGACTCAGAACCAAGAGCTGAAAGGAGTTACTGTTTTTTTTTTTTTTTCTGCATATGTTGTGGATTCAAGCCTGCAAAGTTTTGTTGGGGTTCAAGTATTTTGCAAGTGCAACGACCACTAAAAGTGACACGCTTCAGCACCGAAAATCAGGTTTCCAGAGGTGTTTGTGAGCTATACTAAAATCTGTTATGAGATATATTTCAGTATTATGAGACATATTTCAGTGTTTTGAAACATATTTTAGTGTAATTTATAGATGTCGAGTTGGATATCTTCAATACACATTATTTCAATGATATTTCGGGCATTGTCAACTGTGAACCGCAGTTTATATTCCTAAATTATCTGCCAAGTATGCTCTACTAAAGAGTTAACGTGGTAGACACCGGGGCCAACACCACCGACAAGCTACTGTTCAAAGGTTATTCTTTCACAGCAAAGTTATAATTAAATGAATGTATATGCAGAAGAAAAAAAAAACTGTAGAGATATTATTAAAACTGCTCGGTTATTAGAGGTGAAGAGGCGGTCTTCTTCATTTTATTTCTTTAAATACTTTTTAATTATTCTGATACCTGCTTTCCTGCTTGAGAACGAGTCAAGTAGGACATTAGAGCGTCTAGAAATATAGTTGAAAGGAGTTGAACTGTTGTAAATGTTCCAGTTCCAGTACAGTACATTCATTTCAAGGTCATTCTTTCAAAGCAAAGTTATAATTAAATGAATGTATATGCAGAAAAAAAGTCTTTTTTAATTGATCACAGATGACTCCCAGAACAGACGCAGAACCCCAAGTCCACATTGTAATACTCTCATTCCTCTCATTATTTATATACATTCTTCAGTTTTCATTCTCAGTAAAACTCTGGAGGTCAACCGCCCTCAGATCAAACACATGGAGTCACTTCTAGTTAGGCTATTGGTTAAAGACAAGCAGCTGCGATGTCTGCCACGTCTCGTATTCAGACAGTTCAGTGAATGCCTACGATTCGCTAGCACTCCAACATGCTTGGTGTGTTAATTCAATTACTAATAAAACATTGCAATGTACTAGAACATCTATACTTTTTTTTCTGTAGTGATCGTGGTTTTCAAACAGTCTATCCTCTCACCGTATCGCCCCACATAATCCGAGGAGCGTCCTCCTCATCCTCCCGAATGGGATGCACAACAGTCTGCTCCTCCTCATCATCGTCGTCCTTGGCAGAGTTGCCTAGACCCAGAGCACTCATTCGTCGCCGCTTCTCGGCAGGAGTCTCTTCAGGAATGTCGGACTCTGAGGGACCAGGGGTAGGAGTCCCGTCCTTGGAGTCCCGTCGTCCCAGTCGGAACGACGTGAGCGAGCCCCGGCTGCTGCGTCGTGATCGAGAAGTGTCCTGACGTTCCAGGGAACCCTCCACAATGGTGGCCCGTTGAAGAGGGTCGTCCAGACACACCTCATCATTGCAGGGGGTGTGAGTGGGATGCAAAATGGTGGTGGTACCTTGAACAGCACCCTCGGAAGGATGGTCTTCCACGCCGCTCAAAATACCGTCTCGGGCCAGAGCAACGTCCAGAGGCTCGTTCTTCTCCAGATCCACAAAGTCTGTCGCTGGAGCTTTGTCCTTGTGAATGTCCTTGATGTCCTGGAAGTTCTTGTGGAAGATTCTGTCGAAGAACTTGGTGACACCGCCCTCGTGCTTGGGAGTGACAAACTCCTCGTTGGGTGAGTCAGGTCCGTGGCCCTTCTGTCGGATCTTGTACCGCTTCAGAATATCACCATCCTCGTTCTCGACAATCAGTTCGTCGTCAATCTTGTAAGCCACGGCCTTGACCCTCTCGTGGTGCAGATGGTGGTGTCCACCAGCCGCCACGTTATGGGGATGCGAATGTCTTCGGTCGGTGATATGGGGACTCTGGTCGTCGCCGTCTGTGCCAGAACTGCTTCCAGCCTTCTCCTGATCGTACTCGGCGACGATATCACCGTCATCATTTTCTTGAATAACGTGATCGCCCTCCACAAACGTGTCGATATGCTCTCGTCCCCGTCCCTGGCCAAGAGAAAGAGGCTGGTTGACGGGAGGATCCTTGGACATTCGTCGTCGGGGCTTTCGCTGCTTGGCGGTAGACTCGGACGAAATGTTGGCCTCATCGCCATGCTTCTCCGTCTGAGCCTCTCGCTCTCGTTGCTTGGCCAGCCTCTTCTTTTCTCCAAAGGTAATCATACCGGGCTCCCTGGTGTCAACTCGAGAGATGGAAATCGTTCGGCCATTGTCGCCAATACCGGGAAGACGCGAGATCCACATGTGACTTTCATCGCCAGCAGTGGTGGTGGAGTTGATGGTGATGGACAGGTTTGACACATGCTTACCGAGGAAGAAAACAAAGAGAGACGAACCATGGACCACAATGGATGAAATGATGAGAAACGTACATACTGGCCAGATAGTTTGCACCGCTAGCCAGTTTGGTTGTCCTTCTTTTGGCCAGTCCTCTTTTCGGCGAGGCGAGGGGGTTCCAGATTCAAGCTCGGCTCGGGCAATCAAACTCATGTAAACCGCACCGACGCCAATGGGACCGAAATGGCCACAGAAGAGAGCCTCACGCCAGTTTCGAATATCGGGCACCAGTGGTGAGAGAATAAGCATTGCAGGAATTCGTCGGAAAAGCAGAATCAGAACAGCAATCACAACGAGTCGCCAGACATCGAGGCCGATTTCCTTGTTGTTGAAGTCTGCCCACGGCACAACAGAGCCAAAGTAGACGAAGAAGGATGTGTTGAGCAACAGATCAATGACGTTGGAAACGTGACTCTCCTCAGTCTCCTTGGCGAACCAGCCGTCCCAGGAGAAGGCTGTGCCAGCAGCAAAAGCTGCCAGGAGATCATCGACACCGATAATCGTACCGAAACCAGCGCACATGAGAGCCAGGACCAGATAAAAGGCCAGAAATGACTCTCGGTCAATGAGATTGCGGCTCTCGGCAAACTTGATCAGGATTCGTCCTCCCCATCCAATTACAATACCGAGACAGATACCAGTCATACACTCGTAGAGAACGGTGATGACAAAGAACTCCTTGCAAATTTCGCCAGCGTTACCGTAATGCAGAATCAGGTTGAGGGAGATGAAGGTGAAGGGGAAGGCCATACCGTCGTTACATCCGGATTCGGCAGAGAGCAGGTTTCGCAAATGGGTAGGCAGTCGCTGAGAGAAGCGTCCCTTACCGACAACGGCAGAGGCCAGAACGGGGTCGGTGGCAGTAATACAAGCGGCCATGACGAGACCCTCCTTCCACCGCAGGTCCTTGATGAGCGCCCAGATGAAGAGCGACGAAATGAGCCATCCAAAGGCCATGATGGGGAACAATAAATAGAAGACCGACAGTGCGTGTTTCCAAATGTACTTTTTGGGCAACTCGACAGCGACGGCGAAGATCTGGATGACCAGACAGACTCTACTGAGTTCTAGGGTGATGTAGTCGGTGTTTCCCCAAGTGTCAGGAGTGAACCATTTGAGACAATGGGGGCCGACAATGAGACCACAGAGGGTGGCAACGGTCGCTTCACCAATGTAGAGCTTTTCCTTGACGAACAGCGACACCACCGAGAAGATCATGGTGAAGGTTCCGATGATGGCGTACGCCAGATGGGCGTCATCGATACCCAGCTGGTCCCAACCCATGGTTATGTGTTATGTAGATAGTTGTGTGGTGCAAAAGGTGTGTGTGTGACTGTGACTGTGACTGTGACTGTGCCTGTGACTGTTACTGTTACTGTGACGGTGACTGTGTCGTGAACGGGGTGTACAGTGATAGGGTATCTATGTCACTTGATGCAGTGGATGTCAGTGGCGGAGTCTCTGAACAAGTCGTTGTTGTTCTTATGACTATGTTTTGTCGATTGCGTTTGTGCTCCAAACTGTTTGTGTTCGGTTTGTGATTGCGTCTGTGTCGCTTGAGAGAGATCTTGGCTGTCGTATGGCCTCCTGTCTGGGTGTTCTCGCGCTGTGTGACCGACTCCTCCTGTGGTTGTTTGGTAGCTAAGCGACTCCTTTTCGTGATGACAACAAGTGCGAAGAAGATCCCATATATCCAAGCAAGTGGAACTTTATTTGGGAGCTTAAAAAAATAGCCCGAAGCTTATTTGTCGCAACACAAGCAACCATGCATGGCGGTGCATATCATCTTGGGGAGAGGGTCTGTGGTTTGACTACATAGACGAACGGTCTCCACATGTTAGATATTCATTTTGGAGACCGTTCTTGCTTGTTTATATATCCTGCGTTTTCCCCCGCTCAATTCAAGCCCAGAACAGTAGAGTTACGACCTCGCTTATTATTAACCTTCCATCGGCTGTGCTATATAGACATGAAGACAGGAGTGTATGTATAACAGGGGCCTGAGAGCGTCAAAAAAAAATGGACTTTGACAAGTTCAAACACAAACACTGACTGTTTAAAATCACATTCGACTTGCTCTGAACTTCCACGTCCGGTTTAAGCCCTGTCTCGGTGACTGCATAGAACGCATAGCTGCATGCACATCATCTGGCTGTGAAACCCGATTATCATAGCTATGGAGGGATGAGTCTATCAATACTGAGGGATTGTAGATTCAACATATTGTTAGTTGATCATTTTGGTCTTCGGCAATGGCGCTCGTAATACCTTTGAACTTCAAAAAGGTCCCCTAAGCGAGTACAGTACCGGTAAAAGTATGTACAGTGTACTTACTGTAGCATGTCATTCAGAAACTAATGATGGACTCGACATACTGCACTTGTACTCGAACTGTATTCTCAACTGTCCTTTCATTCCATCTACAAACTGCGGCCTTTGAAGCTCTTCGGTTAGTGTCCTTAAGATGCTCCCGTTGATTCCTGTGCGCACTTTGCCTGCTAGATCCATCACTGTACGGGCATCTACTCAGCTCGCCCAATAATTGTCGGAGAACCAAACGGTCAATTTCACAGTACTCCCCCGACTCCCCCATTCCCACTCGTGCCTTTTCTGTCCCGATATCTCCTCGACATCGATTTTTAGACGCCCCTTTCCCACCAAAATATAAAAAACCGCTTTTGCGTTAAGCTACAAGCATATTAGCCGAATCTGCGGCAGGCACTATAAAAAGAGCAGCATCTCTAACCACAGTACAACCCCCGGGGCGAGCTCCGATGCCCACAGAAAGAGAGGGTGCTCAGATCTTCCATCTCTAAGTAAAATCTTGTGCTATCGATACATGGTCTCTTTAGCCTCACTACCGGCATTGTCTCATCACCCCACCCGACCGAGTCTCTTTTCAACCGCCCAACTTGTCACCTTATCGAAAACTTTCCAAGCCGTGTGGGAGACACTGCATGGAGCCGAGGTGTAGGATTTCCAGGTCTTTATGTTTGGAGACGGCGTGAAAATTCGCTATTATATCCGTCCCAAGACGGTCTTCCTATTTCTCATACCCCATAGACAGAATCTAGACCCTTTTATCTAACTTTGGCACCCTTCATATCTTGGCTCTTGGCATCTGTTGTGTCAGACCCACTCACTTGTTATCATTGGTCTGGGCAAAGCTTGTGTGGGGAGGGTATGGGAGCCCCCAAAGGGTGTCAAATGGGGGTATTTTAAATCCGAAAAAATCCCCAAATACATATAATTAGGCCGATATAATGGACACTGATACGGTACTTGTATTTGTTGCGTTTTTATGCCTTTTTACTGGCGTCCCTTCAAAGTGGCGCTCAAAACAACTGTAAAATACGGTACCATCCAGTGAGACACATGTGATGGAAGGATCACAGCCTTGCTTTTTTGCAATCGAAAAAAATAGGCGAGCACCAATGAAACCCCGCATGATTCAACTCATAACCAATACATCTTTTTATACCAATACATCCATTCATAGCAAATACTTATATCTATTGTAACCGCTCGTAACAGTGGAGTCGCTAAATCCAGTACTCACCCATTCAACAGATACTTATCATGGCTGCTTTAGCGCCAAGCTAAAAATAGAATTCCAACTCATGCACAGGTGGTTCGGTGCCGGAGAAGTGTCCGCTTGCTGCATCTCATTAGGAGCAATGGACCCGGATTCTGGAGGAGCTGCAAAGCGCTTTAAACACCCTTAGATTATTAGCGACAGGTTACGAGTATGACTTGAAAGACTGGTAATTTTCTCTTTCATCTTGGAGCTTGAGTTTTGGAAGTTGCTTTTGGGAGGTCCAAGAGGAGCCGAATGTATCGGACCCGATTATCTATTGGACCCGATTATGTAATGCTCATCTTCATGTCCGCCGAAGTGGACCAGTCCAATCCACATGAGTGCCATTCGTTCCTTCTGGCCCTCGGAGACTGTGTCTCATGCGCATTTTGGAGCTTCTTGTACAACCTCGTCTGAGATTGTAGAGTTTACTGTTGTCGTTTACTTGAAGCTAATTGAGCGTACTATTCAGGAGAAGTAAGAGAAGTCTCGCTGAGGAAGTTCAGAATGGCAAGAGACTTGGCTTGTTTAGCCAATTAATGGCTTTATTAGACAATTTCAAATGATTCATAATAATAATGCCACCTAGACTAATGATATTCTGTATTCTCGTAGTTTCCTCGGACACAGTCGTGAATTCATAGTTGACAATTTACTTGGAATTTACAGTACAGTACTTTACAGTAGATTGTATAACTGTATCGAACTCGTGTGGGTAAAACATGTAGTGTAAGTACATACAGTAAAGCAAAGTACCTCTTGTCGCTAGAATATTACCTTGCAATGCTGGTAATATATGTTATTGTTACTGTACGAGTACAATGTCCTTCTTGGCCGTTCTTGGCCGTTCTTGTGCCGTTCTTGTGCCGTTCTTGGGCCGTTCTTGGGCCGTTCTTGTGCTGTTATTGTGCCGTTCTTGCGTTGATATGGTATGGTACTCCACATAATCACAACTGATGTCATTAGATCAATAAATATAAATACATATGCGGTAAAAGAATCACGTCGCAGAGAAAGTAGCCAGAACCGCATCTCACAGTCAACATACCACGTGACTGGGTTGCCCCGTAGCCGTCCGCAGTACTGTACCCGTACAGCACACAGCTCATATGTTTGCTGACTAAAGAAACAGCCGCAGCCATCCATACTGTCGGTCACGTAAACCTGCTAATCATCGTTCTTGAACGGCTCTTTCATGGCTCCACTTTCTCGCAAATAGTAATCCACCGAGGCCTGGTAGTTCTGCATGATTTCAGACACCACCGAGAGGTTAAGGTTGCGTGAATAGACCTCTTCCTGGATCTCGTTGACGCGTGCGATGGACGAGTTGAGCTTGGAAACGCCAGAAATGATGCGCGCAAGAGCGTCGGACTGGTCCTTTTCGTGGGGATTTTCCATTGTTGTGTTGAGTCGCGTTGTTAGTGTGGTTTCGTCATGTTGTGCACCGTCTGCTTAGAGTTTGAAAGTGTGTGGCATTAAGGTTTTAGGTCACGTGATCTAGAAGTGGACGGTAATAGTCAAAAGAGAGCTGTAGAGTGAGTAGCTACTCAAATTGATTTGTTCAACATATATGGGAATTAAAATGATCTCTAAAGCAAATATGGGTACTTTTATTAACATTAGTATCTCTTTTTGGGGTGATTTTCGGTTGTTTCAATGTATGTCTTCTTGTAGAGATGCAACTGATATTTTAAAAGTACCAGGTCGTACCTTGGGGATTTCTCCTTCATATTATCTACTCATAGTTCCATTATCTCCCTTCTTGTAGCCCATCGGTAACATCTACAAATATCTTCTTCACCTTCCAATAAAGTTAAGGTTCTGCGCACTGGGACAATTTTTTTTTGGTACATGAAAAATCTTGTCAAAGCTCTCCATCTCACCACAACACAACACCTCAAAATGCATCTTATGTACACTACTGGAAGCGACGGCAAGCGGGTCTATACTCTCAAGAAGACCACCGAGTCTGGCGAGATTACCAAGAGCGCCCACCCCGCCCGATTCTCTCCCGACGACAAGTACTCTCGACAGCGAGTCACTCTCAAGAAGCGATTCAACCTGTTGCCTACTCAGCAGGGTGAGTATTAAAAGTGATTTGGCGTTTGCCTGTCACGCGAGCGATCACGTGTGATCAGTGTGGTCACAAGTGATTAGCCGTGGTTTGATTAGGTGACGTGATACCGATGTTGGAGACTGTGGTCACACACAAGGGAATGTGACACCAACAGGATGGTGACAGAGAAGGAAGACTTGACACAATCAGGATGGTGAATCAGATGGGTGCACAGAGGAGTGATGGGATATGGTAGGCTGGAAGTAGGTTTGTTATGGTTCTCTTTGGAGTACCATGGACTCGACTTGACCCGACCTATCTTCCGACATCTCCGACCTTTGGGTATCTCTGTATCATGACTTATTCAGCGACTCTGGTTGTGTGACTGTGTTTTTTAATCTGACTCTGTTCTGTGCACCTGGGATCCCTTATGTTGAGGTGACTCCAGTTGGAACGTGCTTCTTTCTGTTGTGTTCTCTCATCTGGCGTTTACCGTGCCTCACCAACACTCGAAGCAACCACCAAACTCTCTCGTTTGACAAAACTAACCCAGCCGCCACCCCTTGGTAATTGGTATTTATTGATGAATGTATTATATCCATTTTAGATCACAAGAGGGTCCAGGGACCCATCGTGTACCGGATCGTCGCATGGTTTCTAAATTTGCGTACGTACTGAAGTCTTGTGGGATTGCCACTGTGCTGGCAGTCGCACTTGTTACACCTGTCAATACGATAATGTGTTACTCCTAGCAGTACATCATCAACGGTTATGACTCTCTACAGTATGGTAGGATGGGGGACGATTAATGTAGTCTGGTGTCCAGTGAATCTACATATGACTAATAATGGACCTAGCGAGCCCTCACCTTCATTTGTTGGAAGAATAGTAAACCAGAGGACTCATGAGAATGGCCGCAAAACATCCACAGCTTGAAGAAGATGGAAGACGAGAACTTCCTTGTCGAGGTAGAGACTACGCCGACAAAGACGACTGCTGTAGCCAACGGTTTGGCATTGAGAGACCGACCAGTAAGTCCCGGGATTTCTTTTGGAGCTGAGGCGACCGAATGGTGCTTCTTACTCCGTACCAGATCACATGGGCAATTCCCAGTAGAAGGACGCTTATGAGCATTGCTCTGGTGACTGTACTGAGCAGTTGTTCTCTGGTGTTGAACTTCAGGCCTCCAAACCTGTTGCAAAAGGTAGACTGAGGAGGGCAGTACTTGTAGATGGTACATAACATACTGTACCTGAGTTCACCATACAGACTCTGATGGAAATATATGAGTTCACGTTAGTTTAACAGGCTACACGCAGGGCGGTGACGCCTGTCTTGAAAGTCTCTTCGATCGTATCATGGCACAACTCTTCAGCTATAACCATATTATGAATTCACTACCTGACCAAGAGCCTATGGTCTGAAATAACTACCTCAGATCCACCCACGTTCTAACTCCACCTGTCTACAAGTATATTCATTTGCTAGACTGTCTCTGTCTCTAGTATCACAGTTTGCGGTGTTGTGTGGAAGTACCGCGGAGACAGTTCAACTCGACTAAGGCTACTTGTCCTCGACTCTTTCAAGTATGAGCCCAGAAGCTATCAAGGCGATCTAGGGTACAGCTTAGGCGGTGTCTAATGTACAGCCTAGGTGGTAAAAGGGATCTATCTAGCTCAGTGCATCTGGCACGTCACCCGGTACCTTGATGAAGACCCAGTCTGTTCTGGCTTTGTTTGTTAATCGTCTTCCCTATCATCACCAAAAAACCAAACTCATTCACTCATGCTCTCTATTGTTTGAGTATCTGCTTCTTTTGATCAGATCTGAAGACAGTATACCCTTCAAGGAGTGTTTCTGCGGTGAATAGATCGAAACCGAAAAAGCGGTCACCTTGGGTCACTGATAGCAGAGACCACTGTCAAGGAATAACACTGTGGCTTCGGAACATCTTCTTCCGTTCATGAGAATTCCAACAAAAGCCAAGGCTCAGACAGGAATTTAGACCTAATTGAGAAGATCGCCGTCTGTTGGCTGACTCTCTCTTGTCGTCTCCACTCAAGACATTCTTCAGCCAGTGATCATTACGGAACTAAATACGCCCCTTCATCCATCGTCCCCATCATGATTCACAATGATGTAGTAATTTTTCCCTTGCGTGTATGCTTTTTCGTCGCAATTGTTCTTGGAGCTCGCTGGGTTGTATCGGCTCTATTGAGTGTCTTATAAGAACATGGAGAAACAATCGCACTCTGGGGTATATTTTCTCTGAGCGTCGTCATCTTCCTGGGATTCTCCACCCTGATTTAACCACCACCGTCTTCAAGAACCGTCAAGAACTTCGGATTACAACTCTTGGCCTGGTCACTGCGGTTCTCTACATCGGCTTGTGCTTCATGGCTGCTGGCACGGCGCTAGATTGATGTCAGATGAAGTGAAGGACCAATCAAGACTTTTTGTCTGATGTTTGTATGCCCAACCAAGTGTACCTATCTTGTCTGCTGTCGTCGGCTCTGGTATTCACAGGCCTGAGACCCTCGACTATGGTTTGATTATGAGGCCTAGAATGTCTTTTCTGAGGCAATGGCCGAGTACGGTATGTTGACTGCTCTCTGGATATGGCTTGTCTTGTTTGAATACTGTTTTTTGCTGAGCACACAAGTGACGGTCAGCACTGACATGTGTCAGTCCTCAATCGTCCACAGATTCCTTCGTTTAGAGAGAGTGAAGCAGTCTTTTCAGAAATGGTCACTTTGGTCTGTGTTTGTTACTTTTGTGGGCCACAGGACTGAAAAGGTGCCCGACAAGACAGGCCGAATCAGCCCCGAGGTTACTGAACAAAATAGAGAACAATCTTGAAGTGTTAGAATGAGAAAATAATACTGTTTTGCACCATGAAATGTAAATATCATACTACCATTGGACTCGGAATGTTCTCCCAAATCTATTGATGCACTTTTTCCCACCGCTTGTCATTTTTTTAAAAAATGACCGAATTGTTGTTCAGTATACATTGTGCAAACATCGCAGGGCAACAAGTATCGTATTTCAGCACATCACTTGGACAATCCATGAGAAAATACAACTACATTATATACAGTAAGTTTGTTTGAAGATTGCCATTATTATATACTGTCTAAAATGAACCCCGATATTCTATAATATTTATCCTCTACATCTGCAACTATACAAGTGGAGGAGGCTGGCCATACAATAACAGCAGACCAACGAAGCCCACAACAGGTACAACTCTCAGAGCTAGTAGAAACAATGACCATGGAAATCGACACTCGATTTGTATCACGTGATTTGCACAGCACTGCTCTTTATCCACATCCTTTCTCCACGCCCTCCATCAGCCCAGATCTGCGTCAATCATGTGCAGCCATGTTTGGTGGTGTGCTTCAAGAAGCGTTTGATATGGTCTTACCATAGATATAAATCGTTCGAGAGAGTATAAAAGAACGCTGAAACGTCTTATTTGGTCTTATATTCAGTCCCTGTTTAGTATGGTCATTATTTTGTCCTATTATTTTCGTCCGTTTTTGCCTATCCATTTCACCTCCCCCAATATTCCACTTTCTCTCCCTTGTCCCAACACGCGTCGCCCTCCTGCGTGGGTCACGTCTGCACGGTCTGGTAGGTGACCTCGCGTGTTTTGCTTTGACGCATGTGCTGTATGAAGAGGATAGCGGCTCGTAGTTGAAGCGCAGAGTGGATAACGAGTAATATGCGACATCGGATGGAGGGGTCACGTGATTGTACAAGTGTACTGTCATATATATCGGGTTCCATCTCTTCTCTTGTTGATGCTCTTGTCTTCCCTTTTCTCTCTCTCTCTCTCCCTCTCTCTCTCTCTCTCACCCACATTCCCTTCACCTCCAACTTTATTCTGGTGAGAATTGAGGCTGGTGCATTGCATTAATTGGATTGACGGTAGGGGCGCAAAGATGAGGGCGCCTATTGAAGGATATTGGGGACGGTTTTCCGGTGCAACGCGTCGAAGCCATGGTTTATCACGTGACCATTCCAATGGAACGCGCAATGGCCCGATTTGGTTTCGTTTTCCTGGCGTTTTTGCTCATTCCGACGCGTCAACGCATCTGCACACAATTAGCGTTTTTCATTAAGCCAAAAACAGACATGTAATTGATATAAGTGGGAGGGCGCACGTAACATCTTTCGACACATCCTTTTCAATACACACAAAACGATGGCAGTTGCAACACCGAAACGACCACAGAAGCGAGTGCGACGGGAGCCCATCCGGGTGCCTCTCAAGGAGCTCGAGGTGAACAAGGGAGAAGATATGGGGGGTCAGCAGGTTGGAGAGGTGGACAGAGGGGTGTCCACGGAACCCTTGTGTTTGAAGCGACGCAAGGTGGAGTGTTTTGAGGACGACTCAGTTCGTGTGTTGTCTCCTCCGAGAGAGTCATGTGATCCATTCACCGATTCCTCGGCCACTTCAGGGTCGTCTTTCGCATCACCACCTCCGCTTCATCCCCACTTGGTCGAGTTGAACAAAATCAAGAGCATGTTTTCTCGAGGAAGCAAGGGACACATCCTGGCTGCTGACCAGGAAATGGTTGGTCGACAAGTTGAGGAAGCAACGTTGCTGCGTTACTTTGAAGGCAGACTGCAGGCAAAGTACTCTCAACCTGGTGCTGCACTGTACGTGAGTGGACCTCCAGGTACAGGCAAGACGGCCCTCCTTCAGAGAGTCATGGACAAGGTATTTCGGGGCAAGGAGGGAATCAAGGTTGCTAGTATCAACTGCATGCTGGCTCCGAGCGCGCGAGCCATCATGAACCTCATTTACAAACAGTTGAGTGGGGTTGAGGAGAATGAGGCCTTGTCCGCAGACATTTCGTTTGACAAAAGTGTGGCGAAACTCGAGGAGCTATTCATGTGCCAGACTTCTAAAGAGTTTGCTGAGCGAGGCACGTCAATCGTGGTGCTCGACGAGATCGACCATATCATGACTAGAGATCAGGACATTCTGTTTCGCATTTTCGAATGGGCCTTCTGCAAGGGTTCGCGGTTGATTCTCGTTGGTATTGCTAATGCTCTGGATTTGACTGATAGATTTCTGCCACGACTCAAGGCGAATAATTTCTACCCTCAGCTGTTGAAATTCAAGCCCTATGACGCGGTTCAGATTGCCTCCATCATCAAGTCTCGTATTGTGAAGGCATCAGACGAGTTCTCCAGGGAGCACAGTTCCCTGAAAAAAGAGGTTGTCGTTAAGAAGGAAGAAGACTTGATTCTGTCCCCCCTGAACACACCCAAAAAGACTCAAATTGACCCTACTACCCTCACTCTAACCCCTCCTCACACTCCTACAGACAAGACACCTGCTGTGGCCCCAACCACCATGGCCATCCACCCTGCTGCGATCCAATTGTGTGCCAGAAAAGCATCGGCAAACACTGGAGACCTGAGAAAGGCCTTTGACATTTGTCGGAAGGCTCTGGAAATCTCTGAACAAGAGTTCATCCAGAAACTGGCTCAAAACGACCCATCTACAGTCTCTAAACCAGTCGTCTCAATTGCAACCATGGCAAGAGTATGCAGCCAGGTGTTTGGAGGAAATAACTCACAGCGAATCAAGATGCTCAATCTCCAGCAAAAGGCCGTCCTGTGCACAGTGGCGTCTGCCGAAAAGCAGCTCTCCATTGAAGCCATAACCTCTGGAGTCGATGTGCCTCTCACTATCCAGAGACTCTTTGATCACTACACCAGCAGCTGCAAGAAACACCGCATGCTGTCCCCGTTGCCATTCAACGAGTTTCTCGATGTTTGTAGCGCACTGGAGTCGTACTCGGTTATCAACATCACCGGTATCTGTGGCAAGAAGAACCTGGGTATCAATGGTAAGGGAAGAGCTTCCAAGGGAGGAACAGGAGCTTCAAAGGGAGAAGTGTACGGCATTCGAGATGACTATGTGCAGCGAAAGGTCACTCTCAACGTCCAGAGAATGGACATTGCATCAGCCATTGAAGTGGAGTGGTTGCAAAAGTATTTGTAGATTAATTTATTGCATTAACGAACAACTTGCTGTAGAGTGAGAGAAACCAGATGATGTGGTTTTTGTAGTTCCACTGGGGTATCAGACAGCAGTTTCTATGATAGCACAGTGAGCCGTGTGCCACCTTTATACGGATACATACTGTACTATTGGCTCCCGTACTTGTCAATCCGTGTCAAATTCGAGTTAGCTTTCTTTTATTCCAGGAAGAAGAAAAAATATTCTAATAATCCGTTACAGCTATATACTGACCTACTGTACTTGCAATAAGCCGGGTTATTGGCGTCCAATAAACCATACACAGATAAACATTTAGGTGCTCGTTTCGGTGTGCGCGCATTTCGATGAGTTCGAGGCTGCAAATATCTTTGTCACTTCATCTTGCTCTTGTCATGGCCGCTTGGTTGAATCAATACAATACTGGTAATACTGTACAGCAGTACAATCAATTATATCAAATCAAATCAAATTATATCCAAACTTGAAGTTGGTTCGAAGAATGCTGCCAAAGCTGTACTAGGCCAAGCAGCGCGCGGCATATCATTCTCGAAGTTTACATCTTGAACATAATCCTACATAGTAGTTCAATCTCTCTGTGCTCATTCAGGCCGGGAGCTCACTCTGTGCTCATTCAGTCCGGGAGCTCAATCAGTGCTCACAGTTAGGGAGCTCAGTCAGTGCTCAATCAGTCAATCAATCTGTTTGGACCAACATTCTCAAGACTCTTTATTTTATTTTATTTTCGTACCCCAATCTTTCCCCATCCATATCCAATTCATTGCGTGGATTATTATTATTTTTCTAATGGTTCATTCTCGATTTTTCATCCTTTTTATACTTTTTTATTTTTTATTCTTTTATTCTTTTTTTTATGGGAAAATACTTTACTCCGGCCGATGAATATTGTATGCTCAAGAATAGAAAAGTGGTATATTTATCGCTTAGGGTGCCCTAGACTTTTGCGAGAGGCCCAGTTCAGCACCCAGCAGATCCATCTCTTTTTGTCCCCTACAAACCATTTCTGTTGAGGCTGCGGTGTATTATTCCGTCTTAACAAAGCTGACTCATGCTCTGGGGTTGAAAGACCTGCAAGTTCTGTTAGACCCTTCCGGATCAAGACACTGAGAAGAAAACGTAGACAAAGACATTGCGCTTGTATTTCTCCCTGTCTGCACCCATGTTTGCTACCTCTTGCACCAGAGAAGCTGTCTCCACAAAAAAAGAAGACGATGCCGCCCCATCGCCTGCATCACGAGAACGAGATCGAGCTTCGTTTCGTAAGTTCCAAATTAGGTTGGATACGAGACTCTAAATGTTAAGCGGAGAACAACAATGAAGAGGTTAGAAGAGGCTATTTGTAGTGGGTCCGATCCAGTGTCACGACGATGCAAGAATACTTGCCACCGGTTTGTTTTTCGATGGACTACCCCATTCACAGCAAAAGATTACATAATTAGTTGCACACCACTCGTAGACGGGGTACATGCAAGACAGCCCTTGTGCTGCGCTGCACCTAGGCCACAAAACGCACCTCTTTGTTAGTGGGACTTGGGGCCTCTGGGGTGGCATGGGGTGGCATGGGGTGGCATGGGGGCCTGTAGTCTGGTAGCGAAAAATAAGAGCTCGTGTTTTTGGTTCTGACCACCTACTGTACGCCAATGACCGAAGAGATGATCAGATGCCAGTATTGCGGAGCCAAGTATTCCGAGAAGGACTTTCGGGTGCACATCGACGCCTGTTTCTTGATGCTGGGTCGGGCCAAAAACGGCAAGATCAACAAGTGGTCGTGAGCCTCAAAACGGGGCCTGTTCGATATTAATTTTCGAGAAAGAGGGCAAATCACAACTTCAACGTCAGCCTTGAGCCCCATTGCCCGTCATCACGTACAGTTTCACCTTGCATCTGTGACCTACAGCTCATGATCCACCGCTCACCCAGTGATCAGGGTCAATCTCTTATCTGCCACTATATCATCCCTCTCCGAATCTCTTATTTGATACTCTTCAATGCCAAATACACCCACCACGTACAAAACCACCACTGCTATTCTCACCACCAACACAACCACAACCACAACCACAACCACCAAAAAGACCAATCACACCAACCACACCATGAGTGACGACCTGAACAACACTCTTCAAATGTGCGACATTTGCAAGGGCTATTATCCCTACAAAGAGTTTGACACCCACATCAAGGCATGTTCCGAGTACTATCAGAAGCTCAAGAGCGTCAAGTGATTGATTGATTGTTTACTAGCCATTTCATTTATCGCATTATTGCATTTCAGCTTCGTCTCGTTTTCTGCATTTCTGAGTTGTGGCCATAAGCATCACCTCCAGCTCTCTTCGAGAAGATAATTTGATATTGCATCATGGAGTGTGACTTGACATGTAGTGTACAGTAGTGTATATTGTAGGTGTGTGAGTTGTGATATACTGTATACTGTATATATATATATATAGCCTTAATATAAAAGGGGTTTTATCGCTGTATTGGAGATACCACACTTCTCTCTCACCGCTCTAAAATCAATTCAACTCCATCGACCATATCTTCCATCTTTTCCTACTTCCTTTCATACAGAAAGTGTAGTACACACCCTGCGGTTCTTCTGAAACACATCTTGACCGTCCACCGAATGCGTATTTTCGACCATAGTCCGGTACAGTACAGTATGTACTGAATGCGATACAGGCTACTTGTAGTACATCAAATACCTTTCAGTCATGATCATCAATTACTAATAAATAAGCAGTCTCTATGTGTTGCACTTGGCCTTGTGAAAATGCCAGTCGTCGATATGGATACTCTTTCCACAATACTGACACCGAACACCCTTCTTTTCATGTCGCTGCATTGTTGTAGTGAAGAGAGTGTATGAGTTGATCTAGGTTGAGTGGAGCTACTTGTAGGTTGTGGAGCTAGTTGAGTGGAGCTACCGACAGTAGGGCTGCTAGGCTCGAGTGATGTAGTGATGAGCAAGAGAGAAGGTCAGCCGATCTGTGGCCCTGACTTTTTAAGCAGTCACTTTTTCTTGCCTTTTTGCTTTTTGGGGCACACCTGGAGGTGGCGTCGTTCTTCACGAACAGTCATGAATTCCCTACACCAGTCGCACTGAGTGATGGCCTTGAGAGACTGAGTGTTTGACATTGGACGGGCAAGGAGACGAACAGTACAACTGGGAATGAGTCGGCTTGTAGTCACCTGAAATAGGACTGATTGGCCCCATTTAAACGAGTCCCACAAGAGTGTTCTAGCTCCAACAACGTTAGAAGTCACCGCACCCATCGTACTCACCGTATCGATGGCGGACTCCATGAGACATTGAACTGTGGGGCAAGTGGAGGCTGCTTTGGAACTATTGTACTATACGTGATCTTGCACTGTATGCTTTGTTATACCTCTGGTAAAGATGAGTATTCCACAGCCGAGAGGTCAGATGGGCTGGCAGTAGGGACTTTGTTCTCGTCTTGTGGTTTTTTGGGGCTCGTCGGGTACGAGTACGCAATATGACGCAGGTTCAATCAATAGCGATACGGCCATCAACCTCATTGCAAGATTTTGACTGGACTTTGCTGTATAGTTATGGAGACTGCGAGGGATCGTGATACTCTACATCAATCAGTACACTCTACATTAATCAATACACTCTACATTAATCAATACACTCTACCTCAATCAATACCCTACCGTCATAATTCATTACATGTCATCACCGCTTAGTCTTGGGACTTGTACCAGCAGACTCCCCCGTGTGAGCAGCTATCCCAATTCCAATCTTGCACTCTTGAACATGTGTCTCCCACAGAGCTTTGTACACAAACTTGCGACAGTACTTGCATTGCTCCGAGTTGGCCATTGTGGTCATGTATTGTAGTAGACCCGTGGTTGTGGTGCGATATTGTGGTATCGTACGGATGTCTTGAGTTGTGTACAGGTCTTTGAGCCCATCTCTATATAACCACCCATGTCTGCAAACCTGTAGCTGTCATACGACATACTTGCACCTGGGTTGAGCGTCACTGGTGCTGTCAGCTGAGTCCGGTTTTGGAGTGATTGTCATTGTTCCTTTAGTATTAATGATCAATCGACACTCTCACCAACAAGGCAGTATATATCGGAGCAATTCTGGGCAGAACCTAACACGGCTGACTCTGTCAGCAATATCGCCATTGGTCTCGTGTTGGTACCACAATTAAAAGTATCTCATCAGCTCGGTCAGCACCACCCCTGTAACAAATCAAAGGCGTGTCCAAAAGAATCGGGAGGAGACTTGACGGGATGGCTGCATCCTCCACTGCACCCTGCTTTCTTTGCCTCGATCGCTCGCCGGCCGGGCCACAGTCGTGCAAGAGTCATTGCGTTGTTGTATCGGTGTCAATTGAACGTCTGATAAAACTGGGAGTCCTTGTATTTATATCGTGTCTCATTCCCAGAGTTTGTACTTGTAGGCAGATCTATACAGCTCCCATTCAAGGCGTCTACACCTCGCATAAAATGATGCATATAATGCGCAATGTAACGTGCTCCACAGGCATGTCCTTGAGAACAGAATGAAATGTGGGGAGATCGTCGAGAATACTTGTACTTGTACTGACTAATATACATCCTCTATATACAACCTATGGCACTTCCTCGGGGCTACAACTTGGAAACCAACTTGGCAAGCTTGGCTCGCATCTCAGTAGGAGGGAACTCTATGAGCTCTCCGTGACAAGGTATGATCCGCTGAATATCCAGCTCCATAAGCTGCTTGAACGCCTCCCGAGCAGCAGACTTGTCCTTGTAGATTTTGGGAAGCATTGTTCGTTGAAGACAACCCTCAAAGCCCATCTTGTTCATAATGTTGGGAAAGATGAATCCACGGGGATTGGTGCTACAGTCCTTGTACTGCTCATAGGAAGGGGTGTTGAAAATCGCGTCGGCCTCCATCAGCGTCTCACTGGGCTTGTGATACATGAGAATCTCCTTGTTCTGGTGGCTGGGAAGGTACATGACATCAAACTCGGCCACCAGCTCCTCGGGAAACCCAATGGCAGCCAGGGTTTTGCCCTGGAGCAGTTTGTGTCCGTCCTGGGGTCTCAGTACAATATCGATATCGAGTCCTTCCTTCTTCTTTTTGGCCCGCAGCTCTTCGGGTCCGATGATGAGAGCCTGAGGGAAGGCCTCTTTCCAACCCTTGAGAGCCATATGATGCTCGAAATCAGGAGCCACCAAGTACTTGACGTTAGGAGTGTCTCCAGCCAGGAGCTTGAGCGCAGATTGGCTCTCCTTGCCGTACGGAGTAGGTGCAAAAACAACCACGCCCTCGTCTTCGGTTTGCAACTTGATGAGGGTCATGCGGCCGCCAAAATTCAGCAAACAGGCACGGGTAAAGGGACATGAGTGGATCACGATATTGGGGGTAACATGGCGCCAATTGCCACCCACGGGGTCGAAGTAGTGCGATGGAGATGGCATGGCTGAAGGTTGTGTTGTGTGTCGGTATTGGTGTTACGACGGGATGTTGTGCTTAGGAAGAAGGGCTCGACTATATATCTATATATATATATATATGTTTGTATGTATGTATGTATGTATGCGCACTGCGCCGTTTTTCGGCTCCTGATTATGCAAGATGTCCGTTTTTGGCGTTTGGTGCAGATCTAGATTCACCATGGTGTGATGGAAGGGCTGACAAATGATGCAGTTTACTCGTACAATACGAGCTGGTGTTGCGCGCCTCGCTCACTAACGCCTAAAGCCGATGTACTGCCACAAGGGACCATCTGTACGAACATATGAAGATAGATGGAACATGCCTGGACCAAATCTCCTTCAGACGGCCACAATTGCTCACGCCAACCATCCCTAAAATACCCTCTTGCCTTGCTGAGCCAATCCAAAACCTCACGATTGCTTTGACCAGCAACTCGGCTCAACTTGCTTGCTACTCGTATTTCTGCACCCAGCAACCCGCTTACACTTGCTGGGAGGTCGTATTTCTGCAGGAGACGGGACGTGGGAGGGACGAAATGCACGATTTGTAAAGACAAGTGTGCGGGCCGTCGTATTCGGTTTACTTGCTTGCGACGTTCGGTTCTATTCGGCTCGGCACGTGACTTTCTACAACTGCTAAGTTATGGTTGAAATTAGGGGTCATGCACGCACCTACGCTAACGCTACCCTACAGTCGAAACTGACTAAACACGATCCGAGTGGGTCCCTGGATAACAAAGAACTGGTGATTCCGACCGTCGGACCATTCCGGGTCAGGCGATATCTCGTGATTATGTCACGTGATACCATTTCACGCGTTTGCGTTTTCTAATCGGCATCTTTATCCACGGAGATCGTGGTTACCCAAGGGCCATAGGTCTTATGCTGTAGCTACTTGACCCAGAGCTATTACTTTACTCGTTCTGTACAGCGCCAGATCCTTTACCCGCTATCAGATGTGTCAAACTGTTGGGAACGTCCAGCGGCTATCTGTGACGTGAAACGTTTGATAGCGGTTATTGTTGAGTGATTATCAGCAGTGTTGTGGATTTTACAGTCATCCAAAAAAAACATTGCCTATTTATGCGCTGGTAGGTGATGATGTCTGAGAATGTCTGAGACAGACTCAATCCACCCTGAAATGCGCTACTTTTATCAACAGCAACAGAGATACTCATATGGACTTTTTGCAGCTAATAGTGGCTACTAGCTCCACAGCCCCAGACTATACCCCTTGACAACGCCAAGACGATGACGTCCAACCGCGTTGTAACGCTGTTGATAAGATATACTGGGTTAAGGGACCATCTGTGCTTATATACTGATCCATCAGTCGTTGACTGGCTCCTACAGTATCGACCAGTCTTTCCTGTTGTCACTGCGTCGTCAAAAGGCAACCATCACCTTCATCGCCATCGCCAACAATAGCCCAAGATCAATCTCCTCTCATGAGATTCATCCCTACTCTGCGTCACGTGGAGGACGACCTCAAGGTCGAAAACACGTCCGACCAGACCGAACTGCAGCTGGAATACAGAGACGAAACCAACCGCCCGTGGTGGAAGTTCTTTGACGAGTACGAGTACCGCCAGAACAAATACGACCGGGCGTCCCACAAGTGGTTCAAGTGGTTTGACGAGCGAGACACGGCCTCGGACAAGAAGCTCATCTGCAAGCTCGACGTGCTGCTCACCTTTTATGCCCTCGTCGTCTACTGGGTCAAGTACCTGGACCAGACCAACGTCAACAATGCGTACGTCAGTGGCATGAGAGAAGACCTGGGGTTTGAAGGTAACGATCTGGTCCAGGTCCAAGCCATGTACATTGTTGGAGCGGTAATCTTCCAGTTGCCGTTCATGTACATTCTCCCCAAGGTGCCCCTTCACATTGTGCTTCCAGTCATGGATCTCTGCTGGGGTCTCATGACTCTGTTCTGCTGCAAGATCCACTCGGTTGCAGCTCTCAAGGTGCTGCGGTTCTTTGTGGGTGTTTTCGAGTCTGGATTCGTGCCCACGGCATACTTCCTTATGGGCTCATGGTACAAGCCCTCTGAGTTTGCTAGACGAGCTGGTTTCTTTTACATGGGCCAGTTTCTTGGTCTGCTCAGTTCCGGTCTCCTGGCTAGTGCTGCTCTGGATCTCCATGGACTTGGTGGATTTGAGGGATGGAGATGGGTGTTTATTATCGACGCCATTGCCACACTGCCCCTGGCTGTCATTGGCTACTTTATGATCCCGGGCACCCCAGACAAGTGCGTGTCTCTGTTTCTGTCTGACGACGAGATCCGAAGATGCAGAGAACGTATGCGACCATATGTGACGGAGAAGAAGGCCAAGCCCAGCAAGAAACTCACCGACTGGACACTCTGGAAACCGCTGCTTACCTCCTGGCAGCTACCCACTATGATTCTCATCACATCCGTTTTCTACAACAACAACAGCGGCAACTCGGGGTCTTTCCTTCTGTGGCTCAAGAGTTTGACAGACAGTGACGGGAACCAACGCTATACTAACCAGAAAATCAACCAGTTGTCTTCCGTGGCTCCGGGTCTCGGTTTCGTCTATGTTTACTCCGCTTCCGTCTTTGCAGACATGTTCAAGTGCCGATGGGGGGCTATAGTCATAACCCAGGTGTTCAACTTCATAGGGTGTGTGATTCTCGCCATCTGGGATGTCACGGAGTCCGCCAAATGGTTCGCCTTTTGTCTCCAGTACATGTCCTGGTCCATGAGTCCAGTTTTATTCGGCTGGGTCAGTGACATTATGAGACACGATCCTCAGGAGTATGCCATTGTGGTCATTTGCATGAACATGATTGGTCAGTCTTCTTCGGCCTGGGTCTCAGTGTTGGTGTTTCCCACAGTCGAGTCTCCTCGGTTCACCAAGGGTTTCGGGACCTGTGCTGCTTGTGCTGCCTGCTGCGCAATCGGAGCTATGGTCATTCTGTACTTTTACAAGAGAGACGAGAAACGAATTTGCTACAAGAATGGCATTGTTTTGGAGGGCCAGATTATGGAAGTGTTGGATGCTGATAAGATTGAGAGCGAGGCCACTAGTCAGGCTGACAAGGTGTTGGAGAAGGTGTCTGATGCCGAGATGTCGGATGGGAAGGCAAGTTAAATAGTATTTGAGTATAGTAATGTATTAAGTAATTTTGTGAGCAAGCCTCTGTAAAATTTACATGACAACGAGATAGATATTATCTCAATATCAGGTCTACAGCAAGTGTCGAAAAAAAACATACTCATAAAATAGCTGTCTCTTAATAATCTCACAATCTTTTTGTGTGGTTTGAGTCACTGAAACAACTGACAAGTAACCCTCAGCGTAATTCCACCTTCAACTAATTCCAACTAATTATGCAAAGTATCCAAGTAATGTCTGACAGAGCTTTATGCAATTTACAGTGCATGTACAGTCAGACTCACTACAAGTACAGTCCTGTACTTGTAACTTGAAATGGACACCGCACCTATCACCTTCTCCCCATTCTAATGTCCAATTTCCATCTCTGTCTTTGTATGTCTTATTCCCTCGGCATGATATATATCCATCTTTTCCTCCTCTCATCATCCCTCCTTTGATTTCCTCGCAACTCCACACATTTAGGATTCAGGTACGCACCGCAGACCCTAACCCTTGCCGGGTAACCATGCTCAAATGTACACCCCACTCCGCTTGTGGTGAAAATTTCACTCCCGACACAACATATACACATCACCATATTAAAAAGTGAGTACAAACAACGCAGAAAACCGCAATTGAGCAGAAAACGACGAGATATCGACAGATCATGGCTTGTTCAGATCGCTTGCTTCCCGTGGCTACACCATAGCTCGCTAATTCGTTCGCTAACACAGTGTCTGCCGAGAACAAGATTGAGGAAATTACCGAGGACCAGGTCCCCCAGATCGAGGAGAACTCCACCATCGTCATCAAGAAGGAGGAGAAGGCCGCCCGAGCCCTCATCTCCAAGCTCAACCTCCAGAAGGTTGAGGGTATCACCCGAGTTGTCCTCAAGCGAACCCGACAGCACATCTTCGTGATCGCCAACCCCGAGGTCTACAAGACCCCCACCGGCAACTCCTACGTTGTCTTCGGTGAGGCCCAGCACGAGGACATGCAGGCCACCGCCCGAGCTGCCCAGATCGCCGCTGCCCAGGCCCAGCAGGCTGCTGCCGAGACCGGCTCCGTCTCCGAGGCTGCTGCCGCCGGTGAGGTTGGCGCTGAGCTTGCCTCCAAGGATCCCGCTTCCATCACCGCTGACCTCGAGGCTGCTTCTCTGTCCAAGGACGAGGATGCCGAGGACGAGGCCGAGGCTGATGCCACCGGCCTTGAGGACTCCGACATCAAGCTTGTTATGGAGCAGGCCAACGTTTCCCGAAACAAGGCCATCAACGGTCTTAAGAAGAACGACTCTGATGTTGTCAACACCATCATGGACCTCTGCAAGTAAACAGTTAGTCATTAGTAATTGATTGAATACAGCAACACAGTGGGATATTTACAGTATTGCCATTAGGAACAAGCATTGAAGCCAAGACCACATGATTGTATAATTAGTCAGCGCATCGTTAAGATCTTGTTGGTTCCACCACCACGTCAAGAATCAGATCTCTTCACTCAATGACCTCGCTGCATAGCAGACCACCTTATAGCTTCTCCCTTGCACGCATCTACTATGTCTGGGTACTCCAATAAATTCTCTATCAGGCTTTCCATCATTGTCACATTCTGCTCCTGGCGCTTCTTCGCGAGATACTCCCTTGCGTATTTCCATATTGCAATATATCCAATTGTCCGTCTGAAACACCTACAAGTACATGAACCACTTTATCTCTCTCCATCACATCATGAACTCGTCTGGTTTGAACATCTACCACATATATAAGAAAATCATCATAATGGTAAGATAGACCGTATCGAGGGTACCAGTCATCTTCAGGGATGAAGGGCTTCAATGCGGGCAACTCTGAGTCCCTGACTTCCGACTCATGTCAAACCACCTGGATGTTCAAGAAGGAACAACAGTCTGCTGTTTGGAGAGGACGACTCGTGCCAATAAGCAGGGCCTGTCCACCTCTTAGAACACGATAGGTATCGAAAATATCCCCGCATCGCCTTGTGAAAATGTCCTACTGTCTGCTACAAGCAGAAGGGAGTTACAGGGTGCGTTCAGCGATTCTAAGAAGTGTTCTTGACTTGTGTCATCATTGTACTGAATGAAAAGACAAGTTTCTTCTTCTTCATCGATGTTGGAACCCTTGTTGCCATACAGGCTTGCCCGGATATCTGTTTTTCGCTGGAGTCTGAAAGGGTAAGCTCTGTATACCTGTGAGGCAAGAGTAGAATCTGCAGTTTTACAGCCACCATTCTCTGTCTGACCAAGGGCCTTGTTGCCATTAGTCGGGCCGAGGTCGTGAAAGTTCCACTCCTTCAACTCCCGCTGTGTTTTTTCCCTGTAGAGCTCTAAAATCTTTCGGTAATGGCTCCTCCGCACGTTCAGGCGGGCTGGGCGTGACCAAACGGTGGTAGAAGGGACTCCGATTCGAAATCGAATTGGTGTACTCCTGCCATGAGATCCACTGACCATATTCAAGACGGTAGTAGGGGATCTTCAGGTACAACTTTCGCACACGCGAGAGGGCCATCTTGGTGCAGACTGATGGAGCTGAGCGGGATGATATCTGTGGGATGGAATTGAACCTCTATCGATAGCAGTATATTACTGATATCAGATGTGGCATCCGTTGTACTGTACAACATTGTAGCTGAGTGTTACAAGTATATGACATCTTCCCACATGTGTATTATACTGGCCCGATATGTCCAGTATTCGGCGGGACAGCGGAAGGGAGCATGAGAGCCCAACGCAGTAAGCCCTGAGAGAGATGTTTACAAGATTTGAAAACATTAATGTACCAACTCATGCCTGCAGAATCCATTGCAGCTATCTGTTTTACGATACAATAGCTTTTGAATGAACCCCAGTAGCTTGTGAGTTCTGATCTACCTTCTTGGTTCACTCAATCTCTACTGCATGAGACCTCATCTGAGACCATCGCACTATAACAGAAGCCACCCCTACTAAAAATATCGTGCTGTCGCTTAACTAAGCTGAGAGTCAATCGGCTAATGACCAGTACAGTAAGTGCTTGAGGCTTGAGGGGCAACTTCCACTTCTACAGCAGCAAAACACAAGGCCATCTCCAACTTGCAGTCTGCGGCTTCCATTTGGCCTAACAGCTCCGGCTCCATCAGAAACCCTGCAACCTTCAAGGGGTACAATGTCCAACCTCCGTTTTACGACCTCTGTTTGGTGGGGGCATGCTCAATAAATTACTCTAATCTCTACGCCTTGGCGTACTCCTTGGTCCAGTCCCGGGCAGTCTGAATAGCAGTCTTCTCGTCCTCCTTCCACTTTTGTGCCACGTCATTGGCGAGCGGGTCGTCAGGATTGGGAGCTCCAAGCAGCGCCTGGATGGACAGCAGAATGGTTCGGATCTGCAAAGCAGGCGACCAGTTGGACTTGAGCACGTCCAGACAGATTCGGCCAAGTCGATCAATGTTGGGGTGGTAGATTTTGGTCAGAAATCGCACCTTGGGGGGCACCATGGGGTAGTCTTCGGGCAGAAAGAGCTCCAGCTTGAAAGTACCGCCCTCGTAGGGGGAAGAGGTAGGCCCGTCGATAGTGACGTCGAAGTACCGCAGGTTGTCGTCGTGGGGTGCAGCGGAGATTCCCGGCACGGGCTCCTTGACGAGCCGCTCGGTCTCCTTGCTGATTCTCTTGGGAAGGGCGTTCATTGGGGGTGTATTGAAGATGCTAACAATGTACGCACAGTGGTTGAGATAACCGTGATATTGGGAGAGACAGCCCTAACCCTACTATACGATATGAAATGCAAGCCACAGGCGAGGCGAAAAAAAGTAGACACTATCCCGCACAACCACAATGATCACCAAGATCCCAAAAACAGGCGCCACTTTCAACAGCAGATTCGTTGCTCTGTCGATAGGACTCACTTTCGGGGCCGTCTGGGGAGTGTGGCTTATGAACAAGAATTATGTTCTGGTGAGTATGACAGTAGGAGGTAGCTGAGGGCGCAGCCCGAGAGCTAATGACCAAGGACTTTCTGCGGCAGATCAAGGACTTCCAAGAAAAATCAAGACTCCAAGAAAATCAAGGGATGCTAGACAGAACTTCTGGACATTACTTTCCGATTGTAGTGGTAAGGAGACGACCGAAGCCTTGACCCCAGTGTGGCAACACAGACAGTTGTTGCAGCGAAAGTTGGTGAATCAGCTCATGGAGTTCATTTGTTCTCGTGGGATTGACCTTTGGAAACCTATCCTGGTCGTCATGCTAGCTTTACGCTTACCACTCTCAGTATCAACTAACCCAGGTGGAGAAAATTGAACCCGAGGAGAAACCCAAGGGCTTTTCGATCAAGTTTGTGGATGCCACTCCTCTTAAATCAAAGAAACAGCTCATACAGGAGCGAGCCGAAGAGATCCGGCAGCAAGAGGCAGATAGTATTACTTCGTTCCTCGTTCAGTCCGATGAAAAGAAGTGACCACCTTGAGCGACAGGAAGAAATGACCACAACCGCTTTCACAACAGATGTATATATTAATTTATGATATGAGTTTCCGACTCGATAGTCCTTTGATGAGCCATTGTACTAGTACAGTATTGGACGACTGCCTTATGTACACCGTCTTTCATGATCTACTCTACACCCAAAGCCCATGTTGATTTGGTCTTGGTGTCGAACAGGGATATATTCGTGATTTGAGAGAATTGCACCATTTCCCCCGTTGAAATCTTTAGTTGAGATTAGTGATATTGAGAATACTGCTGCGACTACAATACTATACATACGTATGCACACTATATCGCAGCACCTTTGTCGTCGTTGAACACTCCCAGAATCAACTGTATCGCAATTCCCAGACCACTTTAGTATTGCAACATGCGCACTGTGAATCCATTGGTGGTAACATATTTCCAATTGACCAACAACAACGTTAGTTACAAACCAATTACCAATGGCCTCAATCATGACTCTCTATAATTCATCTACAAGTACATACTCACTGCTATGCAAGTGGTACTGCTCGGGTTTTGGCTCACTACTTGGCTTATCCTTATCACATAATCCACACATTTTATTACACAATTACTCCTCCTTCTGAGAGTTGAGGTACTCGTTGTAGGCGGTGATGGCGTCGTTGATCTGAGCCTGGAGACCCTCCTCGTCGTCAATGACCTCGAGAATCTCCTTGATGGGCATCTCGAGCAGCATACCGGTGATCTTACCGGCAAACTCGGCGTTACCATCAATGGCCTTCTCAGCGAGAACCTTGGGGTACAGAGCCTCACCAACGAGCTGCTTGTGCTGCTCCTCAGGAGCGTTCTCAAGAGCGTTAGAAATGGAGTCGGCAACTCGGGACTCACCGTCCTTTCGTCGGGGAGCACCTCGGAACTGACCCTGGGGACCGGGCTGGCCGGATCGGGGAGGCTGGCCGCCTCGCATGGGGCCCTGGGGAGGGAAACCACCCTGCTGGTAGCCCTGAGGAGGAGCGCCGTACATGTTGGGGCCACCGGGAACACCTCGGGGAGGGAACTGGTTCTGGGGAGGCATGGGGGGTCGCATCATCATCTGGGGGTTAGCACCAAAAGGCATTCCACCTCGTCCAGGAGGCATGAAGCCGGGCTGGCCGGGGTAGAAGACACCGGGGTTGCCCATGTACTGGCCGGGGAGACCACCAGCGGCAGCCTGCTGCTGGAGTCGCATCTGGTTCTTGGCCTGGATCTGCTGCTGGAGCTGAGATCGTCGGACGTCCTTTCGCTGGGCAAGGACAACGTACAGAGGCTTGCCGGCAACAAGTCGGTGGTTCATCTCAGTGACAGCCTTGGTGGCCTCCTCGGGAGAGGAGTAGCAGACGAAACCGAAGCCCTTGGACTTACCAGCCTCGTCAACCATGACCTTAGCAGAGGTGATGGTTCCGTGGGGGGCAAACTCGGCTCGCAGCTTGTCGTCGTCAATGGTGTCATCGAGGTTCTTGATGTACAGGTTGACGCCCTGGTACTTGTTGAGCTTCTCAAGTCGAGAGGCCTCGTACTGCTTTCGGAGCTCGTCGGCTCGCTCATACTTCTTCTTGGCTCGGCCGGCGAAGAGCTTGTTTCCCTTGAACTCAGTCTCGGACAGACCGTCGATGGCCTTGACGGCAACGTCGTGCTCCTTGTAGTCGACGAAACCAAAACCGGTGGGCTTGCCCTCGTCATTGGTGGAGAGGTGGACAGAGGAGGTCTCTCCGAACTTGTTGACGAGCTCCTCAAACTCAGCCTCGGTGATCTCGGTACCAAGGTTCTTGATGAACACGTTGGTGAAGGAGTTCTTCTGCTCCTCGAAAGACTGCATTCGATCAGACTTGGGGACGTGGGGACCAACGAAGACCTTCTTGTCGTTCAGAAGCATACCGTTGACGTGCTGGATGGCAGACTCGGCAGACTCGGCAGACTCGTAGTGGACGAATCCGAAACCTCGAGAGTTGCCAAACTCATCGGTGGCAATCTTGCAGGACAGAATCTGGCCAAAGGCAGAGAAGGTGTCGTGCAGAGCCTTGTTGTCAATGGCAGGGTCCAGGTTCTTGATGTAGATGTTGCCGGCTCCGGTCTTTCGCAGAGCAGGGTCTCGCTGAGACCACATGATTCGGCAGGGTCGCTCCTTGATGGGGGAGTAGTTGAGCTCCTCAAGAGCTCGGATACCGTCAGCCTGGTTGTGGAAGTTGACGTAGGCGTATCCAAGAGATCGTCGGGTGATGGCGTCTCGGCACACTCGGACGGAGGTAACGGGGCCAATGGGGTTGAAGATCTCAAACAGCATGGCCTCGGTAACGGAGGGATCAAGCTCTCCGACGTAGAGGGAGGCGTTGTCGCCCTGGTCCTCCTTGGAGCCCTTCTCCTCGGAGGACTCAGTCTTGGCCTCTCCCTCAGCGGGGGCAGCCTCAGTGGTGGTCTCCTCCTTGGTGGCAGGGGAGGCCTCGGCCTTGTTCTCGAGGGTCATCTTCTCGAGAGCCTTCTCGGCAGCAACAAGAGAAGCGTCAGCAGACATTGTTGAGAACAGAAATTAAACTAGGAAACGTAAGCGAATACTTCCTAAGAAAAAAAAGGGTGGCTTTGTGGTTAAGAGACACAAAAGCGCGGGGGGCGAGAAAGTTGGATTTTTTTTTGCTTTTTGGATTTTATGAGACTAATAGATACCGAGCGGGGGGTGATCTATTGTTGTCTGTCTTTTTTTGGGGTTTTGGAGGTCGTCAACAACGAGTGGTCGTTTGTCGAAGATGGTTGTGTTGTGGGATATGTAGAACGTCACCTGCAGAAAGCAGAAAAAAATGGCCTTGGGAAAAATCTTCATGTAACAATTTTAAGCTTTATGGCCGTATTGGGAAAGCACGTGATGGGCCACAACTCCAATGTAGCCGTAACAGTATGGCCAATGGGCGGATCCAACACTCTAGCGGTGTTTTAGTGGACAGTGTTCGTTGGTGGCAACGTCCCCTTCAATCCTGAACGCTGAAATCGTCTCTCTCCACTTCCAAAGTCTCCTGAGTTTTAACTACCATTCTATAGTGGTGAGGTTACGTGCCGGGTAACTGGAGGCTTACAAGTGAAAACTTTGGGGCCCACACAGACGACGCCAAAAAAAAAATTTGATGCATGCTGCAGTAACACATGCAGTATGTACACTCACGTACAGCGTAAGTTGGGTAATCCAAAAAACAAATAGCGATGCCCGGTTTCGATCCGGGGACATCAGGGTTATGAGCCCTGCGCGCTTCCGCTGCGCCACATCGCTGATAATTTTTAAAAATTGTAAATTAGCCCCAATCCATGGTGAAAAATGCGGATTTACACCCTAACCCTTGGTTTCCTGATCTGGACACCAAAGGTCCACCCTATAAAACAACACTCACGTTCTACAGTAGCAGCTTATGATAAGACTGTGGGGTAGATAAAGGGCTACCAAGACAAAAGGGAACTAATTTTGGCTAGAATTATGAATCTTTAAATTGCTGCTGTACCATTGGGCTCTTGGTTGCTCTTGGAATCTCCACAGTCTCGATTTCAGTTCTGCGTCTGATTCTGTTGGAATGAATTGAGACAGCACTACATACGGGTATCTACGACGAGGGTCATTGTTGTGATGTTACTGCAGTTGCCAATCGTCAAAATGGTTCTAAATTTAGCATCGTACAGAGCAATTTTATTTGTAGAGTACGCAGAGTACGTTGTAGTTGGGTGAGATGGGTGGAATGTGGAAAGATCGTGGGTCTATTTATGGAAGTCTGAGGACCTCACACACAAGGACGTTCCTGTATTGAACTCTACTGTACTGTAGGCTAAATACTACAAGTAGATGCAAGTAAAGAGGAGGGCTATGGAAAAGCGCAGTAATGTACGATACTCGTCGGTGCGATACGGTACAGTATTGGCTTAGATGAGTTTGTCATTTGCAGACTCTGACGGATCAGACGAGCTACTTTCTTTTGGTTTCTGACAGCTGAAAGAATCATGACGTTGGTTAGTGCCAGCGGAAACGACAGGAGGTAGACCCTGAAGAGGTGTCACAAAGTTATCAGATCAATCTCCCCTTCTCCGCCATCTGAGTGAGTGCTCCTACACGTACGGTACTCCACTCACCCTGCATCATCTATTTTTATCTCTCTTCGGCGAGATTGCATTCCCTTTGCTGATGTCGACTTCCCACTCTGTCAAGTCCAGGGCAAATTAACTCACTGCGCGCGAGCGCGGCAGACGCGTGTCGAGCACTGCATTCTCGTCTCGTAAAACCATGTTAGGCTGCATGCGGATGAGTTGAAATGTGCAGCTTCCGATGAAACGGTTGAAACGGTCGTGTTACAGGTTGTAGGGTCTGAGTGCGGCTCATCAGGAAAACAGAACGAGGAACAAGAGACACATTTGCCTCGTTTCGTCAGTTTTGGGGCTGTGTTCATGGCCCGGGGAGCGTCTAAATCGCCCCATGGAATGTTCGTAATTGAAGTTTCCGCAAGCAGTAGCACTGTGGAACGGACGATACAAGAACTGATACTCGTACTGTACCTCAGGCTCGTTGGCTTAGTCAGATTCCATTGCCACAAACGCATCCCACACAGGCCAAAATCGTACCTTTCAGCCGTGGACTCTCACTACTGTACTTGCACGGGTACGTATGATCTCACCGCCCACAGGTTGACTAACTGCTTGTCTGCATGACGTAATGCCAACGGCAGAGGCAGATCCAACAACGGTCAAAGGTAGAGCCAAGGAAGGGGCTCATTTTCTGAGCCAGCAGTCTAACCGAGGGCTAGGGGTCGGGGCGGAAGCAGAGCCGAGGGGTAAACGCTGTGAGTAAGCATCATAGCAAGGTTTGTATAGCAATATAACATGTTCTGACTAGTTGCTATTGCGGTAGGCGGGTCATGTCGCCTCTACCGATTCCCCCCAGGGCCACGGCTAGCTACTTGGAGACTAGCTATCAGATCTTCGGCAGTCAATGCATCCGCCAAAATATGATTGGTAAAGTTGCATGCTATCTCCGTGATATATACCCCTAAAGATGCCAGGACAAAGCCGCCACGTGTAGCGCATGGAACACTGCATGGCAGCTGGAAGCACACTGGCTCCTTATGGCGCGAATGCGAGGATCCGAGAGCGTCTTGTAGGTGGAACATGGGCGTTTGGATGCCGAGAAATGTGGTGCTAGCCATGTCCCCATTGTCCTGACGTCTAAAACCACTGTCAAAATCAGTATTTACCGGTGCCCCCCAAACCCCTCCGACAGTCCCAAATACCTCTATTTAGCTCCAACAAAAATTTTACCACTGATAAACTCAAATAGTTAGGCCGGAATGCCCTCTCGGACTTCACTATGTGGTAGAGTTCAGAGTCAGGTGGCTGGTGCGCGGTATTAAGAGTATATGAGAGTTAGTGCACTCCGGCTGAACAGACAACGCCGACAGAGACCCAGTATAGCTCAGACTTTCTCTTTTCACACCACGATTGTTTCTTTTCCACCGGGCCATTTCGCAGCTTGAGCCCGACCGCAGACTACACAGCCGTCATCTTTGAGACGCCCTTGAAACGTGCTACGGATTACAGTGAGTATGGCAGGATACCTGGCCCTCGAGGCCCCCGTCTTGCGGCTTTATGCCCGAGAGAGATACTGAGCGGCAGGAGGGTGGCAATATGGAGACAGACCGACTCGGTGAGAGGGTTGGATGTCAGGAATTCCGCGTCGTCCGCGCCCTCTATGGGAGGAGTATGAACAACTGAGCGTTTATCTCCGAAATGCAGCTGAGAGCTCTTTACTGGTGGCAATGAAGAGGCACCACGGAATGGAATGGAAATTGAGAGACATTTGCCACTGAAGAATAACCCGTGTAATCCGCTCGCCCGTGTCTAAATTGCCACCTGGTTCTGGGTAACAAGACCGGTTCCAAAAGACACATTCCGCCAAACTGTCAGATGCATACCGGAGCTTGGTGTGCACGCAAATCCGAACCGTATCCGAAAAAAATCCAAGACGCTCACAACACGTACCACGGCACTTGCTGAACAGGCCTAACACAGATGCCCACGCACATATCGTTCAACAACTCGGAGGACAATTCGGACTCGTCCGTGTCCAAGCCCAACAAGGCGCACACCCACACACATCCCCATGAGCATCCTATTGGCGGTAACCCTCCAGGGTACACGCGGGACCCCCAGAACTCACCGGCGCTGAGCTACAACTGGGACGAGGAGCGGCTCAACGTGCCCAGCAAACGCGACGAGCGCAGCAGCAGCAACAAAAACAACACCACCAACCGCGTGTACACCCACAACAACGACTCGTCCAACTCGTATTTGGACGATTACACGAGCTACACGGACGACGATCCCGACGACAAGCAGAACCCGTTCTCGTCCACCAACGACATCACCCGACACAATGAGGACGACACGCTGGCCGAGGACAGCGAGCTGGCGGACGGCGAGTACGACTCCAATGAGGGCCCCTCGAGGCGGGTCTCAAATAGACTATCCAAGCCGTTCCACCAGCTGGGAGACCGGATCCACGAGGGCTTTGAGACGCTCACACGGTCCAACACAAAGATGAAGCGAAACCGATGGGGCACACAACACAACGCCAAGGGCCGGCCAAAGCGGTCCAAGTCCATTTTTAACCGGAAACACTCGATTCGTCAACATAGTGGAAACCAGGGAAAGATGAACGACAAGCCTGTCAAGGGCCCCAGAACCATCTACTTCAACCAGGTATTGCCACCCAGCGCAGTCAACCCCGACACCGGTTTCCCTATGGAGGACTATCCCCGAAACAAGATCCGAACGACAAAGTACACGCCATTGACTTTCATTCCAAAAAACTTGTTTTACCAGTTTCGAAATGTGGCCAATATTTATTTCCTGCTCATTTTGATTTTAGGTGTGAGTATAGAGAGACGGATGGACACAAGAGACATCCACGCAGCACAGCTGGTCAGCGCAGCGCAGACAATGTCACTTTATAGTCATAGGCGAAACAGACATTCCCACTCAACATCCAATACTAACGCAGTTCTTCCCCATTTTCGGTGTGCTGTCACCGGGACTGGCAACGCTACCTCTAATCGTGATTATCGTCATCACAGCCGTCAAAGATGCGATTGAGGATTGGCGACGAACAGTCCTCGATATGGGCGTCAACAACACACCCACACAGATCCTCCGCGAAATGCCCAACCACAACGTCGTGGACGACCACATTTCGCTGTGGCGAAAATTCAAAAAGGCATGCACCCGGACCGTGACCAACGCGGGAAAGAAGATGAAGAAGGAGAAGGACGGCAAGGGCAACTCGCCCTACAACCTGGAGCTGGCCGCCAGCAAAACCGTAGAGAGTATCGTCTCGATTGCATCAGATAACCGAGGCAACCAGGCCTATCCCTTGTCGGATATGCCTTCGTCTGGCTTTGGTAACAACAACCCCTTCGCCAGCGAGGCAGATCTGGCCAATGAGTCCATCAAACGAGAGGCCCAGAAACCGCTGGGAGCCCAGTACGGCTCGGTCATGGACCCCTTCATCACTATTCCCGAGCGAGCCAAGTTCAAAACGGACTACTGGAAGAACGTGCGAGTCGGAGACATTGTGCGTGTTCGACCAGACGTGGAGGTGCCTGCCGATCTCGTGGTTCTGTCCACTTCGGACTCTGATGGTGCCTGTTACGTGGAAACCAAGAACCTGGATGGTGAGACCAACCTCAAGGTGCGTCAGGCTCTCAAGTGCGGTGATGGAATTCGGCATTCACGTGACCTGGAACGAGCTCGATTCCGAATCGAGTCCGAGGGCCCTCAGCCCAACTTGTACTCCTACAACGGTGTGGCCAAGTGGCTCAACCGAAAGGAGGACGAGTCTCTGGAGGACACCCAGGAGCCCATCAACATCAACAACATGTTGTTGCGAGGCTGCACGCTCAGAAACACTGACTGGGTTATTGGTATCGTTATTTACACCGGTGAGGACACTAAGATCATGCTCAACGCCGGTGAGACTCCCAGTAAGCGGTCCAAGATGTCTCGAGAGCTCAACGTTATGGTTTTCCTCAACTTTGGTCTCCTGTTCATGATCTGTTTCGTCTCTGGTATTGTCAACGGAGTCATCTTTGACAAGAGTGGAACATCGATGAAGGTCTTTGAGTTTGGTTTGATTGCTGGAAACGCGTCTGTTGGAGGTCTGGTCACTTTCTTTGCTTCCCTCATTCTGTACCAGTCTTTGGTTCCTATTTCCCTCTACATTTCGATTGAAATTGTCAAAACTATCCAGGCATTCTTCATTTACTCCGATGTCCAGATGTACTACGCTCCGATCGATTATCCGTGTACACCAAAGTCGTGGAATATCTCAGATGATCTCGGTCAGATTGAGTACATCTTCTCAGACAAGACTGGTACGTTGACTCAGAACGTTATGGAGTTCAAAAAGGCCACCATCAATGGCAAAGAGTACGGTCTGGCATACACTGAAGCCACTGCCGGTATGCGGAAACGGCAAGGCGCCGATGTGGACAAGGAGGCTCGAGAGATGCGAGGCCGAATCACAAAGGATCGAGAGCTCATGCTCAAGGAGCTTCGAAAAATTGACGATAATCCTCAGCTCAAGGACGAGAACGTGACGTTTGTGTCGTCCGAGTTTGCTCGAGATGTTGGCTCTGATGGTCCCCAGGGAGAGGCGTGTCGACATTTCATGTTGGCGCTTGCCCTGTGTCATTCCGTGGTCACCGAGGTCAAGGATGACGTAATTGAGTTCAAGGCCCAATCTCCCGATGAGGCTGCTCTTGTCGCCACTGCTCGAGACATGGGGTTCACCTTCCTTGACCGAACTCAGCGAGGAGCTGTTGTCGACAGACAGGGTCATCGGTCTGAGTACCAGATTCTCAACACTCTGGAGTTCAACTCGACCCGAAAGCGAATGTCTGCCATTGTCAAGGTGCCTCACAAGGGCGGCAACAAGATTCTGCTGTTCTGCAAGGGTGCTGATTCGGTCATCTACAGTCGTCTCAAGCCCAACCAGCAGACAAGAATGCGACAGGAGACGGCAGCTCAGCTCTCTGAGTTTGCAGAGGAGGGTCTTCGAACTCTGTGTCTTGCTCAGCGAGAACTGTCGCGAAAGGAGTACGAGGAGTGGAACCTGCGTCACGAGGAGGCTTCTGCTTCTCTGGAGGACCGAGAGGAAAAGATGGAGGAGGTTGCTTCCAGCATTGAATGCGAGCTGGAGCTCATTGGAGGCACTGCCATTGAGGATCGGCTTCAGGACGGTGTGCCCGAAGCCATCGAGCTGTTGGCCAAGGCCGGCATTAAACTGTGGGTTTTGACGGGTGACAAGGTCGAGACCGCCATCAATATTGGTTTCTCTTGCAACCTTCTTAACAACGACATGGAGCTGCTGGTCATCAGAGCTGATACAGACGACAATGACTCGACCAAGGGAGCTACCCCCAAGGCCGCTGTTCGTCGATCCATCGAGAAGTATCTGTCTCAGTACTTTAGCATGTCTGGCAGCTATGAGGAGCTTGAGGCTGCGAAGAACGATCACTCGCCTCCTAAGGGCAACTTTGCCGTCATCATTGACGGTGAGGCGCTGACTTATGCTCTCCAGTCGGAGATTTCTACCCAGTTCCTGCTGCTGTGCAAACAGTGTCGATCTGTGCTGTGCTGTCGAGTCTCTCCCGCTCAGAAGGCTGCTGTCGTTCGTCTGGTGAAGAACACTCTTACAGTCATGACTCTGTCTATTGGAGACGGAGCCAACGACGTGGCTATGATCCAGGAGGCTGATGTCGGAGTTGGTATTGCCGGAGAGGAAGGTCGTCAGGCCGTTATGTGTTCGGATTACGCCATTGGTCAGTTCCGGTTCCTGGACAGACTACTGCTGGTCCACGGACGGTGGGATTACAAGCGTCTGGCTGAAATGATTCCCAACTTCTTTTACAAGAACTTGGTTTTCACGTTCACGCTGTTCTGGTACGGATGTTTCAATACCTTTGATGCTGCCTACCTCTACGACTACACTATTGTCATGTTCTACAACCTGGCCTTCACTTCTCTGCCGATCATCTTCCTCGGTGTCCTTGACCAGGATGTGCCCGACTACATTTGCATTGCGGTTCCTCAGCTCTACCGAAGTGGTATTCTTGGTATTGAATGGGGCATGCGTCGATTTGTCGAATACACTGTCGATGGCCTGTACCAGTCGCTTGTGTGTTTCTTCTTCCCCTTCCTCATGTTCTACAACACCGCTTCGGTTCGATCCGATGGTCTGGCCATGGATCATCGGTTCTTCATGGGTATTCCTGTGGCGTCCATTTGTGTGATTGCATGCAACATGTACGTCATCATGAACCAGTACCGATGGGACTGGGTGTCGATCCTCATCTTCTCCATTTCGATTCTGCTTGTCTACTTCTGGATTGGTGTCTACACCTGTTCCACCTTCTCCATTGAGTTCTACAAGGCTGCTCCCATGGTCTTTGGATCCACCACCTACTGGGCCGTTCTTCTGCTTGGTGTGGTGGCAGCTCTGCTTCCCCATTTTGCCGTTCTCTCCTTCAACAAGATCTTCCGACCTCGGGACATTGATATTGTTCGAGAGGAGTGGCACAAGGGCGCCTTTGATGACCTGGAGCGACGAGCCAAGCTCATTGCCGATAACCCCAACTACGTGCCTTCTTACAACAAGGACGACATGGACCCCATCTTCTCCGAGGTGGATCTCGATTTGCCCCATGGAATGCTTGACCCTTCCACTCCTCGACCTGATCGGTTTGGAGGACAGAAGTTTGGAGATCAACTCAACTCTCCTTACAAGGACTCCCCCTATGGAAACGCCGAGACCCCTCGTCTGTCTGAGCCGTACTCCCCTACCACCTCTGGAGTGACTCCTGACCACTATGGTTCTCCTCAAGAGGTGGCTGCTGTGCAGAACATGTCTCCTCAGGGCATGTCTCCCCAGGGCGCTAGCTACATGCAACAGTCTCCTCAGGGCGCTAGCTACATGCAGCAGTCTCCCAGCTATGTGCAGCAGGCGCCTTTGGGCCAAATGTCTCCCACGGGAGGCTTCCAGACGTCACCAGGACAGCTGCGACCCAACCCCAACGTCAACCGGGGCATTGAGTCGTCCATGTACGACGTGGATTCGTACTACATGAACGGCGAGCACATGCACACGATCCCCTTGGACAATACGCAGGCCAACCAGATGGCGCTTCAGAACGCTGCCATGCAGACGGACCCCAACCGACTCTCCATGATGTCACAACAGTCCACTTTCCAACCCACAATCCAGCCAGTGAACAACAACGTTCAGATGGCCACTTCACCTACGCAGATGGGCAGCAACAACCCGATGATGGGCTCGGGAGTTGCTCCCTCAGTGGATCAGTTCTACACGCCCAATCCTCAATATGGACAGTCTCCCCCCAACAACAACAACAACAACAACAACCAGTTTGACTTTTCCAACAAATTTTAGTTAGCATGATATGATGTACATTAATGATTATGACCTTAGAATTAATATGACGTATGGTACTTGTCCCCGTATCATGATAGTGGTGGTATGTTGGCTCGTTTAGATCTCCGCAGCGATATTTCTCCTGTTATGAGATTGAGAACTGCAAGCCACGCCAATGGGGATGTTTCTGGTGCGATGTGGAACTTTTCGAGGGTGTGGAACGTATGTATGAATGACACGATTCTTGGTACGCGTGCCAGCCAATGGTATTTGGTTCCTTGAGTCACCCATACTGTGAATATCTGGCAGATTAGACTGTAGACATTGAGCAGGACTTCGGTGGCATTTGCAGGGCTAGCAACCCGGATCAAGAAGGGTATACTTGATACTGGAATGACATATTGTGTGTATTCCATGTTGGATTTTGTAGCTAGGTATTGCACGGGCACTTGTAGCTTGTAGCTTGTACGAGTAGGTACTGGTAATGTAGTATAGTGTGAGCTTGTACTGTCTATCAGGGAGTATAGGGTTACTGTGGATAATGCTTAGTAAGAGCGGAATATGTGCAAGGGGCGTACATATTACAGCAGGATGTGGTGCTGTGTACCTTCTGTGTAATTATCAGAGATCCACCAAGGTATTTGGCACCACATGTACCAATTCATTCAATGCCACTCCAGACCGCAACGCGTTGTGTCTGAATATGGAAGTGCTAAGGTTAGGTTTTCGGTTGTGTCGGTTGCGTTCACTTGTGACAATCCAGTGTGAGCCACTGCACGGACGCAGATAGATGTGTCCACACTGTCGATTGGCCGTGTGTGCAGCCAATGGTCGCAGTTTCGCGTGTTTATATATATAGGTTATCTGGATGGAGTGTTATTTGTACTTTCTCGAATACTGTTCGTCTGTCATCAGATTGCAGCACTAGAATTGGTTGTGTATGGTGCAGCATATTGAGGACAATAGTGAGAGAGAGACAAGACAACATTTAGGACTCGCGCAGAAGGAATGTGACCGTTCTGGGAGGTTCCAGTACATACTTGTACAACATCCGACAGATCTAATCGCCTACACCACCCCATTTCTCGTTCTCCGAGTATCTTCACTCTATATTCGGTACTCGTATCTCACATTCCGTCGGCACGTCTACTATGCATCACTGTAACAGCCTCCTCTTTGGATCTTAGGCTGAGGTAGGGTTGTGACTGCCATGACAGTATTTACACACTACAAATGCCAAACTTCTTTAGACTCCAGAAAAACCCGCCTGTCGTAGCTGCCATTACAATAGCTCGAGAGCTATAGCTCGACTCTGCGATACAAGTCGCTGCCTGGGTCCTCTAAAGGTTTTTCCGGCTGAAATGTTAACCGTGACTTTCAACTTACAGAGTCACACACACACACACAGGATGTACAACTAAGACATAGCTCCACATAATACACACTGGCTACTGTAGACAGTGCCAAGTACAGGGAGACCTGCCTGTGGGGATGAGAAAAGTGCCATGCTACCTACTTGTAGCTAGCTATCGTGTGCGCACTCGTACCGGTACAAGGATACCATTTGTAGTGAAAACAGCGGCGTGATTGGCGAACAAAGAACATTCAACAGGGCAACCACAACCAACCAACCAACGCAGCAACTTCCCAACCCGTTTTTTTCTTCCTGATTCCTCGGACATCGGAGGTCGGACATTGCAAATTGCACGGTGGTCGATGAGAGCATAATCATAGCAAGGCTGAAAGCTCAATACTGTACCGACAGTATACATTTGCCGAGACCTCTAAAATAAGCCCCCAAGAAAGAGTCAATACAAACGCCTCATGTGTTTGGTCGATCCCTGGATATTATTCACCAATATTTTACCGAGACCCAGATGGATAATATTCCAAATGCCACAGCCCCCTAATCCGTCCACCCGCCGTTGTCCTCACAACGGTGCCTGCACCTCTGGCATGTACGCATGCAATGGTCGGCTGCTACTGTAACGTACAGTAACAACTTGAGACTTGCGCTGGGAGTTTGACGTTGCACTCGATTTTCAAAAGGTCACGTGACTGCAGGGTAACACGTGCTCTCTTTTTGCTGTCACAGTAGTGGGTGTAAGTTTGATTGCGATGAAACTGGTGTAGAATATGGGACCAATGGGGGTCAGGTGTTTTCTATAGGACTGTCGACCAAGTGTCGTTTATTTCAGTGAAATCACACCGCCCCTATTGTGGAATAATAATTTTGTCCGATCTTTTTGTCCGATCTTTTTGTCCGATCTTTTTGTCCGATCTTTTTGTCCGATTATTTCGTCTCGACTCCACCTTTCACCTTGTTGATGTGAGCCACTAAAATGTCTCCAAATAGAGTACATTTAAAGCCAGTTTACGACCACAAGCACACGACTCTGCACGCGATCGAAAAATTTGGGAGCTATGAGCAACCGTGCAAGTGTGCGAGGGGCGGTGATGGAGAGCGATGTAGATGGATTCAGCTGTGTGTATTTTTTCGGACGGCTTGTGCTCATTCTCAGCGCCCAGAGTACTTCCGACTACTGGGCAAGGCTCCAGGAAGCTCAATCACAGTTAGGAATTATGACTTTTCGTCACTGGGTTGGATGCACACATTGTGTGGTCTAAACCGAAACCGTAAAGCGAAAAAAAAAACAGAGGCAAAAAAAAAGCACAGACACAGACCAGACGAACCGTGGGCTCCAAAATTACCTGAGACAGGGTGTGGAGAAGAGCGTCAGTGCTAAAAATTGGGGGGGAAGGGGGGAGGGCCGAGACCACGGATATGGGCTGGACGGAATGTACAGTGCGACTTCTTAAAGGACGAACAAGGACAAGGAGGGGAAAATGGCGTCAACAGCAGCTGTCTGCCTGGGTCGCAGGGTCGGACACCTCATGTGTCGTATGCGGATATTATTAGGCAAGACGTATTAGGCTGTCCGCTTCGGCCTTTTTTCTTGGGGTAAACCAGGGAACAGGGGGAAGATCACATAACGAGGGCAAAGCGGCTTAGGGTAGACAAACATATAGACGTATCTGGGATTCTGACTCGGTCAAGGTCGTGGGCGGACCATCCAGACGTCGTAAGCAAATGTATATAGTGTCTCTACCCGCCTACGCCGCCTCATCTCTTGTGTCAACACTGCTCGTCGTCTTGTTTAGGTTAGTCCTCAGGCCCAACCGGACTTTTGTTTTTGTTGGTGCAAAGAGTGAAAATTAAGGCCCAGAAATGCAAAAAGCACAAAATAATTCAGAGCATAATTGAGATTGCACGCACGACTTCCCTATCGAGTAAGCCACTCACATCTCACACTCTCACCACCAGCAACATCACACTACCTCCGTCACACGACACGAGCGTTAGCCACGACAAGAGCGTCATACACGTCAACTCTTGTCCATCGCCTTGCTCACATCTCGGCGGCACAGTCACAGTTCCTTGTCTCATTCATACATCCGAAAGCTCGGACACAAAACACACCACACGACACACCCTCGGCCATCTCATTCGCCCCCCCAGCACACAACCATGGAAGAAGATCCCGGGATATGTAATGGCAACTATGTCATGATCAAGTCCGACAAGCCCAAGGAACACAAACAGCACGTCCAGCGCAGTCCCATCAAAACCGCAGACTCGGCTCTGTCTCGGGCGCTGCACAAACAGCCGTTCTCGCCCCCGCAGGAACCCCAACAGCCGCTGCCCACACAACAGACCGCATTAGCAGACACAACGTCGCCCTCGGTGTCGCCTCCGTCGCTGCCCCAGAGCTACTTAGAGCCCGCCTCGCATGCCACCGCCGCCACGTCGGTCTCCTCGTCCGTCGAACGCAAGGCCCGCTTCAAGCACCACAAGAAGCCCACCGTGTCGGACTCGCCCCGACTGGTCGAGCTGTGCGAGGAGTACATTTCCAACAAGAACATTGATGCTCTCGCCAAGATCGCCCGGCAACGTGGTCTGCCTCCACACCTGAGACAGAAGGCCTGGCCCATGCTGCTGGCCGAGCATCCCTACGTGATAGAACCCAATGTGGGACTGCCCGAACCTCGACGACGAACCAACGGAGGGTCCAAGAGCTCTTCCTCGTCCTCCGAGCAATGCAAGTCAGAAACAGAGATTCCCATCCGACGGCTCAAGGGCGACCTGTCGCGTCTGCAGCGAAAGCTCAAGTCCCAGAAGATGAACAAGCTGGAACTGCAGTACAAACAGCTGCAGAGCAACCCCAGCAGCCATGTATCGACTACTCTGTCGGCCCGAAGCACTCCGTTGTCCATCTCGCCCGTGTCTGCAGCCTCGGAGGGCTCTCTCACCATGGACCACCTCAACCAGGTGGTTGTGAGTGAGTCACACGACGCTCAGCGGTTCGACATCTACGAGGACGCCATCGAGTCTTTCCTCACCAAGTACCACGTAAAATACGAGTCTGGTCTGGTGTGGGTGGCAGCAGCCGTGGCCGAGTGCGTGGACCCTCTAGAGTGCGACAACTGGATCCAAGTCTACGAAAACTTCCTCCTTGTGCTCCTTCACACTCCTCAGCGGGACATTGGCATCAACGAGATTGAGGACCGTTTCAGTGGCAAGAACTATTACAGTGATGGGGTCACCAGTGAACCTTTCTGTGAGACACCCGCCACCTCGAATGAGAACCCTGTCACCAACGGTGCTGCAGCAGCAGCTCAGGCAGCAGCAGCAGAGGCAGAGGGCCAGCGGCCCAAGACTGCTCCCGCTTCTACCTCTCCCTCCACACCTTCTTCCCAGAAAATTGCATCTCACGTTCTCACCGACTCCATCTCGCTGTTCTTGTCCGGTTTCCGACGTGGGCTTCCCGAGCTGTCGGCACACTTTGACGAGGAAGACGTGCTTGCATCGATCGGAGGAGGCGACGAGTGGCTCATCTGGTGGATCAAATGGATGGGAGCCAAGACATGGAACTCGTCTGACCGGGCTCGAGTGTGGGACATGTACCTGGGCTGGAAGCGAGTCAGCGACAGCCAGTGTCAGAAGAACATTGCCGAGGAGGCTGCTGCGGCTGCTGCCAACGGCGTTTCTGCACCCGCAAGTCCCTCTTCCGACGCCTCGGAGTCTGACATTGGCATGGACCCCTTCTGGTCCCCCATGAAGCTGGACCGAGTGCAAGAGCCCAACTTGCCCCCCAGAATCCAGCATCTGTTCATCTGCCTGGCCATGATCAAGGCCAAGAAGAACACGCTACTGGAGCTGGAGCAGAGCGAGATTCGAGAGTATCTCAGCCGGCTGGGCAAGAGCAAGGATATCGAGGGCATTGTCTTGGAGGCCGGCGAAATCTGGAGAAGTTGGCAGTGGAGTGAGCTGGAAAGCGAGGAATAGAGGAAGAGGTGTAAGGCCGCAAGCTCTAATTGCATAATAGGAAGTCAAGCATCCAATTGGCGAGATATCAGCATGAAATATATTTATTGTATAGCTTAGATGTAGATAGCATCAAATGTGGGTGATTCTAGACTTTGCTCTCCACAGGGAAGGAGGGACTGAGTTGCTCTTGAGCAGTATCAGGTCTGTGGCTGCCTCGATAGCGCACCCGCGTTACACTTGATGGCGATAAGCCCTGGCCACAAGTGCTGTACGGGTTCTATGGGGGTGGTGATTATATGGGGAAGTGAGTGAGAGCCTTTCATCAAGAGCAGGAGTCTCGGTTAACGACAGGTACAAGTACTGAACATACTGTAGACAGACATGGCAGTAATCTTCAGCACGGTACTTGTAGTTTACTTGAATACAATAGTCATATTTTACTGTATGTTGAAGGAGTGTCACTATTGATCTGGAGGGTGCAAGAATCACTGCTTGGTAAACTGCTTGTACGGATAGAGGTCATACTAATGATACGATAACAACGATCTAAGTGGGTCCATCTAAATACTGTTGTGCTACTTGTAGTGGGTCAGGTTTTTCAGCTGCTGTTGTCCCTGAAGCTCGTGATAGAGCGTTTCTAGGCAGATCATGGTAAGACTTGAGGTTACAAGAACATGCGCGTAGTCAGCTGCTGAAGCAGGACATCTTATACACGGCAAATAATTGTCAAAACACAGTGTCTCCACTACCAGAAGATGCTACCACCGCGGTCAGAATACTAATACGAGCACTCAGAAGAGTCCTCTCAAGGTGACGAAGTTTTCCAGCTATTCTTGGTAGCGTGTTCTTCAATATTATAGCTACTGTAACTACTGTATGTACGGTACAGTATGTACAATGTTTTTGTCCAAGTTCAAGGAATCCAGTCTTTAAGTCGTCTGTCGGAAGAGTTCAGTACTGTTTTCTCATGAGGACCGAAACGAGTTACAGTAGCTGGCATTACTCACTATCCACTAAGACTTGTAGTCTCCGAAACTTGATTCCAGGAGTTGTATCTGCTTGATCATATCAATATGATGAATGGGACTCTGAGGCAGCTATCTGAGATTGAACAACTTGACCAGAAAGGGATCATTAACTTGACTCAGTGCTGTCAACTTCAGATGAACAGTTGTATTGGCGACCATTCGAGCCACCCGCTTGTTTCCAAACAAACTAATGTTGCTATGTGCTCCTTACCGATACAATAGAGTGCACCTTCTATTAGTGGCAATACCTTGAGTTAACCGGTTACTAGCAACCGTACCCCACTTACCCAGAGAACCAGTCTAAAATCGCCTGCGGAATGTCCCACCGTGGTATGGAGGTAGCCGTATGCGCCCAGACCCAGAGGGACAACATGCCATTGTTGAATCTGCACAGACATACATGATTAGTATGTACCACAGGATGGCCAGCAACCCGAGTGCCAGTGAGCAGTTGTCATTAACCCGTGTTTTTCCTCAATTCGGATCTGTTTGTTTTTCGTGCGCGTGCCTCTGCTCTCATAGATCTATCTGCTCTCAACTTTCTGAAGATACACCCCTACAACCAGGGATGTACCGTACATACTCACTGTGGTGCCATCCCTGAGATGAAGTGCGCTGGAACGATGGTACGAGGGCGAGTTCTGTACGAAGGCGAGTTCTCGATGAAGGCAAGTTCTGTACGAAGGAGAGTTCTGGTACCCTGAAGTCTGGGCTCCATCTTCAATGAATAAGAACCGATTTCCTGTCCCTTAACGAGCATAGAACGTTTACAACGGATACTGGTGGTACCTATTGTTCTTTGTATCTATGCACGGAGACTTCGGATAACGGGAAAGGTGCTCCAACACGGGGACCATAGCCTTCAGGGTGAGACAAGGACGACGCTGTAACATACAGGGGGTTGCATGGATGGTGGAAGTTTCGTTAGCTCGGTGATTGAAGTCATCTTCACTAAACCCCAACGAGTTTATCCGGTGGCAGGTGAGTGCATAGGTAGCGGCAGAGAAGGACTATTGCTACCGCCGTTAGTACATACTGCACAGTATGTATTGTATTTGCGGGGTTAGTGTATGGATCCGGAAAATGAAAATTGCATCCAAAGTCAAGATAACAAGTTGTGTTGGAGATCACCACTCCCCTTGTAGTTGTGAAGGGCAACAATAGCCGCAGGATATGACATCATGCAGCCCTTATCACTGGGGAGAAAAACACCATGACAGACAACCACGACCACAGACATCATTTCATGACATTCTCAGACCACCTTGGCAGGTCTTGGCCCCCTAAATGACGTCCATGGAATATCTGCCAGGTTACATTTGGTGTATACCTGCTGTGAGACACAGATAGCCGCTATACCGGACCAGGCGGGGGAAATTGATAGGGGTAGACTAGCTGTACAAAAGAAAGAGAAAACAAGGGCAGCTGGATGGGTCTAGCATCTCCACAGACAAGAGGAAATGGTTCTGTCGTTGGCTTGTAGTGGTGGAAGGTGAGACAGCACGAGAAAAGAGGGGTACATTATAGTGTACATACTTTATGACGATGGTGTACTTGCTTGTTTGCCAGAAGAGGCATTGGGGTTAATTAATACAGCAAGAGCATGAATAATAAAGCAAACGCCGGATATCGAGTCGCTAATTAGACCCACTTGTAAGATCCTCGCTCCTGGAAGCAACACGTCAGATAGCACTCGCTCAGACTTTCTTTTTATGGTTATCTCTATCAAATAGGTCTCAACGTTGATAACCACGCTGCTTAAATCAGTGCTTCCTTCGCTTATCTACAACTCCATCGTCGTAGATACGTGGAAGGAAAAAAAAACCTACTGGAATCCCACTTTGTATCTTATGTACACTCTGGGCTCCCAGCCAACCGCGCAAAGTCGGGCTTATCCAATCAAAAGAAGCAAAGTTGCTACTTTCTGTGTGTGTATGTGGAGAAGGAAAAAGTGGAGCACCATAATGTGGGGAGCCTACCATAGCGTTACATGTGACGTGAGAAACATGGCGCGTTTCTTCCCTCCTCCTCAGCAACTTGACTGCTGCTCGTACCCCAGTCTACACAGCCTTGTACGATCAGATTAATCGTCTCAAACCCCAAAACATGCGGTTTCCAGTTTTTCTTCTTATAGTCGTTTTTTTTAGTTCCCCCTTGGCCTGCTACGCCTCGCTTATTTTGGATTCCTATGTTTCCCAAAGGCAAATTGCCTCGTCCCCTCGTACTACGGCTACAAGTTATAGCTCGAGCTGCACGTCAGCAGTGGATCCTACGGAGACAGACGACTAATCCCGCACCCCACAGGGTCTAGGCCGGAACTCCAGCCACATACCTACGTCCTGACGAAGCCACGTAAGCTGCTGGTTCCGGTCTTTAACGCGTGGCGTTGTTGTGGTGCTTTCGGAACTTGTCATCCGGGTTCCGTAATTCCCCGTTTCTCGTGTGATGCACGGATTTAGACTGCAGAATTAACTATCGCAGAGAGTTGAATGGGTGAGCAACAAAACACAAAAAAGGAACAAGTGACAGCGGCATGCTGGAGACAACAAGAGAAAACCGTTGGAAGGTGCTATCTCGGCTCGAACAGCTGCTATAGAACCACATCATCAATGGATGGGTTATATAACAGGTCTGCTATTACAAACCGCGGGGGAAATAGCAATAAAACTACTCTTTCGTCGGATCATATCTGATACACTTATCTATCCTTGCATCGTGGGGGCTTGGCATCGTCTCGGAAAATTTCCCAACAGAGTTCCTCTGGGTTTTAATGATTGGCCTCTTCTCGAAATCATAATTTCCTCTAGGAGGAAAAGAGATAGGCGCGTTGCAGCAAGAGTCGGTTATCGAGTCACGCGACGTACCGAGCGACCTCAGAGATACCTGGAGATAGGACGTTAGTGCCATGTGTCAGCTCTATACGTATGCTGCTTGTTCGATTGGTTGACTATCATGTGTGTGTGTGCTTGCCGAGCCCATCCTGTGTATGCACGCCAAGAGAACGAGGACCAGAGAATGTACGTGGATACATACGATGGGTCTCGTGTCTCCGGATGCTCTCGTCAGCACGCGGACTAAATGCACAGCAACCCCGCCAGGTACATCGGTAATTGAAGACACCTCAGCCCGTTTTGAGTGTTTGGTATTATGTACGTGAGCGCTGGGAGGTGAAGCCAAAAACCTTGAGTCTCCTGTTTTTGGGCTTGTTGTTAGCCCTGCCATCATGAACTTTGTGCTTTGGGTTTGTGGGGACAGTGTAGTTTTTGTGCAACGCCGCAGCATGGGAAAAGTTGTTCATTTCGGTCGAGTACGTTATTCAGCCCATTATTGAATCCAATCACGTGGCAATGGTTATGGTCATATGATGGCCTCTTGCAGCAACCCTATATCGCCTCCCCTATTCCAGAATCTCCACTCTTATCCGGCGCATCTAGTCTCCTACAATTCCCATGTCTGGCTATCTATGACATGCAAATTTTTACCTTTACGTTAAAGTTCGACTAAGTTTCACTCCCCACGCTATTCTTCCGCGCCGCTGCTTTGTCTGTGTCAACGCTGGCTCCAGGGCCACCCATATATAAAATCCGTTAGCCCCCAGAGACGTAGACTCATTCGCCATAATGTCTGTTTCCCCTAACACCTCAGTCAACAAGGCGTTTGACTACGACTTTGAGAAGGAAGTTGCCGTCTCGGGCAACATTGTCAACTCTCAGGCTGCCGCCAACGGAAACGACTTCCGATATGGAGAGGAGACTGAGCTTCATCGAGGTCTCAAGGCCCGTCACATCACCATGATTGCCATTGGTGGTGCTCTGGGTACTGGTCTGGTTATTGGAACTGGTTCTGCTCTTGTTGATGGAGGACCCGGCTCCATTCTCGTTGCTTACTCGTTTGTTGGTCTTATTGTTTACCTTGTCATGTGTGCCCTCGGAGAGATGGCCACTTACCTGCCCCTTCCCGATGGATTCTCCGGATACGCCTCTCGATTCGTCGACCCTTGCCTTGGTTTCGCTGTTGGATACACCTACTGGTTCAAGTACATCATCATCACCCCTAACCAGCTGACTGCTGCAGCTCTTGTTATCCAGTACTGGCTGCCGAGAGAAAAGGTGAATCCAGGAGTCTGGATTACCGTTTTCCTGGTAGTCATTGTCGCCATCAACACCATTGGTATCAAGTTCTTTGGAGAGTTTGAGTTCTGGCTGTCGTCCATCAAGATTATCACCGTTGTGGGTCTTATCATTCTGTGTCTGGTTCTCACTCTTGGAGGAGGCCCTGATCACGACCGAAAGGGCTTCCGATACTGGAAACACCCCGGTGCCTTCAAGGAGTACCAGAAGGGTGATCTGACCATCCACGGCTCCAAGGGCCGATTCGTTGCCTGGGCTGCCTGTCTCGTCACTGCTGTCTTCGCCTACCTTGGTACCGAGCTCGTCGGTGTCACCGTTGGAGAGGCCCAGAACCCCCGACGAAACGTGCCTCGAGCCATCAAGCTGACCTTCTACCGAATCTGCTTCTTTTACATTCTGCTGGTCATGCTTCTGGGAATGAACGTTGCCTATGACGATCCCGGACTTGCCTTTGCCAAGAAGGCCTCCACCTCTGCCGCTGCCTCTCCTTTCGTTGTTGCCATCTCCAACGCCGGTATCAAGGGTCTGCCTCACGTTATCAACGCCGCCTTTCTGCTTTTCGTTTTCTCCGCCGCCAACTCCGATCTCTACATTGCCACTCGAACCCTCTACGGTCTTGCTGTCAACGGAAAGGCTCCCGCCATCTTTTCCCGAACCACCAAGCACGGTCTTCCCGTCTACGCCATGGGACTGTCCACTTGCTTCTGTGCTCTGGCCTACCTCAACGTCTCGTCTTCTTCCGAGACCGTTTTTGGCTACTTTGTCAACCTGGTGTCCATTTTCGGCTTGCTCACTTGGGTTTCCATTCTTGTCACCCACATTTTCTTCATGAGAGCTTGCAAGGCCCAGGGCATTGACCGACACCGAGATCTCGTGTGGTGTGCCCCCTTCCAGCCCTACGGCTCCTACTTTGCCCTCTTCTTTTGCATTCTCATCTCGATCTTCAAGAACTTCACCGTCTTCATCAACGGCTTTGACTACAAGAACTTCATCACCGGATACCTGGGTATTCCTCTGTTCTTGGCTCTCAACCTGGGCTACAAGTTCTTCTACAAGACCAAGATGGTGCAGCCTGAGGAGGCCGATTTCTACACTTACAAGGACGTGATTGATCGTCAGGAGGAGGAGTTCCTTGCCGAGCAGGCTCGGGAGCGAGAACTCAACCCCCCCGGCCGGGGCATGAAGATTTATGAGAACACTCTCGGACTTCTCTTTTAATTGGGTCGGAATATTTATGAGCAATATGCATGATTTGAAAACTAAGGAGCTACAGTAATTAGACCGAGTGAGCATCCACTGTAGCACGCTCAAACAGGCAGATAGCACAAGAACAGTGCATTGGAGCCATGGAGAACTTACAGGGTAAAACTTGCACCTATCTTGGTCAGCCGGATATTCCGTGGGATGTACACTCACACCCAAGACGGTAAATTGTTCCATAATTTTTTGAAGCCAAATCGCACTCCGGGCTTCTAAGGTGGTGCGGTGTGGCCTACCCCAAAAGCCTAACTAAAAAGGCTAACACGCACGGCAAAGGGCAAGTAGTTTTACGACTCCGTGACGTAATGGAGCATGTAGGAACAAGGCGCCCCCTCAGCCGCAAAGAGAGGATGGAAATAGACAACCCGAAATACGAACACAAATACGAGAGTGGTAAATCCGCCACTATTTGCAATCGTTCAAACATTTGCCAATAACCCATGCTCCCGCATAAGCATATCCTAGCGCAAGAAGCATAAGAGCGACTTTTGTTTTTATCCGCCTATTGCAGGGCATTGCAGCGTAGCGTCGTCACAGCTAAAAGTCGATCTTTGGAGTGGAGCCTAAAGTGGTTTCTGGAACGAGAATTACAGGGTTGATCTGCGCAGAAAACACACACGCGTGTATTGGTAAAGTGCAAAAACTCCGGTCTCACGTGCTACATCCAAGCTGCTGTCTCAGAGAATAAATCTGTTGAGTAACATGCCCATTCCCCGCAGTCAGTGAAACAAGATACATAACAGAACACCTCGCTCAGACCCTGCCTTGGCTGGCTGAAAAATATAGACGCTCAGTTTTTGGCTCTAATATAATAGCTGCTGGGCACTTCGAACTTCGCACTGGTCATGGGCTATCGTCACAAGCGGTGGGAAACCACATGGAACCATGTAGAATAAGCAAGTCTCCCCGTTACATTTAAACAACTGGCTTTAGTGTGCGGAATGTACAGTAGCCGGCGAGAAAAGTTTGTGATCTGCCTCTGCTATACAAGTAACTATGGCAACTACAATACGGATAAGTCGCGTGTATCATAGCCAAAACAACACTGTCTAAGGACGAGTCGAAAAAAAATAGGATCTAAAGAATATTACAAAGTATTATTTGTAGTTTGCACATGCTTAATCATTCGCACCCGAACAACCGCCCATTTTTCTTGTTTGTAATCCTGCAGGACCCACACTGGTTTTCTGTGCAGAAGACATCTTTGTTCAATCATATAGGATACGTACGAGTACTCGTACCTGTACGTACTTAATTGCACCAGTATCTGACTCTCTACAAACACGCCGACGCTACGTTGGCAACTGCGTGTTTGTATGGACGTTGCGTTGCTACAGAAGAAACATACGAAAGCTGATCTCATGGTGTCAATCATCATTCATGAATTCGTTAATAACTTAGTCGTAATTAGTTCAGAGAAGGCATAGGCGCATGCAGAATCTGGGTGACAAACTTCTTGCCGTAGCGGTTGACGGAGGCTACAGCAAGAACATTGTGCTTGATAGATGAGGTGGCCAAATGGTTCAAAACAACATGGTTGGGGGCAGGTAGCACAGAGCTGTCATCCTTCTCGTTGGAGTTGGTGTTGAGAATCACCGTATCAAGATGAGGAGGTAGATGTGGAGGCACTGCCTGGCTCTCGGGAATGTCGAGTTCGGCCACGTCCAGCGTCAGGAACATACTGGGGATCTCGTTGGTGTACTCCAGTGGTGGGGGGATGGGAGTCTCGTCCTCGTATTGCGTGATTCCGTCGTCGCCATGGCTGTGGTGGTTAGATGATGCATGGTGTGTGGTTTGGGGCTGAGTGGCAGACGTGGTTTGGGGCTTCTTGAGGTCGCCCTCTCGGCAAAGAGGAATGTTCTCTTCTGAGAACGATGCAGGGACATTGTCAGAGTCATCGTTACCGACATCCAGATAGTTGACGAGGAAGCCAGACGAGTCTGTGGCCGTACCAATGTCGTCAGCACACTTGAGCTCTCCGTCAATCACAAACCGGAACCGATGAGTGCCTTCTGGGAGATCCAGGGTGACGGAAAAGGTGCCGTCTGACTGGCGATCCATAGGCAGCATCTTTCTCCAGCCGGTGAAGGTGCCTGTGATGTATGCCTTGTTGCCTCCTTGCTTGTAGCAGATTTTGGTTCTCACAGCACCAGGCCGAGGTCCATGTCCACTGCTACTGCTCACATCATCATGGCCCTGGTACCGGAGCTCAACCTCATCGCCCGAGTCGACCCGCGACAGCGGCTTTGAGACGGCGTCTTGTCCCACCACCTCAATGTTCATGTTGGCGACATCGGTGCCTAGCTTGAGCTGTTTGAGGCCGTAGGTGAGGTTGTTTTTGTAGTAGTAGTCTTCTGAGTCGTCTTCGTCGTCTTCTGCGGGCGAGTCATCTCGCAGCTGGATCTTGGAGTTGACAATGTTGCGATTATCTGAGTCTCGTCGGTTTCCCTGGAGACCCTCGGCGACTTGGGCTCCCACGTGGAGCTTACCGAAGGGCGCTGCCTCAGAGGGCTCCAGGTATTTGGGCGAGTCTTCTGGCGTCAGAATGGAAGGGATTTCTGTCGCAACAACCACCGGAGCTTTTGCGGTGGGGCCAATATCGGCGTCCTTTTCGTCGTCAGGAGACACGGTGACAGGCTTGATGTAAGTAACCCGAGCAGAGCAGGGCTGGGCCGGGGTAACAAGTCGGTTCATGAGAGCTGATTTCTCCTGAAAAGACTTTGTGGGGATGGGTACTGCGGGGTGCGCAGAGGCGGGTCTCTGTGTTCGTTTGGGGCGAGAGGAGGCTTTGATGGCGGCGGAATGTGTTTGTGTTTGAGTCTGTGCCGGAAGCGACTGGGTGCTGGTTTGGGAGCTTTCGCTGCCCGTGGACCGCTGCTTGCGCCGGGGTTTGGATTCTGCGTTTCCCATGGTCGAAGGGGCGAGTGTTGAGGCAGAAGTCAAGGTCTCTGGGTGCTATAGATATTCCAAGAGTATGTTAAACTTGATCCAAAAGAGATTAGAATGATGCTGGGGTCATGTCAGAGTGCTGGAACCTTGTCCTTCTCCACACCAAGTCTGAGCTTAAAGACAGAAAGTCAACCTCTGGTACACTCTACGTTTTGTCCTTACAGTGGGGTAAAAGCATTTTTGTGGACAACGGACAGGTGTCTGAATAAAGATGTCGAATTTGGTTTACAGCATTAGTGGCATATCTTGTTATCAAAATGACAATTTATCAAGGGGTTAATGGTTTGGACAGACATCAACTGCGGAGGGGAGGGGGCGTGAGAGTTGATGTTCTCTCTGCACCGGTTTAAACACCCAAACTGACGACTGATTTACATTCCGTCTTTCCTAACAAAGTGCACCACACGACCCAGTCGGACCACTTAATATTTCTTTTCGCCGTAACCCTTTTTTTTCTATCTTTTTTTTTTTTAACTCTCTTGCCACAAGATGCACATCGCTGCCGCTTTCGGCAACCACACTGCAACTCCCATCTCCCACGCAGCCACATCCACAGCAATCTTGGATGTATTTGTGGAAAGAGTTGATGGGGGCACCCGAGAGAAACTTGTCGTGCTGGGTACATGGTTTCCCCCCCATTTTGAACTCAAGGACCCTGGATCAGCTACCATTGTTGCCCCAAACTGGCCAATCAACTCGAGCCAACAATAGCCCTTTGTATGCACGTTAAATTGTCTTATTTGCTCGATACAAGGGAGAGCATCAGATAGGAGACAGGGTAACAATGGCAACAATAGAACCTGTTTTGAGGCTGAAACAGAGGCTGCGGCCGCTGACGTCAACTTGGACAGTGTGTGAGAACGCTACCAACGCCAAAGACCAGTGCCAAACTATTCTCAACCGCTCTAGAGAGACAAAAGTCATCAGTGGAACGCCACATCCTATTAAGCCAAATCCGTGAAACTCCTTGCTCACTTTACCCTTTGCTTTTTCTCTGCCTCTGCCTCCAGTGTCTCACATGCCGGTAGCTATTGTTGCTCGGTGGTGCAGGGGGATGACCAGCTAAACCCGATGAGATAGACACCCACAAGACGTCAACTAAAGCGTCATGTAAGGACGAGTATTAGGGGTAGAGCCAAGAACAAAAAAAGAGACGCATATAAATACGAGCCATACAAGGAGCCGTACAAGGAAGGTCAATACGTCTACAGTACAACAACACCACCCCCACATACAGTGCAACAAGCAGTACGAGGAAGTACAACAAGCAGTGCAACAGGCAGTACAAGAAGCACACGGCATATCTCGTATGTACTCGCTCTTGTAGCCTTCTTACACACGTGAAGTCCACTTTATCGAGGTTAGTTGTTTTAATGTGGGGAAATAGCAAATTTAGTCGTCGAGAAAGGGTCCTAAAACACACACCCCATAGCTCTACTCATCTCATACGTATCATAACAAAGAACCAGCGAAGGGGTGATCTGAAAAATCTTTCAATCTGACAGGCCACGTAAGGATACAAAAACGAACTGAATGCACTGTACAGACCACACGCCTCTGTCGTGACACTGCATGGTTGCAGTGGACGAAAACAGAAACGCCTGGCGTTACAAAGCCGAGGGAGACAGCCTTGACAACTTGGTTGTTGCAGTATGGTTACTGTACTGAACCGACTTTGGTGCTTGCACTCTAAATGGATCAAACATTAGGATAATGGAGAGAAGCGATGAGTAGATCTTCTTATAGAGTGGGAATGGTTCAGTTGATTGGATGAGAGAAAGTGCCAGTCAGTTATGAATCGTGTTTTGAAGAATTCATGTCACACAAACCGATCTCTATCTCTTCTCAAACCCCTCCAACTTACCGTCTCATCTCGCCTCAAGGAAACCTAATTCTACATCCGAGAGACTGCCGAGATCTGTTCGGAAATCAACGGATGCTCAACCGATTTCGACAGTAATAATTTGAATCGAATCGGAGCCTAAAATGAACCCGAGTATATCTCATAAAATTCTCGGTGAGAGGTCTGTGACTGTCAGTACAAGGTGCCTTCATTATGCCCTCAACCTTACCATACCTCACTGGATGTAGTGTACCTCTAAAAATGAAATACAGTGCCAAAAGCCATGGCACTGAGCTCGTCTAACGGACTTGATATACAACCAATTAAAACAAATGAAAAGAAATACAGTTCTTTGTATCATTTGTAACAATTACCCTGTACAAACTAAGGTATTGAAATCCCACAATATTCCCAAAGTCCACCCCTTTCCAAATTGTCATGCCTACAACTCATATACCAGACACTAACCTACCAAACACCACTAAAAACCCCACAAAATATATCTTACCGAATATACAGTAACAAGCTACCACCACACTCGTTGGGTGCAGTCGCCAGCTTTAAAGATATCTATCCACATCAGCCACAACTCCCTTCCTTTAATAAACCGACTACACCCTTGGCTATTGAGGTTATGAGTGAATATACTGTAGACAAGACACTTTCAAGAAGACTGTTTCCAAAACGTACCACTGTCCTCCACTACAAACACACCCAATCTGCTTCTTCTAGTCAAGGTTGCTACACCGGTAAATTATAAATCATCATTTCATTAGCAGGGCTGGGCCCTTTTTATAGAGTCTTATACACTAGCGGACCCTGCCGGTAGACCAACCCGCAGGCGCGTCAGTTTGCTCCTTCCATCAATGCGTCGTAGAAACGACTTACTCCTTCTTGAGCAGCTCCTTGACCTTGTTGGCAACAAAGTCTCCGACCTCGGAGGTGGAGGAAGAGCCTCCGATATCGGCGGTAGTGATACCAGCCTCGACGGACTCCTTGACGGCAGCCTCAACAGCGTCACCGGCGGGCTTCATGTTAAGAGAGAACTTGAGCATCATGGCGGCAGACAGAATGGTGGCAATGGGGTTGACCTTCTGCTTGCCGAGATCGGGGGCAGATCCGTGACAGGGCTCGTACAGACCGAACGCCTCGTTGGTGTCGGGCAGAGAAGCCAGAGAGGCGGAGGGCAGCAGACCCAGAGAACCGGGGATGACGGAGGCCTCAGCAACAGACTTGAGCACCTTGACGGCCTCGGCAATCACCTCGGGGCCACAGAAGTCGCCGCCGAGAAGAACAATCTTCTTGGAGTCAGTCTTGGTCTTCTTAGTTTCGGGTTCCATTGTGGATGTGTGTGGTTGTATGTGTGATGTGGTGTGTGGAGTGAAAATCTGTGGCTGGCAAACGCTCTTGTATATATACGCACTTTTGCCCGTGCTATGTGGAAGACTAAACCTCCGAAGATTGTGACTCAGGTAGTGCGGTATCGGCTAGGGACCCAAACCTTGTCGATGCCGATAGCGCTATCGAACGTACCCCAGCCGGCCGGGAGTATGTCGGAGGGGACATACGAGATCGTCAAGGGTTTGTGGCCAACTGGTAAATAAATGATGACTCAGGCGACGACGGAATTCGACAGCAACTACTCCTTTCACCAACCATGTGCATTTTAGCTCGAATAACATTCACAGGCTTGGTGATCTACATCCATGGTGTCTGGCCGATTACCGTGGTGTTTTGGCAGTAACGAGAATATTGAGTGGACTCTTCCCATCACCAATAAAGACTCATACTACAATCACGAGCGCTTCAGCTGCCACTATAGTGTTGGTGACACAATACCCCTCGATGCTGGGCATTACTGTAGCAAGAGATATTATTTCATGGCGCATTTTTCCAGTCTACCTGACTTTTTAGTGTGATTTCTTCTCCACATTTTATGCTCAGTGTGAAAAGTTGGAGTGCACACTTAATTATCGCCGGTTTTCGGAAAGTACTATGTGCTCAAGGTTGCACCCCACGTTACGTATGCAGCACATTGAGCAGCCTTTGGACCGTGGAGATAACGGTGTGGAGATAGCAACGGGTAGTCTTCGTATTAATTCAATGCATTGTTAGTTTTATATGATATGGTGTCGACGTGTCTTAACGAGATCTTGCCGGTACAGTCTGGTCTATCTGTAATCTTTTTCGTCAACACGGAAAACGACTCCGGCGTCGGTGCACCCCATTAGTGTTCCATCCACCCAACTGAGAGCTGCCACCTCCATGGCTCCATTCACGTTGGTCATGCTTCCAGACGCGTCCGCTGCGACCCGTCGTCCCTCCATGCCTCGAGACACAGTAGAGAGACTGTCAGGAAGAGAGAAAACGTTGACAGTCTCAGATCCTTCCCCGACGGCAAGATAGCCGTCAGTAATGGCAGATCCAGAGTAAAATGACCGGGCTTCTACAGGTGCAGAAACCACAGGAGGTTGCCACGAGTCCAGATTCGGACTGAGAACTGTGTCCATGCCCAGATAAGCACCATAGTTACAACTGTAGCCACACACGGACTTGTGACCCACAGAGTACAGAATATTGGACTGCTTATCGTAGTGCAGGTCGGTGACCCCGCTCTTCTCTTCGCTTTTGAACAGAGCCACGGGTTTGGACGCTCTCCCCTCCACGAACATGATTCCACTGTGACCATCTTGTTTAAGGTACCGGGTGTCCCAGATTCGAATTTCAGAGTCAGTACCGCAAGCTGTAGCCAGAGTAGTGTCTGTGATCCAGTCGATGGCCGTAAGACCGGGCTTGACGGCCTTCTCGATCTTGGTTAGTCGAGGTCCCTTGCCAAACAGAGTATGATGGGCATTAGCGTGGAGATTCATAATGGGTTCTTCAGAACGAGCATCAATGACGGTCACGGATCCCGACCGAGACGCGGCTGCCAGTAGCTGCGCAGAGTCATGAGAGGCCACTTTTCGGACTGAACCTCCGTTTCCACAGAAATACTGTCTGACAATGACGTCTTCATTCTGAGCAGTTTCCCACAGAATGACAGATTTGTCTCCCGAAGCGGTGGCCAGGAAATCAGGCAGTCCAGCCCCAGTACTCATATCGAGAATGGCGTTATTGTGCATCTGAATGGTGTTGACATGTTGCAGCTGTTTGTTGACATTGACTGCTTTGCCGTCTTGGGTTCCGATCCAAAAGCCATTTGTTGAGCTGGAAGAAACGCCGCAAAGGACAGGAAGAGGACAATCTTCGATGGCCACGGCTATTCCCGTTGCCTGGGCGTATCTATGGGGTATGGGATTCTGGGTCATGATATGGCGTCTGAGACCGTCCATTTCGCGCCACTGAAGACGAGACAGAAAAGATGCATTGTGAGAGAGACTGTTGATGCCAGATCTCAGGTGAGAAGGCAGACAGACAGCGATTTCAAATGGAACAGGGCTTTTTTCAAGCGTGCTGAACTCGGCGGAGGTGTAGTCGTCTGTTCTCTTGATAGGCGAACTTGAAGGCGGGCTAGGAGGATATTCGTGACGTCGTTTTTTTGTGGCTCCAAAGTCGAAGATGGACGCCTGACGTCGTTTATTGAGCTGCGACGGCGAGAACTCCTGGAGAGGATGTGACATTTGTGCTGTGGGGAGTTGCTTGTTGGATTTGTTGTATTCTGTCCTTCAAGCAGTATTATATTTGTCAAGGCTGGGCCAATTTACGCGCGTCTCGCATGCACCACGCGTAGACGTGACACTTTAATTAGAGAAGAGGAGACACGTGTTTGAAAGCGTGGGAGGGGGTCTGAAGAGATAAAAGCCCACATTTATCTGTTTAAACAGGTACGACAAACATTGTATCACGCGATACCCTCTCTGCTGTCCTCAATTCCTCCTAAACACTCACTTCTCCTTTCCGGCTTGCCATTGGTGGCGTGAAAGAGCCATGCCATACTACGGACAGTTGAGAATTTCGTGATGACACATTCACCAGGCACCAGGTACAACCAAACTATGTGTCAGGTACGCACGTGATAACAGTACCAACAGAAATTGTACCCATTCTGTCACAGTGTCTTCTCCTATGTCGTGATCTATATGAGCCACATTCTCTCCTACTATTCACATCAGATTATGAAAGCTGCACTGTAGCTAAAAGGTTGGGAATTTACTGTAGGAAAACTGCACATACTGTAGAGAGCTGGGAGGAAGAGATATCAAATAATATAGCTTAAATCAACATGTGGAGATCTACTACTTTATAAGAACAATACCGTACAAGTGCACAAGTACATAGTTGCAGTCATGTTACAGCATCTGGACGACCTCAAAGTCAGTGTCTACCCAATCAGGAACACCCTAACCCTCCATATCCTTGTCGCCGCGTACATATTAAACTCTGGCCGGGTAAGTGGCATCTTGCCGGGGAAAAGGGTTTGAAAGATTCTTGTACAGAACTTCTCCCATTGGCCAGAACCCTAAAATGCGGTTAGGGCACCTCAGGCTAACAAATGTGGCTATCGCCCAAACTCCTCCTCCTCTAGCCAGACAAAGTACCCGCCCCTGACCTCTTGTTTGGCAACCACTGTCGCTTCAAAGTCACGCGTCTCGTCGACGAGATGAACACGCACCGCAGACACACTGTGGCATTGGTCTGCGCCTGTGCCACGCCCGCTGGACACTACACTACGGCGCTGTCCTGGTCACGTCCTGTCTGTGTCCCCGCCATCTCCTAGGCCCTGTGGTATCATATCCAAATATGCTTTGGACGTGTATCGGGGCGTTTTTGGAGTGTGGCTACGGCGTCAGAGAGCTCGTGGCACCGTCTAGGACCTACAGAGGTGCTCTAGGGCGTCGCACAAGGGCTGGGTCGCCCGGATCATCGCAGCCATGGTGCCCACACGCGTGCTCATGTACTCTGCTGCTCACCTCCGTGACTGACATCGCCAGACGCGTCACCTGGCGGAAGAACTCTTGGTGTGAAGCTTTGTAAACACAGGGCGTGAAGCTCTGTCTACCGCTGTGGTGACTCCTTACGTAGAATCTCGGGGACAACCATGACGATGTTGTGATTGTGTCTCCGCCGTAACTTTTCATGTCCTTACTCTGTATCTTTCATAGCGCAATTCATTCCACTCTCCCACAAACAATAACCCGTACCATCCCCACTGTTTCTGCATATACACATTACTGTGTTGCTGTCGTCACGCTCTTTTTTTTTGCCGACATTTTCTCTTCATCCATCGCTCACAGAACCGCGCAACAGCACAACGGAGAAGGAACCAGAGACTTGATCACGTCTCTTTTCCTCACACAAAAGCACAACCACGACGCCAGAAACACAGACAGAAGGTCATCAACCCCTCTGCATTTTCCCCGCCGCCCACAGCGTTTGATATACGTCCATTAGCAGGTTGTGGTAACAATGGTGAGTACACTGGACTGAAGATGGCATGGTGGAGAATAAGTGGGTGATAACTGTCACAAAGAGATGGTAGAGACAGGCTACGATGCTCTATCTACCCACAAAAGTCACCATGTTGCTGTTACTAACCCTAGAACCCCGACTTCAACGACGACCCCGAGCTCTATGGGCTGCGACGGTCCCGGAGATCAGCGGTGACTACGGCCAACGAGGCCCGCAAGAGATACGTCGACTATTCGTCGTCGGAAGAGGACGTGCCCAAACGTCCCCAGAGAAAGAAGCAGGCCAAAAAGAGCAACGGAATCGTCCTCTCCGACGAGAGCGAAATGTCTCTGGATGATGAGGAATCAGAGGAGGACGATGAGGACTCTGAGGAGGACGACTACGCACCGACCAAGAAGGCTAAGAAATCGTCTTCTTCCAGACGCAAGGGTGGACGAAACAAGTCGTCTGCCCGAGAGCCGTCCCCCGACTACCAGAACCTGCGGTTCTCGTCTCGTAACGCCAAGGTGGTCAACTACAATATTGACCATGACGATGACGAATTTCTGGAGGACGAGGATGAGGACGCTCTGCAGGACGCATACGGTGATGCCGCTGCTAATGACACATACGACTACGCCACCACCACGTCCACCGAGGCGGTGGATATGGTGCTGGACCATCGTCGAAAAGAAGGCGACGACGACTCGCAGATTACAGATCTGTTTGACGCCAAGCGACACCTCGAGTTCTACATCAAGTGGCAGAACTACTCGCATCTGCACAACACGTGGGAGACGTACGATTCGCTGGCCGGCTTCAAGGGAATCAAGCGAGTCGATAATTACATCAAGCTCAACGTGCTGGAGTATGCAGAGCTGCAGCGAGATGCATCCCCCGAGGATATCGAGGCCATGGAGCTGCGACGCGAGCGCGAACAGGAGGAGTACGCTGAGTATAAACTTGTTGAGCGAATCATTGCATCAGATCGTGTCGCTGTCGACAATGGAGCCACTCAGTTGCAGTATCTCGTAAAGTGGAAGCGACTCAACTACTCGGACGCCACCTGGGAAGATGCCGAGGAGATCGCCAAGATTGCCGAGGACGAAGTCGAGCGGTTCCAGGACCGGCTCAACTCGAAAATCAATCCCAGCCAGAGCGCAGTCTACCCTGCCAACTCACGTCCTCCGTTTGAGAAGCTTACCGAGCAGCCTGGCTTCATCAAGGGTGGTGAACTTCGAGACTTCCAGCTGACCGGAATCAACTGGATGGCCTTCTTGTGGTCTCGAAACGAAAACGGTATTCTTGCCGACGAAATGGGACTCGGTAAAACCGTCCAAACCGTTGCATTTCTCTCATGGCTTGTGTACGCTCGAAAGCAGCACGGGCCCCACCTGGTGGTAGTTCCTCTGTCTACTGTGCCTGCCTGGCAGGAGACCTTTGAGTTCTGGGCGCCTGGTATCAACTACCTCGCATATCTCGGCAACACCGAGTCTCGAAAAGCACTTCGTGACCACGAATTCTACAACAAAACTGGTAACAAGAAACCCAAGTTCAATGTTCTTCTGACCACCTACGAGTACATTCTTAAGGACCGAGCCGAGCTGGGGTCCATCAAGTGGCAGTACCTGGCTGTTGACGAGGCCCACCGTCTCAAGAACGCCGAGTCAGCTCTCTACGAGTCTCTCAAGGAGTTCCGAGTCGCAAATAGACTGCTCATCACCGGTACTCCGCTGCAGAACAACATCAAGGAGCTGGCTGCTCTGGTTGACTTCCTGATGCCTGGCAAGCTCACCATCGATCTGGAAATTAATTTTGAGAACCCTGACGAAGAGCAGGAGGGTTACATTCGTGAGCTTCATAAGCGCCTGCAGCCTTTCATCTTGCGTCGACTCAAGAAGGATGTCGAGAAATCACTGCCCTCTAAGACAGAGCGAATTCTGCGAGTCGAAATGTCCGACATGCAGCAGGATTACTACAAGAACATCATTTCCAAAAACTACACGGCTCTGAACGCCGGAGCCACCGGAGGTCACCAGATGTCACTTCTCAACATCATGACGGAGCTCAAGAAGGCCTCCAACCATCCGTACCTGTTCCCCACTGCCGAGAGCAAGTTCCTCAGCTTGGCTGAGAACGGCGCTTCTCGAGAAAACGTCTTCCGAGGCATGATTATGACCTCTGGTAAGATGGTTCTTCTCGATAAGCTGCTCACTCAGCTGAAAAAGGACGGTCATCGAGTTCTGATTTTCTCCCAGATGGTTCGAATGCTCGACATTTTAGGCGATTATTTGCAGATTAAGGGCTACCAATTCCAGCGTCTGGATGGTACTGTCCCCTCTGCCACCCGTCGAATTGCAATTGACCATTACAATGCCCCTGACAGTAACGACTTCGTCTTCTTGCTGTCCACTCGAGCTGGAGGTTTGGGTATCAACCTGATGACGGCCGATACAGTCATCATTTTTGATTCGGATTGGAACCCCCAGGCTGATCTGCAGGCCATGGCTCGAGCCCATCGAATCGGTCAGAAGAACCACGTGATGGTCTATCGATTTGTGTCCAAGGACACTGTTGAAGAGCAGGTTCTCGAGCGTGCCAGAAAGAAGATGATTTTGGAGTACGCCATCATCTCCCTTGGTATCACCGACAAGGGTTCTTCCAACAACAAAAAGACTGAGCCGTCGACCTCGGAGCTGTCTGAGATCCTAAAGTTTGGCGCCGGAAATATGTTCAAGGCCAACGATAACCAGGACAAGCTGGAGAACATGAACCTAGACGATGTTCTGAACCACGCAGAGGACCATATCACCACTCCTGATCTCGGCGAGAGTCATCTTGGCGGCGAGGAGTTCCTTAAGCAGTTTGAGGTCACTGACTACAAGGCCGATGTTGATTGGGACGACATTATCCCTGCCAACGAGCTCGCCAAGATCAAGGCTGACGATCTGCGTCGAAAGGACGAGGAGTACGTCAAGGAACAGATGGATCTAATGAATCGACGTCGAGCTGCCTCTCAGCGTGCCTCCACTGCTGCTCTTGAGTCCTCTGACGAAAATGAGGAGAGTGGAGGGCGGCGTGTGGTCAAGCGCAAGAAGGAGGACAAGTTCCTCAACGAGCGGGAGATCAGAGGTTTGTACCGAACAATTCTACGTTACGGCGACGTCTCCGTCATGTGGGATAAGCTTTTCAACGACGGTACTTTGCCCCAGCGAAAGTCCGATCTCATCAAGGAAGCCTACTTTGACCTCATTGACCAGAGTAAGCGGGAGGTTGAGGAGCGAGAAAAGCAGATCAAGGAAGAGGCTGAAGCTGCTGCCGCTGCTGCGGCAAAGGCTGCTGCTTCTCGAGGCGGTGGAGATACTGCCCTGGACGAGAAGAAGCCCTCCAACACCAAAAAGGCCGTTCTTTTCACCTTCCAGGGCGTCAAGAACATCAACGCCGAACTGCTCATCTCACGACCAGCCGACATGAAGCTCATTCGAAGCCAGGTGACGGACACTTTCAAGTTCGACGAACCTCTCAAGAGTGTGCATGGCTGGAACTGTGAGTGGGACGAGGACTGTGACGCTCGTCTGCTCATTGGTACCAAGAAGTACGGTTATGGAGCCTGGACCTTCATTCGAGACGATCCACGTCTCAAATTTGGAGACAAGTTCTACCTTGAGGAGCACCGAGTTGACAAGAAGGAGGCTCGAGAGAAGACTGGAGCCAAGGTTCCTGGTGCCGTTCACCTCGGTCGTCGAGTTGACTACCTCATCTCTGTTCTCAAGGGCGAGGCTGTTCACACCAACAACGATGGCAACAAGAAGCGAATTGCCATCAAGGAGCGTGTTCGAAAGAGCGAATCTCCCGCAGTGTCCACTCCTCAACCTCCCAAGAAGGCTGCTATCAAGCGAGATCCTTCCATCAAGCGAGATCCTTCCATCAAGCGAGAGACTCCCAAGCGAGAGACTCCTGTCCCCAAGAAGATTCCTGGACCTCCCACGGCTGACGACTACTCAGACTATGAGTCAATGGACGATGAGGCGTGTCGAACGACTCTCAAACCTGTCAAGGCGTCTCTGAAGCGCCTCAAGAAGGGCGAGGATGGTTTGGACAAGAAGGCCTGGCTGGAGGTCCTCAAGAAGGAGCTGTCCACGGTGGGCCACCACATCGACTCCGAAGCCCAGAAGGTCTCTGATAAGAAGCGGGAGAAGACTCTCAAGCATCTGTGGGCGTTTGCATCCTTCTTCTGGCCCAGCAGAGTCAAGAGTAACCGTATCCGGGCAATGTACGAGAAGGTCAGCGGAGCCGCCAAAAAGTAGACTTCCAAAGTCTACTGTAACGCATCATGTAATCATATTAAAGTAATCAATATTTGTATTTTATATCGGTGTGACTAGCTCTCGTAAGCCGGTAGTGGTGGTTGCTTCTCAGGTAAGGAGGCCACGGATCGTACTGGCAATGGCAAACTTGGATCAGTGTCGTTGCTTAGAGCGTTTTCTCGATGGAAGATCGTCACAGGAGTGCTGATATTATGGTCGAAGAATCGTCTTCTCTTAATGTTACCTTGGGTCTCCAGTAACGAGAATCTCAGCGTGCTCTGGAGAGAGTGTGAGGTGGGCGCTGGATGGCTTGTCTTTGTGGTTGGGTTGATGTGGTCTGTGAATTTCCTCAGCGAAAACTTGTAGTTTAGATCTGTGTGGTCTGAGCCGTAGTCGAGAAGATTTCCCTTGCAACATGTGTCCAGAAAGTGTTGTTTGTACTCGTAGCCGCTCTCTTCAATCTCCTTGAGTTCGTTTTCATGCTGTTCAAGCAGATCAGGCGTCATGTAATGTTGGCAGTAGACGTTGTACACTCTGACAGGATCCCCCTCGTTTTCGATGATTGAAAAGTGTACACTTGTGAGTCTCAGTGACTTGACGAGAGGTGAGATAGAAATGTTGGCCCTGATAGTGTCATCGAACGAGATTGTTTTCGCTGAGAAAAGATAGGTGGTGTCAGCCTTCTGAGCCCATGCTGACGACAAGACAATAGGCATAGACAGCTGCTCAATAGGTTGTCTTCTGAAGTAGAAAGGAATAGAATGAAAATGTTCAACTGGCTTACCCAAAGGGTTCAGTTGCTTCTTTTTCCTCCAGCTTATTTCCATTCTATAGACAACATACAGAGCAGGAGGTTTGTTCTTTCCATCATTGGCAGATTTCTTTTGGCCCAGCAGTCTCACCTTTGAAAGGGGTTGTTTCTTGGTTATCTCGATTGACTCTGGAATCGTCGAGTCTAGGAACCCCGCCAGTTCAAAGTGGTGTTTTCCCTGCGGAACCATGAAGCTCTCAGCCGTGTGTTCACTCGACGAAGGTTGGACCAGTTTGTGCTTTACCGAGTTGATATTCCACTGGACGAGAGTGGTCTTAGAGTCCCTAGTCTTCTGAGTCAGCTTGACGGTCATGTCGATGATGTTCAGGTCTCGTGACGCCTCAATGGTGAGCCTAGGGGAGATGAAGGTGGTGGCCACAGCTTCGTTGAAGGTGGGCAGTTCATGGTCGAACAGCGAGTCCTGGTCGCTTTCGGTGTCGGACTCGTCGAGACTGGGCAGCCATGCCGTGGTGCTTTTGGCTGATAGTGTGACTGAAGGCATTTCTGTTCAAGTTGGCTGAAATTTCAGGCTTCTCAAAACCTGGGGCTTAGACGCTTATATGATGCAGACCGGCTGCGCGCAGCTCCCCCAGATAACGCATGTTAATAGCAATACCTAAGGTTCGTGGCTACTGTACTTTCACCAGCTAATGTCACATGGAAGTTACACACAAAGGAAGACTGACAAAGGCCACACTACAAGTAGACTACTGTAGACAGGTGAAGAGATCGGATTCCGAAGGGCTGTGAGGTGGTACCAGCAAGTATCGAGTCGTGACACGGGACATCTGTGGTTCTGAGGAGCCTTTCAGAAACAATCCTGAGATAGCTCTAATTACGATCGAATGCAAGTGCGGACCAACGTGTGATGAGAATCTCCGTCTCTCATGTCATTCCAAGTGACGTCAATCATGACTATCACTGGAGTGGCCTTTGTTCAAGAACATACGGGGTTAGGCTCGTTTTAATCTCTGTCGATTTTTGCTTGCACGCGCGACAATAGGTGGTCGTTAAAGCGGTTGAGTCTAAGAGTGATGATGGAAAAGCAGTCATTCCAAGAATTTGACGGATCCGGTATATACACGACTTAGACAGTTCATACAGGTGCCATACTTGCAACTGTCATACAACCAATTCGCTACAGGCTTATCTCTGAAATACACCTGTGTCGTGGCGGCTGCCGAGACATGGCGAACGCTAAATGACATTTTCGAGTGAACATTACCGGTCTGGTATAATATCCGTCTATGCATGGATTCAGTCTTGTAGATATAAGAGAACATCCCATGATCATGGCTCTGGCAATCACCATGCACCAACGGCCGAAGAAGGTGCGTCTCAAGTGTACCGTGTACATGAATCAAGCGAATACGAAGATAGCAGATAAATCTACAACTTGATGAGGAAGAGGTTGTAATATGGCAACCCCGATACCACACGTGCCTAATATGACCTTTCAAACCCCCTTTATTAGTCATTCGTAGTAATACAGGGACGTGCTTCCTGTCATTGTTTTGGACATATGCAACATCCAGAACCTTACTGTAGAGTCGCCGATGATGATATCACATGTGAACTGTTTGTAGTTAGCTGGTATTCAGGAGCCCAATATCAACTAAGGAATGACAGGCGATACAAGGAAAAAAACTGGGGACTCTTAATGTTGATATCATAAAATGCCTAAGCGTACACACTCGTCGGCGTGCACTTGTCGGTGTGCACTTGTCGGCGTGCAAACTTAACTTGTTTTCCCCATTTATAAGATAAGGGCGAGGGCTTACCTTTTAAGCTTAGGACTCTCTCCCAAGGGTTAGGACACGCTCGGATCAAGTATCACCTCATTTAGGACACGATCACACAATCGCACGGTTGCCATCTACGCCCCCACTAGCCACGTCCGGCACCCCCCACTAACCCAATGGTTGATTAGATTTCATTTATAGCAACGGAATCAACGCCTGGTTGCGAGAATTGTCATTTTATTCCCAACCACCTATCAAATCAACTCCCTCACAATGTCCGTTTCCATTCCTCTTCGAGCGCTGTCAAGCGGTTATAACATCCCTGCCATTGGTCTTGGCGTGTACCAGAGTGCAGACGCCGAAACCATTGTCTACGAGGCCCTCAAAAAGGGTTACAGACTGGTGGACACTGCCCAGGAGTATGGCAATGAAGCTGCCACTTGTCGGGGTATTTCCAAGTTCCTGAAGGAGACTGGAACTAACCGACGAGAGGTCTTTTACACCACCAAGCTGGACGACGCCACTGGAGGATATGAGGGCACCATGCAGCTGGCTGAGGCTCGCCTAGCTGAGGCTCGAAAGGGCGGTATTGATTACATTGATCTGCTTCTGATCCATGCTCCTTTCTCCAAGTCTCCCTACACCGAGACCCGACTGGCTGCTTGGAAGGCTCTTACCGAGCTGGTTGACGGAGGAGCCATTCGAAGCATTGGAGTGTCCAACTACGGAGTTAAGCATCTGAAGGAGTTCTGGGACGCTGATGTCAAGTACAAGCCTGTTCTGAACCAGGTTGAGTCTTCTCCCTGGAACGTGCGACAAGATATCCACGACTTTTGCAAGTCTCACAATGTCATTGTCGAACAATACTCTCCTCTGTGTCGAGGCAATCGATTTAAGGAGCCCGGTGTTCTCAAGCTGGCTGACAAGTACAAGAAGACTCCTGCCCAGATTCTCATTCGATGGAGTCTGGATAAGGGAATGCTTCCCATTCCCAAGACCGACAACGTGGACCGTCTGAGTCCTAACCTCGACGTCTTTGATTTCAATCTGACTCCCCAAGAGGTCGAGGACCTTCAGGATCTCAACTCGTATACTTGTTACGAGTGGGACCCCACCGTTACCAAGTGATCACATTAGTTCACAAACACGATACATACACATAACGCAAACAGCGTGAATAGCTCAATCAAGACAGAGTACAGTGGTTCAATTGTCTTTATTATATGTAAAACACTCTATAACTCTTTACAAAACATTGTAGCGCTAGCAATCATTCTTGCCCTTGCAATCGTTTGTGGGCTTCAAGTACTCTGTCTCTGTAACGGTGTACTCTCGATGAAGGGTCTTGGTGACAGGGTTGTCATAGGTCTCAGACTCAGTTCGGGTCTTGACAACAGTACGGTCCTTCTGGTAGGTCTCCGTGACTGTCACTGGAGGAAGCTTGAAGGTTTTGGTGGTAGTGACCGGGATCTTGACCGTGGTGGTCTGGACAGGCAGCTTATAAGTCTTGGTGATGGTCTGGTAGGCGGTCTTGATCACAGTCTTAAGCATGGTCTTGTACCGAGTCTTCCAGGCGGTTCGGGTCTTGGGCTTCTGCTTGATCCACTTGGTGAAGGTCTTTTCTCGGTACAGAGTCTCGCAGCACTCCTTCTTCTTCCACAGCTGTCCAGACTCGTCCCACTCCCACTCCTCCTTGGGAGGGGGGTTGGTCCATTCTCGGCCAGGGTCAGAATCATCGATCTCAATGTTGTATCCGTTCTCATCGTACTGGAGATCGTCTTCATCCGCGTCAATGACATCGATGAACTCGTGGTCACTGTCCCCGCCATCGTAAAGTTCCTCACCATCGAGGTAGGTGATGTTGTCCTCGTCGATCCAGATGACACCATCGCTATCTTCGCCAACGTAGATGAGCTCATCATTCGCCGACAGAGGAGCGTAGGTAGGATGGGCAGCAGGGTTGGGCGGGACTGTGATAGTGGACTTGTCCACATTACCCGCCAGAACAGCGGTTACCAGAGAAACCAATACAGTCTTGTTGAAGAGCATTGTAGGGCGCCAAACGGAGATGCTCCATGTAGAGATATCTCTCTCGTTATTATATACTCACATCATCGAGAATCTGACAAGTGCACCTTCCCATTCCACCATCTCAAGTCCTTACTCCAGGAAACAATAAATGAATCTCTCAGGTGGAGGTCGGTACAGTCACGACATATACTATGAACTGCTTGTAAACACCAGGTTTAGCCGTGCGATGACTTTTTCACCTCTAAAACTGTCCATAAATCTATCCCACAAATCGTCCATAAATGTCCAACTTGCAGTTGCCACTTCCATGTCCCGCTTAGTCTAAGGTTTGCACATTGCATAAAATCGTGTTAGTTTCGAAGATGGCGATTGTGGCGGCTTCTTCATGTCCCTGGGCAAAGTCATGGTGGAAAAGACTCTGGAAAATATACCTCTGGAAGTTGTTTCCGAAATATTCACCCAATGCGACGGCACATCTCTTTCCCGACTATGTGCCACTTCGAAACGGCTCCGTGATATCATTCATGTATACCTCCCCCACAAGTATTATGGCGCATTATGCACCGAGCACTTGCCTTTCCGACGTTTTGACGCCAGGTACGTACCCAAGCAGCCAAAAGAGTGGGTGAATGAGTGCAGTAAGCTCTTCGACTGTCTCAACGGGTTGAACAAGCCTATTCCTTTCTGCTTTGATGAGTATGTCTCTATCTGGACAACATCCAAGTTGCTAATTCAGAGTCACGAGGAGCTGGCAGAGACTCCCGACAAATACGAGGTTTCGGTGGCCGATGTTGTTCCTGAGACTCCACAGGAGGTCGAGGATAACGAGAGTGGTCAGGAGGACGACGAAGGATCCATGTCAAGTGATGATAATGACACCACACAACCAGAGCCCAGAAGACTGTACACGGATCCACATAAAAGGCTGCATTTTGTGCATCATGAGTGGTTACCACAGAATTCAACGCCTCTAAATGATTCTGTTCCCTGTCGTCAAAAGTCCTGGTATACCGGTGGACCTCCATACACCATAGGAGGACGCATGGAGTGGATTGACTCTGATGGAGACATTTTGAAACACTATGGTTTGGATCTCAGAACAGGAGAGGCGAGTATTGAGAAGCAGTGGGACTTTAGGAAATTCACCGAGCTGTTTGTGCATCCTCGTGACAGACCAATCATGATCTCACCAGAGGGAGATATTGTCGCGGAGGTACTATACAATGGAGCCTATCTTGTCAACTTCACCAAAGGCTGGTATTATTACTTTTTGGAAGGAGTGCTACACAGAGTCAGGGGTCATGTTCGCCAGTCCAGCAGAGCACCCATAGCCGAAGGACTAATAGACACTCATGGTACCAACGGTCTTCATGTATGGCCGTTATCTGACAGGTTTCTGTTCATCAAGCTGGAGGGAGGCTCCATGTGGTGTGTGCATTTAGTTGATTGGGAAACTGGACTGTGGCATTTCATGATGGAGTCGGAAGACACTCGAGTAGTCATCTTGTATCCCAGCTACTCAGGCATCATTTATGTTCATGGGCGAAACGACTACGTGGTGGGACTCATGCCCAAATTCAGCGCCGACTACACGAACCTCACGTGGTACGAGGTTTCACGGAATTATGGGATGCAGAATACTCAGTCGTACTATTCTCTGCTGTTCGACTTTAACTACGTTCCTGATACTCTCACAGGTCGGTTTGCGTGGGGACTGGACCGCATTGTTGATTTTGAGAGTGTCACTGCGGAGGTAGCACAGGGGGACTCGTATGCCATGGTCCTCAACAACGAGGACGGAAAGGTATACTGCTATGTGTTTCTCTACCACTTCACCAGGAGCGCCATAAAGTTCATCAGGGAGGATCTTGCGGAGGCTGATGGGTCCATCACGCTGGATATCAACCGCATCTTCCATGAACCTGTTCAATGATGGGGAGGTTGTGGATTGTCCCGCAAGACAGGGTTGGAATGGACTACTAGAATACGAGCTGGGCATGTATATATATAGATGATGTTAATTTATTTGAATTCCATCGATTCATATTAATTTCTTGCGTATTAATCTGATTATCCTTCACAATCCTCATAGAGTTCGACGACGTTATCATGCATATTCTGGCCGGTTCCGGCACTGGTCTTTGTCTGGCATGCACTGCCAGATTAAATTAGTCTAGAAGCCTGACACCAGGCGCATCGACCGTCGTCTGCGGATTTTCTGGGCTCCGAAATGATGTACTGTAGCAATTGTGAGGTCATTGGAGTGCGGAGGTCCTAGTAGCAACCGGCTCAAAACAACCTCATTCTTAACAGATGGTGCATATTTTGGAGTGCCCATCCGAAGCACTAGGCGACCCACCATTAGCTACGATATCCTCCCCCACGTTTTAGCCCATTTTAATCTCCCTCTACCCCACAAGTTGTCTCCGATTGTTTAGGCCCATGGACATTTTTACATTTTTAGGGGTGGTTTTAAGTCTGTCACACGTTTTAGCATGTACGTGGTCAGTCATAAATCTAATCACGCCGGTATCGCTGCCGGACTTTAGCCCTACAGTGCAAGGTGACTCTTTGATGTGTGATGCGCCAACCAGTTATTTTCGCACTGTACTCGTAGCGAATGCATCAAACACTCCGCGGGTGTCGTTTCTTGGACGTGGCATGCTGGGCGGCAAGTTTCCCATGCCAAGACTCTCTTGCTCATGTATGGTGAAACGTCTCCTCTCAACCTCCAGTATCGTGGGACGTGCTTTGACCTCCCGACAACTCCCGACTTTTTTTGCAGGCCGATACAGGCCAATAGACTGTAGACGTCTGTATCTGTTAGCATACCTACTGCAGAGTAACTGTTGAGCCAATTGTTCTACTGTACAGAAACGGTAACTATGACACAAGTACGAGTATGAGCACGAGCACGAGCTCTGGTATGTATTGTGCTAGACTACGGAAAATACTCTGCGCCCTCTTTCTCTGTGCTTACGTGGATTTCTGATGGGTCGATACAGAGAAAGATGCAGCCTCTCTGACTCAGGGACGAATTCTATCTGCCCCGAACACGGTAGGTGGTGTAGGTGTAATGGTACATCTCATACAGAGCAACACCGAGCAGCCACAAAGTCACAGGTGCTCACAATATGTGCCGCGTGTGGAGCCTACCGCGTCCCTATTTCTTGCCCTCTTATTGCCCTTTGTTAAACGTCTCAAATGTGCGAGATACCTTTTCTGCTTGTGACTCTTTTTTCTCCGCAAGCACGCCGAGGATAAACTTTTGCCTTGATGCCGAGGGTTGGGTGATTCTACAAGTAGGGCGATCGGAGAATTTAGCTTGCAAGTGGCGACACAAGAGGAGACTGAGCGGATTGGAAACACGGCCCGGCGATGTGTTTTACCACGTTTAATGCTTCATTTGGAAATATGCCGATACCGCAGCGTACCTGTAAGCTCTTTCCCTAGTCCCAGTGTACACCCGCCGATATCGCTTACCCTGCAGCCGGATTAAGGTTGGCAATTTTTCACGTCCTTGTCTCCGCAATTACTCACCGGGTGGTTTATAAGATTGCAAGCGTCTTGATTTGTCTCTGTATACTAACATGCAATCGCGACTCGCCCGACGGGCCACTAACCTGGCCAGAATCTCCAGATCCAAGTATTCTCTTGGTCTGCGATATGTTTCCAACACAAAAGCCCCTGCTGCCCAGCCGGCAACTGCTGAGTGAGTATTCCTTGCCATAAACGACCCAGAACCACTGTATAGTGTTTGGAAGCACTAGTCAGAAGACCAGCGAAAACAGGTGGAAAAAACTGAGACGAAAAGCAACGACCAGAAATGTAATGTGTGGAAAAGCGACACACACAGAGCAGATAAAGAGGTGACAAATAACGACAAATGAAATATCAGTATCTTCCCACAATCACTACCTCTCAGCTGTCTGAAGGTGCGGCTGATATATCCATCCCACGTCTAACGTATGGAGTGTGATAGAATATGACGACACAAGCATGAGAACTCGCTCTCTATCCAACCACCGAAACACTGTCACTACAGCCGTTCTTGTTGCTCCATTCGCTTTTGTGATTCCATGCCTTCTCTGGTGACTGACAACATTCCTTCCTTTTCTCCAGCCCTGTTGTTATCTGCTCATGACCTACGGCCACTCTCTATCGCATACTAACATAGACGATCCCAGCCCGCTCCCCACTTCCAGGGCACCGTTGGCAAGCCTCCTATCCTCAAGAAGGCTGAGGCTGCCAACGCTGACATGGACGAGTCCTTCATCGGAATGTCTGGAGGAGAGATCTTCCACGAGATGATGCTGCGACACAACGTCGACACTGTCTTCGGTTACCCCGGTGGAGCCATTCTCCCCGTCTTTGACGCCATTCACAACTCTGAGTACTTCAACTTTGTGCTCCCTCGACACGAGCAGGGTGCCGGCCACATGGCCGAGGGCTACGCTCGAGCCTCTGGTAAGCCCGGTGTCGTTCTCGTCACCTCTGGCCCCGGTGCCACCAACGTCATCACCCCCATGCAGGACGCTCTTTCCGATGGTACCCCCATGGTTGTCTTCACCGGTCAGGTCCTGACCTCCGTTATCGGCACTGACGCCTTCCAGGAGGCCGATGTTGTCGGCATCTCCCGATCTTGCACCAAGTGGAACGTCATGGTCAAGAACGTTGCTGAGCTCCCCCGACGAATCAACGAGGCCTTTGAGATTGCTACTTCCGGCCGACCCGGTCCCGTTCTCGTCGATCTGCCCAAGGATGTTACTGCTGCCATCCTGCGAGAGCCCATCCCCACCAAGTCCACCATTCCCTCGCATTCTCTGACCAACCTCACCTCTGCCGCCGCCACCGAGTTCCAGAAGCAGGCTATCCAGCGAGCCGCCAACCTCATCAACCAGTCCAAGAAGCCCGTCCTTTACGTCGGACAGGGTATCCTTGGCTCCGAGGAGGGTCCTAAGCTGCTTAAGGAGCTGGCTGAGAAGGCCGAGATTCCCGTCACCACTACTCTGCAGGGTCTTGGTGCCTTTGACGAGCGAGACCCCAAGTCTCTGCACATGCTCGGTATGCACGGTTCCGGCTACGCCAACATGGCCATGCAGAACGCTGACTGTATCATTGCTCTCGGCGCCCGATTTGATGACCGAGTTACCGGCTCCATCCCCAAGTTTGCCCCCGAGGCTCGAGCCGCTGCCCTTGAGGGTCGAGGTGGTATTGTTCACTTTGAGATCCAGGCCAAGAACATCAACAAGGTTGTTCAGGCCACCGAAGCCGTTGAGGGAGACGTTACCGAGTCTGTCCGACAGCTCATCCCCCTCATCAACAAGGTCTCTGCCGCTGAGCGAGCTCCCTGGACTGAGACTATCCAGTCCTGGAAGCAGCAGTTCCCCTTCCTCTTCGAGGCTGAAGGTGAGGATGGTGTTATCAAGCCCCAGTCCGTCATTGCTCTGCTCTCTGACCTGACAGAGAACAACAAGGACAAGACCATCATCACCACCGGTGTTGGTCAGCATCAGATGTGGACTGCCCAGCATTTCCGATGGCGACACCCTCGAACCATGATCACTTCTGGTGGTCTTGGAACTATGGGTTACGGCCTGCCCGCCGCTATCGGCGCCAAGGTTGCCCGACCTGACTGCGACGTCATTGACATCGATGGTGACGCTTCTTTCAACATGACTCTGACCGAGCTGTCCACCGCCGTTCAGTTCAACATTGGCGTCAAGGCTATTGTCCTCAACAACGAGGAACAGGGTATGGTCACCCAGTGGCAGTCTCTCTTCTACGAGAACCGATACTGCCACACTCATCAGAAGAACCCCGACTTCATGAAGCTGGCCGAGTCCATGGGCATGAAGGGTATCCGAATCACTCACATTGACCAGCTGGAGGCCGGTCTCAAGGAGATGCTCGCATACAAGGGCCCTGTGCTCGTTGAGGTTGTTGTCGACAAGAAGATCCCCGTTCTTCCCATGGTTCCCGCTGGTAAGGCTTTGCATGAGTTCCTTGTCTACGACGCTGACGCCGAGGCTGCTTCTCGACCCGATCGACTGAAGAATGCCCCCGCCCCTCACGTCCACCAGACCACCTTTGAGAACTAAGTGGAAAGGAACACAAGCAATCCGAACCAAAAATAATTGGGGTCCCGTGCCCACAGAGTCTAGTGCAGACCTAAAATGACCACAGTAAATTATAGCTGTTATTAAACATGAGATTTTGACCAACAAGAGCGTAGGAATGTTATTAGCTACTACTTGTACATACACAGCATTTGTTTTAAATAATGTTGCCTCCAGGGGCAGTGAGATCAGGACCCAGATCCGTGGCCAGCTCTCTGACTTCAGACCGCTTGTACTTAAGCAGCTCGCAACACTGTTGTCGAGGATTGAACTTGCCATATTCGATTTTGTGGTCATGAATCCAGCACACCTCGCCTTCCGGCCAGGGGGCCTCCTTGTATGTGAACTTGATGAGGTTGGTCTGGTACTTCTTGGCCAGATCGTTCTCGCTTTCGTCGATGTCCGTGTTGTCGTGCCACATGAAGAAAATGTCCACGGCGTGTCGGGCGCCCATCTTGGGGTTGATTGGGTCAATTTCATCAAAGAACTGTCTGTAGACCTTGGCACCGGCCTTTCGCAACTTTTCAGCATCCGTCACATTAGGTAGTACCAGCATCTGGTCTCCATAGAACTTGCACACGTCGGCGTTGGACTTGATGTTATACAGCTTTTTGACGGCTTTCCCGAGATTGGTCTTGTTGAGCACCTCTTCGACCTTGTCGTCAGGATGCACTTTCTTCGTGAAGATGACGCCCTCAAAGCCGTTATCAGAGATGATAGCAGCCTCGACCTTGGGAACCGCATCTTCAATGCCTTCCTTGAACCAGTCGTCATATGCAAACATACCATGAGGGTATCCAATCTTGGTCTGTAGGTCGAGAAGTTCATCAGCGCTGACCTTGGAAATATCATCAAGATCCTCCTCTTTGCATCCCTTCTTTTTGGCAGCTAGGTCTCGAAAGATGTTGAGATGCTCAACAGTTTGGGGAGGGAAACAGCCCACTGATCCAGAAGACATGAATACCTGGTTGACGAGGTTTGTACCCTCCATGGCGTCTCTGCGGGAGAGATAGGAGGTTCCCATACCTCCAGCTGACTGACCTCCCAGAGTAATCATGTCTGTATCTCCTCCAAACTCGCCAATGAAGTGTTGTATCCATTCAGCAGCAGCCCACTGATCTCGAGCGCCCCAGTTTGCACGTCCATCCTTGTTGGTGATGTATCCGAACATACCCAATCGATACTCGATCTGAACAACGATAAAGGGCTTTCCAATCGTCTCAGATTGCTTCACAAAGGGAACGGGATTATCTCCGTAGATGCTACCTATCATGTTGGCTCCTCCATGAATGAAGGCAAACACAGGCAGCTTCTTGCCAATGGCACTCTTGGGTTTGGAGATTCGCAGATTGAGACACAGAAGCTCGTCAGACCATACATCGCCATCATGGGCGTCGTATCGGTTGGCAATCTGGGGACAGATGGGGCCGTCCTTCGTACAGTCAACTACCTTGCCCTGGTAGTCGGTCTTCACAATAGGCACGTCGTATCGTTTGGTAATGGTAGCATACTGGATATTCTTCCACTCCAGTACGCCATCGGTTTCAGTACCCTCAAAAGTACCATTGAGTTTCTCAGAATGAATTGTCGTCATGACTGTCTTGTCGGACTTCACCTACAAACTCCTCATTTTTATATTGTCTGCCTGCCACCAAGAGCAGATCAGCACTGTGTTAAACTTAGCAACCTAAGACAGCATAATCCGCACTGGACACTGGCTTATCGTAGAGGCTAGAAAAAAGAAACGAGACTCTAGAAACCCCGCTCGATTTGAATTTATGACTTAGTAGGACAAATTGATCATTCCACCCTTCTATTCCCCTCAAACTACACTCTAAACCTCAAATCTCACTACATCAAACTCACACGGATGATGTTGGTTGCTCACGTAAGTTCACGTCAGAAACCCCGCTACGTTCGGATTATTGATTGTAGTGATGCGCGAGTACTCATATGAATATGTACTGCCACCTGAGATGCAAGCGATACGCTCTGTCATGTGTGTAACAGTTGAATACTACAGCCGTGAACAATGTCTCGTTGAATCTACGTCGTCGACCTACAGATTGTTATCGTCGGCTACAGGATACATCTCAACTCTATCAGCATCTCGTATTTATGCCCCCATCATCGCACAGTAGCCTACATACGCGAATACGGTCCACATGTAAGCGCACAAAGTCCGTTATAATGAATGATACTCTAAATTTCAACTAGTTAGTTATTCCTCATCCTGCTCTCGTCGTTTTTCCTCCATCGCCAATGCAATTCTGCGAGTCACCTCCGTCTTAGCCTCCTCGGCATCAGCTCCAGTAGAAGAGCCGTGTGTGGAGGCTTCCGAAAGAGAAGCTCCAGATTGTGATCGGGACATACCAAACAGAGGAATGTCAGCAAGAGATGCCTCAGAGCCCACTCGCGAGATGGCTTGGTCTTCGTCCTCAGAAATGGTACTCACAGGGAAGTAGCTAGCACCCTTTCGGACCTCCCGAACAAGCTCATCACCGTCTCCCTCGCTCATGGCAGATAGAGAAGTGGCAGAAGTGGATCTGGAATGCGATCGCTTCTCGTTTTCGTAGTTCTCCTCGTCCTCAAACTTATCGCTTCCCTGCAGAATGGAGTTCTCGGGGAAGTCGGGGAACAGCTCAGGGCCCAAAGAGGTAACGAGCTCGGAAGACTTGAGCACAAGTCGCTTTCGTTCATTTTGCAGCTTGAGCAGAGAGTTTTTGGTGGAAGGGTTGAGAGCCAATGCAAGTGGTCGAAGAGACTTGAAAATGTCCATACCGGCCTCTCCCATAGCCAGGGCGGCGTATGAGGTTGTGATGATGATGCTTAAAACGAGGCCGGGAAGAAGAATTGTGGGGAACCAGGAGATGAGATCGAGCTTTCGAATCACCACAGATCCAACCAGTGAATAGAGAATGTAAAGAACTGGGGTCAGACCCATTGCAACCAGCACCTTCCAAGTGGCAACCACATCGTTAGCCTTGATTTTGACACTGGAGGCCTTGAGAGCCTCCTTGGCCTTGGTTTTGGAAATGGACTTAGAAATGATGAAGATGGGAGAAAACAAAAGCAGACCGGGGAGACAGCCAATGGACAAGAACACAAGCTTGATGGACCGGTACAGAAGCCGGCCCAGAATCTCAATCTTGGAGATTCGGGCCTTCTCTACCTGATGGTCCTTGAGACCCATGGCCTGCAGGAACTTGTTGTACTTTCGAATCTCCTGCTTCATCTCCTCGATACGGGGATCGTCCTTGTAGTGGTTGTAGGCGTATACAAGTCGACGGTTGAGCTCTACAACCATGGGCAGAGGAATCTTCTTTCCGGGAGGTCGGTAGAGTCGTCGAATGGCCTGGATCAGCATCAGGGTGTCGAAATCCTGCACCTGAACAGTCACAGACTTGAGACCAGCGGCAGTAATGTCTAGAACGGTCTTGACAGCCTCCCGCTTGGCCTCTCCTCCTGCCTTGTACTTCTCCACGAGATCCGGAGGAATGGCAATAGGAGAGCCAAACTCCACCACGGCCCGAGATCGGAACTTGTGGGCGTGGAAGTAGTTGAGACCACAGGGGACGATTCGCACACCACAAGAGGGGTCCTCTGCGAGAGCCCCCAGAGCCATGATAGCAACACCGGCCTTAAGGGGCAGCAGTTCGGTTCGGTCATGAGATCCTCCCTCTGGGAAGATACCCACACAGCCTCCATGGTGCAATTTGTCGAATACGGATCGGTAGACTGTGGCCTGGTTGACGTAGTCGGCGTACTTGTATGTGATTCCTCCGTTGGATTCCTTGAGAGCCTCCTTGGCTTTGGGGCCCTTGAATTCCTTTCTTGCAATGAGCAGAGTGTCGGACACAATCTCAGCCACGTCAATTGAGCCGACAGAGGACGAGCAGACCACGAGGCCTCGCACCTCGCACTGCTTCGTGAACTGGGTGCCGATTCCGTGGATCTTTGTGGGGTCCTCTGCGTCGACGTAAATCTTTCCCTCTCCCTTTTTTGCATTGTCCTGAGCTCGCACGACAGGAATTGAGTTCATGCTTCGGGCCATTCGTCCGACTGCAGCTCGTCGCATGGACTTCTCGGCCACAAGGAAGGAGATTCGTCGTCCGGCCTCCTGTTTGACCTGGTTCATGAGGATGACGGGGTCCACAAACTGGTTTGCGTGGGGGGCAGCCACGAACAGCACGGGGCCCTTTCTGGGGATTCGGAAGGCACCACGTGGCCGGATTTCTCTGAAAAAAATGTCAAAGCAAGCCGTGAAAATCCACAGAACCAAGTCGTAAATCCACGAGGTTGCGGAAAACTCCGTGTCCACTGATTTTCGGGAGTTGGGCCAAGGCGTGTACTGGGGGTACTCAGCCACGGGCTCGGCGGCCAGCAGATGGTCGGTTTCGGACATTTAGCGTGTCGTGTTTTTGTTGTGCTGGAAGAACCAAAGGGTGGCGCAATGTGTGTAGATATATATGTCGTGACCCACAAGTCACACAAACAAGTATCGGGAGGAGTGGTGCACCTCTATGCAGAGAAACCTTATACCGCTGTAGACCAACTGGGGCAGAGGTGTGAGTTGAAGTCAGCTGGAGGAGATGTGTGACAGAAGCACAAGAAGTGAGATTGTGAGATGTATGTCTAGGGGGGGAAGTTTTGTGTCAAATATATGGGAATTATTATCAGCACCACGAAATTATACGCCTCATATGACCCATTTAGGTGGATAGATCATGGACACTGTTGACAGCTGCGAAGAAAAAGCGTATTGGGGATGATCCGAAATTAGTCCGGTACCGAGGCCAAATACGTAAGACAGCCGATTAAATATATGCGAGAAACACCAAAGAGACTCTAGATGTTTGTTTGGCACAGTTTTGACTTCTGCGAAGGCCTTACACCACCTTGTTGACCCTTGTCGCGGGTCGGGCAATATCGGCTGACAGAGTTTTACTTGCTCAATAAGATACGAGCTGCATAGAGTTGAACTACAGGACAATATTGGGGCTGGCCACATGAAGGGCATTGTTTGGAGGTGTATTGATGGTGAAAACACGATATGAAATGACAACGCCCCCTGTTTTATTATTATTCTTATTATTTTGGGTGCTTCTCTATCCATACAAGCACCTCCTAACATGCTTCATAAGTGACCTCCTCATCACAAGGCCTGAGGTCTCATTTATCCAGTGGCGCCAAGCTAAACTAAAACTGGTCCGAGTAGACTAAGGCGAAGAGAGAAGGAGAGAAGACAGTTTTTTTGTGGCCGCCTGTGAACAATGAAAACGATGAGGGTGAGATGGAGCAAACCATATGGACAGTCAGAGGAGTACACGCTGCTTACATAATGGCGCAACGACCACATGTCCCACAGATACGCATTATGCCTGTACATATTCCGGGGGAGGTATGTACCAGTAGTTCGCCTGCTACCGTTAGCTACAGTATGTACTGTACTCTCCGTACGCACTTGGGTCCCTCTGAGACACAAAAGTTGATCCCCTGCGCAACCTCGGTATCTCAGGTCGACAAGAAAAGTTGTACCGCACTTCCGGAACATCACTGTCGGCTGATCGACACAGAGTGGGGTACATACGCACGCACCGCACGCATCCGAGGTCCTTGGCGGTGTGTCATATTGGCTAATTTACGAGCAAGTCACGTGTCTGACAAAAACTTCGTACACTACTCGTGCTGTATGTACTACAGTACATTCTTGTAAAGATCGTGGTTTGTGTCTTCTTGTTCTGTGCTTCACCTCGACTGGTTGGTACATTTCAGCTGTCTGGCCCAGCTTCCTTATTGAACACGGTTGTTTGAGTGAGTACGATGGCAGGATTGTATTTTGTTCGTATACTGGCTCAGTGATTATGACACGTCACGAGTGTACCCAGTGGTCCATGCCTGGAGAGGATATATGATGGCTGGGGGTGTATTTCTGTAAAAGACACTGACTACAGTAAAAAGCCATCATTCCGCATCGGACCCTGTTTTCAGTGGGTTGGCAGGACATGATGAACTCAAAAAAAAACCAATCCGTTCTCCCATGCCGTCGTCTGGATATCCCAGATGTGGTGGATCAGACATATAGTAAGCTGAATGGAGCTCCTAGATGCTAAAAAAAATAAAAATATTCCTCCAAAATGCACCTACTCTTATCATTTATTAATCGCGTGTTAGGAGCTGGAAGGTGCAGCACACAGCCACCCTAAATATGCATGGCGGGGTGGAGACGTTCAACACTGAAAAAAGTGTTAGAAGAAGTATTTGAGTGAAATAACGGGTATGAAAATAAAATATAAAAAATATACTAACATCTGAATGTTTCAATGGTCATGTGGGCTAGCTTATCTGTTTATTGCGCCTCACAACCGCCCACAATCTCCCCCTCCAAAACCGGTCCTGTCGATCATGCACCTATCAGAGTTAGAATTACTATTACACTTGCATAAACATCTAATGTTTGTTTTTATTGCCAACTATCAACTTCTTCCTCCACAACCATGATGAACAACATCCTTGGGTGGTTTGCCCTGTTTGCATTCTGTGGCACGGTCATTCGGTTGCTGGCACCCGGAGACGGCTACCATTGCGAAAGCACGCTTGAAAGCAGTGGAATGTGGCTCCAGCCAGCGGTGGGACGATATCAGCCTCCTCGAAATTGGCAGCCCAAGCAGTGTATGCTTCGGACCTTTGACCGAGCGTCCACGGCGCAATGTCTGACCAACGAAACGTCGCTGTTCATTGGCGACTCACACGCCCGGGAAATGTTCTGGGCCGTGGTGAAGGATCTTGATCCCAACTATGACACAACCAACGTGGAGAAACACTCCAACATTGAGGTGGCGATCGACGGAGTCTCTCTCAAGTTCTTCTGGGACCCCTATTTTAACAACGACGGCATGTTTGAAATGTCCAAGATCGCCAACGATCAAGAACAGAAGGAACGCATCAAAATGGTGCACATCTCAACAGGCATGTGGTACATTCACAACAAAGAAGACAAAGACGCGGGTTTCAAGGAGTGGAAACAGGCATTGAGACGACTCAATGAGATTGTGGCTGCCCAGGATGACGCTGGAAGGAGAGCGCTGGAGTTCATCACTGTGTCTCCCATGCTGCTCCCAGATTACGTTACTCTCACAGAACTTAAGGATGAGGCACATCTCAAGGGCTTGGACGCTCAGTACCTCTCGCGAATGAACACCTATCTGGACCACAACTTCAATAAGAACCCTTACAGAAAGACCCGTATATCTGTGCCCTTCTCGTTTGTGGATATGCGTAACAAGGGTGGAAGAGCAGCTTTCAAGAGGGATGGTATTCACCTGAACACTGACGTGTACAAGACCATGTCTGATATTCTCAGAAATGTGCGGTGTAACCAGGAGCTTCTGGATCATAAGTACGACATTACCAACGGACCTGTCTACCCCTTTTCAGACACCTGTTGTATCCACTACAAGCAGCCCCGAACTATGGGCCAGGTGCTTCTCCTGGGCGTCATCTGTGCAATCCTGCCTATTATTTATCTGGGCCAGAGATACACCCGGTCAGATTATTATCCCCGTTTTGTGCGCTATGTTTCTTGGCCTGTGCCTTCCATCCAGGACGAGACTCTTCTCACCGCATGTGTTGTCATTGCTGCATCTCTGGCATACTCCTTCTTCTGTGATAGAACTCAATTCTTTGGTAAGAGTTCTAAACAGTTTGAAGCTTCCGAGTTTTGGGTCCTTATCCTGCTCTTCCTGGTCGCTACTGGCTACTCCTTTGAACCTCAGAACGATAACTCTTTCCTCAACCGTCACCAGACCGAGGAGTGGAAGGGATGGATGCAGATCATCATTCTCATCTACCATATCACAGGTGCTTCTAAGATCTTGCCCATCTATAAGTTTGTACGAGTGCTGGTGGCTGCCTATCTGTTTATGACAGGCTTTGGACACGCCACTTTCTTCATCAAGAGGGGCGATTTCTCTCTCAAGAGAGCCACTTCTGTTCTCTTCCGAATGAATTTCCTTTCCATTCTCCTGGCGTACGTGATGGACACCGATTACCTGTTCTACTATTTTGCTCCTCTAGTGTCGTTCTGGTTTTGTGTCGTCTGGATCACCTTCCGAGTCTTGCCCTCCTGGAACTCCATCGACACCTCTGTGGGCCCTGTACTCGCTAAGATTTCTGCTTCTGCCGTGATTCTTAACATTCTTGTGCGATTCCAGCTGCCCTTCCAGATTGTCTTCGCCGTGTTAAAGTACCTGTTTAACATACAGTGGAACCTGCGAGAGTGGCGATTCAGACTCATTTTGGACATTTACATTGTCTACATTGGCATGTTTGCCGCTGTGGCTACTCTGCGATACAAACAGGGCAACTTCCCTCTCAAGAACTTGGTCACCAACAGGCTCGTGCTTGGAGTTGTTGCACTCATCACCTTTATTGTTTACATTGCGGTCGCTGCTTCCTTTGGTATCAAACAGAATTACAACCAGGCCCATCCTTACATCTCATGGATGCCTATTGTGGCTTTTGTGATTCTTAGAAACATTACTGTGCGATTTAGAAGCCACTACTCCACATGGATGTCTTTTATTGGCACCTGCTCGTTGGAGACCTTCACTCTGCAATTCCACTTCTTCCTGGCAGCTGACACCAAGGGTCGGCTGTACATTTTGAACACCCCCACCTCCAGTGGAGTGCTTGGTATGCTGCAGAAGTATCTCAACTTTGGCCTCGTCACCGTCATCTTCATCATTGTGTCGCACGCAGTGGCAGAGCAGAGCAACGCACTTACTAAGCTGTTCGTGGGCAACCAGGACCAGCAGCTGCCTGAGCATGTCACAGCCCAGTCTCAGCCTCAGGGTGAGCAGATTGACATGGGAGACTCTGAGCCTCCCGTATCGACTCGCAGACCTCCTGGACGGGTAGTGGCCTTCCTCAAAACCCACACTCTTCAGGTGAAGATTGTTGTTGCCTTCGCTTTCATGTGGGTTTTCAACATGCTGCCATAAGCAAGCCGGATAATGTATATATATAGCTGAAAAGATTGGATAGATAGATTAATACATTGTGGATGGTGTCGTAATACAGTGGTTGGCACGCAACTCTCACACCTACAGTACCACCAATGAACAGACAACAAAACACCCGCCATAGCGGTATTCCTTAAGTCTTGGGACACCCATGTTCCTGCATCGGTTGGTTGTTCAATAGTGATGCAACGGAACATTAACGTGGATTCTCGTCGAGACTCAAAATTTGAGACTGAATAGGGCTACAGATACGATACAGTAAAAATCGGTTACTGTAGCAAGCTTCATTTTCTATGTAGCTATGGAGATAAATCGCTCCACTTCAATCGGCGTTTTGCTCGATGTCAGGGAGTATGACCAGGATCTTCAGCTTCACATCAGGCACAATCAACCTCACTTTCTCACAAATAGGATCAAAACAACGGCCTGTAGGTATATAATCAGGTCTCCCCCCTTTATTTTAGACAGAAGCAGCCAACCCTTGGAGCCCATATCTTGTCGTCCAGTTGGCACTTCCCACGTTTCCCTCCCTCCCCCCTTCTTATTTGTCGTCCTCGCTGCTGTTACTTTTATGTCTGTGTTAGCTCCATTGATCAGCTCATCCGCGTGACTATTCTTTGTTTCTTGGAGGGGAGGTAGTGATGTGTGGTTATGCTCGGATAGCACAAGATCACTTATCCCGCGGCTTCCATCACTCAGTCAGCGTGACTGTTTGGATACATGTTACTGTAGTGGTCGTGTCACTGCGTGCGGTTGAGTTATCCTTTGGATTCCAATCAGATATGTTACCTGATCCCACATCAACAGTCGATTTCGACATCTCCCTAACACAGTCCCTCCTAACATTGGAACCGTTCCTTTCCCCTTCGTCTGTGAGTATGCCTTTCTTCCCTTCGTATGGACTATTAGAATGGCGCATTCAAGCAGAAATGTCATCTGACCAGAATCACCTGGAGTGGAGAGTGGAGTTGCAACCGTTATCTACTAATACATCATCACCGTCCACCACAAGGTCCATGCTATTAGTCATCGCCTCGAGATTGTGTGGGTGGTATCGCTATTGCGGTATCCCGGCCGTCGTGTTGCTCCTGTCTTATCGCTGCAGCGATGGCGCTCCTGTAGTGTAGACCCATCGCCCTGTGGATATCGTAGTCAGGAAGAAACCACGTGCCTTCGTTGTGATTCCGTCGCTGCGGTACTATCGAGGTGGTGCTGTCGATCTGGTGTGTCGATCTTGTGAGTCGATCTGGTGATGTGACCATCACCGTCATGTCAAGGTGCTTCTTCTACAGTAGGCCCCATCGGGGCTAGTAGGCAAGCAAATCTGAAACAGCCTGGCAGCCCCCGATTCTTCATCAAGGGCATTGCGCGTCCGCTCCTAGTGGATTCATGGAGTCTTTTTTCGGAGAGCGTAAAACACCCCGTAAGAGCAAAACGTGGCAAGTTGTGGGCTGTGTCATTACAAAGGATTTGGGTGATGTAAGCGTTGCTCAGTCGCGTCAGCGTGTCGTGGGTAACACTGAATCAGCAGTCATATAGGTGCAACAAGTCGCGAACAGATTGTACTTGCCCGAGATGGTGCGTAGTAGACGTGCCAAGTGACATGTCGCTGATGTATAGCCTGTAAAAGGCGCATGTAACGCTCTCATGCCGGTATCGTCGTTCATGCGTTCGTGTCTTTATCACTATCGGTTGATGTGATTACTGTACTCTAAGGGGCGAGAACCTTGGCGAGTATCATGACTAAGCTGGTGGCGTTGAGTCGTATCCGTCGTATTATATGTTGCTGATTGTCATGATCACAATTGTGATGTGAGGAATCTTCGCATGTGTCGTCAGAACGAATCCCACACTCACTGTATCATTCCATGTTGCACATAACACCCCTCCAAGACAACAAGGTTCTCACAGGACCTCAAATTTACTGTGCATATCTGACGCAAACGTTCTCGCCACTGATCATCACCAAACCACCGGTCCCCTGAGATGTTATCGATAGCGGAAATCGCAGCCAAAGGGCTGGACTACCCCTATACTAACAACACCAGCTTCCGTGTATGGATCCACGTGGTTGGCACGGTTCTGCGCGAGGCTGAAATTTACCGCGATGATGGTGATTTCGAGAAGGCTTATCTGCTGTACACGCGGTTCGCAGACCTGTTGCTCAACAAGATGCCTGGGCATCCCGGGCTCAAGGCCAACAGGGCGCTATTCAAGAAAATGACCGGCAAGATGCCCGGGGTTCTGCAAGAGATGCAGCAGCTGAAGAAGGCTCTTGAGGTGCAAATCACGGAGGAGAAAAAGGCTGAGGAGGAACGACAACGAAAACTACGAGCATTACAACAAGCCTCCGACAGTGGAAGAAGCGGTGGCAGCAGGGGCAGCGGAAGTACGAGCCGTATTGACGACCTGAGATCACAACTTGGTCAAGGAGGCCCAGATCATGTGAATTTGGAAGACTATTCATTTGGTCGATATGATACACGACAAGTGTCTGAGCCAATGTACGAGCATGGAAACTGGCAACAACAAGCACATCATCAACATGATACGTTCGACTATCCCGATCTCAACCGGGAGTTATCATCCGTTCTTTCACCCTACGTTTATGAGTCCGGACCACTTACGCTGTCGCCTACAGCTGGCCAGATTCGACTTGCGGACTCACCTCCAGCGATCCCAGCTAAACCAGCAGCATTAAAAGCATCATATGAGAAACCAGCCGCCCCAGCACCACCTACAACGTCATCTTCATCTGTGGAACACACTTCACGATACACCACTGAAGGAGGACTGGCCCTGCGGTCCCTGTTCATTCCGGCTGAGTTGGAGGCCACCTTCCTCAAGGTTGCGCACGCCAACACCGTTAAAAACCTCGAGACCTGCGGTATTTTATGCGGGAAGTTGTCGCGAAATGCATTCTTCGTCACACATCTGATGATCCCACCTCAGGAAAGCACCTCTGACACGTGTCAGACAACGAATGAGGAGCTTCTATTTGAGCAGATTGATGAAAATGATCTCTTTGTACTCGGATGGATCCACACACACCCCACACAGACCTGTTTCATGTCATCTGTGGACCTGCATACCCAGAATTCGTATCAGATCATGCTGCCTGAGGCTGTGGCTCTTGTGTGCGCGCCTCAGCATGATCCCAACTTTGGCATCTTCAGACTGTCGGATCCTCCGGGTGTTGACATTATCAAGAACTGTAACAGGGGCGGTTTCCACCCGCATACAGAGGATAACATTTACAACAATGCTCGACATGCTATGGTCAAGAACGGTCTCCCGTTCAAGATGAAGGACCTGAGATCATAAGTGCACAATATGGGATACCAGTACATACATATATAGATAATGATAGAGGCATGCGTTCACGTTGTGCTGGGTACCGGGCTGCGCGTCTGTCAAGCCCTAACTGGTTAACTGAGATATCGCCCTCGTAACGGCGCTCGCGCTATTAATTCGTCACCATCGCATCATTTCGAGTATAATGGCTCCACATAATTGTTTTTATTTAAACTACCAGTCTAATCCCATGCTAAAACTCGTGATTAAGAAATGTGGCTTGTTCGTGGCTACATCGATGTGCGCCATGCATCTTCGAAACGAGTGCCCAGTGACAGCCAAGAGATATACGAGATGTTTGAAAGGGAAACAAGGGGTGTTTTTTTAACGGCTGCTATTATTAGGTTTCGGGTATTTCCGAGATAAAATCAGCGTGTTGATGACTTCCACACTGACCCCTAATTACTAGTTAGAATTTCAGTAAGACCCGAAAGCCACAATGTGTAAATGGCGAGTGTTCAAATCATGGAAGTGTGGCTATCTACAAATGAATTAGCCCCGGTGTCTAGGTATATTGTGGCTTATAGGGAGTATATAAATATCAACTAATGACAGTACGGTCCCCATCTACAAACTGACTCGCAATGGCTGACAAGAAGTACGACGAATTATCAATCTCTGTGGACTCCATCAGTGACGCCGATACAGCAGCTGTTTCCATCATTGATGGTTCAGGCACAGGAGGCAACATCTTTAGCAACCCCGAGGTTGCCAAGCACTTCGCCAAGCTATACGAGGATGCTCAGTACGAGAATCGCCACCTCTTCGATCCTGAACTGGAGTGGACTCCCCAAGAAGAGAAGAAACTTGTGCGAAGTTGGACTGGTATGTCACCACATGGGCCTGTATCATGTTTGTGGCTCTCCAGGTTGACCGAGGCAACCTTGGCCAAGCTCTTACCGATAACCTGCTTGATGATCTGGGAATGACCACCAATGATTACAACAAGGGCAACACCATCTTCTTGTGTTCTTTCCTTGCTGCTGAGATTCCGTCACAGCTTATTTCCAAGAAGATCGGTCCTGATAGATGGGTCCCTGCCCAAATGGTACTGTGGTCTGTTGTCGCTGCTAGCCAGGGAGCTCTTACTGGTAAGGGTTCCTTTTACGCTACTAGATGTCTCTTGGGTCTGCTGGAGGGCGGTTTTATCCCCGATCTTGTCTTGTGGTTGTCCTACTTTTACACATCGAAAGAGCTGCCTTTCAGACTATCTCTATTCTGGGGCTCACAGACACTGACTACGATTCTGACCTCTCTCATGGCCTTCGGACTGCTGCGTATCCACACCTCTTCTATTCCCCATGGTTGGAGATGGCTGTTTATCATTGAGGGCATTATGACTCTGTTGATTGGTCTTGCCTCCTTCTTCAAGATGCCTGCTTCACCTTCACAAACCAAAACATGGTTTCGTAAAAACGGCTGGTTCACAGAACGTGAAGAGAAGATTGTGGTCAACCGAGTGCTCAGAGACGACCCTTATAAAGGAGATCTGCACAATCGAGAGGGTCTTTCTGTCAAGAGAATCTGGAACGCCTTTGCCGACTACCGTCTGTGGCCCATCTATGCTGCCGGCATGTTCAGTCAAATCGCCACGAACGCTGTCAGCTTCTACATGACTCTCAACCTCAGAGGTCTGGGCTTTTCCACCTTCAACACCAATTTACTTACAATCCCTGCTAATGTACTCCACATCATTATGATGATTTCCATCACCCTGTCTTCTGAATTCTTCAACGAACGAGCGTTCCATTGTATGGCTCACCCCATTTGGATGCTGCCTGGACTCATGGTGCTGCGATTCTGGAAGGGTGCCTTGGTAGACAAGTGGGGTACGTGGGCGGTAATGACTATCATCTTGGGTCAGCCTCAAAACCACGCCATTCTTGTATCGTGGACCTCCAGAAACTCCAACACTGTCTCCCAGAGAACTATGGGCCAGTCGCTTTACAACATGTTTGTGCAAGTCGGAGCCATTGTGGGTGCCAACATTTACCGAGCTGACGACAAGCCAAAGTACCATCGAGGCAATCAACAGCTAATCATTTTGTACTTCATCCTGATTGTTATCCTCGCGGGTACTAAGCTGTTCTATTATGTCATCAACAAACGCCGAAGTGAAAAGTGGAACGCCATGACGAAGGATGAGCAACAGCATTACAGAAACACAAACACGGACTCTGGCAGTAAGCGTTTGGATTTCAGGTTGGCTCTGTGAGCGTATGATTGCTTAAATAGTTACATGATGATTCCGTAAATGTTGTCGCAAATCAAAATTCCTTCCGAACAAACACTGCTTCCCAGAAGCCGGTCGTGCTTGGGCAGATAGTTGTAGTTGGTGACCACCTGGAGGCCATGAAGTCCGTCAGTCTTTTGCAGCACGTGGGGGACCGTGTAATTGTCTCGACTGTTAGCTCTGAAGACCAACGACTCCACTTTGATAGACTTGTCATGCATATTTCTGAACTTGTAGAACACCTGCTTTTCATCGGGGAAACCAGCCACAATGACATCCTTTGTTCCAGCAATGACATGCACATTGTCCAGAGCAGCACCAAATGGTGTCGAGTGCTGGAGGTTTAGACTCTTTGTATCCACATCCCACTTGAAGGACGACAAAGTACCGAGACGGGTGTCAGCCACCAAGAATTCCTTGGTGTCGGGGATGTGGGTGATTCCATTGGGGTACGAGTTTTCCACAGCCACTCGACTGCAAGACAGGCCCTTGATGTCTCCGTCCTCAATCTTGAAGTTGCAGTTACCAACATGCCCCCACATGAACGGCCCGTAGCTGTCCTCCACATGTCGCATGAAGCCTTTTCGGAAGAGGTGGTCGTTTGTATACATGATGGCGATCGAGCCATCGTCTTCGACGTAGGCGGTGACGGAGTTTGGTGTGTAGATTCGCGAGTCTTTGATGTCGCCAACATGAGATACGTCGTTGGTGCCGGCCTGGAACGAGAAAATCGAAATGATGCTGCCAGTACTCTTGTGGTTGACTGAGAAGATGTATCGAGTGTCGGGGTTGTTGGGGTCCTTCAACAGAGACAGGCCATGCGACACGAACTCACCATGGTAGTCCAGGTTCATTTTTTCAAAGTCTCGCGTCTCCGGATCATAGACATAGAAGCTGTTTGTGGTCATGCCCTCCTTGTCCCACCAATTGCATCCCGGGAACCATTTTGTTCTGTTTTCCGTTTCGCCACAGCTGAAGTAGACAAGACCAGTCGAGTCATCCACAATGCTGTCTTCACACGCCTCTGGGATCGCTTTTGACACCTTGCATGAGGCTGCGTTGTACTCTGCCGCCTTGTTGTATACATGTCTGTCATTCCAACTCACTCTGTTGGTCAGCTCTGAGAACGAGCGGTCCAAATAAATAGTGCCGCCAATTATCAGACTGACAAAAACAGCAAGCAGATTGATGAAAAGTGCCATGGTTTCTTTTACTGCTAGAAAGGGTGTGGTGTGGAGGAAAAGTCCATCTCTTTATGCATCTGCCTGCACCTCACAACGCCGCATATATAAATAGAGTTGTGCTACTTGTAGTGGGGGAATATAGTCAATCAATTTAGGGACCCCAACATATTTTACAACTTGTATAACTGTATCTTGAGGGGGTCCTGTGTCTCTAACGAGGGACCAGAATTATACGGAGCCAACATGACGCAAGCTACCTTGTACAGTACAAGTACGGGAAAAGCGGCAATTAGTTATGTCACCTGCCACAGATTTCCTCTGTCAACATATAACGCGTACAAGTACAATTATTACTTGTATCTGGATGGATGAAGTCGCTATTCCTCTACACAGTTGAGGCAGTGCAGAAGGACGAGGCGGGCGACTGGACTCACCAAGAACACCCGAGTAACATATACACAAGGTGTTACATGCCCATAATATTTTTCTAGTTGTACGTAGCTACTAGTCACCTGGCAGTACAGTATGTACTCGTACTTGTACGGTACTTTGTACTTGTACGAAGCAAGTCTCTCCAACTCCACACTCGATCAATAATCCGAAGTCTATCTGGTGCCACATCTGACAGCATTCTGGTTATCCGACACAAGACATTCTATCGTTGGGGTGCCGTAAGCCACGCGAGAAGGCGGCAGAGTGACCCATGTCTTACATGGAGAAATCATACCAAAATATATAGCTTCAAGCCCCATTATTGTGGCTGGAGGACACATGAGACTGGTGCAGGGACTACTCCGAGAATATTACATGCAACTTATTGATGAACGGCCTGAGGGCGAATGAACCCCAAGAGAACCGAGGAAGCGGGCGTACGTGAGAGGACATGAAATGACGTGGGGGGACCTATCGCCTAAAATCGCCCTTCGAGGCTAGCAATTGGCGTTACTGTACACCCTGGAGTGATTATTATATCAAACACTCGGAACTGCCGCCTATATCATGTCATAGCTTTAAAATAAATTCAAATAAACTGAACTACGGAGCTACATTAGTGGTAACAGAACGCCCACCGTAAGTGTCGTACAGTACGAGTACCGTACTCGTATGTACTGGTATCGTACGTACGTACAATTACAGTATATAGCTCCTTCACCGCTGGCTGTTATGGTCTGCCCCACTCTCTGAGTTCAGAAAGTCTCTATCGATTAAAGTTGGAATTTATGGGAATTAATTGGCTCGGAGCGAACCCCACTCGCGCAGGGTGCAGCAAGCGGGGATCGCAGGTAAACATTTAAAGAGTTGTAACAAGTCATTTAAGGTTTTTGACTGGCAGTGGGTAAAAAAAAGGTGTGATGCCGAAGCGACTACACTGGTATGACGAACAGTCATCTGGTTTCAAGTCTTCCCTCATAGAGCAGCGACGCCAACTCCATTAAACTATCAGGAACCCTACGTGAAGAGAGACCTTTCCAGGTGCAATACAGTACAGTACGATAACTCTGCATGTTTATCACTGCTCGTTCTCCCTGAGTACGGAGCGTGTCACCCCGCCTTCGCGTTCATATGACTTCTCAGCCAGTGTCCTCACGTGCGCTCCTGACACGCGATCCAATGATTAGCCATCAACTATCAGCAACCATCAAGCATCACAGTACTCCAGTGCCTTTCCACAGCTCAACACACCACAGTACTGTATGTACTGTATGTACATGCTGTTCAGCACTATTCATTAAATTGTGACGGAGCTCCGATACTCTCGATACTGACACAAACGTCGACACCAGAAGAGAGGTCAGTACTAAATCAACAGGAAAGCAGGGCAGTTCCCCGTGATCGACGACAAAATGACAACGAGATGACTGTCCCTCGCTGTCCACCATCAACAACCAGTCCCCGCAGAACCGCAGACAAACAACAATGAGAAGATGACGAATTCAAGAGTATGGTTATGTGAGTATGTCGATTGCGAAGCATCTAAATGAAAACCCCAAAGGAAACCTAACAACTGGATCATGGATGAGCACCTCTGGGTACCAATTCTTGGTGTCTTATGGATAGAACCTGAGATGTGGCAGTTTCTGTGAGCCGAACGTGCCGGTGCACCTGTCTTATGAAAAACCACAAAGTAATCTTCGTTGGTTTCCTGTACAACGCACCTGACATTCAGAAATCTCATAATTCTTCGTCCCCTTTGAAGACACCTGTGGAAACTTGGAGCTACAGTGTTGAGATGAGAGATACCCTTAGGATACTCAGTTCCATGACTTTATGAAGTCCAAGATACACCAGGCAAGACTTCTGGTCCATTACGCCCATGGATAACACCCCATAGCGCAAAACGTGCACTCGGGGACCTTATGCTTCTTTTTTGAGAGCCTCTACAGTACAGTACATACCTTGATTATGACAAACGCCAATAGAAGTTTTTGTGGGCAGGTAACGCCTACTCCTGTTTCCACAAACGTTGTTCTAGGAAATAAGGGTTCTTGGTATCTTTCAAATTTGGACAGAGAGTTCTACGAGCAGATTAGCGCCTCACAGCTGGCGCCAAAATCGTCGCTGTTACCACCATGGAGTATTCAAGTCTCTTCACCGTTTCAGATCCTGGTACTACCGATAGCTACAGTACATACTGTACGTTATTGAAGACTTCACCAATGAGATGTCTGCTATGCGATCCCAAGGATTTAAACAAGTGCCAATAGTGACAGTTCATGAAATTCATCAGATTGTATGTATTAGGTGTCTTACCGTTACAGACACAGTCTCTTATCCTTGGTGCTTCGTCCAAAACTTCGTACTGATTCACATCCACGTGATGCAAGAGAAGTTCTTCTACCAGATATTACGCAATAGGCATCCCAGATTCATTGATTTTTTGCGGCCACATGACCTGTTTGGCCAGTTAAATGGAATCTTACACTTTTTATGTCATGTAACGGATCGGTGATGGGTCAATCCTCAAGATATCCCTAGGTACGAGCGGGAACCGCTCGTCCTACTCTACAGAGCAATACACCAATAGTACGAACTCCGGAAGTCGTATAAACATAACTTAACTTCCATACTTGCGAGTGGTGGCTATATATACAGGCATCTCAACCCTTCTGTAAAGCACGTCACTATCCACGTGACTTAGCCACGCGATACCAAGTATTCATCCATAATGACACACTCATGACGTCCAGTCACGTGCCAAGGCACATGACTAATCATAACACCTTATGACTAGCTTCTGAATAGTTACATGTCAGTTGCGGCCATATCCTGGTGAAAATACGGCTTCCCGTCCGATCAGCCATAGTCAAGCACCAGAGAGCCCAGTTAGTATTGTAGTGGGAGACCATACGAGAATCCTGGGTGCTGCAATTACTTTTTTTGCTCATTTTCAAATGGGATGGTACTTATTTTTGCCACCTTCATGTTCCGTTTCCAACCCATGTTCTCCGTATTAGTCATTGTGTCGGCGTGATGGCTTCTACGAGGCTATTTTAAATCAGTGGGAAGCTAGGGGTACGTGACGGTTTGATAACGGGGATCTCACAGTTGAATCAATCGGCGTTTTGCCATTATCCTGTTGCACAAGTTCACATATAGGTCATCCGTTCCAGCCTCCTCATCATGCATGCATTCTGAATACCCCAAGGGAAGGAAAAAAGATGGATATTTGGGAGCTAAGAAGACAGTTTGTTGCACAGATGATGCCACATCCTTCCAGTCGGAACCTTTATCTTCCAAAATCAAGATTCAGGTGGCTTCGGTATCATGGAATATTCTCCGCTATTCTGTCAATTTTTCTTGCCCAGGAGGGCTGGTGCATAATTAAAGGTTTTATGATATGTAAGGAGGGATGGCATCTTTGGGGTCTACTAAGTAGCAGGGAAACTGACATGGGACTGTTTAGAAGAATGAAATCATAATTTTACCACTAAAGTATGCCATCATTGCAGCAATTATTTCCAAATATCTCTATCATCACATTCTGGAGCTTTCCATCTGATTCTGACGACTTCTTCCTCCTGCACCCTAAAAATTCGTCGGCATAATGCATGCATCAACGATGCACATTTTTTTCGCCACTGACCAACCTCTCCGAACCTAAACAGCCTCGGCAGGAATATATAAACCCCCTCTACGTCCCTCTTTTTCAATCAGAATCAGACCAGTTCACTCTGAGTCATTCTGGAGATGGAAGGTGCCTTTTATAGCCTGCTGAGATGCAGAGCTGATAAGCAGACCTGTCTCATACAACGAGGACCGCTTCGCTAGCCATGTCCGTTGAGTTGTTTGGGCAATGACGCGTTTACCGCATGAGCCCTTTTCGGTCAAGAGACTCTCGCTATGACGCATTGAAAAAGATGTATGAGCCTGAGAATGTGCGACAGCTTCTGATTGGGCGTTTGAGCTGAGATTTGTTTCTCGGCGAGTTCAACACAGAGGCGAGTACGACCGCCTGCGCCAAGTGTCAGTAAGTCCGTGACTGTGCGTCCGGTTGACCGCCATGAGCTGAAAATGCCATGAGCCAAGAGCGAGTTTGGCCGGCTGAAATGCCTGAGCCTACTCCGTGTCTTGTGAGTTCTTGAGGACCACATGTGCAGCCGCCAGAGCAAAGAGCCAGACAGTGAAACATCTGCAGAGCCACCGACAGAGAGTCTCAAGGGTGAAACTCCTTTCGAGACTCCTTTCCCACAGGTGAAATTCCTGTTTACTCACAGGGTGAAACTCCTTTGTGAAGTCTCATAGGGTGAAATTCCTGTATGAGAAGCCGCCTAGAATCTGAAGAGCCAAGCTGATACGCCAGAGCTGCCAGTTGTAGAGCAAAGATCTGCTTTGACAGACGCCATACATGGTCAAAAGAGCAAGCCAGAGCCAGAGCTATAAGCCAGAGCCAGTGCGACATGAGCCAGAGCTGATACGCCAGATACCACAGAGTCAGAGCGATAGCCAGAGCCACAGATGCCTGAGTGTGAGCCATAAGTCCAAAGAGCAAGAGCCACACAGGTCAGAGCCAGCGCTGA